CATCCCTATGGCCTCTGGCACTAAGTGCACTCCTGGTATCAGCAACACCTTCCAGATCGGCCGTGTCCGACGAAGCCGCGTTCGCCGCGCTGTTCAGATTTAAATCGGACTACTGAGATAGATAGCTCCGGATTTTACCCGGCACATAAAACCCCCATCTCAAGGCTAGGGGCATGGGGTTACTTCAGCTGTACATATTAGCATCTTCCTCTTCTTTTCTATTCACTTCTTTCTCCCTTCTCTCCGAGAACGGTTTTGTTTTTTCTTTTTGATAGAATCATGTACACTAGGTCCCGGCTAAAATGGGACGGGGTTCCGGCTGCATGATCAACCACGGACGGAGGCATAACAGCATTCGCTTGAGTAACGGGGATGAGGCTAAGGGGAGACGAGACCGCCATAGCGACATCCTCAGATATTAGATAAACCATAAAATTCAAGATCTTGATGACCATTACTATCTGGTTCCGTTCATTGTGACATAGCTTTGGTGTTTTTAAGTAAGTACTTTTATTATAAAAAAAAATAGAGCGAATAATAGGGGGGTTGACAGCAAGTCCATATGTAGCCCATACCCACCAATGGCTTAATATGCAGGTGGTGTGTACAGATTTAAGATTGTGTATGTGTATTCCTGATCAGAGGAATGTAAACGCCCAGTAGATAAAGTGATAAAAAAAATCGAGCCTGCAGTATCACTATGTCACGTCTCATACTCTATTGGTAGCTCTCAATATGCTGTGTGACCAATATTCAATCTATGGTGCATCGGATGTCTATGATAGTTACACACTAAGACCTTAAGAAGTCAGTCCTACACAGGCCAAAACTCATAACGCAACTGGTGGCATAACAAGCCTTTCTGGATTAGCTTGGATCATTATCAGTGATTATTTAGATGTGTTCTATTAAATGCGATGAGTCCTTAATAACCTCTTCCCCTTATTCATAGGCATAGACGCCCATTGGCTTTCTTATTTGTTACCCATAGCATATACTAAACTGTATATAAGCAAAAGTGGTCAGAAGCATTTTAATACAGTAGCAGGCCTGTTTTGTGGCTGCTCTTTTTTTTTTTCTGCCGATGGCCACATTTTATACCACTAAAATGCCTCCTATATTTGTGTTTTCACTTGTGCACTAGGCAGAAGCAAAGCATATGATACTTTAGCTTGTACACTACGAATAGGTATTCTAAACTTTATTTTATGTGCATTGCTTCTTATAAAAAGCCGTAGGCCATTGGATGTAGATAAAATCACGTTAAAAATGGTCCTTACACGATAAAACAGTAGCCCTGGCGTACCACACCATATATAAATTCGGCCACTTCTAGAGATACCGACCACACCCTCTTTTATACTCAACCAATCAATCTCCTAGTATGTGATATATTGATTATCCAAGTTAGGTAGTTGGCTATATTCGTGAACATCAGACTACGATTTTTCATATAATACTCTCGTAGCCCCTTTGATACTCGGACTCTCTAAAATATGAGCCAGGCCTACATGAATCCACGAAATCCGTATATATATGCAACGATGGGTGCTAATAGCTCATCTCCTTTGACGACGACCTTTATACCGTCAGCCGAACACGCGAGCGCTTATCTGGATAGCTGTTCCAGAACAAGAGATACAAATCAAGGGGAAGAGAAATTCACCCCAAGTCCGCCATCTAATAACATACTCGCTGCTTCCATCCTAGGATAACCCCCTAGAACTGTGTAGATTAGCTAAAATCAGCCATATCATAGTATGGGGTAAGTAGAGGTATAAAGCGTTAAAGGCAAGGTCTACGGCCACTAATGCTGATGTAGATTGCGAGCGCCATACTAACGATTTCCCTAATATTTGTTGTAGGGGGGCAGAGATAGTATATTGATTTTTATTGTTATGGATGGGTTTGGGAGGGGTTTGATACTGAGTGTGATATAATATTTAGGAGTGCCCTATAAATGTGAGGTTATAAGTTGACTGCCTACCTAGGTAGCTAGGAACGTAATATTTCAGATGAATGTCAAAATACATGGTGGTAGTATATTCTACGGCCTTAGGATAATAACGTGGAGGCCTTCGGGTTCCTATAATTCATGAGGGGTGAGTATTAAAACGTATCCTATGACTTCAAGAAATACCCTGCGGTTTACCTACTTAACTCTCCCAAATGGTGCGATGCGAGTAAGGGGTAGAATACTACAAACCTAAGACGGGACAACTGATGTATTTGCAGCTTCTTTGTTTGATTTGTTTCAATTGCCCCTGAATAGACCTCCTAGCACTTCATAAATAGGGGGCGAGTATCAGGGGCGTTGTGATACAGTATCAACCCGGTCCTATTAAAATCAACTATTTGATTTGCCAATAGCCATAATTTACGCCGCTGGGATGCTTTAGTAGCTTAAGTGTCTCCCATACTTCTAGTTCGACTTGTCCACTAATAGGAAACAAAGTAAATAATACTTCAATTTGATTTGTTATATATTAATTAGGTACTGTAAGCTCCTTTTTAAGCACACTTCTTTATACTGAAATTCTCAAGCCATCGGATATGAACGGGGTCAAATCTTCGGGCCATAAAACAGGAGCGATGCTGTACTACGCCAGAAACTGCTGTCCAAGACTTAGGTGTCCGTGTTTATAATGGCAGCTCGCCCTTTATCCTATATGATTCAGCTGTTTTCCACTTAATGAAAACAGAATATCCCATTCTTCCCATTTTATACATTATACAATAGCTATACCACTATTTACGAAATTCGGCCGTGTGTCTAGGCCTATGGGATCCCCTATACCTTATTCGATGCCCTCCGAACAGAGTCTACCTTCCGAACAAAGCCTGCCCATTGACTTTGCTGCTACCCCTACCTCTAAGAGTACTCAAATACCGAGCTCCTTGTCAACAACAACTGAGTCAACACCTCCTTTTCCCCCTCTAACGACAACCTTCACACCACCGCCTGAATGTATGAGTCAAATTGTACAGAGATGCAGCGAAAACACGTGCAGCGTACAAGCCTGTATGTAATATTGGAAAATTTCCTTGTTCCCTTCAGTTTACCTGGAAGGATGCCTTTAGATCTACTCGAGCTGATTAGGCTTCTTAACGATACACCTACGAAACTCCTAGGTTTTCAGACTGCTAACTACCGTTTGGGAAGGGTCTGATCTTCAGTGCACTGAAGGCCCCCCAGGTAATTATCATCAAATACGTTGTCTACCATATTACGATGATTTTAATGGCAAAAATACATACTCACCGGGTAGAGTTTGTCCTTCGGGGATGACGACGGCAGCGAGCGCGATTTCGCCTGATGGGGTCTGGTGTTGCCCTACGTACGTAGAGCTTAAAGAACCTAGGAGTTCCCTTCGATCGCACGCTGATGTTCTCTATATTATTATAGAAATATACCCTGGGCGGGAGTTTCTCCATGGTGTTCAACTACGTTGACCAAGGGTTCTTTCGAATCTTTTATCGGTTGCGACTTGGCAACACAATTCTCCGGCATTACATTTGGTCCAGGCGCCACCCAAGTTTTTAGCTTAATGGACTCTGTACAGCAGGCAGGGTTAGGAACACAATTTTACACGGTTACTGCAAATACCATTACAGTGGTAGTATTTGCGACAGGTGTTTTCCTCAAGGGCCAAACGATGGCCACGGCTAATAATACTGAAAGTATTACGATCCCCACATCAAGTGAAGTAAACCCCATTGCAATTCCGACAGCCGCTACTGAAGGAGATGATAGCTCTTCAAGCACATTATCGAATAGCGTTCTTATAGGTGTTATTGTAGGGTGCGTTGTAGGGGTTGGCATACTCGCCGGGCTAGTCTATTTTATCTTATTACGGCGCGAGCGGCGCCGCAAAACACAACAGGACGGTCAGCCTACGTCAATAAACGGCGCAAACCATGATAATAACCTATACGATGACTACAGGAAAGCAGAATTAGACGCTTCAGTTGGGGTGATGCGGTCCGAGCTTGAGGGAACGTTGGAAGTTAGCCACGGAGCAGGCATTTATATCCAGAAGCCAGAGCTAGAAGGCACACGAGGAATGAGTAACGTTGGGGGTGCCGTTTACGTTAAAAATAAGGCGGAGCTGGAGGCTCGATCAAACCAGGTCTCGGAGCTAGAAGCTATTCCTTGCTCTGTATCAAGAAGGATAGAAGCACCGCCATCTCCCACAATCATGGCTCAAGACCTGGGTCGCTTTCATAGAGACCAAATGCCTTCGAGACACGAACTAGGCTGAGCTTTGATCTTATAGCATTACGGCATAGAATAGGCTACAAATGCTGATTAGCATGTCTTCTTTGATACGAGTAATGTAATACACATTGGGATGAACGTTAACAGGGCGAGAATCAGTGTAATATGGTGGTAGAGCTATGAGACTACCTGTTGTTTGAAATATTAAATAAGAATTATAAGTTGACTATGTGATATATTTTTCTAAAAAGCCTATGTTAGATTTTCACTAGTTAGTTAAGTTGAATAATATGAATAATACGAGATACTTTACAGCAAGGACGCGATATGATAACGAAATAACATTACACGCTAAGCCTAATCTATACCTTTCTATTTGACGCAAAATCCGCCGAGGTTTAGCCCGAATTGACAAGGACCGTACCCCCTTGTCACAGGTCGAATTCAGGAGAGAAAGGTACCTAATCTTTCTACAGCGCGATCCTTCCTTCACCTTCAACAACCTCCATCACACCTCGTTTTTTTTCCCCCAATCTTTTAAATTAGAAACTTGCAGTCATTCATTACGCTGCAGTCTCGCCACTCATTACTCCCTATAGTCATTCATTAACTCGTTAGACAATCTCTACGATAGCTCACTCCTCCCCCCGATCGATTCGGTCTCTCATCACCTCGGCGCGTGCGATTTAGAATCCGTGTTTCAGCTTCAAGTTCTTTTGCCAGATTCTCCCGAACCTTTTTTCAGTTCTTCTCGAGCGATTTCGATACTATATCCGTCAATATGCGTGCTTTCTTCGCCATCTTTACTGCCGTTCTGGCCTTTTTCCAGGTTGCCGCTGCTCTTCCCCCGGCTTGTCTGTTGGCTGCTCTTGGGTACGTTGGTTCTGGTCCGATCTAAGCTGTGATTTATTAGGAGTGATATATATGCGATTTATGAGCGGGATAGTAGTACTAATATTTATCGTAATTGTGTAGTGTTCAGGACAATCCATCTGATTTGAAGGCGGTCTGTGGTGATCTCCAGCATGCCATCCAGGGCAACTTGACCAGCAACTGCCATAAGGACACTCTCCCCGAGGCCTACAAGGTCTACTCCTCCAAGTGCTTGGAGCAGGGTGTGACCGTTGCTAAGCTTCCCACTTCGACCTCTTCTGCTCAGTCCAGCACCGGTACTGCTTCTGCCACTGGTGTCAAGTCCGCGTCCGCTTCTGCTACCCCGACCGGCGACGCGACTGTTACCTCTGGAGCAAGCGAATCCGGTAGCACTACGTGAGTATTTGGTGCTATCTTTATTCTTGTATATCTGCTAATTGCCATTCTTAATTAGTGAATCTGGCAGCACTCCTAGCCCTACTGGCAATGCTGGCACGGCTACAGAGCCCAAGCCTTTCCTCTTCGCTGCTGCCGCGCTTTTCGCTACGGGATTGACCAGCGTTATCTTTTTGTAAACGACATACCGATGAAGTGGTGACGAGCAATAGATTTATTGTTTCTTAGGAGGTGGTTGGTTTTGGATTGTCTCAAGCGCGTTATACCCCAATTCCCACGGGCTTAGGTGAACTAGTTAGACTCGCATATTGGGTAGCAGACAGAAGCCCTGAAAAGGGTTATCAATATCATCTGCCTGGCCTTGATTTAAATATAGATGGATATTTGTACTATACAATTGAGCGTTTATTTTATACGTCGTCAACCAATGTGTCAACTTCTAGTTCGTCTAAGAGCTTCTCTTCTAGGAGCCTCATTAATCCTTCCTCTCTAAGGAGGATATCTCTGTTCTCCTCCCACTTCAACCATGCTACACCTTGCAAGAGACTATCGGTCAAGTCGTCGAGTTTCCGTGGACCGGCATCACGAACCAAGTCCTCGACATCGCCCAATTTCTTCCGAGAGCGAGTCAGCTTCGAACGGAACCACTTAACAGCGTCCTCCGTGTCACGATTCGCAGGTAGAATGATCTCGCTTCCTCTTTTCATCGCTAACCAGCTCGTCAGAACGCCAATCTTGTACTTCTTGCTATTCTGCTGCGACTTAGCTCCCTTTCGAGTTTCTCCATTGACCGCTTTAGCGGACCGGCTCCTCGTCTTTGGTGTCTCCTCGGATATAGTCGGTGGCGGAGGCCAGAATCGCGTGACCCTGTTGGGTGCCATAGACACCAGCTCGCCGTTCCAATGCCCTAGTTCCCGCAGCGTGCGCAACGACGCATGTAGCATGGCCTCAAGCGTGTTGACGCGAAGTGTCCATTCCTGGACTGCTGCGGCGCCGCCACTGCGCCATCGCTGCCGCTCGATGAGCACGTGCGTCGGTTTGAGAGGTAGCAAGTCATGACGTACTAGCCGATCCGTCGCGATGGCAAGAGAGGCCGGGCTATAACGGTCAGGGTCCTCAATTCCGTCTAACGAAGGCTCTAGGAGCTCTCGTCGCTTCCATTCGTGAAGATGGATACGCGGCGGCCGGCGCAAGTCATCAGCAGTCAGAGCAGAAGGTGAGAGAACTTTGGATGGCGCGGCGGGTGCTATAAGACTATAACCTAGGTTGCGGATTCCCAGGTCGATGCTCAGAATAAGTCGCGAGTCTTTGGTGCCAGGCGGTTTAGCTGGACGCGCGTGACTCAAGGCGACGAGTCGGTCGATGAGGTCCGTCTTTCTACCCGAGGTCTTCTCGCCGCATAAGGAAGCGAGCTGTTTCAAATTTGTGCTCTTGAACTTGGGTAATATCGATTCCAGCTTCGACGACATGGTGGCATCTATCCCATATGCATAGTGTAACCAGCCCACCAACTTCTACGTCCCCTTTTTACTAGCTACAGCGCCATGAGCAAGGGTCGAGTATAATAGATACCTATGCTAACAATCGTTCCTTAAATTACCTGAGACTAATAGGTTTGAAACTTGAAAATTTATCTATTTCAAAAATAGGTAACGTTCGAAATATTAGTGACGCTAACAGTTCGTGAAGTTTTCACAATTAGTACTTGAGTACAATCTAGACTACATACATTTTATATGTGAACGGTCACGTGATCGATCGTGTTTGTAGCAGACAAACGGTTCCTGGTATTCGGGCTCTAATTATAATATTATATGCATGTCAGATTTGAGAGCAATGATACAGCTATTTTTAATTCGTTCATTATTAAAAACATGACCTGGTAAATAAGACTTATCAACCCTATAGACCAGCCAACCTAAGAGAACTTATAAATGAAAGTTCAAATTACAACATCAGCCAATGTTAACACGCTCAAGTTAACCTGATCACAGCTCTTCAATATTCCCAACGCATATAATAACCCATCTAACTTGCCAGCGGCTTCCCGGCCGTCATACATCATAATCGAACATATTTTGTCGGAATTATCTACACATTTAATCACTTCCAAATGCTGCTGCAGTAGGAGCACCGGTGATGATTACAACAATAAGGGCACGACGGATTAGTGGCAGATAGAATTGGCGAATAGTTGCAATTGCACTCGACGAAGTTAGTCAAGTTCCAGAGTATGAGTTTATTTTTGTATAACTCACGCAAGTCCAGTACCACTCCTTCTTGACGTATTCCTTCTTCGCCGGGTTTTCAACACCCATGATCTATGGATATGCTGGGTAGATAAATATGTGCAGTGAAGAATATTTTATGAATGGTTTTCATTCGCTAGCAGTCCTCTATATGTTCTATAGAGATAGGTAGGCCCCTTAACAAGGCCTTTCAAGATGAGAGTTGCGAGTTTCCGCGACATCTTCAAACACAGAATTAGCGAGGATATATAGATGATACCCCAGCGGGGGAGGTAAGCAAGATCATATCATGTTCGACGCAAGTGGCGATTATTGCCAACGAACACCTTGCCACCATGCTATAGATCATCACACCCCGCTCTCAGATGGATGTGAAGCTCCTCCAACTCACATCGCGTTATTCCTCAAACTCGCGTGCCCCGCACTTTAGGATTGGCATGACCCTGGTAACTTTTAGGATTTGATTCAACTCCATCCTTTGAGAGACAGATGGGCGGGGATTTTCTCGAAAGCTGAGCTATATAACCTTGTATAGCTGCTATGGAATAGCCATGCCACTTCACATAGAAAGGAATACGAGAGTTGTATAAGTAAATATGAGCTACCTAGTTCCGATATTTCGAGATACTCAGATAAATGAACAGATTATAGAAGATTATTCGAGTTTGTCTTGCCCAGCTATAATTTCCTTGTACTTTGGTGACTGGACGACCTCGTTACCAGGTTGTTATTCAACTTGAAACTTAGAGTTCTCTCGAGTAGAGACGGAGGTATATTATATTGTTAATTGATATTTCGTATTGGTTTGTGATAGGTAACTGTTAGATAGCAGATGTAAAACATTCTTATTCTATCACTAATATTATGCCAAACTGGCCTAATAGGGGCACATAAGAGACTTTGTCTAGTATCTATGAAGCTTGAACAAATTGAACATATTATTATGATAGTCTATATAAACGGGCAGCAGATGTAACATCTTACTCTATGGAGACATCATAGAAACGTATGATAGGTAGAGTATCAATAATATTAAAATCTACTAATAGCTCATCGGCCGAATACTATTGATTATGTTAAATGTTTTACCCAGTTCTTTCGTTTGCTGGACGCATATACATATTCGTGTGACCCCAAATGCAGTAGCAGAGTCGTTTGCTTATTCTGCTCACTGCCTATTTGAAATAGCGGCTTGATCTTTACTGGATATATTTGTACGAGGAGATTGTATTACGATCCATCTACTTGTATTGTCTTATCAAGATTCGATTGAAGCTTCGGATAACCAATAGAGGAGCATTTACAAGAATAGGGGGACGGATTACAAAATATATGGGTCTTGCTATAGATCGGGCAGAGTACGTACTATTCAAAGATTTGTCAAAGACCCTGGCACGGTAGCGCGGAACGGCGTACTTAAAATAGGTGATGCGCTAGAACCGGCCAGCCGGTGCTTATTGATCACCGGTCGAGTTCCGAGATTTTATTTTAGTAACTAGTTTCTTCGTTCTTCTCTTAGTAATTCTTTAACTTGGAAGTTGCCTATCTGGGATACTGCTGATTGGAAATTCGCCGTTAGAAATTCACCGTAGTCCCGCCTCTAGCCCTACGGGCGTATTATCTTATCCCGCAGCTTTGTACATAGAAACTTGTACATAGAAACATTTTCTACTCCATCTCGCAAGGTCTCCCATATAAGACGTCATTCCCCTCCACCCCGCCATTCCTTTCGTTTTCCTTTTCCTCCGTTGGAGTAAGCAGGTCAATGCAAGCAATTGGTTTATTTAGTCGGATATCGGCTGCTACTGTAACCTTAACATCCCCTTCTGCTTTTGTTTCCAGATCCAGGACGGCGACTTCGCGAATAGCTTCACTCTCTAGACACTTCTCGTCCACCCCTCACATCATGGCTCCTATATCTAAGGAGATCGACTTTTTGGTCATTGGTGGCGGGAGCGGGGGTCTTGGTTGTGCGCGCATGGCCAGCTCCAAGTTCGGTGCGAAAGCTATGGTCGTTGAAGCTATGCGCCTCGGTGGCACTTGTGTGAACGTCGGGTACTACAACCCCCTTATAATTACCTCAATAAGTAAAGAAAAAGGAGAGAAAAAAATAAATAAGCTAATATTAAGTCCGTTACAGCTGTGTCCCTAAAAAAGTCACATTCAATGCCGCCGCCCTTGCCGAGGCTATTCACGACTCTAAAGCTTATGGATTTTCAGTTCAAGAAACGAAGCCATTCGACTTCACCACCTTTAAGCATAAGCGGGATGCTTATATCAAGCGATTGAACGGCATCTACGAACGAAATCTTGCCAACGACAAGGTTGAATATGTGCACGGGTGGGCAAAGCTGTTAAGCAAGAACGAGGTCGAGATAACACTAGACGATGGCACGAAAACCACTGTACGCGCCAATAAAATTCTCATAGCCGTAGGTGGCCAACCGACGAAGCCGTCATCCGATATTCCTGGCGCGGAGTACGGCACCGATAGCGATGGCTTCTTCGACATCGACGTGCTACCTAAGAAGGTCGCCTTGGTGGGAGCGGGGTATATCGCCGTTGAGTTTGCAGGAATGTTCAATGCTCTGGGTACTGAGACACATCTGTTCATCCGACACAAGACCTTCTTGCGCAACTTCGATCCTATGATTCAGGAGGGCGTCACTAGCGAATATGAGCGGCTCGGTGTACACGTGCACAAAGAGTCCTCCCAGACTAAGATTGAGAAGGACCCTAGCACCGGTAAGCTCACAATACACTACAAAGATAGCAACGGCGAGAGCAAGCTCGAGGGCGTGGACCACTTGATCTGGGCTATTGGACGTACCCCCATGACCAAGAACCTCGGTCTGGAGGAGGCGGGCGTCAAGGTTGACGAGAAGGGCTACATCGTCACCGACGAGTACCAGAACACATCTACGGACAATATCTACGCGATAGGCGACGTATCTGGCCGAGTGGAACTAACCCCCGTCGCCATCGCGGCCGGCCGTCGACTATCGGAGCGTCTCTATGGCGGCGAGCAATTCAAGACAACGCGCATCGACTACTCCAACATACCATCGGTCGTGTTCGCTCACCCCGAAGTCGGCAGCATTGGGCTAACAGAACCACAAGCCGTGGAGCAGTATGGCCGGGATAACCTAACCATCTACAAGACGAGCTTCACAGCCATGTACTACGCGATGATGGAGCCCGAGGACAAAGCGCCCACCAGGTACAAGGTGATCTGCGCGGGTCCCGAGGAGAAGGTCGTCGGCCTGCACATCATGGGCCTTGGTTCCGGCGAGATGCTGCAGGGTTTCGGAGTAGCGATCAAGATGGGCGCTACGAAGAAGGACCTCGATTCTTGCATTGCGATTCATCCCACGAGCGCGGAGGAGCTTGTTACGCTGAAGTGATGGGTGGGAGCTAGAATTTAAAGACGATATAAGAATAGAAAAGAAAGAACGAAAGAAAGAAAATTGGTCTTGATATCCTGTAGATAATGAATGAATGCATGATATAGAACCGACTTAATTAATGCCATTTCATGAAATGGATATCTATTAGTGAGATGTGAGATACAATTCCGGGGAATCCATTATAGACCCATTTCAAAGATTGTAAATTGAATGTAGAAAAGGGGGACATACCTGCTCGCTATTTGTTGCCTCCTGCGGTAGGTTAAATATTACTAGAGTTGTAAATTCCTGCATTGGCTTGTTTCATTCCTAAGTAGCTGCTTACCAGACGTACAAGTATAGTGTTGATCGCTTATGTGTTGGCATCAGCAGTTCATACGCCTCTTTCACCTCTCTCTTTTCTACACTGGATTAGGATATTAAAAAAAGTAAGATGGTCATGCACTTGGGATACCTCCTTTCGAGTTCAAAGGAGCACATATCAGTATTCAAAGCACTAGCCATGATAAAAATTTTCGTCATCGCACTAATTACACTTGTGACTATGCAACAGATTTAGCCTCCTTAACCTCTCATTCACTTCAACATGTTGACAGGCACTAATGTTCAGATATAGACACGAAAGAAAGACAAGCGAAGCCACATGTAACCAGATTTTGATTGGTATTCAGACATTATAATTTGACACATGGTCACATTATTGAGTAACGCCGGTTGCTCGAGTCGGTCGGGCTTTTCCGGGATAAAGATCATCATAACCACCAGCCCGTCTTCCTGTTTCCCCGTAACGCCAAATACGGTGAATTATACTCCCTGCTCCGTGTTTTCGACACGGCGCCTTTATACAACAGATTTAGACTAGACAAAAGCCTTTCTTCTCCTAGGGAATTCAGCACGGAATCTCGTGATGTATTCGTACCAGGCTACTAAGTAGGCAATCAAAGTGGGACCTGACTTTGGTGCTCGTAATACTGTAGAACAGTATAACTAGAACAACATGATAAGCATATCATCGGTATGAAACGACTCGCCTCGACTAGAACGCGGGCTTGTTTCCACCGTTAAGCCGATAAGAAGTTAGGGGACCCGAGCCTCCACTGGGGCTCAACATATTTGATAAGCCCTGGCGATCTTCCTGTGACGAAGTAGTGGAAGAAAATGACGAGTTTAGAGACGTAGAAGTACTATTCATCGTCGCAGAACGAGACATCGCCAATGCTCCCATAGATGACAATAATGCGTCGGCACGTTCAAAAACATTCCCATTAAACACGTTAGAAAGAGATGCACTCTGGGGTGTCGATGGCACAGTTGCTTGTACAGCCGGTCCAAGGGCAGCGCTTTGGGGTGTCATAGGCATCTGTATTTGGCCGACCCCGGAATTAGATGAATAGTGGCTTGGTGAATAGTGGGTGGGTGCGTCGCTGATATTGCTAGTGTGTCGAAGGAGGTATGCCCATGGGGAAGTCATGATAAGATGGTTGGTCTCTTTTATGCTGATTTGAATAGGCCGTAGTCTAGTCCTAATATCTAACGGAAACGTTATTTGATCCATGGATGCCTTCAGCCTACTCCCGAATTCGGCCCAAGAATCAATAAAACTTTTGCAGAGGCTCCAGAAGAGGGGATCTGTCCTGACACCAGGCTCCTTTAGTTTGATAAGAGACAAACGGTCCTTTAAGCGCTCTGTATCGGCAATAGAGATTGAACATTTAGCAACGAGACCTTTCCAACAGCGTACTATACGTTCCGGAGCTCGTTGATTTTCCGCATTGCGCCTATAAGCAAGGAATTGTTGGTTAATACCGGGGAGAATGCGCATGGCAAGATCTGACGATTTTTGTAACGACAAAAATATTCTCTCAAACAATCGCTCGTCTGCGGTAAAGTCGGTGGGATACCTCATATCCCCATTCGAGGATGCGAACGATTCTCCAGACCGGGGTGTGGCCGATGTGATTTGTGCCATCCGGCCGGTACCATTTATGTAGGGAATTGACACGTCTGTTGTTACGCGAAGATTGCCATGGTTATGAGCTAGGGCTCTAGGCCGTGGTTGACTACCAGGTATGCTTGGTCGGTCGATTGTGGGTGTTATAGAATTGTCTTGAGGATGAATTCTGACTGTATCTTGGATCCTTGTCTGCTGGTATCCCTGGCTAAACACAGGCGAGCTTGTAGCGGCGGAGATCTCATTAGCGGTAATACGAAGTTCCATGATGCTGTGATACAGCAACATCATCATTGTGCGGATATAGCGCGGGTCCCCATTATCAACAATAGTATTCATATTGTTCATGAGGAGTGAACAAATATGGCTATAGGCATTAATTAAGGTCAGAACGGCCCTTTGAACATTCTCGTTCTCGCGTGGTGTATAAGGGCCATTCTCCGTGACAAATTCATGTTTCTGAATCTCATGTTCCAATTGCTCAATATGGAAATTAGTATTGTAGAAGACAATCTCGAGGCTTGACCGTTTAGTTGTGCCATCATTTGTGAGCCTTGTAAAGAGTTGTATGGTTGGATGGATCTGGAAAATTGCATAAAGAATGCCCTTCGCAGATTCGATAATAGGATCGAAAATCCTTGATTCTCGCCTTTGTTCCGGTAAGACGGATAGACGCCTCACGTAGTTTGGGCGATGGAGCAGTGGTTCTGCTGGATTATTTGGGCTGGTGGTAGAAGTTCCATTAGGATTTAAGTGACCCGTCATGGATGAACCATGGCTCAATCCTCGGTAGTGGCTGAATCTGTTATTTGCCTGGCCTTCCTCTAAGGTTCCGAGCTCAGTCGGTTTTCTAGACACGATACCCATGCGCCTGTTTCGGTCTGACGGTCGCTCGGCTCTCGGTGCTTGTAATAGCGTCTCGCTGTTTGACCTTAGCCTCTCATTGGGATTGCCGATGGTGAGAGGCATAACGCCAGGTCTGCGGATGGCTGTATTCTGCTGAGAGAGGCCTCGAGCATGTGATCGAGAAGGTATAGGTGGTGGTCGGAGTATGGCTGGGGATCTCATATCTGACACGTCGCTGCCATTCACCCGAATGGGAAATCGCCCGCTGACTACTCTTCTGATGGGCATTCGAGGTGTTTCTATTCCGTCGCTGAGCTCATCTCCACCGTTCTCGCCCTCTTTCTCTCTTGCATTCATACTTTGCGCTTTTTGCTTCAGAAACTTCTTAATGTGTGCCGTAACAGCGAGCTCCGTTATTTCACTCTTCTCCAGGAAACCCTCACTCGGAGGACTGCTAGCTTGTACCTGTAATACCTCCTTTGGCGGAAATTTGATATCGTTTCCGGCTAGCCTTAGCATTTGCAATGAGACCATATCAGCTAAACAAAGCGGAAGCTCCTCAATCCGATTCTTTTGCAAAGCCAGCACCTTAAGCGAGGCCAATTTTGAAATTTCGGGTGGGAGAATTCGAATTTTGTTCCTCCCCATATCTAATATCTCAAGTGACTTGATATCGCAGAGCTAGAACATGTAAGACAAACATTTAACCAATTAGAAAGGGAGATAATTACCGATAGAGGGAACTCTTTGATTTGGTTGGCCCTAAGGTTAAGATATCGCAAATGTGTGCATTCCGAAAATCTGGCTGGTAGAGTTGATAACTTGTTATGCGAGAGCGCCAATCTATGTCAGACCAGACACATTAGCATGCTACTATGCCACCTAGTTATGGATTCGAGACTAACCGCTCTAATTCATTCTTTATTATGTCCACTACCTCATCTGGCAATGCCTGAATATTTCTTCTGCTGAGGTCGATGGTAACACCTGGTTTGAGTTCGGTACTAACACCGCTCGCCTCGGCTGCCTGGGTCTCGTTTTCTTGTAAGGCACTGTTCATTGCTTCCCTAGCAAGGGCGATGACCTGGCCTGCGGACAAGGGGGCAGATGTAGACAGCATCGAGCTGGAACTACTGCTAGCGGAAATGCTGAATTGGTCGGGGATTGGCGGAGGCGGAGGGAGAGGCAATGCGGTCGTAGGAGGACCTCGTCTCATTCCGGGTGGTAGACTTGTGGGTAAATTTCTCGAGGTCGACTGAGGCTGTATAACAGCGGCGGCCATGCCGCCTAAAGCAACATCCATAACAGACCCAAACGTCGGAGGGTCAGAAGATAGTTAGAATTGGGTAGGATATTACTTCGAGGGTGTAAAATCGTAGTGTCGTGTGAGTGACTCGTGGCAAATATTTTCCCAATGGGTCTGTTAGAATGGAGACGGTGAACCGAATAGAGTAACTGAGTTCATCGTAGTGCAATACAAAGTTGATTTCGAGGACGAAACTGAACTGGAAGCGGAACTCAACAACCCAATACCAAGTTTCAAATACAAAAGTGGTAGATTCATGGAATTGGGCGTAAGTAAAGACAGAGCCAGAGCTGTGAGGGAAGTTTCGATGAGAACTGTTACACTAGTAGTGCTTGTGAAGGGTTCGGAGTTGAAACAGGTCTAGTCCAAAGGGTGAAGCACTGATGTCGTCGAAGAGTGCAGAAATTCGTATGCAGGCCCCCTGGTTCTTGAAGCTCTTTCAGGTGGTCATTAGGGGGGCCAAGCGATGTGCGGCGCAACGTAGGCCAGACACAAGGGATCGGGTCTTGGGCACCAGTTGGAGAGGGAAGGGGTTCTTTGTCCACTAGCGACACCTGGAATAAGGGGATTAAAACAGCGCCACGGCGGGCGTGAAGTCCTAAAATAATAGTGGATGATTGCTGATAGTAAAGCGGTAGGGGCGTATAGAATACCAAAAAGGGAAGTTGGTGTAAACGAATCAGAGCGAAGTGGAGAAAGCGCTTGGGTTATCCCCTGCTCGCGTCTTTTAGTCCCCGTTTACTCGTGAGAGAGAGGCTCGAGATGAGACTACCAGCCGCCGCCTTTTTCCTTCTTCGCATTGTTGGGTGTGATGAATATTACAGAGGTAGGGGCCACCAAAATAGATTTATTTTATAAGATTTTTCTTAACTCTTCCCATTCTATTTTCATTGAGAATTGGTCCATACCTACCTAAGGTTAATAATTGAAATAGGTAGGTAAGGTACTTTAGGTTAGGTAGGCACACAAACAGAACAAATTTGTGCATATGGATATTGCATAATCAATGTGTTTGGTCGTACCTTACAGCTGTGGCGTCGGTAAGAGCGTGTCACTAACTTATATGCACGTACCATATACTGCCCCAAGATCCATTTATTTAAGTGCATAGTTCCCACGCGACGGGTGGAGACCGACGCGATTAGGCAAGTCTGGAAGTCGCGATGGCCCACATAATAAATAAAGATAGAAATATCAGAAATATCAGAAATATCCCATTTTCTACTTCCTACTTGAGGAAGCGCATCTACATAGTTGGTACCAAATAGTGTTTAACCTGTGCAATTGACTTTATCTTCTAAACTTAACTTGGGTTGGAACTTGGGCACTTTCGACCATCTCAGTAAGATATCCTAGTTACCAATTTCTATCACCAAGCATCTATTTAGGTATCCTTACCACAGTATTCAATGCTAGATGGATACCTATTTGGATGCAGATGAATGGATCTTGTTCACATAATACCCAGGTACTTTAGCTGCAGAGTTAGCTGTAGCTATAAATGTATCTTGGAGTATACTTCATTAGGAAAGGCAAATACGTCACTTTCGACCATTTGAATGAAGGGTTCGTAACTCTGAAATACTCGAGAAAATTGACAATAGACTTGGCCCACATATGAATAGCTAGGTGGCAGACTCAAAAATGCCCGCCCTAGTTAGGTCCAACTCATTTATTTTCCCTGATCTCGACTTTACGTTACGACGTCAGTTCAACAAGACTGGCTTTCGTCCATTCCAGCGAGAGATCATACAAGCTGCGCTGGATGGCAACGATGTCTTCGTTCAAGCAGCCACATCCTTCGGGAAGAGTTTATGCTTTCAGCTTCCTGCCGTAGTAGATCAAGGCAGTGAGTTCTTAACTTCTTCCTCCCTATTCGTATTATTTCGCTTTTATTTCCCATCAATGCTAGCGTTTTACTTACGTTGAGATGTAGTTACTATTGTTGTATCGCCATTGCTGAGTCTTATGATGAACCAGGTAGAAGCTCTTCGAGCTGCCGATATTAACGCTAGCTCGTTGAATAGCAACACGCCTCTGGTAGAAAAGGATCGCATTATGAATGATCTCAAAACTGGTCACCCCCGAACTCGGCTACTCTATGTAACCCCAGAGCTTTGCGCCCAGGACCGTTTCCGGGATAGGTTGAGGGTGGTTCACGAGCAACGAGAACTTGCGCGTATCGCTATTGACGAGGCGCATTGTATCTCGGAATGGGGCCACGACTTCCGCAAGGATTTCAAGAGACTGGCATGGTTTCGAGAATCGTTTCCGGACGTACCTATTATGTGTTTGACAGCAACGGCCAACGATCAGGTGCGCAATGATATCCTCGCCACCCTTAGATTAGACGTGAACCCGGAAAGGCTGAAAACGTTCACAATGACTGCCCACCGGCCAAATCTCCACTTCGAGATTCGATTCACACGTGATGAAGATGATCAGCGTCTAGACGACTTCCTCAGATGGATCCGTGGCGTATATCAGCGTAGAGCCAAGGATCCACGAAAGAGTGAGCTTACCACCATCGGTGAGCGAGCTGATAATGTTCCTGGAATCATCTACACTATTTCGCGGGATGAGTGTGAAAATCTTGCCTCGCAGCTCAGACAGGAAGGCATCGGTGCCCAACCGTTTCATGCAAAACTGTCGAAAGAAACCAAGGAACGCGTTCTTGCTAAGTGGGTGTCTAACGAACCTGGGTATGACATAATTGTAGCCACAACCGCGTTCGGAATGGGTATTGACAAGAACAATGTCCGGTTTGTTGTTCATTGGAGACTCCCTAAATCCTTCGAGGGATACTATCAAGAAGCTGGACGAGCTGGGCGTGACGGGAACGCGGCGTACTGCTTTCTCTACTACAGCCGTGAAGATAGAGACCGAGTCAGCAGCCTGGTCGTGCGAGATCGCAATTCGGTTTCGAATTCCAATTTCGAGGCACGCGCCAAAAGCCTACAGGCTCTAGCCCAATACTGTGAAAGCACAAATGCTTGCCGACATAAGCTCATCTGCAAATATTTCGGAGAAAATGACACTCCAGCATGTGATTATGCATGCGACTGGCATAAAGACAGCGCTGATCTTCAGCGGCGTTTGCTCAGGGGACTGGCAAGTGAGGAGTGGGTCAGCACGCAGAGAGAGGAAGGGATGTATGAAGTAGATTGGGATGAGTAATGTATAAAGAATATTCGTTGGCTGAAAAGGTCCGATTTGTAGTGTAACAGCTACGTCGATGTTTGTATAGAAGCAAATCGGTATACTAATACTGTTAGCACCCTAAGGCACCTTACGCATACCATGTTACATCCCTCCAATCGGCTGGATCGCGACCCCGCATGTTTAACATCAGCCCGCAGCTTTGAAGTAAAGGTAAAGCTCCTCCTTAACCAATTATACCAATGTCCGATTCTTTAGTACGAATTGTCTAAAGGGTTACAATTATATGTTTTGTTATTGCCAAGTTATAATACAATTGAATCTCCAAGAAGCATCGTTCCATAATGTCGGCCCCGGGTTCATCGGCATATCCTCCGCATTCCAACCCCTCCTCCGTCCACGGGGCTCCGGCCAATATATCATCAACTCCAGCCCCGAATAATACGACTGGGTCGTCTAACTCCGTGAGCGCGCCACTCCTCTCGCCATCTTCTCATTCTACCGCGCTACGTCTGCGACCATCTAATTCTGCCTCAGCATCTCGGAGCACTACAACACCCCCTACAACTATTACCGCATCCTCCACCACCGGAGCTCAACCCCGCGTCACCATGGATCCGAACCCAACTCTACCGTCCCGCACGACACAGCTGCATATTGACGAAGCACGTACTGCCCTTGTAGCTTCCATGTCGAACATGCTAGACTCTGAACTGCAATCACGCGCCTCGCTACTCCATTCAAATGCCGCGGTATTAACTAAGCAAGAGAAGGACGTGATAAAAGGAACTGAGGCGCTACGGAAAGAAAACGATAAGCTCGAGAAACTAGCCCGCGACACAGAGCGCAAGATCAAGGAGCTAGGCAACGTGCAAAATTGGGCCGAGGTCTTGGAAAGGGACTTCCTAATTCTAGAGGAGACCGCACGCCTGGTGAGAAATGGCAGCGGAAGCGATAGCTGCAGTGAGTGTAGCAGAAGTAGTTGGTCGGGGAGTTACAGCGCTGATGATAGTAGGGCGGGGAGCCGCCGAGGAAGTGTAACGGGCGACGCTGATGTCAATGGTAAGAAACCCGAAGAACCTGGATTGAATGGTCATACCGCCACAGATAGTGGTGCTAGAAGCAGCGCCTTTTCTAGAAGGGGTGATGTACATGTCACTGTGGACAGGGAAGTCGCTGCGAGTATTAGCGAGGCTATGGCTATGGCCCTACACGAGTCCCTGGATACTCTATCGCTGGATCCGGTTCTGTCTGACGCGCATGAGAGCTCGATTAAAGGTAAGGAGCCAACTACTGAGGGCAGTAGGACAGAGGTTGAGAATTCGCCTGGCAATGTCCCCGAAACTGGACCCAGTGAGCTATCCCTACCATCTAGTACGACACTATCAGAAAGTCGAGAGAGAGATGCAGCTGAGGATAAGAACCCGAGTTCTCCGACAGTAATATGATGTTATTGTGAACTATCAACCTTTCTTTAGAGAATTGGATTGTGGGCATGATACCGGAGTCGGGGCTTAAGGTCTAATGGAATTTCATGATATTACGGGCAAATATGGGTTACCTGAGGGGACGTGTCATTCAATGAGTCAATGAGTTAGATTCGAACGGAGACCCCGTCTTACACTAAATACAGTTTCCCTTATGAGACAAAGGGTCGCTTATATATAGTTAAGACAATTGACATTTGATTACATTAATTATCTTAGTCTGTTAATTACGTGAAGTTTGTTACAACTTTAGTTACCCTCGAATATTTCTAACCATCCAAGTCTCGTTTATATCATTCCCATAAATTTTTCCATCTCTAAGAGTTTATCTACCCTGCAAGTCGTGCAAGGTCGAATATATCTCACTAATCGTTACATTCATCGCGAAGGGATCCAAACCTAACAAGCTTATAGAAGGCCCGGGAGAATGACGCTGCGCTTCTTCTTATACTTGTCGCCAAACTGCTTACGGTAGGCCTTCTCCTTGCCCCATGCCCAGGTGTACATGAAATAGGAGCCGATAAAGATGAAAAGCAGCAGGGACGGGCTGCGGGTAACCAGAATGATACCGATCCAAGCTATGATCTCAAACATATAGTTGGGACAAGTCACAAGGCTAAAGCTGTGGCCGCTAGGGATTTTCCTTGCTGTCTCGCCCGGCTTACGCAGGTGCGCCAGGTAGTAGTGAACGTCGAAGTTACCAATTTCACCGATAAAATAGAGGGCGATTCCGAGGTAGGTAAGGGGGGTCGGGACGTCAGGCGAGAGAGCAGCGGGTGAGAAGGGCGCGTAGATCTCGAGGGCGCCGAGAAGACCGGCGAAAGTCCAGTAGAAGAAGGAGTTGCGGAAGACGTAGGCGAAGGGCATAGTGTTGGCGGAGAACTTGTGCAGGAATAAGGTCTCGAGCTCGCGCTTGACGAAGTGCGCCGTGATCATGGCGAAGGCGGCCTGCTGCGCGAACGAGAGCTCCCCATCGGACCGGATTCCGTAGGGAAGATGGTTCTTGAGCAGAGGGTATACGGCAGGGTATAAGTGGTTTCGCAGGCCTAAGAAGAGAGGGTGGAAAAGTAGAGGTCCGAGGTACTCGATCACGTAGACAAGTCGCCAGCTAATCTGGGCACCTGTTCAATTCGGTCAGTACCAATTCTATATAGACCAGCGCAGAGGAGAGGGGTCATACCAAGGTCCTTGACGAGCAGTTCCCCATGCTTCACGACTTCGGACTGTTCTCGTAGCAGAGCAGTCCTGTCCTTAATAGTTTTCTTAGAGACAGGGTCAAAGATGCCAATGCGGTTGAAGTCCGAGACCCTAGCGGCACACGCAATAGCCTTCTTTGCGTCTTCAACGGTAGCATCTTCGGTCAGCTCAACCGAGGGGGGAAGTCCCTTGAGGCCCTTCCGTGACCGGTTGGTGACTTTTAGCGACAAGCCTCCCATATTATAACAGACGATCACGAAACCAAATCCAGTTCAATTGAACTAGCAAAGATAGTATCTAACTCCTAAAAGAAGGGGTTGGAGACCGGGCGGGTTTAGTTAGGCCGGTAAGGAAGAAGATGAAGTGTTATTTAGACTTTTTTGTGGGAAATTTGTTGAGTGGTTCGGGCAGCTGCATTAGAGCTGAACACCGAGGTAACACATTGACGTATTACGCCGTTTGATACTTGCTTTTTTATTTTTTTATTTTTTTTATTTTTTTTTACTTTTTCAAGGGTTATATGATAAGAATATTACGATAAGAGCTACTTGCCGAGGCTTGACAGCACATATACATACCTATATATACACTTTAAAATATTATCATGATAATTAGTGAGATATTGTGAGACAGTTATGCATATTTACCAAAGTTATTTGAGGTACGGTAATGATTATGGAAGCAGAGTTACACCGTACTATGTACCTATGTATGTAGGTACAATGTTGTCGATACCGGGATAATGGATGTGACGTCTTGGTATTATGCAGTTATCAATTAAAAATTATACTTCAGCCACGGACTTTACGAAGAGATATATGTATTTATCCATCATCGCCCCTCCAACTTGTCTTGTCGTAAGACGTCAACAATAAATAGTTCCGTACTCCCGCCTCTCGCTATTGAGTTCAAGTTCAAGTTCATTAACCTTGACCAATGTCATTGTTTCAATGTTGTTCAAGTCCGCGGGACTTAGTACTCCCATAATCCCTATGAAAACATATTATATTCGAATATGCCACCGCCCAACACTCCGGAAGAAGGGCTAATAGCTACCACCGCAACCCTCGCTCTCCGACCTTTAATGAGTGGTGATCCTACCGCTACTACCCTAGATCTCCGAGCCCTTGAATACGAAGATAGCGTTGACGAGAACCTCATATGTCCCATATGCCGAGTCCCATTTATCTCTCCGGTTATTACAAATTGTGATCATGTCTTCTGCCATAGATGCATCGTTCAAGCCCACGCTCTAAATCCCGTCTGCCCTGTTGACAGACTTCCTTTAAAGCTCGTGTCCGAGACACGACCCGCGCCGAAGATCGTCCATAATCAGCTTGATAATCTATCTGTCAAGTGCCCCAATAGTTCCCGTGGCTGTGATCTCATAGTTTCTCGATCCTTAGTCGAAAATCACGTTGCGCGGTATTGTGATAAGACGCTCGTACCATGCCCGCACCCGTCCTGCAATAAGTCAGTAATCCGAAAGGATATAGGGAAAGGATGTCTCCACTACGATGTTAAATGCGAATACTGCGAGCAGGTAAGGCAGAAGGCGGATCTAGAAGAACACCAAGACACCGAATGTCCGAATCGCAAGACGGAATGTGCGTTGTGTAATATTGAATATGTACGGCACAAGCAGGAGGAACATTCAAAAGAGTGCCCCGAAGCCCAAACTAGCTGCAAGTTTGCCTTATTTGGCTGTGAGCAACTCGTCAAGCGGTGGCAGCTGGAGGATCACGCACTCAAGTGCGCATATCGAGTTGTTGGGCCTGTAGGAGAGCAGTTGGCCGAACTTCGAGCCGAACTTAACACTCTCCAGGAGAGAGATCGACTAAAAGATCGACGAATCAAGTTCCTCGAGAACCGAGGATTTCCGCTGCCGACACCGACCTCGTCAGAGCCCATGTCGGATATCAATTTACCAGAGAACAGCTCAACCCACGAGGACAGCGCACCTTACGAGTCTCGAGATCAGTATTTCTTATCCTTATTCGAGGCCATGGAGTCCAAGGTTGAGCGCCTTTCTACTGCGCTTAACGAAGTCGAAGGACGACATTCGATGATGCTTTTTAATGAGAGCTCGCAGATCAAGGACCAGCTTACCGAGATTCGGAGCACTATGGGCGTGCTCGGGATGCATGTTAGGTGGCTCATGAACTTCAGATTGCAAGAGAGAGGTAGGGCTGGGACATCCTCCCCGGCCATGCCAAACTCCTTCTCTGGCAACCAGGCGAACATTATTGACGACAATATATCCCGACGTATGATTGTTAACTTACGAGAGCACCCGCCTCGGTTATAGGAAACTATAATAGTTCTTGTATCCTTAAGATGAACGAATTTTGGGTCACTTGAATTACTTTACAGATATCTGAAGAGGTTGTCTTATATTCGTGGAATAGTTCGGGTGGTGTTTCAAGCCCAAGGAGAATAATGTTTGGAGTGTTATGGTATCAACAGCGCAGCAATTCAATGGGACGGAGTTTGTTATGTATAATTTACTCTCAATTTGGTACCAGGGTTTAAACCAATCATACGTCTCGTCATCTACCTTTTCGTCTTCTGGTCTACCCGCTATATCCATGCTAGCATCCCTCTTCCACGAAGACACCATACCGACTGAGATGTTATGGATTTCAGACACGCACGACCCTTGCTATCCCTTATAAGAGACCCATCCTTATGTGGAATCTCTCGCTTCGCCAGAGACAAACTAATGCTAGTAGCCGTTCCCAAGGAAACGAAGGGGTCTCGTTCCCATTAGGAAATCCCTTATGAGAGAGAGGCCGGCGATCAGGGGTCCAAGGGTAGTAAAAATGAAGACCAAGAACAACGTGATGTCGTAAAGGCATAAAGCGAGCAAAATAACGACGTTAAAAAAGCAAAAGAGAAACGAACAAATTCCGTCGAGAAGGATATTTATGATGATACTAGAGAGGACTATTATGATAGCCAGGGAGATTTGAAGGATGACCTTGACGAGCTCGGTGAACACTACCACGATAAATGTCAAGACCAGGATTGTTGAGAGGGGTTTTAAGGAAGGTATCCTACCGGTGTTGAAAGATTGTTATTAGAGGGTTTGGCCTCGTTGAATTAGCGTCGGACCGAACTTTTTTTTTGGGCTGTGGTGTTGTACCTTGGTTTGACTAAATAGGAAAGATGAGCAAATGGATTGATTTTAGTATCATGAAGATATATATACTCAGGATACCAGTCACATCCTCAGATTTCTATATTCACTCGTCAGGGTTTTCTCCATTGAATTTTCCTTAGTCCAACAGCAGTCGAATCATTGTTGATGTCATGTATCTGAAGCTAAACGCCCCTTTAGCAAAAATGACGGGTGGTATAATAACATTACTCTAAATTTCTATCGAATCACTTCTCCGGCCGCTCTTCAGAAAGTCGAGAAAGTGACCGCACCCGCCTCAGCTTAGACAGCAGCAACAGTTGTTTCTTCCACTTCCAATTGAGGGAACAATTGTGCCTCTTCTATCCTCGACATTCTACGTAATTTTTGGCTTATATACAACTCAGACATGCTCCCCCATGGCCATTCGGTCTGGGGTGGCACCTCTCCAACAAAATCCGGATGATCTTGGTCGAATAGTGGACGAAGAAGCGGCCCAAATCGGGTTTGCAACTCTGAACGATGATGCGCGTTGGTGAGGACGCCTAATTCTAGAATATAGTCTATAACATGTTGTAAGATATGGCTTTGATCTGGGAACCAAATTGAAACCAACGCTCTTAAGTCAATAGCATAACCATGATTGCTGATAATTCTAAATGTTTGTGGGGATGCGTCAAGTAGCGGAATGTTTCGATTCCGTAGTCGCGTCTTCTCTATTAACGGACATTTTGATTCGAACTGTGCCTTTAAAAGATACTGATTCGGGTTCGTCTTTGATTCACGAACATAAATACCTCTACTTATCACGATAGTAAACCTTGGGTTTACACCATGATAGAGCATGAATGCGAGGACAGCCAGAATTGGTGCATCCCAAGTGCACCAAGCTGTAAGAAGCCAGTGAAACTCGGGTACAGTACTACGATCCAACTTAGAATCGGGAGAAGCACCCCGGTCAAAGAAGGTCTGAAGTACTCTGATGTCGTTGAATATTTTGTCCCAGTTCTTAGGCTCACCCCATTTAATACCAAACAAACACGAGGAAACACATAATTCTACCAATTTGGAGTCTGTATCTTTTCCTGGGGGAAGGTTTTCGTAGCCCCCAACCAACATGCAAAGTATAATGATAGCATTCTCAGGAGGACATCGAGTTTTCCTCTGACCCCGCGTGAGCAACACACACTGGCGGGTTCCCGAGCTGGCTACTGTGCGGTAGATGTCATCTAAGAATTGACTGAAGTGCGGATGAGCCCAGTGTCCATCACGATCGATTTGTCGGTACATAATCCACATCATATCTCCGTGGAAACTTGGGCGACGGAAGAGATGCCTTGTATTCCTAGCAATATGGCCCCAGCCGCTGGGGCTTTTAGAAGAAGGTATCATGATGGAGAAATAGGACACGGGGAGACGGATACGCTTGAGCTGGCCCAAATATGTCTGGCAAAGTGCATCAAAGGGATCAAATTCTTTCAACACAGACTCTATCTGGTCCCTAAAATGTTGGCTTTCTAAGAACTCTGCGATAGACCGATGTATAAGGCAAACCATCCCTCCTAGTATATTCGAGCATTTAGTACGAGAGTAAGGCTTGCGTAGTTCGAGAAATCCTTTGCATACACCATACACCCGTCTTTCGCTTCTTTCCAATTTTTCTCTGTGCTCTGAAGTCGTTAATAGTCTAATAGGCCAGTCTATTGCAAAGTTCCGGTTCTCGATATACTCCTCTAGGAACGAGTATTGCATCAGGCAGATTTGGTTACCATTTGTAGTTACGAAGTGAGCCAGCGAGAGCATGCTATATGCTAGTTTTCGGTTATTGGTAAGAATTGAGTCTAGGAGTTGTTTCAGCACTAAAATGAGAGTTAGTATCTGCCACCATGGTAATAGTAGTAACGGAATCATGTTTCATAAAGCCGGTACTTACTAGGCTCAAGATCGGTTGGAAGAGACTTAACAAGCCTTATGAGGTCTTGTATCCGGTCACCGTCTGCAATTCCATTTTCGATGTGCCGAAGAACAAGAGATACCCATAAGAAGACACCGTCTGAATCCCTAACAATGTCGCCTTCCAAATCCGTGGTCTTATATGTGTTCGATGATTCATCATTATCATTCAGGATATCAGCATTTCTCACGAGAACATCAAGATTCATCCTGCGAAGTCGGTCTCTGACGAATCGCTGGATATCAAACTCCGTAACCTCGTGCAGTCGGATTCTAGGATAATTCTTAAAAGCGTCTTGAAATATTGGCCATTCCCGGCTTGAGATACAGAGCTTTACGTTCTGTGTTCCATTAGTCCACTTAACCAATTGCCTGGCCAAGTCTGCATGGTGCCCTTCGAACTCGTCAAGGCCATCTATAAAAAGCACAAACTTATGCTGTCCATAAGTCTGTTTTCCTATGAGCCTCTCAAATGCTTGTTGACATTCACGATGTTCAATGTGAATGTTTTCTCTTTCCCATTGCTCTGGGAACGCAAGGTGTATAAGTTCAGGGCATTCCGAGAGGAGGCAATAGAGTAACCCTCGAATTAAGCCATTGAGATTTTTCTGCAGAGCAGACCCCGGCTTCCAAAAAAAGAATTTACTTAACACAAGCTTCTTTCCGTCCGCCCAGACTTCTAAGTGATCCTGTGTTTTGCAATGCTGAACAAGGTATTTCATCAGTGTCGATTTCCCAGAACCTGGCTTGCCCGAGATGTGAAATATTCCTATGCCTTCTTTGAGCTAAGTAATAAAGATATCCCTGGCTTCAGTCATGATACCCCATTGTGCTTTAGGTATTTCCGCCACGCTTGGAATAGCGGATGGTGATAACTCTAAAGCATATAAAAAACTGTTTAAATCTTCGATATGGTTTTCACTTTCCATTATGGACCATGTAACGTCCATGACCCAACCAGAGCCAGAGCTCGAACAATTACTTGGTTGCTCTTCTTGAAGGGCAAGGAAAAAATCATGGTCACACTCTTGGGCAATATATACCGGTCCTGTGATATCACTATTAAGTGTTGGCTTGATAGAACCCGCTTTGCTAGCTTTATTTGACCGTTGTGAGGTATAGCTTAGACTTCGACGACTTTCATTATTAATATTGTTATCACTCTGGTCTTTTGGGTATTCGTAATTGTCACCACTCATTTCGGGTTTAGTTCCGTCGTCTTCAGCTACATTAGTGGTACCAATGTCGAAAATCCAGTCGAAGGTTTTCTCATGAGCTTCTCCGATATCGTCGAACCTTTCATTCATCCATTGAAAGTATGAAGCATCTAGAACACCAGCCTGGCGTGTTTTCAAGATGGCCTCATCACTTAATTGAACTGATGACCGGATCTGGCCCAATGCTTCGGTACTAAGGCAAGAGACGTTGGTACCTTGACGTAGAGATTCGATGTTCCTACTAAGCGACCGTAACTCATCTTGACTAGCTTGGCCACTTTTGACAAGCTGATCGAGGTGTTTGAGTGAGTCGGATCTACGTTACATCGGTTAGAAATGTATAGAATATTTGTTAAAGGTTCCTCTTACTTCATCGAGCTGAGAAGTTCCAATCCTAGCTGCTGTTTACAACGATCTAATCTCTTTTCCAACTCGGACTTTTGGCCACTCTTCCGCCAGTTGCGTACTGCAGCTTTGAATGCATGTCGCCTAGAGTTTGGGTCTTTAGTCTTCAGCTTATCGAGCAACTTCATGAGTTCCACCGACGCAATTTCGCACTCGGTAGCAATGCCATAAAGAGCGGTATTCTGCTGCGAAGAAGAACCAATTTGCTTGACCCCTTTCAACTCGGCAGTGAGTTGTTGGAGCCGTCCTGTCATGGAAGATAAATCTTCATTATCTGCACTAGCGCCTGACTTTGACTCGTAGATATTCTTGGCCGCGGAAATTAGTTTGAATCCGAAGTCTACAAAAGCGATAATGTTGCCCGCGAGGCCAATTGCCGCGAATGGGTCCATGTCGCTAATGAATTTAGGTGTGATAGATGAGAGTAGACAACGAGGTTGTTGAAAATTGGTGTAAATGGGGGTGAAAACCTGAAATTGAAACCGAACAAAATGGGGTATACCCAAGCACAGCCTCAGAGCCTACTTCCCTGTGACAGCCACTGTATCGTTGAGCGAATCGTCGTTATTTATCAGATAGTGTTACACAAACCTGCTATTGGATATGTTCACTATGATGAGCCTAGCAGTCTGCCTACAGTATTACAATAACAATACCACCCAATATGATGTATTTAATAGTGGAATAAACAATATAAAGTTATTCGGAGAAGGCGTCAATTTCAATATATGGCTTTACAATGACTCGTAAGATATGAATATACATGACCCCTTTCTAACTAACTCACAAATCATAGGCCAGGTACGAACCCTTCGACTTGAGCATTCCATCCCTTAGGGAACTGCGCCCCAGGTTCACCGTCCCAGCCCCCCGCCATCATAGCCATAGCTAACAAGAATGAACTCGAGCCCGGGAAATAGGGGGTCGGCACCCGCGATCCTCCAACGGGATACCCCGCATCGTCGAATTCGAAAAGGGGGTGAAGAAGATACGCCATTGCCTGATCAATGTCCCCGAGGCGAAGAGAGTTCACTACATTGATTTAAATAAGCGTCTGGAAGATGATATAGGGGCTTAGCTTAGGGCAACTTACTAGCCAGCATCGGAAAATCCCAACCCCAGCAGTCCTCTAAGTCCCAGAGATCCCGAATCTTATCTGCTGTGTTCTTCACGACCGTCATGTTTAGAGGCGGCCCGCTACTCGGCGGGGGGAGCAGGCCGAATATTGCAGACAATGCCGGATGATCTTGGACAGTGGTGCCGTTCCACATGTTCGGAATACCCTCGTACACAGCGAATGCGTCATCTGCGATAGGTAGTGGCGCTAGATTATTTCGTATGTCGACCCATTTACGAGGCGCTGTCTGATTTTGTCTTTGTTTCCATTTTATAGCGACGTCCAAGCCGAACCGCCAGTAAGCTAGTTCGAACGCAGGGTTAATCGTCGCATTTGGGTTGGTGTTCTCTGAGACCGGGTACATAGGTGGTCCTAGATCGCAGAGGGCAGTCGATTCATTGAAGAAGGCGTATGATGCCATGAAGTCGGCGGTAGACGTAAGAATCTTGTCCCAGGATTTTAATGTTGTCTCGTTGGGGAAAGACCTGTACTCGATCTCAGCGAAGTACATCGGGTGAGGCTGCTGCCAGATAAGCAGCGAGTTGATTTCTCCAGGGGCTGACCTTCCAGTAGGATCGGTCATCTTACCCCAGCGAGCACCGTCGTAGTGTTGGAGTGTCGCTCGCTCGATTGACGAATCCAAGTATTCGGAATACATATTTGGAAGGCTACGCCATAGCAACGGAAACTGATTCCATCGAGCGAAGTGGAGGAGATGCCATAGTGTCATCTCAAGCTGTTTAGGTAAGTCAGCATTTAATACGTCTAGGTCATTCTTCAAGTAGGTTGCAATGGCTCATAAAACTTACATGAAACTTGCCATACCATCCGTTATTTACCAAGCCTTTAAACCATCAGTATGAATGAAATTATCTTATCTATTACGAAGAGAGCATAAAAAGAGGGACACGCTTCTCTTACCAGATTCTATCCCAACGTTAGCGAAAGTAATACTTGGACCTGGGACACTTACCTTGTGGCGGATATGAGGAAGCCGAGTTAACAGCTGTAAGATATTGAGATAATATCGTTCTCCGTTGTAACTCTGTAGCATTGGGAGAATCGACTCCCGTCAAATCAATGAAAGCACCAGAGTTCCAGAAAGACTCCCACCAAGATGTAGATGCAGACGTAACATCACCGAAAGACGGTATATGTGTGCTCGGAACCAGAGAAAAAGCTACTGATAACTTAACTCTCTTAGTTTCCTGTGATGGATGTAGTACATAACGATGAGTCCCCTTAATCGGCCCGGAAATTTCAGCAGGAGAATCCCACGAAATCGAAACATAATACGAAGCGTCATCAATATCGTGCCGAATAGCTGCTTTGTTTTCTCCGCGTTGTAGCGTAGTGTTATGTTTATCGGTAGCGTTGAAAACACCAACAAAAGGGGCGTCAAACTTGTTCCGCGTCGGTAGAGGAAAGTCGAAGAATATGCCTAGAGATTCTGTACAGAAGAGTTCCGACTCTATGGAAATGCTGACTGTGTCGGAACTTGTATCTGCCCATGTCTCGATATCAACAGGGGCTTTGTTATAAGTAAAAGAAGATGAGATTTTTCCCGTCCAGAGGTCGAGTATCTGAGACTTATCTTCTAGTAGTTCCTCGGTCACATCATCTCTGTCAAACCAGAGCCCAATCGTCCCTAAGTTGATACGTTGGGGATTCTGGATGAGCCAGTTCGATATTTCGCTCTGTGCTGGGTTGGGCTGGTTGTAGTTGACTAGTCGACCATGGGTATACCAATCCACGCCCATAAAGTCTAGACTACATTAGAGTAGAGTTGTCGTCCTGGGATTGACTTGATACTTACCATCTATCGAAGTCTGACCAGCAGTGGTTGGAAGACTGAAGTTATGCCAACCCCAAGTAGACATTGTCGCGAAGGGGCTGAAAGTTTGAAGACCTGTTACGTCGGCCCCAAACGCGAAGTTGCCGTTGCCAACTTGCAAGGGGGTAGTCTTAGAGCTAGCATTGCGATGAGGATTAAATGATCGAACAACTTTACGTCTGTTAATCTCGCAAGTAGCTGGGAGGCCCTGGAGGACTACTAGTAAGAGTACAAAGATGTGTCTTAACATCATTACAATGCACGACAAGAACTATACTCGTAGGAAGATATCAATTAACTATCATAGAAAAAAGAATCTATATATACCTACCTATAGATGTACCCATCATAGGTACCATGCTGTCACTAAGTATAGTACATAAATTATAGCTCATTAATAACACCATACCGAGGCTTTACAAGAGCTCTGCTGTAACCACTGGTGGAGACTCCAATTACCCGGATCTCTCTAAATCCTGGAGAAGCACAAGGGATTCCCATTTGCGGGGTCTAGCTTGACTAGTTCTCGTGGCTTTTCGGTGAGTTAATAGCCCGATGGCAGACTATCGTATACGTGAGCGAGAAATGGATAGGCAAGTGTCAAAAGGCTCTTGGCCTTTGTTATTTAGAGAGAAGAGTTGCGATTGTGTAAAATAAGAGGTACTTGAGGCTTTGAAAGCTACGATATCACTAATTATAGATAGTCAACTAGCGGATTGAAACGAATATAAGATGGTAAGCTTAGAGGTAGACATTTTATTAAATAAGAAGAAATATGGTGCAGGATGCTGAGTTGATGTAAGAGACAGGCCTATTTTTTTTGCTGCTGTAATACTCCAAGTAAAAGGCTATCATATCTGGTAGGGAATGGAATTTTAAAGCTTAAGATGAGGTCAGAAGATTTGAAGGAAAGCGTTTACCCAGGAAGCTGGCAGTAGCAGGGAACCCCTGCGTCAGATCAATGTGGAAATGTGGAGGGGACGAGGGGACGAATGCCCGCCGGCATTGAAATGGTCCGTGCACAGCATAGCAACCAAGCAACCAAGCAAAACATCCCCAATTCATTTACATATATCAATGCCATCGTCAAACACAACTTTACTGTTACAACAGACACAGACACAAACATACAATTACTTATAGTCACTGTACTACACTGCGCTTTTAACTAAACACTCGTAAACACCATATAGCAAGGTAAGTCCATGCTTATTTACCAGATTCCTCGTGTACCTTATCTACCGCACAACCGCACAACCGCATCGAGCCCCGCTAACACGAACGTAATGGCGCAGTCGATAGAACAACCGAGCTTCAATTCCCCCCTGCGAATTATCGGGGAAAAGATGACTTCCTTCGTCACCACCGTGTAAGTCAATGCTAAGCCAGCCATCCATACCATTCATGCTCATATATATACATCAACCTCGTTCCCACTAACCAAAAAAACAAAACACAGAAACCAGCGCGCGCGCAACCAATTCCGCGCCCGCGGCGGCAAGGGCGGCAACACAAGCTACCAGCTACGCCAATACGCCGAAGCCACCCTCGGCGGCGGCAGCCTGCGCAAGGTCGTCAAGCTACCGGAAGGCGAAGACGAGAACGAGTGGCTAGCGGTGAACATGGTGGACTTCTACAACCAGGTGAACCTTCTATACGGCGCCATTACCGAGTTCTGCTCGCCGCAGTCGTGCCCGGAGATGAAAGCGACGGACGAGTTCGAATACCTATGGCAGGACGGCGAGACGTACAAGCGGCCCACCAAGATGGCCGCCCCGGACTACATCGAGCAGCTCATGTCGTGGGTCCAGGCGTCCATCGACAACGAGTCCGTCCTCCCCTCCCGCATCGGCGTCCCCTTCCCCAAGTCCTTCCCCGCCCTCGTCCGCCAGATCTTCAAGCGCATGTACCGCGTCTACGCCCACATCTACTGCCACCACTACCCCGTCATCCGCGAGCTCGGCCTCGAGCCTCACCTCAACACCTCCTTCAAGCAGTACGTCCTCTTCATCGACGAGCATAACCTCGCCACTGGCAAGGACTTCTGGGGGCCTCTCGGTGACCTCGTCGAGAGCATGCTGCGTAGCGATTGAGTTGGTTTGAAGTCTCAAGGAGTTTTAGGAGATCATGAATGATGGGTAGATGCGTCGATGATGATGCCTGCGCGGAGGTAGAATAGTAGTCATATTGCATCTTTTTCAGGCTTGGCGTTTAGGGGGAACATCAGACTACAACGTTGCTTTGCTAAGGATACATAGATTAAAGGGTAATTCGCTGTTCGCAGCACAGGCTGTGATACTGTCACATGGAATGACTATCATTCGGCCGTTGCACTTGTATACTATTGGCTGTGAGTCGTGCCGGAGTTATGCGTGGCAGGGAGTATCCGATCGGAGCATCATATCACTTTGATTCTGTCGTGGCATGGATAACGTGCATTTATTGATTTATACATGCTAAAATCGTCCTGTGTGTCCCCTTGGAAATGATGTGCTATTCCAGTCATAGTTCCCGGGACTTGTTGTAAGATTTGTCCGCCAAATATGTTGCCTAGCTGTCCCCTTTTCAGGTTACCATGCTAATCTAGGGCGTTACATGACCCTTACCAACGCCATATCAAATATGTTTTGTCGTACTAAAGTATCGTACGATAACTAATTAACCCGTCACGAGTACCTATTCCTTGAGAGCGTTGATTCGCTTTTTGAAGAATTCAAACGCTGAAAAGAACACTGCATTTACGGCCGCAGATCGACCCATAGACACACCAAGTCCGCGATACATATCCCGTCTGAAAAACTGTATCTTCGGGACGGGCACTTTCTGGCCCTTGGAATACATCAGTGCATTCCGCTGATAGATGCTCTTGACGGAATCGATAGGGTCTAGAAAGGAGTTAGCTCGAAATTGTCAAACTGACGTAGGAGGTACACACAAATCAAAGCCCACGATACTATGCCACACAGAGCTCCAGCGGCAAGGACGGCAACAGGATTCTTATGTGCATCCTTCCCGCTGAAAGTCGTTAACAGCTGTTTGCTGCTTTCATATGTGGCAAAATAGATGCCCGTTCCGAGGGTATCTCTCACTATAGCTGTGTTAACTAGTGGTGTAGATTATTCTTTAATGGGAGCCGTCTTACATAAATGTAGGTTTAATCCGGTGTACATTCCACTAAAGCCTCTATGCTTAACTATGTTGGCAAGAGTCTTAAAAGTTCCCTTATTATGATAACTGAGAGCAATGGCTTGCCGCTGCGGATCTCCATTCTTCTGCTTCGCCATAAGAACCGACACTTGAGCGCTGAGTTTAGTTAACTCGAAAGGACCTGATTTTGCGTCCGTCAGTTCTGGTTTGAGTCGCATCTCTGGAGTTACTGGGTTGTCTTACATGCAATAAAAGTGATACCGGAGCCAGCTGTGGCTCCAGCAGCCCCGAAGCAAGCAATAGTACCTAAATTCGGGTATGCGCCATTCTTATTCACATGTTCGAGAGGACAGAAGCCGACGTGCTTCTTCATCCAGTCGGAATAAACGTATTTAGAGCGTTGGTAGATGGAGAAAGAAATGGTTCGTACAAGAGTAACACTGGCTAGGGGAGCAGTTACACCTACATGGCAGCGTGGCGTTAGCTATATCGTCGTTGGCGGAAGGATGTCCACGAGCTTCGTGGTACGCCCGATATCGAGTCACATACCTCGAAAGAAACCTCGAATACCCTCCGAATTGTACGTGACGCGTACACAGTCCAAAGCACCGGCATAGGGATATGTCTGCAAACGAGTCTTTACACTATCGAGAGGAAAAGCAGTGACAGTCGACATAACACTAGAGATGCTCGCAGCCGTCTCCGTTCGGTAACGTTTTATCCACCTCCGTGGTTTTTCACTTCCGCCATTGAGCTGAGGCATGGTCCGAGTCCGGATCGTGGAGCTGGTGACATCTTGGAAATTGGACTCAGCTGGCATGGCTCACTTGTTTAGCAGCAGAAGCTATATTGCGGGGGAAGCTTCAGACAATGGCCTCGTAATGAGGACCAGAGTCATCGGCGTGGTCGCGATACAATAGCGTCTCCTGCTAGCAAGAGATATGCCATCAAGATCCCGAACTACGAGGACTCGATGGGTTTTTAGGATGCGGGGTCGAAGGAGTCGATCGCTGAGAAAAGAGAGATTGAAAGGTATGGGTTTTAATAGTTTAAAGTTGTAGTCTAAAGACAAATTGCTAAAGACAAATGTTAAAATATTGTAGAAGTATTGTATTTCATCTACGCACAACACGGAGATAATGTGTATGATGATGTGTATAGAAGTAGAGCTGATAGCCGTCTACGTACTGTAAACAGGCCAATTGAGCTTGAGGAAGCTAAGATTTGTCCAAAGTCTGCTTCTCTGCGGGGTTTGCGCAAGCATACAAAGGATGATATTGGACCCCGGAAGTTTACGTAGTTGTAGATTGTATGGATAGGATTGAGAAGCTGGGCGGGAACAAGAAGTTGAAATGGAGGCTAGGGTCTTTGGGGGGGGGGAGAAAGAGGGTAGGGGGTTATGTACATACAACTACAAGGTACTTCCTAGTGTGTATAGACCCCATGCATGATGTGTGGATACGTAACTTAAATACTAAAACAAGCTAGTCCAGTAAAAGAACGGCTAGAGGAGGGGAAATCGACTGAGAGTTGGACGGTTGTTGAAGTCATCAGTTACATAGAAGAATAATGGTCCGACATAGCTGCATAGGTAGTATAATACCTATAATTCTCCACTAATCCCTTAAATCAGTAACTGCCCAGGTGTCTACATACATACAACTTATGTACCCCGTATGGTTATGTGTATACATGTGTAACACTCATTGCCAATGACGATCTTCTTCATGGCCGCAGCTCTTTGTCTTATCCGTACGAATTCAGTTGATCGTCCGCTATGACCTCGACTGCCTTTTACCCCGATACACTTCTTCCTCTATAGGCAGCTGTCCTGCTGTCCTATGCAGGTTCGAAATAGCTGATATATGGTTGGTCGACGAAACGGAAAAGTTGGAGTTAATCACCTTAATGAATGCGAAAGATCCAAGCCCATATCCTCCACCGGGATAGAATGCTATTTAACCAGTGTTTCAAGCCAATTGTCTCGAGCATAGAAAGCCATCATATTTAAGCACGGAAATTTCGCGGTTCGTTTTGTCGTCTATTCGCCATATCCGCGTGATGAGGACCCTGACTCAGGCCCTTAAATTCGGAGCACTTAAGCTTCTGCATGCAACCCCTCGAAGCTTGCTCCTAAATTGACTACAGCCACGTTTTCGTATAGGCCGGATACTCTTCGTGAGGGGCGCATATCAAATGTGACATGCTTATTGTTTAGATTGGCGCGGAGGCCTCATGTCCATTTTGGAGTTAAGTGTGAGTATCGGAGCGTCGCTGGCTAGATTCTGTACAAGGCCAATTGGGGAGACTAGCAAGACATGAATATCTGCCGAGGACCTTGAGTAATGTAATGGAACCGAACGTGGCAGTATATACTGACTGCACATAGAAGTTAAGAACTTGATGACCACGCAACGAGGCTAGAAAGTGTATATGTTCGTGCGTTATCCTATCGTAAGCACAAACCCATGGACTTGTTAAGCATAGCGATAGTCATGTCATAATGCTTATAGGCCGTTTTTTGAATAAAATTCTCTAATTCGGTTCGTTTCCTAAGAGCTAGTTAGCTATCGATAGAATGAATACCAGAGGGGGTAGCTTTACTTAGGCGCATGCATTGAATGCTCAACCATTTTCCAGGGCATCCGAGAATCATAGTGTCGGTAGTAGGCTACTACTAAGAGATTTTTGAGGATATTATGTTCTAACCCACGAGTCCTAGCAGCAGCTTCAAGAAAACGCAAGGTCCTAGCTGTGTTTCGAGGATCAAACTTGGCCCTCTCGTCACGGAATGCCGCTCTCAGTTGGTCTCGAGCTATATAGCGAGCTGGTTTTGAAAATTGCACAGCATGAAGGAGCCCGCGATATAGATGACGGTATGCATGGATGACTTTGAGATCAGCCATTGTTGAAATTCGTCAGAATCTACGTCCTTCGGCAGTGATGATCGATTATTTGGCATAGCAAGTTTTATTCTATTACTTTCAATTATTGCTGCACGATTGCGCATTTGCGTAGCCCAAAAAAAAAAAAGTATGCACTGTGCCAAGACGTCCTATCAGCCGCTGCCGAGGCCAGGTTATTGACATACATGTACTTTACTAACGCGGTACATATACCTTAATATTGTAGTTTTTATGTATATGTACGTTTAAATCATGCTATAATATACATAAATATACTAATTCAATAGACGCGGTAGTGTGGTAATGAAACGGGGTATATCGCTGTGCTAGGGCTGCTAGGAAACGTTAAATCGTTCAATCGTTAAATCGATTGAATGCCATGTTTCGATCGGATCAACGATCCACTTTGATGTCACTGTCTTCCACTCAAACAATCCAATCGTCGCGAATACCGTCCCTTGGCTTGCCCAGAAGGCCGTTCATCCCAAGCATCCAGACGGGATATCTTGTTATGCATACAACTCTTGTATCATTTTTGGTTTCTTCCCATCTCTATTATACCTACGATTTGTAATTGTTCTTCTTTTATTTTTTGTTTTATTCGTATCCCGGCGAGTTTGACAATGACAAGTCTTCGTAACTAAATTCCGATCGCAGTCTCCATCTCCCTTTTCTGATGGCGTCGCTCGTTACCGACTTTCTTGTCAACCCGGTCATACGACAAGCAAGACGGTTCTCACGATCATCAGGTAACCATACCACTTCCAACTCCGTCTCGCCTACCGAAACACCTATCGAACACAAAGAATGCCAAGACGATGCTATATCAGAGACAGAAGAAGATTCATACTTAGACGACGAAGTAGATGAGAGCATACCGTCGTCTCCCTCATCACGGAGCTCCGTCCACCCAAACCCACATAATGAAGTAGCTGACCTGGATGAGAACATCGCCCAGTTCAATACCATAAATCGTACCATCGCCCGCAACCCCGATACGCATCTCTGCGACCATGACATTCAAAATCTCGACACACATCTTAGTTCGACGTCTATAAGTGGTTCCACTATGGCAGCAGATAGACTGTTATCACCTGCCGATATTTCTTCAAGGATAGAACGAAGAAAATCTTTACCCGAAGATGATGGGATGAGTTCATTGAGGAAACGTGTATTTGCCATCCAAGCACGAGATATTGAACCAGTCGAGAAAGCCCGTTTAATGCACCAGCTTCTAATAGAAGGTTACACGAAATCAAGAAAGGTTGTCCTAGCAGAACGACCCATAACGCCCTCTAGCCCCACAACTTCAGAACAGCGACGATCCCAAGGTCCTCTAGAATCCTTTAAATTCTGGCAGAATACATCAGAGGAGACGGTAACACTCGAGGAATTTGATTTGACACCCGAGGATCTTCAGCCTACATTTGCGCCACCGAAGGAAATATCAGAAGAATCTGGTGAATATGCAGAAGACCCTGAAGACGATCGACATCTCGGTTGCGAGCATTATAGGCGAAATGTTAAACTACAATGCTCCACATGTAATCGGTGGTACACATGTCGTTTCTGCCATGACAAGGTAGAGGATCACATTCTGATCAGAAAAGATACTAGAAACATGTTGTGTATGTATTGCGGCACTGCCCAAAGGGCTAACGATGTTTGTATGTCGTGCGGAATCTCAGCCGCTCGCTATTACTGCAATATATGCAAATTATGGAACGACGATCCGGACAAGCCTGTCTACCACTGTAATGACTGTGGTATCTGCAGGATTGGAAGGGGGATCGGTAAAGACTTCTTCCATTGCAAGGTGAGATAACTAGTTCCAAGTTGACGTTATATTTGTGCTGATCAGCTAAATCAGACTTGCTGCGCTTGCATCGCCATAGGCCAGGAGAAGGACCACAAGTGCATCGAGAGGTCCATCGACTGCGACTGTCCTATTTGCGGCGACTATATGTTTACTTCTCCTAAGGCTGTATGCTTTATGAAATGTGGACATAGTATTCATCGTCAGTGTCATGATGAACACATGAAAGTTGCTTATAAATGCCCGATATGCAACAGGAGCCTAGCAAACATGGAGTTGCGATTTCGGAATATTGATATCGCAATCGAAACGCAGCCCATGCCACCCGAGTTTCGGGACACGCGAGCGTTGATTCTATGCAACGACTGTTCTACCAAGAGCACAGTCAAATACCATTGGCTAGGTTTAAAGTGTGGCCTCTGTGCCTCTTATAATACCGCACAACTTCAGATACTTGGCATGGCAGACGAGGCAATCGAAACTGACCTGCTTGGGCGAGAAATAGCATTCTCCGAGCTAACAGCTTTACGAGGTATTGCAGAAGGGGTTGATGGTGCTCGGGCTCGTGACATAAGGAGGCGTCATTCGTCTACTGTCGCGCGGTCGACAATCAACCAATCCATCATGGAGTCGGATTACCCCGATAGACTTGCGCGCTCTGTGTCTCCACCTGCTGGTCTAGCGGCTTGGAATGCTCTTGCGGGGCACTCTCTCGTGGAAGCTGATGACGAGGATAGAGAGGATATATTGGGATTTTGGAGTCGGCTTCCTCGTAGTATAACTTCGGACGATGATGAGGACGACGCAGATGATTCCGAAGGTGAATCTATATCGTCTTCAGAAGACGAGGATGAGGAGGACGAAGAAGGAGACGATGATGAGATAGATGACTTTGAACTGCTTGGGCACCGCTAAACATGACGGATTGGGGTCGTATGTGGTGGCTTAGGATTGACATTGGGATGGCGTTCAGGTATGGGGGCATTGAGCGCATAACGAAATTCCAGCAGGGTTTGGGCAAAATTAGTTGGTATCCAGTATACAACAACGGTTGGGCATGCAAATTGGTATATTAGATGGGTATAGAGGAAGGAAGTGGTATTCTGTCTCATCCATCCAGGTGCCCGTAAACCTTGGGAGAATGTTCATGACTACGTATATATTGCATATAAACACACTCAAAAATACGTCATTGTTCTATAAGTGTAGCTAGTGAATACGAGTAAAACTCCGAACTCCTTGGCTATGCGGGATACCTAAAGGGCGGACTTTGTCTCAGAATGGGTCGTATCACAAATCTCATCGACCAGTGCTTTGCGCGAAATCTGCCTTTTGCGCCTCCTTGCGTAGAAATTGGACAACGTTCTATATATAATAAATTGCAAATTAGTTCTCTGGTTTTAAGGTTTATGTGTATCAGTTAGAGCTCGTTTAGACTCTCGGACATACCGCGAGGGCCTCAGGGTTCACGCCATTCTCGATCATAGAGATGCAGATAGACAGTGTGCGGCGGTCGAGATGGCAATTCTATTTGTTTGTTAGTATTAAGCTAGGAGTTCATTTTCATCGACTTACTAGGATGGTGGATATCTCATGCAGGATGTCGACGGCTTGTTGCGCGGCCTGCTGCTTTTCGTTGTCGTCTCTGGCGGGACCGGCTGGCGGCATCGTGCACTTAGAGTATCTCAATGAGAAGAGTAATTAATAGAGACCGAGATGTAGAGTAGAGTATAATACGGTGTCTAAAATAATATCAAGATGGTTACGAATTGGCTAAGTTGCATGTAAGAGGATAAGAGACGCGTGGGGTCGCGAACATGGAATTTAGTGGTAATTGTTTGGTTGCAGCTGGTCGCAACTGGCTTTTTATGATCAAGGTAAATGCATGAAGCCACAAACTGGAACCTTCAAAGCTCTTATACACAGGTAGGTATTAGCTACGTTTCAAAAGGCATGCGTTCATTAAGCATTATTCATAAACTACATCTCTTATAGTTAAAGAGAGTAAGGCATTCTCTTTATGCCTAGGTTAGGTAGGTAACCAGTCATAATATACCCAAGCATATCAAGATCCCATAGCAACTAAAGCAACATCCGGCTCTCCAGACGCCACCACAAGTAATAAAACTATACGTAAAAAGCAATGACTTCAAGACTGCATGGCCTCAACAAACAGTTCCCTCATGCCCTTTAATAGCACCGCCAAATCCCTCGTCTCATTAACTCTCTCAAGCACACGATCGACCTTCTCGCGCTCGAGCTTCGGCCTGCAATGGCGGACGTCGTAATCGCGAGACGAAGTACTCAGCTCGAACCAGGCTTCGCGGTCCCAGTCCTTCTCGTCGACATGTGTATATACGAAACGCAAGCGGTCCGTCTGCCCCGCCCCCTCGATCTTCAAGCACAGATTCTGCATCCAGAAGTCTAGCTCCGGCACGTTGAACCGCGACTGCGATTCTATGTATTGCGCGTGCGCCTGCTGCGCCGCCAACCGCGCTTCGATTTCCTTCTGCGTCTCGGCGATCTGCTGCTGTAGCGCGTCCCGCGACCTTTTGTTTCGGTCCCGTTGCTCGGTTAGTGAGGCGATTGCTGCTTGCATCTCCCGCGTCTCGGCGGATTCTTTCGATATCATTTGTTGGTGCGTGTTGGTCTTGTGCTGGAGGATTTCCATATCCTTCTTCTTCATGCGCTGGTCCTCTATTTTGGCGCAACGCCCATTAGTCTTCCTTCATATAGTGTGATATGTTGTGTAGGGGTATAGGCCCGTGTTGGCTCACCTTGCAATTCGGCAACGTTCATTCGGAACTGATTGCGCTCCTCGAGGACGCGCTTTCGCCCTTGTTCGATGAAAGCGTCGAATTTCGCGCTGAACTTTGCCATGCGATCGCGCAGCTCGTCAAAGCCGAAATTGATACTGGGAAGAGAGTCCGCCATGGAGGGGGCCGTCGCCGACATCGTTTGCCGGCCGCTTAGGCTTGACGACAAGGACGATTCAAATGCAGATGCCATTTTCGTTTATGATATTTTCAAATCCGATAATACGTGGTTTTTTTTCGGCTGGTAAGTACTGAGAAATTAATCGATTCTATTGCGTTATGACAATATTGTGGTTGGTGATTAACTGTAAGTGCCTATCAAATGTATTCGCAAATCCAAATTCACAAAGGCAAACCAACCCGCAAATGTTTATGTTCGTTGCCGAGCGGCGCTAGACTCGGCAGGTAGTATCCACTTAAAAGTACTCTAACGTGGAACTATCACTTATACAAATCTGCCTACCTATCAACTTGCCTTTTAACAAATCAGCAATTATGCTTCTATTTTTTCCAAATTCGAATTAGTTAAGTCATATTGATTTTGACTTAAACCACGAAATATTTATATGGGTAGTTGCAGTGTTTTCATAGGGAATATACTTAATACCTACCTGTAGGTACCTAGGTAGCCGTTAATGCTAAATAAAACTAAAGGTGGCACTGAACCTTATGCGATAAGATAGTGCACACGACGCGCTTTTCGAGGTCCAACTATTTCCTGTTTCAGCAAGTTCAACATTTTCACTTCTCATCCTCTGCTAGTGAATTTTATCTTCAACACAAACTTCGTTTTTTAACCAATTCTTTTCGGAGAATCTTGGTCTCGTTCTTCTATGCTCTATATTGTTTTACATTCTTTGGCTCTTCAAGCCATCGCTATGTACGAAAAACAACAATTAACATCCGAGAAGAAATATATCGAGCCTGGCTCTCCGAATGACTGACCGTCAAGTTACTGAATCATCTGTTGGACTCGCAGGACGCCTTTCACATATACCCTATGAACCAGGCAAGGCGGAGGATTGCGGATGGAAATCCACAAGGAACTTTACTCAGAATAGTAAGTCCCTATAATCCTAACTTCATTTTTAAAGCATCTAACATCTTTTTCTTTTGAAGCGCCTGTATTTAGGGAACTTAGCCCTTGCAAGACATGGTTTCCAGCTCTTAATACTGCTGATGTAGCATCTCATGCTTCATCAACTGGCACCGTATGGGAGGTAACTCGGAAACAACAGAAATGGCTATTGAAAGCCAACCCCGAAGCCCACCTTGGAAATGAATGTATCCATGACCAATTATTGTCATCACATTCACCAGATCAGTTTCATGGGGGTGAACCACGAGATTCATCTCTCTGTGCGATCGGTGAGTTAACCGATACAAGCGATTCAAAGAAGAACTCTGGTGCGCCGTTGATAGCAACCGTTACTGGTGAGGCTGGCGATATCCTCCGTCTGGCTAAACCGAGTACAGAAGAATGGCAATGGGGCGAAGATGACAGTGTCTCACTGCGAACTTCAGATATGAGGGAAACAGATGAGTTTATTCTCTACGAGGATTATGAACTTGTAGGACCTATTCGTTATCTAAAATCCGTAGTCGATTCAAAGAGGTATGATCCGACGCGCTGGGTTATCGTCCAGAGAGACTCCGGGACCCGAGTATTCCGGCCGGAATACCACAGGACGCCGACGATATCCGATTACACTAACGTAGAAATACCGTCTCGTATTGCTGCAAACCCACTGTTCGCCCTCTCAAAAAGCCAGACTGGAGGGAATCCACATTCGGATACGTCGTTCAACCCCGGCATCAGATCGAAGCCGCCTCAGTTTGGGCTAATCGATGAATGTGGATTCTGGAGTATCTGGGATGTCTCTCATATTAGAATCAGAACTGGGAAGCCGCGTGTGAGCCTGAACAAATGCGGTCATATTGAAAAAGGCATTATGGGTCATTTGCCATCTAGAGGCACAGGGGTAGCACAATGGCACAAGATATTATGGGTTGGCTGTGCGGGGAGCTTAGAAGAGTCGCAGACCTTTGATTTTGAGGAAGACGTGGATATTTCTGAAGCCCAAGGGTCCTTTCCACAGCTTGTGCGATCTTCAACGTTGCTTTTGTGCAGTCCGAAGCTGGTTAGGCTGCTAGATCTCACAAATAACACGTTTCTCCCTGATCTGCCCCTTTTGGGTGAAAGAGGCCAAGATTCCATTCTGGATGTGCATACAAACCTGCAAGACACCCAATACATGTTCGTTCTAACTACATCAAAGTTGTTTGTAGTTAGGATATACTCTACTCGGGAGCAGGATTGGGGTGAAGTACAGAAAAGCTCTGCTATTGTGCTGTCAGTATCGCATTTCAGAGATAGCTTCGACCGATGCTTGAAGCTTGCAGTCACCCCAGGGGCCGCATCGTCAGAGCATGTCACTTCCTTGATCTTCGTATACTCTAGAAATAGCAATCAGGTCGACCTCTATTCCGTTACTATGCCGAAAAAGAACCCTTCTAGGGTCTCCTATCATCGCGAGGCAGTTTCATTAGATGTCATTCGCCGCCAATCCCCAAACATAGCTCTCCAAAGTATATGTTTTCATCCTACGCCAATCATTCTGAAATCTCCGAATACACTGACTGATTTTGCGCGGCGCCTTATCCGACAAGAAATTCGATTTTACCAGCTTTTCGCTATGACAAAAGATATGTGTCTTGTCTCTACTCTCTGCACATCCACATCCACATCTACATCAGCCATCGATCAGATAAAATGTCCGGACCACAGAGTATCTCGGACTAAAAACCTGTCTAAAGAAAGAAAAAAATTGTTGAAATATATGACGTCCCATTTTGTTGTGCCGGACGATATCGACGTGCAAGGTAGTTATGAATATGGAAGCATCCAAGACATCACGAAAATGTTTCATCCGTGGCCAACAATACGAAGGCCCCTTGGGATATTTTACGAGCACATATGTACAGCTTTTTCTCTCCAGATTAAAAGAAACCAAGAACAGTCTTCCAGAGAGGACGACTTTGGTTCTAATCCGTTCGACCATGTTCGTGTCGTTATTGGGCAAGCTATTCAGGATGGAACTATGTCCGCCACTACTCTGTAGGTTTTCTCTATACCTCTTGATATTGTCAAAACTAATTAGAACTAGTTTCGAAATGATCGAAGACCCGGCATTACCGGCTGATTTGAGCCAAGCTGCTACCGAATGGGACTTTGAAATAGAACAACTCGGGCATATTAACCCCGATATAACATTAATAGCATTGAATCGACCACTCAGCCAGGTCACGGAGCCAGCAACTTCACTGCATGGTCTCTTTTCCGCTTTTTCCAGCATGGTAGCTGGCTCTGGCTTAAGTGAAGGGGACCAAAACTGGATGCAAGAAGCAAAATCTACCGTATTTCGACAGATTGCATGTGATGTATACTTGTCCCTCATTGGGATAGTTCATCGCCAAATAGAGTCGAGGCAGACCCAACGATCTCTTACTGAGGAGCTAGAAAGCATGGCCATTGACAGTCAGCCAGAAAGCCGTATGGGAAGTTTGTCAAGATCACAGTCCGAGGTGCCTATTTCAGAACCCCAAACGCCCAGAGTGGAAAGCCAGGGGGAGGATCCAGCCATGACTCTTTTGAGGTCATACACAGGCACCGGCAAATTTGTACCGACAAAGCGTACAATGCTCCTAGACAAATGGGAAGTCGGAGCCAACCCCGATACTTATGTGTTTGATCTCGAGAGAAATAAGGAGGTGACTCCCGGTATGCAGAGGAGAGTAAAGCAGCTAGCCCGCGAGAGTCGGAAAAGACGCAGGGCAGAAACACTACTCCGGATACAAAAGGATAAAGAGCCGAATCTGCCGGCTACCCAACCAGCGCTAAATACCCGTTCCTTCAACCAGCATAGCCAGCCTACCGCATATTCTTCACAGACCCAGGCAATGATGTCAGATCCGTTACAGACTATGTCTCAACCAATACCGGGTATCTTTGGTCGAAGAGACGAGCGGCCGAAGAAAAAAGTAAAAAAGCGAAAAGGGGGGTTTTAATAGTGTTTAGATATCAGAGTATAAGTGTTTATTATAAAGTCGTTGGGAATATTTCTAAGTCTTCAGGAGAAATGAGACTATTAGCTATTGTTGAAACCTCAAAGCATGCTAAAAATGCGTCATACTTCATAATAGACAGTTAGACCGAATTATATTCTTAAGTGTTTGCTCGGACAGAAATTTATGTGCTTGGATAAAAAAAACTTGGGTATACCTATACCTTACTAGGTATAAGTACTGAAGCGTAAAAAGATGTATATGTACGTAAATTGCCTTAGTAAGAGTATATCTAAGTTTTGGCATTACCAAAACAACCCAGTCAATTCACCGCATCTAACCGCATTTCCCAACTCCATGCAATTACCCGATCTATAGCTTTGCACCATCAAGTCCCAACAAGCTTTATTCATCACTATATAATTCACTATATAATCAAGCCATGTCCGGAAACATTTGAACTTTTCCAAAAGTCATGATTACCTCATTTAATCATTACATGTACCGAAATACTAACTATTAAAATTCAACTGCTAAAATGTCTAACTGTCGTGAAGAACATGAGCATGGTGGCGATCATCATCATAACCATGAGCATGACCACACAGACGACATAGTGCCCACTATACATCATAGCTTATATCAGCATATCATTTTCGACCAAATCACCACGTTGAACGAGGCGCAAGGGGATTCCGGCAGGAAAATCATTGAGAAGACATGGGCTGAGAGTGATCAGCTGGTCCCAGAGCTCCAGAGCGATGCCGATGAGCAGCTTATTATAAACGTACCGTGAGTATTTTCCCTTTTTACGTAGAGTGACTACCTACCTATATTTCATTTATCCATCATAGCATCAACCCTACTCAACCCTACTCAACCCAACTTACTCACCTGCTACAGATTCACCGGCCAAGTCAAGCTGCACACAATCCTGATACGCGCACCCCTTGACCAAACAGCACCGCGCCTACTCAAGGTATTCTCAAACCGGGAAGACGTGGACTTCGATGTAGCCTCGGAAATGACTCCTACGCAGACGTTTGAGCTGTCGCAATTCGACGGCGTGCAAGAAGTGGCTGTTCGTCGGGCTCTATTCGGCAATGTGCGCCGGCTAGCTCTGTTCGTCGAGGACAACTTTGGCGAGGAGACTACGCGAATCTCTTATCTGGCTTTCAAGGGGGATTGGCTACCTATCGGGCGTGCGCCCGTGAATATCCTGTACGAGGCCGCGGCGAGACCAAGCGATCACAAGGTTAAGGGGACGGCGGCGTACAGGCGTCTTGATTCTACGTTTAATAGAGAAGGTTAACGTGCGGTATGGAAGAAGGTAGAAAAGTGCTAGGCATTACTACCCTCCACGGGCAAGATTGGTGATGAAAAGGGGATCAATCAGTCAATAATCAGGCGCCTTTTAGCGCAGAAGGATCATTATACTCACGAGATCTCCATTATTATTATGAGGTAATCACGAAGTTATATATTGCTTCGGTAGGAAAATTCATTTGTTCTTTTACATAAAATCCTCCTCCCAGTTCTCGTCCCTGTTCTGATTGCTCGAGGACTCCATGTTCTCTTCCGTAAACAGTTCATCGTAAGCGTGGTCTTTCTGCCACTTCTTCTCCTGCCTCTCCTTCATTATTCTGGCCTCTTCCTTCTTCTATAGCTATGGTGTTAAGCTAGCACATTTCACGACGGAACTGATGAGAGGAACTTACTCGTTGTTGTTGAGCAGCCTGGTCTCGCTTTCTTAACTCTCTACGATGATCCTCTCTTTCCTGCTGAAGATCGGGTTGCTTCTCTACCTTGGTCTTGTTGAGCCGGTTGATGATGACGTTTTCACGTTGGACAACGAGAACCTTCTTGACCTTACGCGGATCCTTGAAGCTCACCTGACCGGCGGCCATACTACCGTCTTTCTTCAGATTGGACCAGGGTGTATAGATAATGGTGATATTATCCTTCTTATTGCCCTCGATGGAGTTGGCCTTGGTCAGCTGCGCTAAGTCCGTCACCAAGTCTTCCGGTATATTCTCCCACGAGTCGCCCTCATTGAGTCTTAGATATATATGCGCGCTGGAAAGTTTATCCACGTGAAACTGCTCATAACAACCCCTATCGCATGAGATTCGTGACACTTTCCAAGTTGTAGTTTAACATGTTTAGGATTTTTCATACCCTAAGGAGAGATAATATGAATACCGCGTACTTATTTGGTAAATGAAGAATAACGACGCTACTTACCAGACGTCTTCTTCCCAACCGTACTTAATCAATTCCTCATCTTTACGATGATTGTCAGTACGTTAGGTATGTAGTTGGCATGGGTACGACCCAGATCAGGGATATAAAGATCACCCACTCTCGAATTTGTCCTTGCCGACGTAGACGAACGCTGGAGGATCAACAACTGTCGATTTGAAGTAATAAACCATTTTGATATCGACGTGTAAGATATTAAATATAATATAGTTTTTAATTCTTGAAAGATTTCAGATAACTTATGAAGGAACAGAAATATACTTTCTTCCTTTTTTTTTTTCAGCAGGCGCAAAGTGCTTTATTCCAGCGCGGGCCTATAGATCTATGCTTACCCCTACGTGGTGGAACGTACCCCACCTACCGCAGATTCCCCGAAAAAGTTCCCTAGGACCCACTCGACATTTTTCAACTCTAGACCAAAGCTTCAACTTATCCTATCTCGAATTGTCATTCCAAGCCGCCACTTTAATGCCTGCCGTCTACTCGGCATACCGAACTTACGAATAACCAAGGATTGCTTGCCATAAGATATCCCGAAGTAGAATTGGTAGTCGAGCACTAAGCTCCCAGCGACAATGGCATCTCGTTTGCCAGCCCGCTGGGCAGCCTCCCTCACTAAAAGTTGCTTGCTGGGCAACACCCGAGTCCTTATTACCGAGCGTCACACACTCCTCCCTCGAACCACTAAGCGCGGTGTCAAATATGGCTGGTCCACGGCCAACCCGCGCACAAAGCCTACGCGCTTCAATCAACAGAGCGCCGGTCTGCCCGCGCCCACGACGGGCCCCGCAGCGGCTCTAGAGCGCAAAGCGATGTCGACGCCCCTGCGGACGGGTATCTTGGCCACCAAGAAGGGCGTCTCGGCCATGTACAGCGCGAACGGTAAGCGCACACCTTGCACAATCCTGCAGATGGACCAAGTACAAGTCGTCGCTGTGAAGACCCGCGCCAAGAATGGTTACTGGGCTCTCCAGATAGGCTATGGTCAGAAAGAGGCCGATAACGTCACTGCGCCGCAACTGGGCTACTTCGAGGCTAAGGGCATTGCACCCAAGCGCCACCTCTCCGAGTTCAAGGTGCGCGGTGAGGAGGGATTGCTGCCCGTCGGCGTGCAGCTCCAACCGGATTGGTTTAAGGTTGGCCAGTTCGTCGATGCTAGGAGTGATAGTCGAGGTATGGGTTTTGCGGGTGGTATGAAGAGGCACGGCTTCGCTGGTCAGGAGGCGAGTCACGGTAACTCCAAGAATCACAGGACGATCGGTACGTCGGGTCCAAGTCAAGGTGGTGGTTCGCGTGTGCACCCAGGCAAGAAGATGCCGGGGCGTATGGGTGGCGAGAGAGTCACCATTCAAAACCTAAGAGTGCTAAAGGTGGACAACGAGACCGGTATTGTAGTGGTGAACGGGCATGTGGCAGGGCCTAAGGGCTGCATAGTGAAGCTAGCCGATGCTGTCAAGAAGGAGCCGCCAGCCGAGACGTTCATCGAGAAGGCTAGGAGGCTGATGCTGGAGCGGAACCCAGACCACGAGACGCAGCTACAAGCCGCGCGGGAAACACATATGGACTTAAAGGAGTTGAGGAAGGCGGGCAAGATAGGAGATCCTGTGGCGTTGGCAGCCGTATTGTAGAATATATACTACATTTGTACCATATACAATGATGATGTACACGTCTCTCGATCCTAATAAAGATCCTAATGAAGAGTATGGCTAGCGTTGCGGATCATCCACTCTGCCGACTTATACGCTGCCTTCTCCGTCACCCCAGGCGCCAAACCAAAAGCGATATGTTCTAATATCGCCTATGAGGTTTACTCATACTCAAGCTTTTATCAGCTACGTGTAGAGTATTCTACCACCCCAACACGGTATTCCTCTCGGGAACCTAACCCCAGCAACAGTATCTTAAAGGGACCATGTAACCCCCTCACTTAAGCTGCTGTCTAAACCCCCTCGTCGCCTCCTCGCGCTCCTCCTCATCCATCGGGAACGCAGCCACCGCCCTAAACGGATCGTCCCCCTCCAGCAAATTGATCTTCTTGCCATCGGGAGTCTCGAGGCTCCACTCTGTAGTCTCGAAGACGCCCTTGGGCGTGGGCCGGAAGCTAGCGAAGCGCATGACGGCGGATGACCGGGTGCCCTTGACGGGGAAGTGGATGTCGATGCGGCCGCGCAGCTGGTTCATCTCGCCGGCTATCCACGGGATCTGGTGCTTGAAGTAGATCTCGTCGCCGAGGATCTCGCGCGCGCGGGGGCTCGTGCGCAGCGCGTATAGGGTCGAGGCTACGGTGGGGCTGGAGAGTTTTTGGTAGTTGAAGATAGCGACGCTAGAGGCGGCGATTAGGGCGAGGAAGATGGGGAAGGTGCGCGCCCAGCGGAATGTGTCGATGTCTACGGTGCAAGGGTTAGCTGTATGTGTTTTATAGGTATAATACAAAGAGAGAAGGACGCACTTGGGAGCTCTCGGTCCGGACGTCTCTCCATCAGAGGTCCATCACCAGGTTTAGGTGCTGAGACCAGCGTCCTTCTTTGGATTTGACTCCTTGTAGAAGCAGATTGATTTTTTAATAATATAAGTGCCCTCCGGCGCACTAATCTAGACCACATATTTGCTGTCGATTGACTGATCTTGAGGTTTCCCCAAGATCTTCCGTTCTCGAAGTCAAATTCGAAAGATGCTAACCTAGAGCTGCAATGGACCCATCCCACCTTGAAATCATACTACATTGGTACGTACCCTAGGTGGTTCCGGAATCCAAGGTGGGACCTTAATTGAGCCACAGCCTAGTAGTAGACCTGTAGAAGTACTGATTAAAGCCACTTTCAATATCTTATCTAATCGAATTCCGTTAAACGAAACTAGGTAGGTCCACCCCTGTTAGGGCACTTCAAAATTTGTAGCCCACCAATTTCTTTTCCATTTCCAACTTCCTAGGAAATCGTGAACCTCCGCCAAATCCAACACCAACCCTTTCGTCCCTCGGAAATCAACTCTTTCTCGCCAATTCACCCAACGCCCAACCGACAAAATGACGAAGGTTAGCTCCGGTATGTTTATATGCTTGCTTTACCAATTCCCTCTCAGATGTGTAACTTGAGGGAGGGGTTAACGTTGTCAATTAAACGATGCGATGCTAACTAGTTTTTTCAAGGTATCGCCAGCTCGCGACGAAAGTCGAGAAAGGCGCACTTCGGTGCGTCTTCCGGCGAGCGCCGTGTCATCATGAGCGCCCCTCTTAGCAAGGAGCTCCGTGAGAAGTACAACGTAAGTTTTCAACCAACAATTCCTCCATAATATCCCACACCCGCTTCGAATTGCTCTTGTAAACTTTTTCTTCTAACATGAATCCGCCCATAGGTCCGCAGCATCCCCGTCCGAAAGGACGACGAGGTCACCATCGTCCGAGGCACCAACAAGGGCCGCGAGGGCAAGGTCACCGCTGTCTACCGTCTCAAGTACCAAATCCACATCGAGCGTGTCACCCGCGACAAGGCTTCCGGCCAGAGCGTGCCCCTCGGCATCCACCCCAGCAAGGTCGTCATCACCAAGCTAAAGCTCGACAAGGACCGTGAGAACATCCTAGAGCGCATCAAGGTCGGCCGTGAGCTGCGCTCCAAGGGCAAGGCTGCTGCCAAATAAGCGGCCTCTCTAGCCTAACACCCATCCACCTTTTTTTCATTACTCGGTTGTGCCACCGGCCTGGCGAAAGGGGGCGGATACCCGTTGGTAGATAAATGACGAAGCGTCCTACGAGTCTGCGGGAGGAATATCATGGAATATGGCGTCTTGCGAAAGGGTAAAAGCACTCCCCCTGGCTTCATCCAGAGGGACATGACGGCGGGTTTTGATTGCATGGGAGCTCGACGATCAAGCATCTAGATGCGGTGGCACATACCCATCAAATGAAAAACAATTGCATGCACACAATGGCCATTTCACAGTTTCTTGTGAAATGTTCCATGGGAGGTTCTTCCCGAAGTCTCGCTTTCTATATTTCTGACTGGGCCGTGTTTATGCCGTAATGCGCACTCTGGCGGACTAACCTCTAGGTTTACCCTCTCATCCCAATTAAGGGAGTTAGACAGATCTAGGGGATATAGATGGACGAGGCTTCTCCGGGATACGAGTCCATTCAGACAGTTATCCCCTCAATGTAAGTGGTTCTTTTTTTCGTAAGCACGCATACATAATTACAACCGGTTCCCCCCTATTGGGTTTGATGTAATGCAAATACCGCCAGGATATCTCCGCGTCAACTTCAACCCTTTGGTTTTCGAGGTATACGACTGGCGAAGAGTAAAGCAAGCACAAGGGATATAATAATGAATCACCCCCTTGTCGCCCCCTCGCCTGCAGACTGTCAACCAATAGATAATATCCATGAGGTTGGGAGTTTGATGGTGAAGTACATTTTGCCTTAATTAAGAGACAAGATAATTCGTAGTCAAGGAGTTTTTATTGCTCTTACTTCATTTTACCAGTCACCACCAGTCAAAATATTACTTAGTTAATAACACTTATCATAATTACAACGAATGCTGTCAATTATGGGCCGTGAGGCAAGTTATCTGCGATCCTAGTAAAGCATGCCGAAGCAACAATAAAGCACTAATGAAATCTGCAATGCGACGGAGTTTTGCCTGCTTCTCAACCTCAACCACCTTAACCACCTCAGTTTTGTCATTATTACACGATACCATCTCCCTCCCCCCTCTCCGCCTTGTCAAAAACAAAATTATGTCAAAGAGAAATCATTACTTCTGCCGAATAAACGCAACACTCAAAAGCAACGTAGCACATATTTTGCCTCTGCTTTGGTTCTCATGATGCTGTCTTTGTTGTCTCCATCGAGACACGAAAGTATTGTTGCAATCTTGACCATGCGGAAGGATCATACGGGATGATCATACAAGTGTCCGTAACCTCCAAATGGTGACGGAAAACGAAATAGGAAATATTCAGTCGACTGAAATCATAAACAATAACCTAGGGTCGACTTCTCGAAGAAATGAACCTAATCATAATAGCATGAGCGTAACAAGATGTTGTTTATAGAGCTGCTGCTTCATTCTTCGTTGCGTAATAGGCAAAGAGAGGATTGGTGGGCATGATACTACTTTGTTTCTCCCGGCAATGTGTAGCTTAGCCTTCACCAGTCCGAACCAACGACTCCACGTCGCTCGGCGTCACGAAGCATACGTTCCTGGACATCTTTCAACGGATCGTAGTCTGCCGAGCGCGTCTCGTTAGGTGGGCAATTCTCTCCAACTTTCTCTGCAGATCGTTGTACATCATATTCAATACTCTTGTCTCCAGCCTCAGGTGAAGCGCGGGTCGCCATGTTGCTCGTGTTAGAAATTGCAGGTCCGAGAGATGCGGCAGCATGTCCATGATACTGAGGCAAATATCCCGTAGCTGTGGTCGATGAGACTGTGCTAGGCACTACGGCTCCGCTGGTTGGCCCTCTCTTCAGCATGGTTTGCCAGAGATCATTTCCGGACTTGTTGCTATAGAAGGTCAGCCTCTGATTCCGCACCTAAGTATCCGTTCGCATACCTAGATCTTTCAACGGTTCGTCGGCCCATGGAATCCTGCTTCTTGTCGATCTCGGATGACGCGGTTGGGGACGGAGCCTTGTTGCTCTTGGGCTTGTTAGAGAAACCGTCAGTGTTATCACCACGTAGTCCTTGAGAAGCAGAATCCTTCTTGGACGCGCCCCCTCGGCTAGCATCGTCAGGAGCAACAATCGGGATAGCTTTGCTGATCTTCTGAGTCCCATGGCTGGGACGGAACGGGTCGTTCTCTGTAGGCTGAATTCGGAAGCCGAAGTCGATGTCAGGTCGGCCAGTTGGTATTGTTGGACGGAATGTAGATTGGGAAGCCTCAGCGCCGCGGGTAGCTTTTGCTGGTGAAGGTGGATAGAAATCCTTACCGTCGAACTTTGGTAAGCCGAACCCTACATTCGGAACGTGGCCCCAGTAGTTACTTCGAGCTCGCTTCTCCTCCGCGGTTAACTCTCGCGAATATACGTACTCCGCTCCATGGCCAATATGAGGATTCACTCCTCGGGGTAGGGTTCCAACGAGATATGGACGGCTGTGACTATTCGGAGCAAAACTCGCCGACGACGGCTGAGAATTCACAGCAGAGGCGCGGTTGGCTGTGTTCGAGTTTGTAGAGAACATGTTGTTCCAGTTGCCACTCTGGTCAAACGGCATCATGCCAAGGGATGGCCATCCAGCAATTCCATGTGTGTTGGAGAATCCAGCCTGTGGTCCAAGATTTATTCCTTCTGACTGAGTTGCAAAGGAATGCGGTGCTCCGTCAAATGTAGGGGCAGAAGAAACGTCAGTGTAGGATCCCATGTTCTTCATCGGTTCAGGTGCGGCAAGTCCTCTCCTCATTTTCTCTTGGATAAGCGCTTCCAGCGCAGGGTCCAGACTGAGCGGCGATGTATTACCTTTACTCGAGTTGATTCCGATCACTTTCGAGTTTCTGTGGTTACCATGTCTCGAGCTAGTTCGCTCAGATGATTGGAAATGCGAAAGGTTGCGGCCCTGATCACCAACGCCGACGGAACTATTCTGAGACGTATTTCCTCCTCGGCGGCTTCTAACGCTAGAACTTCCCGTGGGGGTCTTCCAAAATGTTCCTTGTTGAGTTGAACTTGTAGATCCAGTCGGGACTTGGGGGTAGTAGGAGGCTTCGAAATTTGCCTGCATCTTATAGTTCTGCTCAAACTGCTGTACGCTTTCTCTCAGCTTATCTGCTTGCTCTTCAGTCCATTTTTCGTCAATCTGGTGCCTATTGTATTGGAGCTGATCTTCGTAGTACTTAAGGGAAGTCTTCAATGCATCAAGTTGACGTTTTGTGATTTCACTCGGTCTAATTGATGTGATGTGAGGTGTAGTTCCCTGACTAGGAGCAGACGTTGGCTGCACTGATCGAGCACCTCCACTAGCAGCGTGGGGGACATTGAAATGAGGAGAAGCGATAGCGGCCGGACTGAACATTGATGCAGCAGGGGATGGCTGTCCCATTGAGCCGAAAGCGCCCATCTGAGGGCCGACAGGACCCAGATGTCCGACTACACCAGGTGGGAAACACGGACTTGAAAGCATCATCGGCATAGGCATTTGGCCCTGTACCAATCCATAGGCTGGAGGATAGATCACGTTACCATTGTGGTAGAACGGACGGTTCTGCTCGAACTGATCTCTAGGAGTGATCTTAATAGGAGCGGGCCTTGGCTTCTTATCGCCGGCACCGTCTTGAGTCTTAACTTCTTTGGCCGCTTCATCGATATCCTGCTGGCTTTGAGTGGGAGTGGGCTGCTTACCACCTGAGTGTGCAAAAGGAAGAGTAGGCATACCAAAGGCCATGGGAATTCCGTGAGGAACAGGGTATAGAGGCATAGGCAAGCCCATGTGCTGGAAATATCCCGGAGCGGTAGGGAACTGTAGAGGGATTTGCGCCTGTGGAAATTGATTGGTAGCGCCGCTAGTGACATGGGGTTTCTCGTCTTTAGAAGCCTCTGTCGAACCCAATCCATTGGTCGCTGAATGTTCCTTGTCCCATTTTGCTGTGGGTGATACGGAGCCGCGTGTGTTCGGTACGATTCTTCCTCCAGCTGTTACTCGAACGTGAGTAGGCGAAACGACGGCTTTGAAGAATCTTTGGAAGCCTTCACTTTGCTGTGCCACAAGTCCTGCGGGAGCAGGGAGCGGTTCTTTAGAAGAAACCTCGGATCCGGTGCGGCCTTTGTATTGCCACTGAGTTCGGTTGTTCTTCTTGCCGTGGAATATAATCTCATCACTCTCCGTCGAGGACGACATATCCTCCTTCGACTTCTTCATGTATCTAACTTGGGCAGGCATTTTTCTCGTTAGGCCCTTGAAAATTTCAGCTGTATTTGTTAGTGTGAAGGCAACAACAAACCAGTAGTGAGTATAGTTGTGACGAGGCGATAAAAATAGGATAAAAATAGGATATGATGTTAGAATAAGAATAGAATAAGGAACAAAAGTTTTGGGTAGTTTAGAATAATGGGGATGAAAAGAGATGGAGAGAGAAAACCCAAGAAAAGGAAGGAGAGAAGGAAAGGAGAAAATAGGGGAAGGGAGAAAAAAAACACAGGCAGAAAGTGAAAAAAAGCGGACTCTCTTACCAACTTCGTGGTTAGCACATAGCTTGTCCAATGCGTCTCTACAATAGGTAGTTTTGAGCTGCTGAAGCTCGGCGATGGTGTACTTGCGTGATTCCATCTGGAGATCGAGGTAGGCGTAGACAAGGTAGGTTTTGGACCACTCGCCGTGGTAGTATCGAAACAGGGTTGGGAAGTTAAACGCTTTGCCCCGGGTGGGTTTCTTAGAGAGAGTTCCGGAGATGAGCTCTAGAATCACAGATAACTGCGGAGGGATTCTATTGGGGTCAGCAACCCTCTGGGCCTCGAGTTGAGAAAGGATGAATTTGGGTAATGTCAAAGGAGAGGTGGAGGGAGGTGGCAAAGGGTGATTGATTTCTGAGCTGACAATTATCTGGCGAATATCTTTGTAGAAATTAAACCTGAATCTGATAGCGGTGAAGGTAGTTCCTGATATCGGGATGTCATGTTCTTGGGCACATCTAAGCTCTCTTTCAAACCGAGCCCTGTGAGGATAACAACGGCGCCCAGACATCTTGTCTGGAGGACCAATATGGTCCACCCAGTAATATTGCCAGATGTATGAGAATATTATAGGAAAATAATGAACGGCGATGTGAAAATATGACGGAGTATAAAGGGGAACAAACCGTTGGTGTGCGCAAAGTGCAATAAGCAGTGGCAGTTGGGATTGAAGAGACGGCGTCGAGAATTAAGTGTGCGTCTATGTAGAAGTTGTTGAAAGATTTCGGTGCGATCGTGATTAATTGTGAGAGTGCGGGCAGAAAACTTCAAAAGCCCTAATCGCGTCAACGCGTCTGGTTATATTTGCATGTATGTTAGGTAATTTTGCGTGTTTCTACCTTAGAAGGGTTCAGGGGATGTGGTTTAGGTTACCTTGCGGCGTTGCCTAGGAGAAACAGACAGGTGGTAACAAACGGCAACGGCAACAGTCAGGACGATAAACGGAAGATAGGAGACAGCACTTACATACCAAAAAAGGTACAATTGAGCGAAAGGCGTGAGCAATCAGCAATGGGTAGACATACAAGATCTTTTTGAGGCAGATCTTTAAAGGCTATGCTATGTCGGAGCATTGATGGAAAGGTAGACAAAGTCGAGATAGATGATTCGGATTGAGGAAGTGTAGCATAAGAGAGAGAGGTACCATACCTAAAGAATTGATATAAGATTTACAACTACCAGAACATGGCGGATTGCACTTAACCTACACTTATACCTCTAAGTCTATTTCCCTAGGAGGAAAGGGGTACAAGACCCATACGTACCCACCTAGACAACATATAGGGTACATAATCTAGCAGGAGCAGTCAACTAGAAGGTATCCCTATACGTACCTACACACGTACCTACAATAATCTTCTAGAGACTACCTACGGGCAGAATTGGTCAGTAATATACAATTATTCATTTAAGGCACGAGTTAATATCTATGTGCTTTACATATTCAATACATGTATGGATGGAGCGACAAGTCTATCTTAACACACGATAATTTGAAGGCTATAGAGTCACTCTTCCTTTATTATGTGTAGTACCTCGTGCCAGGCTAAATGGCAGGAAGGCATGTAATGATCTAAACCAACTATACCTAGGTAATTGCCTACCTTCCCATATACGCATATATATATCTGCGCTTGCCTTTCAGTATAGCGTTCTTTCCTACCATGAAACTATGTGAATACCTTCAATCCATGAGATAGATGGGATAATGACAAACATCTTTTACATAATTTGTACTATCTTTTGTTCATAATACACTAATATATGTCTCGCGGAAACATCTAGTTTGAATGGGTACCTAACTCAGGTTTTTGTATGTGACTTCATATTGGTGACTACATATTAGCCCCTATTGTCGTAATGAAAGGGGGGAAAGGGGGTGGTTCAAGGAGAACATACTATCTGGTTAAGAAGTCTTTGCCTCTTCTCAGGAACATGCAATGGCTTCTCTTAACGATTGATTCACATCGGTGAGTATAAAATAAAGGAAACGATATAGCTGTCTATAACATGGCAAGAATCCTTTCAGGTGGTCATTCCCCCTTTTCCTCCGCAAGACAATAGGGGGTCCCCTTAATGAACATGAAAGGCTCACCCCAGACATTGAAACCAAGTACAATAGCAAATGTAAAGTGTTTTCTATAGTAGAAAGGTAATGGTTTATATGACATAAGGATCCAGGTCATCTAAGCATACATCTAATCTTAGTAACCTCATAAGTATTCAAACTGGAGTACACTAAGCAGATGCTAATAAACAACGAGTTGAGTATGACGAAAGAAAACATAATAATACCCCCCCAAAATATAGACACATAAACGCCAAGTCATCAATGAGAATAATATGCTGTTTATGACACCAAAGTCCTAAGTTAGAGACTTAACAGCCAGACATACACTGTCTTAAGACGTGTTCATAAGCAGCCTTGGCCTAAGAGAAACAACAGCACCAAGAACTCCACAGATAATAAACGCCCCAAGCCATGAAAAATCGGGCGTATCCTTGCCATATATACAGGATCTCTCAAAAGCTAGCTGTACAATCATTAGGAGACATGCGTATACGAGATGACTAAGAAAGCTACGCAGTGTTGAGTGTCTTACCTGCGCCACCCTCAATACTACCAGGCTTCAAGGGGTTTTATTTATATTCGCCCCTTGGAGTAGTATGTAATTCTCATCACGTAGTCGTGGAGTGTTGATCATCGGGGTTAGGTGGATTCGGCGTGGGAGGTTCTGGTTGTGGAGGCGGGTTGGGTTTGTGGTTTAGACAGTACGATGTCCCCTTTTCGTTAGCCGCTAATGAAAAGGCCTGTTCAAGACTAGGCTGCCCACTGCTCGAGCAGAAGAACATCGTGCTTCATTAATTTTTGATTAAGGAATCAAGAAATATATTTTGTTCTTTGAACCTCGATAAGTAGCGGTGGCGACGATGATAATGCTATGTAACTAGATTTTCGGTAGCAATCCTTCTTGAGAAAGTTTAGTTTCGAGGATAGAAAGGAAACCAGCCCTTTAAAAAGCTCCGTAGCCACACCTTAGAGCCTATCCTCTTCAGAACCAACCCCCACTCAACCTCCGGGCCGACACAGCTCTAGGTTCTTGATAACCATTGGGCAGGTCCACGATGTCGAAGTGTCACGCCTTCTTTTCTGACATGTAGTTAACAAATGCACGTCAAGTCCCCTATAGGATATTTTACCGACCCACACACGTGGTGATAGATCGACACTGAATCCTCCTCACGGTTTGGCTCGGTTAGGTGATGGTGTCTTCATCTTAAGAGCAACTTCAAAGACTACTGGCGGATGACGCCCCAATGCATAGGTTCCCGAGCGTAACCGCGTAAGCCGCTTCCTTTTGCCTTGCTATTCTTGATAAAAAGCTAGTGGGCAGGGGTTCCAAACGACCGGTGCAACCTCGTAGCTTCTAAATCAAGGTCGCCATGATCACAGCTCATTAGGGGAATCGTGACAGTGCACGCACGCTCCCACGCCGCTGACTTCATTGCAACCATCCTATAATAGAGGTCCGGTGACGTTTGGAGGGTTACGGCATATGTATAACAAAAGGCTGATATCAGCGAATCGTGACCCAAGTTCCACCTGATTCGAATGCGTCCATGGTATTTTTTGGCGACAACTGAACCACTCAGCCAGAGGCTAGCTTGGATTGGTCGGAGATGCCCATCAGGCAAGTTTCGGAGAACCGAAGCCGTGCCCCAGATGAGTGAGCAGAGACTCCAGGGTCTGGGCGCAGCAACAACCTGGATGGGCGGGCAATATCGACATCTACTACATACATCGACCACGGTGAACCTGACTGACTAACTGACTATTTAGCCCAGAGTAGCCTGGCCTTATGCCGTGCCAAGTCGTGTATGTTTCAGAATAACAATTTGACCGGACCCTCGCAAGATCGCCAGGGCCAATGCGCGTCCTGTGGGCTACAGAACATCCCGGCATCGCATCGCGGGAGGTCTCGCTAGGCTCTGCACACCAGGCGGGTAGTCTAATATCGAGTCAGCCGCATTCCGGGGAATTGGCCGTCAGAGTTAGACGAAGCTGCCTGTCTTCTAGAACCCTTCTCTAGGTAAACTTATAAAGCTCTTAGCTGCTCCTAGTTCAAGTCGTCGACAGCTACTTGCCGTGCTGGAATTCATCCGGACGTAGCACAGCATGACGCACTCGTTTCTAAAGGGATAATTCACCTTATCCCCCATCCTAGTTAACTCGGCTAGGCAGCTAGGCAGCTAGGCAACTAGGTAACCCGGAGCTCTTTAAGCGTGGACATGGGATAATCGACCTAGCTAGCATGGAGGAGCATAAGAGGGTCCAAGACCTTGGAATTCGTCAAGCACCATTGTTAGTCGAGTCGGCAGTTCCGCAAGTAACTACTATGTAAGTGTCCCATAAGATAGTCACATAAGATAGGTCCACGGGTATCTCAGTAATAGCTTAAAAAGAAGTAAATAAGTACCGGCGTATGTACGATCAATGTATATATGTGCGATGTATGTATTTCGTAGGTATCACAAAAGACCGTCACGAGTCATGTTTGCATTTACATGCGCTTGTACCTAAGTATATTTGAATGTGGGTAGTAGAAGTGGATACTTACATGGGGGTCACGGGCAATTCGGTTAACCCTTCTTGCCCTTTTCTGCGAGCGCCTGGCCACTTACACTAGTCTCTATCAGATCTAATGGATTAATTCGGACAGAAAGACCTGCAAGACCTGCAAGACCCACAAACCTCAACCCAGCTTACGCTTGGACTATATTTTGGCTCACCTCACCTCGGCGGGGGATGACCCACATATATCATGAATAAGGTTGTGTGTGTCTATATACATGTGTACCTTAGGTACATACTCAACACCGAGATATCGTCCTTATCAATTTATTCGGTAAGTATACCTGTTGAGATCTATTTCCCTGTAGACCTATAGCTATATCAAGTTAGACTTATTCTTGAAGGATTTGTTGCCCACTTCGGGCGATACAGCGTTTGTGATAGGCTTTAAGATATTAACACCCTAATGATGGAACTGACCAATCCCGTAATCCCTCCATCTTTTACTGCATTTAGTCCCGCACTAAGACTCGCTAAACTGTTATGTACGTAACCGAAAGCGTAGGGCTGCGTTATAATCCGAGCAATTAGACAAACTCCGATCGAGTCTAAGTTAGAACAATCTTTACTACATGTATCCATCACTTGCGTGCCTCGGTTTGAGCTTATATACAATCGACCCTTGATGATTTTAGCGCAAAAAGAACCCCTCTAATACAAAGAAGTGACGCCACTACCGACAGGAAAATGGAGATCTCTCAATCCTCGATCAAATCTTCTATATCTCTAACATCTCACAACCTAAAACCCGGCGACTGAGAAATATCCTGAGACGTGCACAAGCACAAACTACTATAGCACCTCGCTCCTAATTCGAAAAGGACTTACTACTCCTTTCGGCTATCAGGGACCTAAAGTGGGAAACCGAGAGATAAAGCATCATCGCAATGGCACCGCTGACTCCACACTGGGACCAGCCCTCGCATCCTGACATCCAAGATGTGATCATCAACGCGCATGAATTCACATCTAAAAGCCTGTCCAAAATCTCCCTGCCTCCTTTCGGCTTATATGCGAAATTGGACTTTCCTCCGTGCACCTCCGCCGGGTCCCCGACCTACGCCACAGTCCAGTGCGGCCGGGACAAGCACCTGGACCTGAACAGCGACCTGCTGTACATCAACCACTCTTGTGAGCCGTCTCTCATATTCGACACGGCTAACTTGAACGTTATCGCGGGGCCGAACGGCCTCAAGACCGGGGAAGAACTGACCGTCCGTCACCTACATACCCACGCCCGGTAAGCCCATATCTAGCGCCCCGCAAGAGCTTACCTCTGTTATAGTTCTTCTACCCGTCCACAGAATGGGACATGGCCCAACCCTTCGACTGCCTATGCGGCAAGCCGACATGTCGCGGGCGTATCAGCGGCGCGAGGGACATGGCCAAGGCACAGCTTGAGGGCGTCTGGCTGAACGGTCACATCCTCCAGCTCCTCAGGGAGCGAGATCTCCCTAATGCGGGTACCGGCAAGGAAACTGATCCTGAAAATGGCACTAGTACTTTAACCGGTCGTGATCCCTCGACGGAAGTAGGACCCCCTGAGGATCTTACTGCTCAAGCGCTGAGAGATGCCTTGAAGCATGCTGAAAAAGTCGTTGAGGCCGCCAGGAGCGCTCTACAATCGTACCTTGGTCCAAGGGCATTATTGACTCACAACGGGGAAGTCCGTGGGGAGAGGGGCAACACGGACGCCAGCGGATTAGCTGGGCTCGGTGGAGCTAATGCTGCCTTAGTCTCCGGCCTAACGAGACGCGGCATCACATCACGGGAATTGAGCGGCGAGATGGGCGGAGATACTATTGCAGTCTCGATCTCGTAAGGGACAAATCATGTCCTTAGTTGTTTAGTTTGGTTGCTTCTCTCTTTTCGAATTCAACATTCTCGTCTTTAAGTCAGCTCTCAACAGCCTGGCCTGTTTTGAAAGATAGGTAGCACTCACCAAATGCCTTAGTTAGAATCAGGGCAAAACGCTCCCTAGAGATATATATTGATTATAATACACCTGCATCAACTAGCAGGACTTCAATACAAACCTACCAAAGTTCTAGTCTAACAAATCCGCAACGCGCAAACTCCATGCTATTGTGGGCACTTGGCCACAGCCAACACACTCAAGCCCAAATATACATCCATTGCCACCCGTACATATCATTAATGCCTTGTATCTACTCGATTAGTCCTCTTCGCTCTCATCATCTCCCCAGCGAAGCCAACTAGATCCCCGTCCTCCAGATTCACTTCCCACACCTCCAGCATATTTACTCTCCTCTTCCTCCCATTTAAGCCTCTCCACCCTGGAACGTGCTAGGAACGCCTTAGCAAATCGCCAAGCCTCTGTGTCCGCCAAATTCCAGGCTTCAATTGCACTCCGTACACGCTCATCTTCTTTAACCTTGCTCTTCATCACTTCTCGCGCCCTACTCAGGAGGCTCGGCTCACGCAAGAGGTCGTCATCAGAGGCGACCGGCCCATCTGCCGGGTCATGCTGGGGTTTCGGGCGGCGCTCCGGGCCTGGAACCGGGGTCTCCGATTTCCCGTCGTCAGTCATGTTACTTGGTAAGTCGAAACCGAACCACCAATCTAGGTCATCTGGGAGCGACTCTTTCTCCGGCGTTAGCCATAGGGAGTGTGACGCTGCGAATTCACCAGCCACAGCATCCTTGAACTTAAGTACGCGCATCGATCCGGGTATGCCCGTGCCTAGAAGCTCCTGGAAGACGAGGTAAAGCCATTCGTCACGTCTTTTGATCTCTCGCCTAATATAGGCAATATCTAAATTATTTCGGAGCGTGTCCAGCGTGCGCAGTGTATACGGGTGTGGTACTGTTCCTATAGTATACAAGTCCGTATTATTCTTATAACGCGCCGGGGTCGAAATCTTCATAGGGTGAGAGGACACACAAGGCGAACATTTTGGAAGATTTGGCGGACACGATGCTGGCATTGGACTATCACTACAGATCGCGAGTCTAGTTGCCAGGTCCAAGGCTTGCTCGATCATGTGCGTAGTGTGAGTTGGCATGGGCTTGAGGATTGCTATACCACTGCTAAAAATATCTTGCCAGGTATTATGCAGGTGAAAGTTAATAAGGTCGTTTAAGCTCTTCATGCCCTTATCACGATCCGCTGCGACTTCTTCCGCGATCTTTTGGTAGGTCTTCTCGATAGTCTTAGTATCGTAAAATGCTAGCGAATCATGAGACGGGTCAACACGGAAAGTTTCGCTGGTAACCGCAGAAACTATGTCCTTAGCAGATTTACTTTTGGGGTCTCGGAGCGCTTGAACAATGGTATCGGCGATTTGGACCTTGGGACCAGCGAATAAAGCATTATCAATATCCTCCCACCTCGTCAGGCCCGGATACTCTCCCCTTCGTAGAAATGAGAGTAAAGGGTCCTCGTAGGCCGCCATGGGGAGTAACAGATAATGTGCCAGAAGTCCGCCCCCCATATTCTCCCATGCGAGCCAGCGCATCATGTCTTTCTTAAAACTGGGCTCCACATCTAATCTCTGAAGCTCGTCATAAAGCGGATTATTCATAGCCTCTGCCGCGCTCAGGATGATTGGCTTAAATCCCTTAGCCCACCAGGCGCGCCTCCATGTCAACAATAGCGCACTATCAGCCTCCTTTGTAGATGCATCCCGCTGGACAGTAGTATCGTAGTAGCAATAAATAGGAGCCCTTTCCTTTAGAGGTGGGAGGAGAGATCGATTCTCATCCAATGTGATAGACGATGAAAAGGGATTCCTCCAGTTCCAATTCGAATACCATGAGCTTTCCCCATATGTTGAGTTCTTCTGTTCCGCAGGCTTGTGAAAAGCCGGCCGGAAGGGGTTCAATATACTTGACGAGAGCTTATCCTTGTATTTCGGTATAGAGAATTTATGATCGGCAATCGACTTTGAAAGACTTGGCCCAGTCGGTATTGAATTGGGCAGTGTAAAAAGGAGGGTGAACAGGGCGAATAAACCGAGGAGGACGAGGAGGAATGAGATTCGTCGTGGACCTATTCGCAGCCCTAAGGCCGGACCGTGGCCCCTCATATTGCAGTTGAGGATACAATACAAAGGTTTACCGGCCAAAAAAAAGTAACAAGCTAGTCAAGAGAAGGTTAAATCGTTATATAATTGAGCGCGAGCTGCGCGATGATACTTGAACACGGATTGGTGAGACTACGCGTGCCAGCATAGACTCTAATAGGTATCGCGAATAAAGGAATGAAAGAAATTGGAAAAATTGCACACTTGAACTATTAAACTAAAGTTATTTCATGACTTCTTAAGGTCCTTGAGCAAAAAAAATCGCGATCCTATCTCTCGTCCGGACATCCCCTATAATGACGAAGAAGGGAATGTTGAAATGTTTCGAGGAAACTTTCAAAGTAAAAGGGTCGAGTTACGCAACTTGCATAGATCGCTCTATCCCTATTAAGAGTTTCCACATTGGTGGGGGAATATATTATGTACCTTGAAGGCAGGAGCCATCAATCATATTGGTATGTGGCTGGTGGTTGTGGCGGAGCATCTAGGTCACAACACCAAGCAAGCAGTTCCGTGAACCACATCCCATAAACCCCTTCATTACCTAAACTGCCAGGTTAATATTTCTATAAATATTCTTCATAATTCTAGAGCATGATGCCATTATCATGATGATGTTTAGTTCCCTTAACTAAAGCGATGAATTCCCTCATTTCGGTTTACCAAATTAAATCACAACACCCCCTTTTCCACTTGCTCAATATAGGAGACATGATGCTAAGAAAATCATTATTAAATACTTACCTATCTACCTACCTATAGTAAAGTTACACCCCAGTTTTGTAGAATAGTCAGGGGTCGTAGTTACCTATCCCTTAAAAATGGCAACTAGATATATTCACCAGTCTCAAATCTACTATTTCAGTTATATCTCTTACAAAACATAGAATCAAGGAGCCTCCTAGAGTTTCAACATAGTATATATATATATATATATAGGTGTTTAGGACTTAAGAGGTCAGTGATTTACAATTTTCATCTAAGTTTTAATACCAATCCGGCAAATTCTTCGTATTCATAAGGGCATAAGATCCTCGTCAAGTGGGAATACCTTACTTCATATAAGTATCCTAGGAAGGCTATTTGCATAATATCCCATTTAAAACGCTACAGTCTCGATTGAAGGAAAGCGCATTCCTAGTCGCAGTAGAACTTGTGACATCCCCAAAACTTATTCACAGCCATGTGAGATTCAACCAGAATGAACAACTTTCATGCTCTTTACACTAAGATATTTCCTATCAGATCGCAGAGGCCGCCTCTTAGCTCTATTAAGGCGAGTTCGTACCTGCGAATTTTCTATATAAACCCTCTCATGAGCCTTCTTGCAAACCACGCTGACCGAACTTACCTTACACGATTCACCAACTTCCACTCTCAACTACCACCTATACCCCACGCTAGCACCACTAGCTAGTGTAAAGCCCTATATACAGTAAGAACCGTCGGCCATAAGACCTTCCTATTATCTCTACATAATAGGTACTATAGGCTAGGCTGGAGTAGCAGTTTTAACCCAGTTCGTTCATGTCCCCACGCATAGAATCTTCAAGTATCACCATACAACCAATTCACTACTAATCTTCGACCTTTACGCGTGTACAAACAGATCCACACCTTCTTAATTAATCATAAGCCGCTAAATCCAGTTTGTTACTTACACTTCTCAAGGAGCAATAAGTCAGCAGTATTAGGATTCCAACCTACGCTTTCCTTCCATGACTAATACAAGTTGGACTCACCAAAGATTCAGCACGACGCACGACTTACTATTCTATACCTCAAATCATCTTTCATCTAATATAGGTCAATATGGCGGGCCTTCTAAACGATGCAGCTTTGTCCGCAATAGAAGGCATTATCAGGGAGCAACTAGAATCAAAACTCTTAAATCTTGACCCCGACCAAGTAATTGAAACCTTACTACGAAGGCAAGACGGTGAGAGTCTTCGCCATAAAATCCTCAGTCAGCTAGACAAAGACAGCCTACTAGATATGATCGAAGCGAGAGAGGACTCCAACACTATCTATGTGGATATAATAAATAGGATCTTATCCAAGGTACCGACGCCGAGCCATATTAAGCAAGAACATTCCAGAAACGACACTTCAATTAGTGAAGCGAAACCCCCGGAAGCCAACACCGAAGCTATTCAAGCATCTCCATCTAACGAATTAGATGAGCCCCCGGCAATACAAATACCCGATAAGAAGGGGCATCCCTTCGTGAGCTCTTTAGAGTATTCTAATATCAGCATATCGGCCGAATCTACGGACCACGCATTCGCGACTGAGGAGAACAGTGATGACAGTGTCTGTGACTATATTACATGTGGCTTGGCATTCGAGCCTCAAATACCTCACCTAGACGCGTGGACCCCAATATTCATGAGCGAGGATGAATTCTACCGCATTGGACTAAGTGTCGAAGAAATTCGGTCGACAGTAGATATGGGAGGGATATCTGATCGCCTCTTCATATTTATCAAACTATTAAACCCACCCTATCTATGTTATCGCGCTGAGCAGTATCTATGCTGGGCAAGATCGAATCGCACATCTGTCCTCCCTAAACTAGACACTCTGCCAGACATAGTGAAGGCGTGGAATAAAGGAACCAACCCACGAATAAGCCATATAGCCAAGGCCTTTATAGCTGTCAAGTGCTACAAGAAGTCTATAGAAGTGAAAAGTTCCAACTCTCAAGAGCGCCAGTCTTCGACTGACTCCTCGACTGACTCCTCGGCCGATTTAGAATCCAGTGAAGATACTACCCAATATACAATACAACAGCTCCTCCAGGCGGAACCTAAGAAAGTACATATCGATGAACAAAAATGGCCAAATATAATCAAGTATGGAAAGAGACTTTCATCTCTTTTAGAAGATTTTAGAGGGCAACCATTTCTCTCCCTGTTTCCTTTAGCAGAGCTCGATTGGCATATGAGCTATATGTCACTAGTCGATAGTCGCGCCATCCAGCACATTTGGGGGCCCCTGAGGAGTCTCATGAAACAAACTGGGCTAGGCCAGTTCTTCCGTTCATTATCACATGCAGTTGGTGACATACTGCATCGCAAATTGCTAGGAGAAGATATTTCATCCCTTGACTTCAGGGACCGGTTGTCCTCAGTTTTTGACGAGTATTCTTTGAAAGGAATACTTTCATGCTCTCCGCGGCCGAATGTATTGCCCTCGTCTATCGCACCAAGGTTAACACCGCTCGTGTATTGCGGACGGGTGACAGGTCTCACCCAATTGAACTCAGAATTCTCACTCTCGCCAAGATCTTTACTTGGACTTGTCGACGGAGTGTTAAGTGAGGACATAATTAGGCATTTAATACAGCAGAGATTGCCAAACGACTGGACTATCCTGGGGCAAAGCGAGATGTCGAAGGTTGCAAGCGAGGACTTGTTACTGCACAGCTTCCGAGGAATTATCATTCCCTTACGCATAGACAGTGGGTGGGCTCTTATCTGTTATATAAACCCAAAGCGTACTAAGGTTGGCCATCACATTGCCATTATCAATCCCACAACCAGCGATTATAGATTCCAAGTAGCTATGGGCTTACTTTCAAAATGGATCCCGAAGCAAGAAGGTTGGGTTCCTAAGGACATCACGATACAACACGTCAAGAACGTTAAATGCCAAGCAGCGTGCGAGAGAGATAGCGGAGTACACATTGTGCTCAATGCAGTAGCCATGGCGAATTCGGGAGTTCCAGAGACCCGACCACTGGATAGGAATGTGTGTAGGGCACTCTGTATGAGATATTTTATTACCACGCTGAACGAACTGCAGCAAACGGTTTCCAAAGCAGCCAGAAAGCGTGCTATGGAGGTTAAAGTTTAGATTATGGTCGATGACAGAAGATATCCTTTAGATCTACGTTGAGTTGATCGCGACAGCACGTTTTGTATCTAATATAATCTCGAATGCTTTCTCTCACCGACGAGCCAACAATAGTACAAAGGTATTCATACACGGCGTATAACGTTCCAATATCGAGTAAAATGGTAGCGCGAATATATTTAAAGGGAGTAAGTTAACTCACAAGGCTCTAGCCCTCTAATATATATATATATATATATATATATACATTTCTCTTATCCCCCTTTATTCCAGTATGAATTTTCATTAGTGCTTCCTAGAAATATGGTACGTACTATTGGAATATGATAAAGGAGACCATGTATGTAACGTTATACCCAAGGCCTTGAAGGGGTATAGAGGAAAACGCTTTTACTATGAAGACGAGACACGGTAGACTTATTGATAATAGTTACGCGAACCACCTTTGAATGCTTCTTAAGTTAAGCCTATGGCATGCTAATTGATAATTGAAACAGAAATAACGTACATCAATATATACACCTAGAGGTAGAGTATGGCTTCTAAGTGATGGGATGCATCGAAAGAACTTAAGGGGAGCATGGGTCAAATAAAAGTACATAGGTACATATGTACATAGGTACTTTGTGTAAGTACCTAAGATAAAGGTTACTAAGGTACTTGTCTTTTTAGCTATGGTCACGTGGGATTTTGACTGCCCACAACACTGAAGCGAACTTTACAAAATTTAATTGTTTCGGCCCCTCCACCTTCGCACATCAACTACAACTGCAACGCCAACATCACAAATTAGACAAAATGGCTCCCGCAGCGACCGGTGCAAAGAAGCAGAAGAAGAAGTGGTCAAAGTATGTATTGCATATGATGAATTGATTTTAGAGGACATCTAGCTAACTTTCATACTACAGGGGCAAAGGCAAGTACTACTACGCGATTTCGCGATGAGCGTCGTTTGAGAGGCGATTACACTATCTCTCGCGCGACGAGTCTCGGGGGTATTTTGGACTGACCTGTTTTTAATATAGTCAAGGACAAGGCCCAACACGCCGTCCTGCTCGACAAGACCACTTCCGAGAAGCTCTACAAGGATGTTCAATCATACCGTCTCGTCACAGTCGCCACCCTCGTCGATAGGCTAAAGATCAACGGTTCGCTGGCACGAAAATGCCTGAAGGATCTTGAGGAGAAGGGCCAGATCAAGCCCATTGTCACCCACAGCAAGATGAAGATCTACAGTATGTTTTAAGGTAGCCTCGAAGAAGGAAAGCTATATGCTAATCTCATTTGCAGCCCGAGCTGTCGGTGCCACTGACTAAACCATCACTCTCACGATACCATGATGAAGATGATATTCGGCCGACAGTCGACAGTAGAGTTTGACGGGCCAGATGGATCGCGGACACGGCTTTGATGGATTCAGGCATTTGGTCCTCGGCGTAGCATTGGGACGGTTATGGTTCGGAATTTCGCTTGCAGTTGCATTCAGATAGGGACCAAATGAAAAACCCCGATGAATCTGCGTATATTTTTCGTCTGATTTACGTGCTATCGATCGCTGTGCTATAAAAATTCTTGCTGTCTACACGTACGGTAGTAATTTCAGGCCTACGGTGTCTTCTAATCCTTAAGTTCTAGTAAAGAAAGTGTGGTTCTTCATAAACATGGACCAGTCGAATTATAGGCAAACTGATGGCTGACAATTCGCTGACTATTAAATGATAAGCCGAAAACTACCCTGCCTTAGGTACTTATTGGAGTCGTAGAGGACATATTTGGTGGCACAAACAGATATATTAACAGGCGTCGTTCCAACTAGGAGGTAATTATACACTAAAACTTCCATATGTACCTATTGGAGGCACCCGGACACCTGATATGTACCTGGGTTACACATTACACAGCTGGGGAAGAGGGTGGGGGAGAGAGTTGTTAGCTAAGCCAGTATAGGTTGATCTATCACAAAACCTATTAAGCCTAGCCCTAATAATATACCTAATCGAAAATATTAAGTGAGCGTCATATACAAATCGAGCTAGAAGCATTCCGCCTCATAAGTCGGTCTATACGTAATCAAGTTTCTATAATGATGGCACGTAAATAAATTCCCGATCTTCGCCCAATAGAAATTATATCTGATTAATCTCTACTGCACATCTAGGTCATCCGAAATGCGGCGTGGGTACTACTTGGGCATGTGTTAGGTACCGTGTGTACAAAGTTGCAGCCGACCATCCAGGCCAGCCAAGGGACCACCGCTTCTTGAGCCGGAAACTTGACTCGGGGAACGGGAAGAAGATCAAAGAGACCCCTGAACGCTGAACGTATGTGGATGAGCACCCTGACTCTCTTTTACCGACACTCGGAATTTAGCTAGTCAAAACTCTCAAAATCTAGATGTGATCTGCACAGTGCACACTAGTTAACTAATACATAAAGCGAAGTTTTTTTTTGTGTGTGTTCTTTTATCATCTAGATCTTCATCGTAGACTATCTTTGTTATATCACGAATTAACGTAACGAGATGAAATGAAGGATAGATATATATCAATGTACTAGGATGAAGCATTGAAGAGTAAGCCGAAACTACCTAGGTAGGTTAAATAGCTCGCATCTGATCTCTAAGTGAGACTCCACGTCCAGGTGATGGAGATCCTTTGGCCTGAATTGGCTGTCCCGAAATTGTCCGGCAGAAAGTTAGCGGTAGGTCTGTTCTCGCTAGACAACCATTTTATGGCAGGCGCCTAGCTGCCAGGCTGCCCAAGCAAGTGCAGGTCATGTACTTTCACTATTTTTACTGCTGCAGCGGACATTTAGTGGTTACTTCAGTAAGTTTTTAGCATACTAGATCCATAATTGCACGTGACATGTACTGGTCTCGGGGCAACCGCCAGTTTAGAAAGCGAGGGAAGGGTCTCAGTGCAGTTTTAGCGGCGGGTCCGGGAAGAGTCGCTAGAAAAAGCTGGTCCATTTGGCAGTTACCCGCAGCAATTTTTTTTTCCCTCCCCCCAAAATATTTTCTGCAGACCCAGTCGCAGTAGAAATATTTCGCTCGACGCTCTCCGTCTTTCAACTCCTCTCCATCTTCTCCTCGTTCACTTCTAATCTCCACTCACTTCTTCTCCTTTCAAAGATCAGGAAGTCTTTGAATAGCCGACAAGATGTCTGAGCAACAGAAGGTTTTGGGCATGCCGGTAAGTTATAATTCCATAACCATCAAATCCCTCGCTCGGACAATGAGCATTGGCCTCCTCTCCACCATCGTCTAGCCATCGATACCTCTCGCGCATGCTATCAACGGCTTCAATTGCTTTCTACGAAACAATCGAAGCGGTTTTCGAGTAATTTCGAAATGGTATACTGCTTATCGGGATGATATCTGGCACAAATGGTTGGAAAAGAGAGTCTTTGCATTTTCTGCATCATTTCCCTCACTATCCACCTCAACAATGAACTTAACTAACGGATATCGCAGCCCTTCTTGGCAGACTTCTTGAGTACGTCACACTGTTATTGCAATTAAATCCAACCGGCATCCCGGCCGATATATCGATATTCGATGCCGCGTGATATTGGTTGTCATGCGTGATAATTGTTGCTAACTGCTTAATCAGTGGGTGGTGTCTCTGCCGCCGTCTCGAAGACTGCCGCCGCTCCCATCGAGCGTGTCAAGCTTCTTATCCAGAACCAGGTATGTTGATACGTAGATCACATTCAGCCGCAAAAATTTTCCCCATTGGAGTTATGTAACTCTGGCTCCACAATACGTATATGTGTCTTCACATGTCTATTTGGCAGCATAGGGCTGGATTCCCTTCGCAGCAATGACGGTGCTAACAAAGTGAACAGGATGAGATGTTGAAGACTGGCCGCCTGGACCGCAAGTACAACGGTATCGCCGACTGCTTTCGACGAACCACCGCCGATGAGGGTGTCATGTCCCTATGGCGTGGTAACACTGCCAACGTTATCCGATACTTCCCCACTCAGGCCTTGAACTTCGCTTTCCGTGACAAGTTCAAGAAGATGTTCGGCTTCAAGAAGGAGCGTGACGGATACGCCTGGTGGATGGCTGGTAACTTGGCCTCCGGTGGTGTAAGTTTTATTGAACACTCTAAATTTGATTTACGGATGCTGATATTTATATCTTAGGCTGCTGGTGCCACTTCGCTCCTTTTCGTCTACTCTCTAGATTACGCCCGTACCCGTCTGGCCAACGATGCCAAGAACGCTAAGAAGGGCGGTGAGCGTCAATTCAACGGTCTCGTTGACGTCTACCGAAAGACCCTCGCCTCTGATGGTCTTCCCGGTCTGTACCGTGGCTTCATGCCTTCGGTCGCTGGTATCGTCGTCTACCGTGGTCTTTACTTCGGTCTGTACGACTCGATCAAGCCCGTCGTCCTGACTGGCTCTCTCCAGAACAACTTCCTCGCCTCTTTCATCCTCGGTTGGTGTGTCACCACCGCTGCCGGTATCGCCTCTTACCCTCTTGACACTATCCGACGTCGTATGATGATGACCTCCGGTGAGGCCGTCAAGTACAACGGTACCCTGGATGCTGCCCGCCAGATCGTTGCCAAGGAAGGTGTCAAGTCTCTGTTCAAGGGTGCTGGTGCCAACATTCTCCGTGGTGTTGCCGGTGCTGGTGTGCTGTCGATCTACGATCAGCTCCAGGTTCTCCTCTTCGGAAAGGCCTTCAAGGGTGGTTCCGGTTAAATTCCCTCATACCTCATAGACGGGAGAGGCGTGGTGGTGTAATACGGTGGATAGGCGACAAAGGGCCGTTGATAAAAAGGAGCGTGACGGACGCTCCGGTGGAAAGTTGTTACAGGGCATCACTCATTGCCGTGGCGTTCTGGAACAGCTTGATTTTGCGGATTTTACTGGCAGACAGGGCACACATGTCTCGCATCGTCTTGTCAGCTAGTTGCCCGCTGTAATTTAGATCCTAGGCAATTCCTTTGACTGTATTCTTTCTGCTTTGCGTCCTACATCCCCCTTTCCTCGGCAGTTGCGTGGGCCTGGCTCTTTCGGTTGCATACAACTCATAGACTTCTGAATGCAGGTGATCCTTTTAACTAATACCCAATTCATGACTTGTATGCGTGAATGTAAAATTTTGCTTTGTAGACAAATCCGTACCATCGTGATGATAATTTTTACTGTAATCAATTTCTATCCGCCACAGTAAGTGATTTGGGTAGTTGAGATGGACATTGCAATTGAAGACGGAGGGGGCAGGTGGCAAGCAGCTGTATGAAATCGCGGTGTACGGAGTTTTGCAAAACCTAATTAATAAATGTTTATAGAGCGTTGCTCACTTTTATACACCATTATGCATCTCTTTAGACCTACCGTTGTTTGACTTTAGGTACCTAACCTACCTAAACACTTGCAAGAGCCGGATTGGACAATGCCCCCAAATCAATCTACAAGTAACGCTCGCGGTCGAGGCTCTTCTGGACCGGCCAAGAGTCGGGCTTCCGCCTCTTCTACTTCTGGTCCTTCCCGAGCGCGCAAGCAAGCCCAAGCCACTGCTTCAGATGGGAGCGACGCGGATCCGTTTGCGGAGGACGAGCGGTCGCAGCAGCGACGAAGAACACAGGATACGATGGACCTTGACGAAGACGAAGCGGAAGAAGAGGAAAGGAAGACGATACCACCAGAGCTACTAACACATGTGCTGCATCAATTCTTTGAGAAGGACGGCACGAGGGTCTCGAAGGATGCGAATGCGGCGATTGCGAAGTACATGGATATTTTCGTGCGGGAGGCAATTGCGCGGACTGTCGTGGAGAAAGAGAAGGGGTTTCTTGAGGTAAGTTCGTTCGTCTGGTGTGTATTGGTGTTCCGGGTGATGTGATGCTAATGGTAGATTAGGTCGAGGATCTGGAAAAGATCGCGCCGCAGTTACTGCTCGATCTTTAAGGGCTGCAAGTAGGACATTTTATCCTGCTACAGATACGCTTTTAGCACTATCTGCATCGTATTGATTTAGTGCAGATGATCTGTGGCGGGATCATGATCAATGACGATGAAGATAGTATGGACTAGCAAGTATGTTTGGATGAACCAATCCTCCGGATCGATCTACAAAGCCGCCGTCACAGAGATCTTGGCGTTTCTTCTGCCTGCTAAATTTCTCGTGCTGATAGTAGTTGAATAAGGACTCCGTTCTAGAAGCCTAATAGATTAGAAACACGCCGTACTGTCGAGACCAAGTAGGCGGCATCATCCTCCACGGCTTAAGTCTTCATTCTATTTTATCCCTTCGAGGATAGTGCCGTCTGTCCATTTTACAACCCTTTTGCTAAAGGGTATGATATCAAGGACAGCTTTGCTATGGACATTTGCAAATAGCTTGACTCAGGATCAGGCGAGAAGATGTTAGCTGAATATAGATATCTTTTCGCCGAGCTTCAACATCTGCAGGCATTTAAAACATCAAACCCGTGAAATGGAGAATCTCAAAATGGGAGCCACAGTTTGTTTCGAATGCCTTACGCGGAATTCAGAAACGCTTCGCTGCAGTAAGATCCATTTCGCCAATATTCCATCAGTTATGGAATTCTCGATCCCAATATTTTTGTCTTTAGCGTTTCGGCCCCTGAGGACCTCTGAAGATTACTATTGTACATAACATTAGGTATGTAAAGTGCTTTAAGGGATTTCCTTAACGCTCGGACATAAAGTACCTCTAAAAACGGTTAACTACCTCGTCGTTGCTTAAGTATATCTTCAATTATACCCAATTATACCTTCAATTATACATAGTTGGGTAATAAGTAATTAAATTTCATCTGAGCTTCCGAGCACAATGGCTTCGCTTGTGTATCCCATTTCGTCTAAATGATGTCGGCGGTAACGGCTCAAAAGGGGATAAGATGAAACCAGTTGAGTTTGGCTGGTGTTACACTGGGGCCATGCTGAGGCAACATCCGTGCTCCGAAAGCCCCTGGCCCGGGACCCTTCGTCGCTTACAACCCAACTTTTTAGCTGCTTACAACTCCTTAAGCCTCCAACCTTAATTCTTCTGAACTTGCCGAGTACGTACCCCTGGTCAACCTCAAGGGCAGCTTCCACTCCCCGGATTCAAAACATTTCAAGCTTTAGGTACACTTGTAACTTACACCTTGTAACTTCATTACTAGTCGCTACACAGTAATACATTTCTTACAATTTACAGTCGTCGTTATTGGGTGTAACGATTCTCAAGCGAGACGATTTCCATCTTAATAATAATCACTTAGTATCGTATCAGTGAACTGCAGTGAGCTGGCGCGTATTGCTAGAAAACCTCATCTTGTCTCCAAGATAAGGACTATGCCGTTACGGAATCCAGTCCCAGCCGGGAGGCTTTGCCAATGCCAAGCAGATCTCGATATGACCAGTGACAGCTGGGTCTAGAAGACGTACATATTTCGGCTGTCGAACGTCCGTCTAGACCCTACCGAATACCCTGGTCGAAGTGGTAGCAATTCCGCATTTCCAAGACTAGCCATCTAGTAGATGGTCAAAACGTGTTTCATAGATTTCTTTACTCCACGACCCTTGATTATACGCTAGATGTCAGGGCATGGGTGAGGCCCCCTAGCATGGCGATCTCTCATCTTGCTTGTCTATGCTCGAGAGCCCTTTAAAACTCATGGCACTCCCGTAAACGTCGGGGTTTTGACCTTTCTCTCTAATTCATTTCAGCTACTCTACGTTTCTCTTTGGGATCTTCATTTTCCGTCTTCTTTCTCTTCTTCTTCCGTATTAACGTAATATTCTAAGGCTAGTCCTTCTCAGCGCGAGTCGCTTATTACATACGCTCTCTTAAAACGACATTCTTTATATTTAGACGAAGTCAAAAACATTCATCAAAACAGCCAAGATGCATTTCTCTACCTCTACCGCCGCTCTTCTTACCCTCTTGGGTTCCGCTGCTGCGCAGAATGTCCACGTCGTTTCAGTGGGCTCTCCCAACGGCACTCTTATTTTCAGCCCGGACAACATTAAGGCGGATGTTGGTGATATGATTCAGTTCCAGTTCCGAGGTGGCAATCACAGTGTAGCGCAGTCCAACTTCGATAACCCCTGCACACCTATTTCCGACCACACCAACCAGACCGGCATTTTCTCTGGCTACCAACCTGTGGCTGCCAGCAAAGCCATGGGCATGATCCCCACATACACTGTCAAGGTCTCAGCCAAGACGCCCCTGTGGTTTTACTGCTCTCAGGGCAAGCACTGCCAAAACGGAATGGTTATGGTAGTCAACGAGAAGTGAGTATAATATTCCAAGAAATGAATGGGATTAATATATGCTAACCTAAATAGCACTTCGGCAAATGCCACACGAAGTCTGTCAAACTTCAAGGATATTGCTAAGGGAGCTGCCGCCAATATTGCCCCCTCAACAACTACTGGTGGTTCCGCTGGCAATGGTACCTCTTCTGGCGGTTCGGAATCTGGTTCAGGCTCAGGCTCAGGATCCGATTCAGGATCTGGCTCCGGTTCCGGTACCGACTCTGGATCCGGTACTGGCTCTGGTTCAGACTCTGGCTCTGGATCTGGTACAGATTCCACAGCTACAGAATCCTCAGCTCCTGTAGCATCGGCTACCTCCAGCACCTCTGCAATCCCGACCGCTGCCGCAAACATCGTTGGTGCTTCCAGCTCAATGGGTCTCCTTGGTCTGGTTGCTGCCCTATTTATGCTATGATCTGTCCTATAATAGGATATAAATAAGATTTGCTCGTCCATAGTCTTATAGCTATGGTTTAATGACGGGAGGCAACGAGTCGTGCGGAGTCTGCGCAGACTCTAGGCCATAATATCGCGAGGGGGCAAACAGGCGTTGAACCCATTGGATGGGCAATCACGCCGTTGCGGATAGACAACCCTTTATATGTATATCTTGGATTCTTCGCCCTAGGGGCAGGCGGTTTGGTTCGCATTATTGTGCAGTTAGATGAAATGTCCTGATTTTTGAATAATTATACCCTTAATCCCAAAGAGAAAACAAACTGTCTTTATGATCTTCAAAAGTGAACACCTGAAATTTCGTTTAATAAGTGCCCGGAAGTATCCATTAGCGCTTGTAATTGTAAAATGTTACTTGTTGGTCTCACCTTGGCCTTCATTATGCTCTTAAGTTAGCATTCAATGAGCTTAAGGTCCAAAATGTGATCGATCCGTCCAAACCAAGTTTATTTAATTCCTTTCCCTAGGGTTTTACACAAGTCGCTTTCCCGCTATTAAAATACACGCTTGAAGTAAAATATTATTATTCTTCAGAGCCAGGGATCTTTCTCGGCTTCCTACCCTTCGCCGCCGCATCGCACAACTTCTTCCTCGGCTCCTTGTCTAACCAGTTCTTATCCTTCTTAACGTATCCGACCTTAGGGTATTTAGGGCTATTCTCAAAGAAACGGACCCAATGTAACAAGCCCTCGTGGACTTTCTGTCTTGCCTCCTCTAGCTCCTTCTTCTTGAGCGCGGCGAGTTCTGTCGGCGTAAAGTGTGAGTCTACCGTCGGGTCGTCTAGTGGTAGGAACATGTCTTCGACTCCCCGCATGTCAGGCGTCCGGTCCTCGGCGAAACACCCCGTTACGTAGGACCGCGCTGAGTCGGAGCCTGCGAAGAATCGGTACGAGCCGTCCGGGCCGTAAGTTCGCCGGTTGCTTGATACATCGAAGATGCTGCCGTTGATGGCGAGGTAGATGGGCTTGGACTCGTCGGTGCCGTCGTATTGAGCGAGCTCGGCGGGGGTTAGGTATATGGGACCGCGCTGTTGGACGAACAAGGTGTTAGAATGATAAAGACAGGCAGGTAACCAACGTAGGCTGAATTAGAAAACTTGGACGTACCAATTGGCTCTTCCACCAGTCTAGCTGTATGTACTTGGGTGGCGCCCGCATGCTCCAGAAGAAAGTCTCTCCGCCCGAAACGAGGTAGCTAAGGCCACAAGATGCGAAGAATAGGAACGAGAGCACACGTAGGACGTCTAGCCACGGACTATACTCTTCATCGTCGTTGACGAGCTCCTTAGTTTTACGCTTGGGCTTGGGTTGCTTGGGCGCGGGCGTGTCCGACTCCGAGGTATCTAGCTCCTCGACTATAGCAGTTCGAACGTCATCCCTCGCGGGGCCTTTACCCTTGCGCTGACGGATCTCTGCCATGGTGGGATGTTTTCAGTAGTAACAGTTCTTCACGTCTATATTTTGCAAGTGCTGAAAGAAGTTCAGGAGAAGTAGTAATAACTAACTAGTAGTTATTACAAACACTGTTTTACATTAGAAAAGGGATAAATACATAGGAGCAGGTAACGCAATGTGGCCTCGTGGGAAGTGGCTCGTATAACTCGTATACATAATTGTTCTAACTTGAGTCTCCCGCCGGAAGCTCGAGGCTCCGCAAATTAGGAATTGGGAATTAGACAGTTATGGTTGGCCGGAGCTTACGCGGTTCAACTTTATTACGTACCTCCTATGGAAGTACCTTGGTAGCCAGCCACAGTGTGGCTAGGTACTAACTTCCATGGATGGTTGGAAATAAAAGTTAAAAGTCAAACGGGAATTAAACGATTGATATGACATCAACCTCTCTAACACAGCATAACGTCATAACCGAGGCTACGTTAGCTATATTTTACCCTCATAGTGCTCTAGATATGCCGTTAGAAGTTCGGTGGTTATTCCAATCATACTTCATTTAAACTCCGGTAGCCCCATCCAGGTCAATCGGTCCCGTGTCGGTATATCGGCCTACTTGTGATTCGTCCAATTATCTCATCGGGCATTTTCCCCCTTGAGCTACGATCTGGATTTGTAAAGAATGTTAGTGCACGATGAAGACGCGCGCATAGCAACTTCTTCACCATCATCGCGTATCTCAGTAAGCATCGCAGATCCTGTGTCGGGTTTCATTCGCCCTTCGGCAACGATGTGGTGGGAAAGTTGAGATGACTTAATCAGCGCGTCAGTATGGGAACTCTGAGGGTGTTAAGGATTATGTATAAATATACGAGGATGAACTTAGGAGCTATAGCTTTATGTCCTCGAACTATATCACCAGGCAAGACATAGTTATCTAATTACCAGCTATCTGATTACACCAATATCACACTCTAAAATCTTGAACATACCAATACCCCTTTTCTTCTTACTCAATGGCTTCCTCAACTATGCACGCGGTTGGCGTAACAGAGTATGGCTCCGTTGAGAAACTACACTCAAGAGAAGTCCCCAAGCCATCGAAGCCAACAGGCCGTCAAATGATCGTTCAAGTGAAAGCCATCTCCGTCAACCCTATCGACAAGAAAGTCCGCGCTGGCACTTACGACGATGCCCCTGACTATTACGAACGAGTCAAGCCACTAACACAAGACTCGCCCCACTTCCATATCACTGGCTACGATGGTGCCGGCATCGTCCTTGAGACGGGTCCGGATGTAAAGTACTTCAAGCCCGGCGAGGAGGTCTACTACCTTGGAAACCCTGTCTTTCAAGGCTCCTATGCCGAGCAGTTGATCGTGGATGAACGACACGCCGGCCACAAGCCAAAGTCTCTCGATTTTGTCCAGGCCGCAGCAATGCCGTTAACTTTCGCTACTGCATACGAGTCGCTCGTTGACCGATTAGAGATCAAGGTAGGCGAGAAAGCCGGAATCCTCATCATCAACGGCGGCGGCGGTATGGGATCGATCACATCCCAAGTCGCTCGGCACATCTTAAAATTGCCTATCGTTATCACCACGGCCTCGCGACCCGAGACCATTGAGTTCTCCAAGAAAATGGGCGCCACACACGTGGTCAACCACCGTGGAGACATCGTGCAGCAGATCAAGGACCTAAACCTCCCCGCCGACATCCCCTTAAAATACGCGTACATCACGGGCCGTACGGAGCAGTACTTGTTCCCGATCGCGGACATCCTAGCGCCTTTTGGCAAGGTGGGCAGTATCGTGCAGGCCAACTTCGACATGTACGGATCGCAGATGATGAGCAAGTCGCTGACCTTTGTCTGGTGCTGGGTTGGGACTGGACCGTACCATTATTACTACAATGACAAGCAGGAAAAGCACCATGACTGGTATGAGAAGCTGGCGACGCTCCTAGATCAGGGTGTGATTAAGTGTCATTTGAATGAGCGCTTGAGAGCCACAGCTGAAGGCATCAGGCAGGCTCACAGGAGGCTTGAGGCTGGAAATGCTGTGGGTAAGATTGGACTGGGTATTGATGAGCCTGGTGAGGGAAAGGCGTTTCAGTAGATGCTCTATAAATGAGGATGAGTTTATATGTGGATGGAGTTGACATTTTGATGATTAGGTAGTTAATGTTCGTAAGCGTTTGAATGGTTGAAGATAGATTAATGTTATGACCTATGTTTTCGTATAACATTTACTTGTCTCTACTCGTACACTCAAATATGTTCTATATGTTCCAGATTAATAAGATGCAACTAGAGTTTGATGAAGAACAGTCTAAAAATTCAACTAAGATAATGCCTCCTTTTTCGGGATAGCAGTACCTAGGTACATGTACTACTACCTGCCATGCATGCATCATGGGTGTGGTGCCCCTAAATGTTAATTTAGGGTACGTATCTAGCTATCACGTGAAGCCACCTTATCTTTTCTGCTGCCAACTGCCACCGCCTGTAATAAACCGACGCGCCTGATTGGCCTTCTCGCACTAACCACTGAGCCCTAGCGCACCAATTCTACCCACGAATTTCAATCGGATGTACCCGGCCAAAATTTCTATCTCGAACTTCAACAGTGGAATTTCGCGATCCTCCCCACCACCAACGTTCGACCTTCTAATAACCACCAATCTCCCAGCCAGAACGCCAGAACAATCAAGATGTCTGACAACGGCGAGGTCGAGGTCGAATCCACCAACTACCAGGTCCTTCCTAAGGACGTTGTCTCCGAGATTGGCAGCATCAAGCTTTTCAACCGATGTACGTTTTTTTCTTCTTCTATCGCCTACGACTTTCTTTCTTATTCGACCCTTGGAGCATTGCGACTGACTCTTTAAAACAGGGAGCTACGAGGATGTTGAGATTCGCGACATCTCGTTGACGTAAGTTCACTACTCGATCCTCTACGTCTCGATTCGACTTGAAAATCTGGGTTTAGGCGACGCGACATCTAGCCTTGATTCTTGAAGAAAACGCATGGAGAATCGTAACAAGAAAATTTAGGACAGTACACTAACAGTACAATCTCGATAGCGATTATATCCAGATCCGATCTCCCGTCTACATTCCTCACTCCGCTGGTCGTTATGCCGCCAAGCGATTCCGCAAGGCCAACTGCCCTATCATCGAGCGATTGACTAACTCGCTCATGATGCACGGCCGCAACAACGGCAAGAAGCTCAAGGCTGTCCGAATTGTTGCCCACTCTTTCGAGATCGTAAGGAATCAGGAGTCGATTTTTCAACGTGGCAAAAGACTAATATCGCATAGATCCACCTCATGACCGACCAGAACCCCATCCAGATCGCTGTTGACGCTATTGTCAACTGCGGCCCCCGAGAAGACAGCACCCGTATCGGTTCCGCTGGCACCGTCCGACGACAGGCTGTCGATGTGTCCCCTCTCCGACGAGTTAACCAGGCTATTGCTCTGCTCACCACTGGTGCCCGAGAGGCCTCTTTCCGCAACGTCAAGTCGATTGCCGAGTGCCTAGCTGAAGAGCTGATCAACGCTGCCAAGGGAAGCAGCAACTCGTACGCCATCAAGAAGAAGGACGAGCTGGAGCGTGTCGCCAAGAGCAACCGATAAAAGGGGTGCAGTTTCTGGGTTTTCTTCGGCGTGGACGATCTGGGCATTTTACACTCTGCATTTGTGCGTTTCTGGCTCAGGCGGGATGCGGTTCTATGGCATACTAGTCACATAGGCCTCTTCAATAAAGGCTCTGCCCGTGTGGGCAAATCATGAACTGAAATCAAGTAATTCCCGAAACGATACTGGTGCTATAGCATTTATTTTGCTCTACTGATATGGTTCTCGCAAATGCAATAGCATCCGCAAACGAAATTAGTCATAATTGACTTGGTATCTTTGTAAGAATAGCAACGCAACGCCAACCGATGAAGTAGTGCTTATACTACCACCCTCGTGCTCCTAATATCAAAGCTTAAGCAATTCTGATATTCCTTTAAGCCTGCTTGTAGCACTATACTTTCGGGTTTCCCTCCTTGATATGTAGTCGTAAAAACATCCCTACGTGCGGAATACCCTCCTCGTACCATTTACCCATGCCTTCATCAACTTTGAAACCCCATCTCTCATAGAGTTTAATCACACTCTCCTGGGCGTGACAGCATACCAAGCCGTTCCACTTGGGAATATCGCCAGCCACGCCAACTTTGAGCTGATCCATGCCTAGCTCCGTGACGCTAGGGTTGAAGAAGGTTGGATTGTCCTCAAGCCACTTCTTGGCTGCTCGCCACAACTGGCCCGCGATGTGATGGCCCCGAAACTCGGGAATCACTGCCATGCGCCCTAGTTTAACATACGGCTCCTTTCCATCGTGGTACGTTGTAGGCCGATCTGCACCGAAAGGTAAAGCAGAAGCTTGCCGCTCCTCGTCTACAGACGTCAGGGTTCTGGCTCGAGGCCTTGCAGTTCCGGAAGAAGCAGCAGTGCCGTCACCCTTCTTCTCGTTGTCACTCTCGTCATCTAGTAGCACGTTATCCACGTACCTTCCGCCCGGCTGGGGATGCGGCGGGTGCGGAAACGGCACAATTCGCAGGGTTCCGATAGGTAAGCTGCGGGTCTCAGACTTGCGGGGCCTGATGACTTCGCCGGAGTGCGGGTCGCGCTCCTCGGGCGCGGTGGTCAAGTTCACGCTGGCGTACATGACCCAGTGGCAGGAGCGCGCGTCGTCCGGATCGTGCTCGTTAGTTAGCGGGACGCCTTGCTCGTGCACGAAGACGGCCTCGCGCACCTCCATCGCGTCGCTGAACGTCTTGGGCACATGTCCTGGTTGCTGGTAGTAAGGCCGCGTGCGGTCGTAGCCGTCCAGCCGCGTGGGTTCTAGGTGCGAGATGAATGGTGTGCCCATTTTGGGATGGGGGGGTTTATCTTTCCGGTTCGGGTTGGGTTGGTGGATTAGTGGCGGGGGAGTTTGCTCCGTAGGGACTTGGCTTAAGCCCGGGGTTGACGATCACTCTTAGTTTCTTTGTGATTTTCCTTTTTGTGTTCTCTGGGTAAGTTGGTTTTGTTTGATGACTCGAGAATAAAAGGTGAAAACGTAGTTTCCCTTCTATATTTATTCCAAATAGAGGAAGTAGACGATCACTTTGGTAACTGTGGTTGATAGACAAATGAACGGTGTATGTGCTGTGATGATGGCCACGATAGGATGCCTGAGATGTAAGCAAGGATAAATTAGGGGGGTAAAAGTAAGGCTGTGACTAATGAGAAAGTCACAGAGTTCGGAAGGGGCCCAGAATAATGGAAATGGGGTGTACGAAACTGAAACGAGATCGTCGAGGTCAAGGTTCACTAAGTTGAGTCATCGAGGACCAAAGCTGAAGGAGCGGGGGTTACACAGGTTGCCACGGAGCCGACAGTTCCATCCGGCGTCTAATTTTGCCACCCCGTCGTCTCGGCACGGCGCGTGAACTGCGGATACTTTTACCGACGCTTGCCGACAAGAGGTACCAGTCTTAGATGGAGTCTTCTTAATTAATTATATAAAAAATTAGGTAACATTCAAGAATTGAATTTTAAGCATTCTGAAGAGAGAGTAAGATTAGGTACCTAAGAACAGAAGAAATAACTCAGGTACCTAACCTAGTCACTTCCATTAGTGTTGTGTTACCTTAAAATACATCTTAGTTCGAACAAGCGGACTTGAAACGGTAGCTTCGAGTCAATATATCACTATTTAAGACCACCACTTAACAATATGCTTTGACCCGTTAAGTATCCCGTCCTGCATATCATAGTAACAATATTGGCGCATTCTTGAGGCGTTCCTAGCCTTCCCACCGGGATATTCCTGACGTCGCCCGGAGTGCCCTCGACAAACTTCTCGTCGGGTATCATTCCCGTTTCCCCAATCATAGCCGGAGCTACATCATTGACAGTAATTCCTACCTTTGCGTGCTTCATTGCCAGGTTCTTCATTAGACCTGTTAAGCCCGCCTTAGAAGCCGCATAATGGCAAGCGTTGATGCCACCTCCTTGTGCAGCTATCGAAGAGATGAAAATAATCCGACCCCACCCCTGAGCTTCCATATGGGGAATGCTCAACTTGGTCAGAATAAAAGAAGCCCGCAAATTCACATTGATAGTATAGTCGAATTCTTCCAAGCTCACATCCAAGATACCGTTGCGTCGCTTCCCGTAGCCTGCGTTGGAAACTAGTATATCTGGGCCGTCTTGACCGTGTTGTTCCTTGATTTCACGAAATAGTCGCTCGATCTCTTCAGCCGAGCCAGTATCGACACGATGGACGGTGACCTTGCGGCTTCCGCTGCCAGCCGACTTGCGAAGCTCCTCAGCTAAGTCGTCTACTGGCTGTCTATTGTGGAAACATGTCAGGGCGAGGGAAGCCCCATGGGCCCACAAGTCCTGAGCACATGCAGAGCCGATGCTATGATTCGTCAACACTGTATAGACAATTTATCTACTTGTGCATATGAATATATGGTGTTAGCATACCCTCCAGAAGCGCCCGTTATGAGGGCGAGACGACCACTGATTTCATTATCGACTCTAGGCATGGTTATTGGACGGGATGAAGGCTGTTGGAATTTAGGGTTTAAGGTAGGTAATATTTACCAAGTTTACCTTAGGTACACATTAAAACGTAAAGGCCGAGATTGTACCCCATACTTCTTCTTCAATGCGCGGGGGAATCTACCTTACTGGAGATGGTGTACAAGAATGCGCCAGCCACAAGTACCTACATAGCTGTTCTTTCTTAAAGTTCTTAAAGTGGGGTATTCTAAGAATTTCCACATTCGTAGCATTTTAGTTCCATAATTCACTATCGAGCCAATTATATCATTATCGGTGGCTTCTATGAAAAGTGTCAGCCACGTGCAAGGATTTATTTTCAACAAGTTGTCCTCTTTGTAAGAGAATAATACGTACTTTTTTGGGGGGGCCAAGCTCGCGCGGTGAGGTCAGAAAGCTGGCTTGAAATATGTACATAGCTTGGTTTTCCGTTTAGTTAAGGCCAGATTCTACATAATAGAATAAAAGAAATTATTTATAACAAGGCAACAGGCTGGAGCCTCACAAATAAAGTTGCATTCAAATTTCCCTCTTTTAAAAACTAAAAGCATCAACTTTGTTTGATTGCTCTTATAACCTTTTCTTGTAGCTGGTCTCAAAATCTTTTTGCGGCGAGCTTCTCGCCAATCACCCCTCTTCAACCCGCCCATCATGGCACAAATATTCTCCCCTCGATCAATACTACTCTGTGTAGTTTTCTTTTTCTCTACGAATGTCCTCGCTATATCTGCTGTTCTCGGTATAGATCTCGGTACCGAATACATAAAAGCCACACTCGTCAAGCCTGGTATTCCTCTCGAGATCGTCCTAACTAAAGATTCGCGAAGAAAAGAAACCTCCGCAGTCGCATTCAAACCCTCGCAAAATGCCCCTAAGAGTGGCTCATATCCCGAGAGGGCATATGGCTCCGATGCCATGGCTCTTGCAGCTCGGTTTCCTGGCGATGTTTACCCTAACCTCAAGACCCTTCTTGGTCTTCCCACAGACGACCCGATCGTGACGGAGTACACTGCAAGGCACCCTGGCCTACAATTAGAGGCACACAAGACCCGAGGTACAGTCGCGTTCAAGAGCCAGGCTACTGCTAAGGAAGAAGCATGGATGGTAGAAGAATTATTAGCAATGGAGCTTCAGAGCATACAGCGCAACGCCGAATTAATGGCCGGTTCCGACGACAACGTTCGATCTGTGGTTATTACGGTCCCGCCATTCTATACCGTCGAAGAGAAACGTGCTGTGGAATTGGCCGCCGAGCTCGTTGGTCTTAAGGTTCTATCCCTTATTAGTGATGGTCTTGCTGTTGGGTTGAACTACGCTACGAGCCGAACATTCCCTACTATTAGTGAGGGAGCGAAGCCAGAGTATCACATGGTCTTTGACATGGGAGCTGGATCTACCAAGGCAACTGTCATGAAGTTCCAAGGCCGAACTGTCAAGGATATCGGCAAATTCAACAAGACGGTTCAGGAAGTACAAGTCGTCGGAGCCGGCTGGGATAGGACTCTAGGCGGTGACGCTCTCAACTACTTGATTGTGGACGACATGATCTCCAAGTTTGTTGAGACACCCACTGCTAAAAAGGCCTCTGTTACGGCAGAGAGCGTTCGGGGTCACGGACGAGCTATGGCGAAACTTCTGAAGGATGCCGAAAGATTAAGACATGTCCTTAGCGCCAATGTCGATACTTCCACTGGTTTCGAGGGCCTTTATGATGATATTGACTTTAGGTACAAGATTACTCGAGCAGACTTTGAGAAGTTGGCTGAAGCGCATGCCGAGAGAGTTAGCGCCACCGTCCAAAAGGCCCTAGAGGTAGCCGAACTTGACATCAACCAGCTTGACTCTATCATTCTTCACGGCGGTTCCTCGCGGACGCCTTTCGTTCAGAAGCAGCTTGAAAAGATTGCTAGCGGCGACAAGCTCCGTAGCAACGTCAATTCAGACGAAGCAGCAGTGTTTGGCGCAGCTTTCCGGGCTGCAGAACTTAGCCCCAGCTTCCGAGTCAGGGAAATCAGGATCTCTGATAGCTCATTCTTCTCAGCGGGAATGAAATGGACGAATCCCCAAGACAAACCTCAACAGCAACGACTTTGGACCGAGCGATCTCTCCTCGGTGCTGCCCCGAAGGAAGTCACTTTCACAAACCACGAGGATTTCTCGGTCCGTTTCTATCAACAGGTACCATCAGCCGACGGTACCGCAGTAGACCGGGAGACAAAAGCCTTGACTACGAAGAACCTGACGGCGTCTGTTGCATCTCTCGTCGAGAAGGGTTGCGCTACCTCCGATATTCATTTCAAGGTTAAGCTACGACTCAGCACTGAAAATGGAGAGGTAGAAGTTGACAAGGCTGCCATTGAGTGTGAGGCTGAGGTACAGGAAAAGGAAGGTTCGGTCATGGATGGTGTGAAGAACCTCTTTGGATTTGGTAAGAACAAGGACCAGCAACCTTTGAAAGAAGGCGAAGAAGCCTCTGAGGGTGCCTCGACCACCGAGTCCACTGATACGGCTACGACCTCTTCTGTGGAATCTGGCTCTACTTCGACGACTGCAACTGAGTCGACATCTGCTGAATCTGCGGAGGGTAGCCCGGTGCCAAAGAAGAAGCAACTCGTTGTGGTTCCGATTGACTACATCGTAAAGAAGGCGGGTATTCCAGGTCTATCAAAAGCAGACCTTACCAAGTCAAAGGATCGCATCAAGGCTTTTGAGGCTTCGGATAAATCTCGACGATTGAGGGAAGAAGCACTGAACCAACTTGAAGGCTTTACCTACAGGGTTAGGGATCTACTAGAGAGCGAATCTTTCGTGGCTGCGTCTACCCCAGAAGAGCGAGCTAAGCTAGAAAAGAAGGCTAGTGAAGCTAGCGAATGGCTCTATGATGATGGAGCTGACGCATCTCGTGAGGCGTTCAAGGCCAAACTCAAGGGTCTAAAAGATATCGTTTCTCCCATAGAGAAGAGGATTGAGGAAACACAAAAGAGGCCAGAACTAGTTAAGAGCCTACGAAGCACAATAGACCAGACGACCACTTTCATTGATACTATCAAGGGGAAGATCGCCGAGGCTGATGCATACATATCCTCTCTCAGTTCTAGCACTACTTCGACAAGTGAAACAGCTTCTACCGTCACCTCGGCCCCGTCTAAAGATGCTGGTGAGTTTGACGGTCTTGAGGATGAAGAAACCACAACTTCGACAACTACTACAGCCGCTGCAGAGGACCGCGGCCCGGCACCACCCCTTTACACTTTCGATGACCTCAAGGAGATCACGGATCTTTCAAAGTCCGTCATCGATTGGTTAGAGGAGAAAATTGCCGAACAGGAAAAGCTACCCGAGGCAGCGGATCCCGTACTGTTAGCCAAGGACCTCATAGAGAAGACCAAGAAGCTCGAGAAGGCTGGCATGGACTTAGCAATGAAGAGCGTCAGAAGTTATGAAAAGAGTAAGAAGAAGAGCAGCTCGAAGAAGCCGAGCAAGAGTAAAGCTAAGAAGGGATCTACTAAGACGGGTACCGACGGCTCGAAGCCGACGGTAGAATCCAAGGACGGGGAAAACTACATCAAGTTCGGAGAAGGAGGCAAGGGTCCGACTCCAGAGGAGATCGAGGAGATGATCAAGCGTTTGTCCAAGGAACAACAGAATAAGGAGGAACCTAGGACAAAGCATGATGAGCTATAGAAGTGATAGATAGATCTTGATGAATTATATGACGTAACTAGACAAAATATTTGCCAGTTTCGAACTTATTGAGGTTGTATAATAATAACATTTGATACGGACGCCCTTACGTCTAGGCATATTTAATGATTAATCGTATAGGCTATGTTCTACTACTGTGTAAATGAAGCACTTAATGTTGAGTACCTTAGGTATGTTTGTCTCTTCCAAACATGGATAGTCGTAGTCGGCTCAGACAATATCTATAGGTATCTGATGTTCGTACAAGACTCCACCCTTTTTCCTGTAATAGGCCGTTTGTCATCGTCATACGTGGTACATGATTCTTTTCTTATGCACGTATTAGGAAATTTCAGACAAGTCCAACGAGTTGAATGAACATTATCGGAAGGGGAGATACAGAGTTAAACTAGACACAGTAGTTTAGAACTCACTTTGGTTGTATGGATAGGTAGGTATCTTATACCAAGTTAAAGCCTAGGTAGGTAGCTAACTAGGTACATATGTTCATATTGATATCATGAGTCGATCTGGTCATAAGCTGGTTACATGTATATGCCTGCCTACCTGGTACGCTAGTAAGTAATTTAAAGTGCTTAAGAAGTTTAAGAGACATGGAAGTTACATGGCAGTGTTTGTCTATAGGTACATGTCTACATTTAATTCATATAAATGCAGCTGCGCAAGATTACACGGGTTCCACAGTCCTTCAATCCAAAGGCAGCTGCGGATATCCGGCTTGGCAAGGTCGCCGACGGCTGTAAAATCTGATGTCTTCATGTTTGAGGTTGTTTAAGGTTAGGGAGGTAGCTGGGAGCAATCACCCAAAGCACGCGCCTGCCACAGGGGTATACCCAACTATCAAACTATCACCTGCAGCTTTAGTGAAGCATCTCATCACTTAGGTAACACGTCCCAGCGATTCACTTAACTTGGGAAGTACATATGCACACTGTAGTTGCCTAAAGTACTTAATCTTGAAGGGTAGTTGCACACGTTCATATCACAACATGCTCATAGGAGGTACCTACCCAAAACACCATTTCTTATTTCCTAGGATACTCCTTTTAATAAATTTTCTCTTCTTCTTTTCTAATAAATTCCTCCTTCCCATGCGTTTTTACTCTCCCCTCGGCACAAGAAGTCCTACCATTAGATCACCAAAAGGTTCATCAAAATGGCGTACTTCCCTAGTGTCCGTGTGGTGGTGATGCTTTGCCTCTCCTTTTTCACTACTACTGTTTGGACCCTGGCCCTTGTTCCTAAGACTGGCAAAACGCTTTCTCTTCCTCTATCTCACAATGCTGATGTCCCTCGTCATGGCCCTACCGATTATCTCAAAACTCTGAAGAAGTACAACCTCAATGTCCCCGAGGGCTTACAGCAGGTTGTTGATGCCCACAAAGCCGCCACCAACAACAAGATCGTTGCAGGCGAACCTGGTAAGTTAAGCAGCGTGTGGACCCTCTAAGAGAATTAGACAGTTATAACTAACAACAACACTAGGAAGTTCTGCTCCGGCCGCTGCTCACGATGGTGATCTTCTCTGGCTCACTCCTGTCAGCATCGGTGACCCCCCTCAACAACTGTACCTGGATCTAGATACTGGATCGTCTGATACGTACGTTGTCATTATAGACTCATCGTACTTCATAATGTAATCGATGTATACTAACAAGTAATGTAGCTGGATCTTCTCGACCGACACGGATAAGACTGAAGTGGCCGGACAGACCCTTTGGGATCCCAGCAAGTCATCGTCAGCCAACAAGATTCAGAACTGTACTTGGTCTATCATCTATGGCGACTTTTCTACCTCTCAGGGTATTTGTTATAAGGATACTCTCATACTTGGAAATCTCTCGATTCCCAACATGACAATCGAGTCGGCTACATCGGTGTCAACCATGTTTACCGAGTCTGCGAATATGTCCGGCCTTGTAGGATTAGCCTGGCCTTCCATAGCTCAGATGCTACCACCCCAGAAGACCCTTCTTGATCTTCTACCCAATGTGCTGAGCCAACCTTTGTTCACAGTCGACCTGCGTCACAACAGCAGTGAGGGCTCCTTCAACTTCGGATACATCGACGATAGCCTGCATACTTCGGATATTAAGTATATCGATGTGAATACGACGGATGGCTACTGGGCTGTTCAACAGACGGGCTTCTCCATTGGTGGCTCAGACGTCAAATATGAGTTCAGCGAGGCACGAGATATCATTGTTGATACTGGCTCTACTCTATTCTTTGCCCCAGAGGAAGCGGTCAAGACGTATTTCGGTAGCGTCCCCGGTGCCAACTACTCGTACACGGATTACGGATGGGTGCTTCCCTGCAACACAACCCCACCCGACTTCGTTTACGAGCTCGGAGATACACAGGGCAACAGACTTGCCGGCTCGGTGCCTGGTGCTTACTTTGTGTACGCCCATTCGACTGACGAGCTGTGCTATGCTGGTTTACAATCCCTCAGCTCCTTTACCGACATGCCAAGCATTTTTGGCGATGTATTCCTCAAGAGCGGATTTGCCGTCTTCGACATCGCGAACAAGAAGTTTGGGATGGCCCCAAAGCCCGTGAACACCAATAATGATAAACGAGACTTGGATGCTCGCGATGAGGTTAAAAATGTTGTCGAACATATTTGAAGCAAGGGATAATATGGAATCAATTTGCTGATTTGCATTGTACGAATGATACGAGAGCTCTTTGCGTTTAATTGTTTTGGCTTCCGTTGTTGGGGAGGTTCACCTACTCAACTTAGACTTTCATGATGTTTACTTTGCGTACCTACGCGGTATGTATTCATCTTAACCTCGATCGGTAAAATAGGCAAATAAGATAGTTGTGGCAATAGTCATGGAACTGATTCCACGAACCCTCACTTGTACTTCGTCTCTCCTCTAGGCGGAGATAACCTATGTGACCCGTCGTACCTAAATCTTCGTAAACTTCCCGTCTTTCTCTAATTCTGCCAATTCATTTCCCTATTCTTTCTTTAACTTGTGTGTAGCGTAGTGGCGGTGGTGCTAGGCTCTTGTAAGAGTTCGTCTACGAGAGGGGCTTACGTGGATTTTCGCCTCGAGACACGAACTTTGGCGTTGAAAGGCCGGCAGATGGTATGTTCGTACGTGGTGTAATTTGAGGTTCTGGGTAGATAGGCGACGGCAAAGGGCTCGGTTATAAGCACGGCATATATATTTTACCTGAGTGCCGTTGGTTTGTTCTAGTACGAGTTTGCCTTTTGCCGAGTCAGTAAACCTAATATCGAATTTTGTAAATCATTATCACTAATAAGCATGTATAGGGTGTTGAGCTTGTCTGGTATGAATATTATTAATTATGATTAATTATGATTACTGCTGTTGACGTATAAGATGACAATTGATTAGAACATCTCAAAACTCAGGGACGAGCATGCATTAATTTGAGCGAGATGCATTAGATGTACTCCTTGAACGATAAAAGCATCTATGTACAATAACAGACCCTTCTCTACTACTAAGGCCAGCTGATGAGATACGACATATGCATGCATCCATAGTCCATGACGACGGCCTCTGGCCCGCTTTCGCAATCGTTCCAACCTCGCGGGGCGGCGGCGACGGCGTTGTTCAAGAAACATAAAATCCTATGCCATGCTAAAATGCCAAGTGAGATGAGCGCTTCGTAGCACGCTCTGTCTGTCCATTAACTATCAGGACCCAACCCCTTAATTTCACCCCACTACGGCCGCCGCCTCCTTATTCATGATGCTACTGTTTAAAAAAAAGGGGGTGATCCTAAGATTGAAAAATGGTCGAGAAAAGGAAGATGGACGCCTTCAACGCCAGACGGACAAGAATATAACGTCGTCGCGTCTTTTCTCTAAACGAGGGGATATCTTGAGGGTTGTTGTAAATTCGGGTTCGTGAGACTAGGAAAATGGGCGGTTCTCGTTCGCCCCCGTTTGCCGACGAGAAAAAAATCGAATGGTCCAAGGCTCGCTTGTGGTCGGATCCCAGAACGCGGGAGCAAGGATTGGTTTCATCCGGGGTACGGGTATCCAAGTTACTCCAACTGAGGCGATCTGAACTCTTGTCCAAGTTCGGTTCCGTGGGGTTCGATGGAGGAAGTTCGTAGGTTACGCAAATGTGTCTCCTTTACCATTCCGCTGGGAAGAATACGAAACTTGATGGAAGCCAAAAAGCGATAAAAATTCAACTCGTGCCGGATTAAGGGAGCGCAGGTTCAAAAAAGTTGTTGAAACGCAGTTATGCCGATTTAGTTGTCGCGGTCACCACCATCTTTAGAAACGTAGACATAGTCAGTAAAAGTTCGAGAACAAGCGGCGCCGTCACCAGAGGAGCTATGTTTGACAAGTACGTATTCACCTTCGCTGGCTGTGGGGGTCGGAGGCATAGCTCCTCCATGGGCAGGTGCTTGCTGTACCTGTTTAGCAGTTCCTGGTCGCGACCTTTGCTGCTGCTGTGCGAGATCCTTCTCTGTAGATGCCGCCTTGCCAAACGCATCGCTAATGGCTTGCCGTTGAGACCGGGGGCTCACGCTACCGGGGACTCCCGGGGGGTTCTGCTTCTTCAGTCGTTCTTCCATCTCCTTAATTCTAGCCTCGAGGGCCTCTAATTCGGTCTGGCCACTGTTGACTTGCTGTTTTCTAGTCATGAGAAAACCCAGTATTAGTGGCCGTTGGTCAAGGTCGCGTAATAAGAGAACTACGTCTCTGAAGATTAGGGAACTTGGCATGGGCCATACCGCTTGTCAATTTGTTCGTCTAGGTCGGCAAGGCTGTTTTCAATCCGAAAGATATCCATCAGCTCTTGACTGAAAGATCGGGCAATCGTACTATACGGAGGAGGTTGTGTTAGCTTTGGTATGGCTTGAAGAATTTGGTTTGTTTTATTTTATTTTATTTTTGGTAAGGCCTTCCCCTTACTAGCGACGGGGAGAATAGCGAACAAGGAAATCAACGGGTAATAGCTAGTAAACTCACGATTGAGGTCGGCGGCCATTGGGTTGCCAGTCGCGGTCGAGTTCCTCGTCGGTGGGGTTCATGTTGGGCAAAAAATTTACGTTGTCGTCGTACATAAAAGGTTGAATAAAGGAAAATGGTGTAGAAGTCGCAGAAGTCGTCCAGCTCAGAGTGCTGGGGGGAGGAGCTGGAGCTGGGTGGTATTATTATTGATAAAGTATTGGGAGTTGGCTTTTGGCGGTGGGGGATGAAAAGGCGGGTCGCAGAAAAAAATCGGGACGTAGGCTGGTAAAAACTGCCCTGACTTGCCTAGCAACTCATGGATGTTAGTATGGATGTTAGTTGTATTAGTGGATTTCAAAGGGACCGAATAGGTAAAACGAATAGCGAATAAAAAAAAGGGGGGTCAGGCGAACAGGTGGAACTCGAGCCTCGCGGTACCTGATTTATACCACCTGTTCTGCCAGTCCTGCCTGCCTGTCTTACTGTCTCACTGTCTTGTACTTGCACTTGCACTTCCGGAAAGGTAAGCTGGACTTGACTGAAACACTTCCGCATAAGAACTAATTAAGTCGCTATGCCCGGAATAGTGATAGAGGTATTCCGTAATTTATGTAATTAGTCGTAAGGGAAAAAAGGTATACGATACTTTGATACTTACAATGGTTTATTTGACGAGTTGATATAAGTAAATTGCTACTATCTTAAACCTGTAATCGTAATAAGAATAGTACTGTAATAAGAATCAATAAATTATCATCTTAATGGAAGAGGCAGATTTTTTGTATCTCTCTTCACCTGGCTAATAATTACTTCTTGGCGTCCTAAGCTGCTTTTTAGGATGAGCTCACGACGATCTCATCATTAGACGAGATGGTCCATGCATCCGAATTCAACAACGATGATCCAAATCAACTAGGTAATAGAGTCTTATTATTCCATTCGCATTATTTCGTATTATTTTACTTTATCATGCAAACCTTCCTATGGAATACGGATGCTGTTTGACATTAGATTGACGATGAAGTGATGATAACTTGCATAAGCTTGTATGCGTATTGTCACCTACATAAAATAAATCATCCAATGTTGATCTAACAATAATCTAACAATACTACTCTGTCCTATTCTAGTAACGTTCCTGAATTACTTCCCTACTAGAGTTACTTGGGGCTTACCTTGGGATAGGTACTTAATCTCCCTTGCTTTTATGCACGTCGTAACTGTTCAAACTTCGGTTCCCCTTATTCTTGCAGGACCTAATGTTCTATGTAGGGTAGTATTATTATTCAAACGCTCCATTGAAGACCTACTCCATTGAAACCAAACCTCATAGGCACATATGCGGACGCTTAGACGCGCGGGAAGCCGAGCTATGTATTAGTTAGGTAGCTTACTATTAATCTTTTAGACGTAGCGCCTCTCTTTTCGTTTCCTAAAGCTGTCCCTTCATATTATATTTTTCTTTAATAGGTTAGACATTCTTTAGTTTAGGATTCGTTTGGTAAGTCTTATGGGGACTCATATGTCTCGTGGAATTTAGGTATTTAGGTCAGGCATACTTATTCATCTCGAGGACTACCTAACTAGTGTCTAGTCAATCATTTGTACAGATATATTATACTCATTATACTCTCTAAGCATCAATATCAACCTTATGACATCGACTAGTCTATCTTCATCCTGGCCTTCTTGTATTGGGCACGTGCCTAGCAAGATCGCGTGTCTTGCTCACATGTGAAATTTAAAGATCTAACTGTCACGTCATCTAAGATAAGGATCTAGATGTTAATTGTTAACTATAGGAAATAGCAACCTATGATGAGACTAGATGTAAGTAATGACCGTTAATGTTAATAGATAGGCGGGATATCCTTGCTATTCGGTTAGTTGCTTATGTACCTAACGTAATATGTGTGTTAGGTAGAAAAGTGCCTTATTAGATTTTAAAAAAATTGCCAGCGCTACATATGTAGGTAAGAAGGAGATACCTGGTAAAGCTGCACAACCAGTTATTAATAGAAATGAATTCTAATATGAACCAAGTTGAGAGATATAACACAGTTAAATAATTATCTGCACATATATGTACATATGTACTACTATACGGAGCCTTTAAACTTTAACCTAAGAGGTAACTACTGATAGGTAGTACTTACCTGTAAGTATGTTGGTTAGGTAGATTAGTTCTGTAGTCAGGTAAAAAGGCACAGACCATATGCACTAACAGGGACGCTTGGACCTATGAACCCCCCCCAGATTCCGCATTCCAAATCCGCTCCAACAATCAATCTGGCAACATTCGCCGATCCATCACACGAATCATATACCACCGTGGCCTGCGACCTTGCGGATTACTGAATATACTTATTTTTAATCACGTGATTCATTCCCAACGACAAGGAACGGTGAAAAATATTCATCGCGAATAGCCTCATCTAAAACAGGCCTTAATAGTCGCCGTTCCGCCATTAAAGTGGTCGGAGTAGTCTTAACGGACTTCTACGACCCCTGTCAACTCTTATCGTACGCGTCATAACCGTGTTTTCCCCGTCGGAGCCGCCTAACAAAGGTGTATTTAGGCTTGCTGACAGTGACATTAGATCGTGGCGCCAATTCATCTTTTACAGAGACGCGACGGTCCCCTCGACCCCGGCCGAGGTGGATTCTGGGGCATGAATCAGAACCCGCCCGCATATACCCCCCTCGAAGCATTTGCTTTATTCCAAGAGCTTAAGAGAAACTTTCAGAACGGCCTGGTCATCGGTACCTTCAGTCGCGTCTCCGAGACCCTCAAGAAAACACCCTTGATATTTGAACAGGACGATTTTGATGCCGACCGACTAAGCCCCGAATCCCTTCAGGGATTTGCCCTACAATTACTTAGAGAAGAGCGGAAGGAGGAGAGGAGACGGGAAGCCGAAGCCGCTGCAGAAAAGAACAATGCCGGACTTTCACCAAACTCCAGGAAAAGAAAGCTTCAAAGCCCCCCTTTGTCTACTTTTCAAGAAGCCCTAGAGCAGACGGATAAGCTCCCTAATCTAGTGGAGAAGCTCTATATACGATTTCGAGATAATCTAATTAGGGAGATCAGAGAGGACGAAAGACGGTTCGACGAGCTTCAACGAGAGCTTGCTGAGATCGAACGGGGAGAATGGGATAATAGGCTTGTTCAGGAGCAACGTACGGAATCACCAGCGAGTAACGGGTTCCCAGCTGCCAACGATCCATTACCTGCGAGACCGGAGGGCCAAGCAGCACCGACGCCAACGCCGATACCACCAGTACAAATACAGGCACACACGCCGACACCGACGCCGACGCCAATATCGGTACAAGCACCGACAATATCATCAGCGTCAACGTTAACGGCAATATCAACATCAGTTCCGGTTCCTCCACAGACTCATGATCATAGCAGGAAAACCGAGCCGCCGCATACTCCTCAGCCGCCACAGGAGAGAAAAGTCGTACACTCAATTCCTCCATCGCTACCCCCACCTACTCGTCCTCCAAGTGAAGCACGTCACATTGCCCCTGATAATAGGCCACAAGAACTAGGGCGTCCAATAGGTAATACAACACCAGTTTTACAACATCCACAGACCGTTCAAGGGTATCCCGCACGTTCAGGTTCTGCCACGCCTCAGCCACCCGTCGTTGATGGCCTTCAGCGACCTGAAGGTGTCCCCAAAGGTCGAAGCCCCGCACCCATACAAACTAATCAACCCCAGCCCCATACTCCTAACCCTACTCCCGCGCCTGCTTTGAAATGGGAGCCTCCATATCAGCCTCCCCACCAGTCTTCTCCTCAACCTCCATTTCCGCCTTCTTATCAACCGCCACCGCCGCCGCTACAACATCAACCGACTCATCAGACTCCTGTTCCGTCTCCTCGACCCCCCTATAGTACGGGGGTCACCAGGCCTCCGACATATCCTCAGACCCCAACTAGCCTCCCTCAGTTACCCCAGAATTATGCAGGCGGTAGGCAGACTCCGGGACAGTACGGCCAAGTGTCTCGACCCTCAACGCAAGGATCCGCACCAGCATCTCCATCGGTGCTTTTACCGCCGCAAAGTGCGGGCCAGATACCCCCATCTCTTCAATCACTACCTTTAAATGCAACTCCAGACGGCGCAGGGCAACAGGTGCCGCAGCGGCGTCCAGCGTCGATCCCTACGGTAAGCTCGCCAGGTTCCAATATAGGACCCGGTCCTTTCGCCCAGCATCAAAGTTCGCACGTGCCGACTCAAACACCTGTTCGACCGCCTGCGGCATTATCAGAACCACATCCAGCTGCAAGCCCCCCCAAACCTCCCGTGCCGCCAACCCAATGGTCTCCGGCACCCGGTCCGGCCCGGCCTTCACATCCTCCGCAGACTCCCGTCCAAGCACCATCAGCGCCACCGACATCTCAACAGGGCCAATCAGCTTCGATATCATATAGCTCACCATATAACCAACAAGCCCAGCCGGCTCAGCAAGCCGGTGCTATTGATTCTACTCAACGCCCACAAGTACCTCCACTACAGACCCCGGTAGCGGTACCTCAGCCTACGCGTCCACTATCAGCGAACCAAGTGCATACGCCGGTAGCTGTTTCTCCTCATATTATAAGGGGGCATGGAACTAAATGGACATCAACCCCTACGCCTGCAACACCACGTGTAGATGACGTGACCGGCTATTTTGATATCCAGAGCCCCGTCTACGAGCCAATTAGCCCACGTCCTCAGTCAGCACAGTTACCGAAGACTTCTCCTGAACAGAATGGGAAAAAGGATATACGAAAGACTCTACAGAAGCCCGATGTAACGCCCAATCGGCCTAGAGGTCGACCACGTATCACTCAGAAACCCTCTTCAGCGCAATCAGAGGAAGCCCTAGTAGACCCAGATCTCTCAGGAAGTAATATCAAGAACGAAGAGGCAACACCTCAGGCTCTCGAGGATATTGGACATGCGACTACAGCAGATGAAAGTGGTGCTATCAGGGACCAGCCTGGCCCAAGCCAGTTGTCTAACAAACGGAAACGTCAAGAGAGTCCTCCGAATCGGGCTCCGCCAACACCGGCAACGCACGTTTTATGGACACGTTCGTTCAATAAGATCAGCCAATCTGCATTGGATCAAATTATCAGTCATCGCCATGCTAATATGTTTGCGCATCCCGTGAAACCAAAAACGGCGCCAGGGTATTTCGAAATTGTGCTCCGGCCGCAGGATCTGAAAGGCATCCAGAAGGCGATCACTGCAGGGTCTAAAGCGGCATCAATAGCTGTAGCAACAATGCCTGATATTGATCCAAGTGCAACAAACGTCTGGCTTCCGATGTCAGTGGATCTAGTTCCACCGCGAGGCATAATAAATATCGCGCAGCTAGAGAGAGAGTTGGTTCACATGTTTGCTAATGCTATCATGTACAACCCGGACCCTTATCGTGGGTTCGGGCCTTCTTTCCTGAAATCGAATCGACGGGCTAGTCTAGAGGGTGACGGAGAAGACTACCGAGGCTACGAAGTAGATGAGAATGGGGTTGTAAAGGATACTCGTAGTATGTTTGGTGAGGTTGAGAAGTTATTAAGCGACCTCCGCAACGAGGTAGAGCGAAACGCACCTCCACCGACGGGCGTGCCACCATCTGCAAGCCGTAGTATGAGCGTAGCCGGTGGGGAGATGAACACAACCGAGGACGACGCAGACGAGCCAGCAGGGGATACCAGTAAAAGGCGAAGAATTAGGGGATAGTAGTAGCCTTGTAGCAAGTATAATGCTGATCCAAGTGAGATTAGCAATCTAGCTAATCGCCCTTCAAAGCCCATCTTTGAAGGGCGAGTCCATTTCAATATAAATATGCGCCAAGGTCAAGATTCAATTATGACTTTGGTTATGGACAACTCATTTTAAGATGCTTTTAGAATCTGATGTATGTGCTTTTTTTTTTAATATTTATATATACGACAGCAGCCTTCCTATGAAGTATATACATATATCAAATTATGTACATAAGGGAGGGGGTTGTACATGGGCCAAATTGTTGCCCCACATATGCGTGCACTTAAGAAGGCACATTACCTAATACACGAAGTACCTGATGTCCTTATGTCCTTACATATGTACATCACCTATGTACCTATTGTACCTATGTTAAGCAATGACGACCATCATTTTGATATGAGAAATACAATTCTTAATTACAATTCCTAATGGAATTCTACTAATGCAAGTGAAGATACCTAACCACATCTTCCATTACTTCCTTTCTAATAAGAATCCACATAACACTGTTTTTAGCTTTGTGTTATACATCTCATTTTTAGAGGTACCTCAAAATATTACTATCTTAAGTCTAACGAGTCGCGTCAAAACGCGTCGTAAATTGACTAAGATATGGTGCCTCGGAGAGTAATTGCCGACTCTGACGACGAAGATGGAGACGACAATCCACTAAGTCCTCTAAGAGAAGATGAAGGAATTGATCCCCCAGAGGTAGAACAATTAAGCCCACATCACAGGCCGTCAAGCCCTGATATATTAGACAGCCACAATCATATATCTGATACTACGGACCAATCCTTCTTTGCCAGTGTTTATGATGAGCAGCAAAATAGGGCTCTTCACCAATTTCATCTTATCGAGAATATAGTCCGTCAAAGTCAGCAAGCGAGTAGAAGTAGTGGGGAGATCTCGCTCCCGGTGAAGGGGAAAGGCAAAAAAGCTGATGCTTCTTCGGCCACGAATGTCACCTCACCAGTAGTCTTGGGCAAGATTAGGAACGAGCCATTACTCTTCAGCGACGGTGCTTCCGGTATAACTACACCACGAAAGAGCGCATCTGGAGAATGGGATGTACCTAGTAGTGCAGAGGACATAATGATTTCAAAGACTACTAAAAGTTCGAAAGGAAAGAATGAGAAGTCGTATGGCAAGCGAAAAAGAAGCCAATCAAAAGCAACGAAGAACTCTGCTGCAGCAGAAATCTTCATGGGATATGATAATACACTTGAGACAGCCCAAGACACAGCTTTGCATAATGAGATGCTTGCTCCAAGTCACGGAGTTGGGTCATCACTACAGCCCGTATTCAAACAAAATGAAGTCTTACTCGATAATTCTGTGATCCGGGATACGGCGCCTATAGCAAATTTTTATATCGCTCAGAGCAACCTCACTACCATGCAGAAACTCGAATATGAGAAGGTTAATGTGTCGCAAAATGGATACCCCGGTCTCCCTGGTCTCCCTGGTCCTCTTACTAATATAAAGTCAAGCGGCATGTCGACGGTTGCATATCCAACACCTAGCCGATATGCATCTTCTTCTGGGCCACCGCTTCCGTGGGAAAGAGACTCTGCTGCTGATGTCGAACCTGATGAAAGCGTTGATTTCGTAAATGCAAGTATACCCAGGCATTAAAAGTTCTCACCTTATCTAATGATTTTGATAGATAATGTCTTCTCCAGATGTCATTGCTGGCCATGATTATACGGAGGGAAACCCGGCAGAAGCAGTACTTGTGGATACACAGGTAGTACATGATGAGGTCGAACCTCCAATCGGAAATACTACCCCAAAGAGTCCATATACCAAGAGAAAAAAGAGGACAAGGAACATACTAGATGAAGATGAAGATGAATTACAAGATGGACCTTGGGACTATGAGGCTGTTGATCGGCAACAAGACAAACACAAACGGAGGCGTAATGAGCCACAATTAAACCCACCCAGTTCACATAGAGACGATGCTATCGAACTTCTTCCGAATCCACACGAGGAAATACTTCGGGATCAAGACTATCAGGACCTACCCAAGGAAGAAGTACGTGATACCAGTGATGCTGCCCCTGAGATACCTCCGACAGCGCCGCCACCTGTTCCTTTCGATGCGCCTGAGAATAACCTGCCAGAGACTCAGCCAATCCCCCAACCAAAGAAGCGTGGGCGCAAGAAAAAGCAGGCTGTGAAAGAACAGACCCCGCAAGAGCTGCCTTTCGAAAACCAGGCTGCTGCTCAAGAGGCACCCCCTGCTGTTAAAAACCTCGAGGTACAAATTGAGCCAGAGAAGCCTAAGAAGAAAAGAGGCCGCCCTCGAAAGTCAGACTTAGCAAAGCCCGAAATAGCGTCGGCTCCTGAACATGAACTCCACATTACGCAAAAGGCTCACAAGGACGACGCCCAGCATAACGAGATCACTTTGGAGAAGACTGAAGCGACCGAGAAGCCGAAGCCCAAAAAGAAACAAAAAGCCCGAAGTGAGCTGAAAAAAAGGGAGGAGGAAGATCCAACCACAGATAAGGAGGACGTTGAAGACGCGTTGAAAGAAATCAACAGTAACTCTAAGCCATCTGAAGAACCAGTATCAGCTGAGGAAGTGCCTGCGAAGCCTACCCCCAAACAGTTAGCCGATCAGCAAAAATCTAATGAGAAAGGTAGCACGGTCTCTAAGCCCACATCCACATCTTCACAACCTAAAGTACAATATCGAGTTGGCTTAAGCAAGCGAACACGGATAGCTTCGCTACTGAAAATTATCAAGAAATAAAACCAACTTGGCAAAGTCTATTGTAGTAATTAGTACAGTCATCTTTCAACTTTCAACTGTGCTAAAGGGTGGATTGCTCGGCTCTATAGCAAAAGGAATTTCCAAACGATTCAGCACTAAGAGGGAAATGGAAAATGATGATTATGAAAACTACCACTTCTATTTTGTTGGAACATCAATCAAACGCGAAAATATGTCGGGCATAATTATGGAGGTACAAAGAGCTAGGCGGCTGTTACACCTCTTAAACATGTAGATAACTATACAATAGATAACTAGGTGTCTATATCTATATAATCCCTTGGTCCAATAGTGCTCATGGAAGAGCTTGATTCTCTTATGCTAATATTACCTCGGATTTGTAGATGTCGAGTTTTCTATAGAATGGCTTAGGGCAACTTGGCATGGAGTTAAATGGTGAGCGTATGCTGGGAATAGGGGCTTACTCTTGTTCCTGAGTATGAAAGATGAAGATAGCAATCACGCACTCACAGTTGTGTTATATGAATTATTCCTCTCATTCTATATTGCCCTTCGTATATGATAGTTTTAAGGTGTGGATGGTGTGGAACGGCATGGTAAGGTGAAATGGTTTATTATTGCGTGGAAAGATCTCTTTTAAATGACTGATATATGCATCTCTAAAAACTAAGGCAGCCAACCCGATGGCATATCTCATATCAGCCAGGTATAAAGAATACATTCATGCTTTCTAAATACGACAAGCTACCAACACCGATTAGAGTGCAGCTATTGTTTGCTGTTGTAGGAGTGCAGTCTTCCAGGCCTCTAATTCCCGTCCGCAAGACTAACCAGTCTTATGTACTAGGGTTGATGAAAGGGAGACATTTCACAATATTCTGTCTCTCAATCCATCTTGGGTATATACCACTTTCCCCGTGGCGTAATTTTTCTTCCCTTTTTCTTTTTATCCTTTTGCGCGACCCGAGCGGTTATTAGGCCTACAACCAATATTCTTAGCTGTCCTTTTTTCTAGAGCATAACCTCCCCAAGGTTCTCGCCCTCGAATCCCAGCGTAGCCAGCTTCTGTAGCTTCTTCTTTTCTTTTGTCTTTTCTACCGCTCTCCGCTCTTTGGCCAGCTTCTCTACTGCAGCAAACTCAGCCTTCTCAAAACCTGGGGGAGGGTCGTCGTCTTTATCGAGATCGATCTCGCCGAGGAGGAGCACGTTCTCGCCGCGGACGAGGAAGATGCCGTGGGTTTGTTCGGCGTATAGGCCTTTTGGTTGTGGGTCTGAGGGATCGGATGTGATGGCGTATATGCGCTCGACTGTGGACTGGAGAACTAAGTTTGCTGAGACATAGATATAGATATTAGTTATAGAAATAGAAATAGAAATAAGAATAAGATTAGTTAGGGAATTCATACCAAACTGGTCCCAGCTTCGTAGAACACCGTTTAGTTTCCGACCATCTCGTAGACACACCAAAAGCTTTTCTATACCTGGTGGTTAACAAAGGACCTGAGACGGCGCTCATCTCGCCGCATCGATTGCCTTACTATCGGTGAGGTCTAGTAGCTGTGCAGCAGTGGTGAACATCTGTGGAGGAAGCTGTTGTGGTTGAGGGGCAGCAGAAGAAGTTGATGCTGATGCTGCCGCTGCTGCGCGACCCAGGGACGAGCCGCCTGGTTGAGGTGGAGGATCGTGAATCGATAGGTTCTCCATCATATCATTTGCTTGGTTTTGTTGTTATTTGAGGCAATGGTGCTAGAGCTATACCGATCCATAGAGAAGAGAATAGTTCATTCAGGAAAAATAAGCTTAATGGATTCACGCCGGTGTTTCCTTTACAGCGACGAGTTGCTTGTGTACCGATGTCAGGCGCAATTTGCACTTAGCTGACGTCGTCTCTTTCATATGCTGCTACTGGAGTCTGGAACATAGGAAACCACGTTATTAGTCTGATTGGATTTTGGCGGGGCAGAAACAATGGGAGAAACGTTAATGCGCTAGTGTGCTTAGATAATACTATTGTCCAATCACAATAAGTCCAACATTATACTGTATTACTTCCAAATGTATAACGATGGGGAAGACAAGGGGACGACTCTAAGTATATTTTATAATGTCAATTATTAATAGCGCCATCTAAAGTGTTATACATTGATTAGTTAAGGGAACGGGAAAAAATAAAGATCTTATTCTAACCTCTATGGAATTGCTAAGAGAGGTAAATGTTTAAAAAATACTTGGCTTTTATATGAGAAAAGCATACTATCGGAAGTACTTCGGATCAATCCTCAATTGTTTGTCCATTTCTTTAATTGATGCAACGTCCGGAGAGCACGAAAATACGACGGCCAGCTCTAATACCTTAGCTAGATTATCTTACGATGCCTTAAAAACGTAAAACTCTTAGATGGTATTCTCAATTTGACCTAACGGCCAGTGAGATGACAGGTAAATGTCATCATATAACAAACCCGCTAAGAATATAACCTTACCAGCTCGCATTCGCGATTACCTGATTACCTTGGCGGGTATTACCGGATCTGGGAAGACGGGCCTAGGCTAGACAAGGGGGATCCACCTCTGTTGTTGCCGAACATCCTTGCTCGCGCATGTGACGACTGGGCCGTATTTTGGCCTTCGCTGTTCCCTTTTTCTGCGGGACGGGACCATCCTTTGGCGTAGCTTCGTGTTCCACGGATCTGACGAAACTTATCTTGGATTTTCTGGGGTTACATGTTTAGATAAAAACCAATACGAATACATATACATATACACACACACATACTACTTTTAAAGTCTTTCGAACCTCCCTTCCATTTAAATGTCCCGGATAGTTTAGACGGAATTGATTATTTGGCAATTGAGCCTGTTTTGGTTATAATAGGTCGACAACCATGCCGGGTTCTTCGAGAATGCCTATTAGCTTGCGCGAGAGCTTCGATAGCGTAAAGAAGCGATCTCGGACGATCGATCCTCGGCAAGTTTTCAATGTCGAGATGTAAGTCTTCATTATTTTGACACCATTTTAATAATATTACCAAGTGTTACTATAAAGTACATAAGAGAACTAATTACTAATTATCCTGTCCCGTCTCTGTGTAGACTCAAAAACATTATTTTCTTTTTCTTCGTACTGCGCATAGTCCGCCGAACGTTTTGGAAGTTGAAGGGCCGTGGTATCTTTGGTACTATAGCGGAATTATACCACGATGTACGACGTGTATTATACGGTTATTTCCTACGCGCTCCGGGAGTTCGGACCCAAGTACGGAAACAGATTACAGAATCGTTAGCAAAGATACAGGCAAAGATGATACCTGCCGACAGCACGCGATACACAACATTACCAAAGGAGGGCTGGACAGATGACGCCCTACGAGCAGAGCTCGACACGTTGGCAAATATGGAACATACCAGATGGGAAGACGGTTACGTATCGGGTGCCGTATACCATGGTGAAGAAGATTTGTTAAAGTTACAGACGGAGGCCTATGGAAAGTTTACAGTTTCGAATCCGATACATCCGGATGTTTTCCCCGGAGTACGAAAGATGGAAGCCGAGGTTGTCGCAATGGTCCTCTCCATGTTCCATGCCCCACCTAGCGCCGCCGGAGTATGCACCAGTGGTGGTACCGAGAGTATATTGATGGCATGCTACGGTGCGCGGCAGAAGGCATATGCGGAGCGTGGTGTAACGGAACCCGAGATGTAAGTCACGTATTTGTATTATATTATTATATTTGTATTACATGATCTATATCTATTAAGGTACTTTGGAATTACTAACTCGATGGGTTATAGGATCCTCCCGGAGACAGCACATACGGCCTTCCGGAAAGCTGGCGACTACTTCAAAATCAAGATTCACTTTGTACCTTGCCCTGCTCCCACATACCAAGTCGATGTTCACCGTGTATCTCGCCTTATCAATTCTAACACTATCATCCTTGTCGGTTCTGCTCCCAACTTCCCTCATGGCATCATGGACGATATCCCGGCTCTATCCAAATTAGCCCTGAAGCGCCACTTACCGCTACACGTAGACTGCTGTCTGGGTTCGTTCCTGGTCCCTTTCCTCGACAAGGCCGGTTTTGAGACGGAACTTTTCGACTTCCGCCTCAAGGGTGTCACCTCTATCTCCTGCGATACGCACAAGTACGGCTTCGCGCCCAAGGGCAGCTCCACTGTTCTCTACCGCACCCAAGAGTTGCGCACGTACCAATACTTCGTCTCCCCCGACTGGTCCGGCGGCGTATACGCTTCCCCCGGAATCGCGGGTTCCCGCCCCGGTGCCCTCATCGCCGGATGCTGGACTAGCATGATGCGGGTCGGTGAGGCCGGATACATCGACTCGTGCGTCAAGATCGTCGGCTGTGCCAAGAAGATCGCCGAACACGTAGCGTCGTCCCCCACCCTCAGCGTGGAGCTCGAGGTGCTCGGCCGCCCTCTCGTCTCCGTCGTCGCTTTCTCCGCTCGTAACCTCAATATCTACGACATCGCAGACGGTATGAACACCAAGGGCTGGCATCTCAATGCCCTGCAGAACCCGCCCGCCATGCACGTCGCCGTCACTATGCCTATCGTCAAGGTTTGGGAGCGCCTCGTCGCCGATCTCGAGGCCGTTATCGAGGAGGAGCGCGAGAAGGAGCGCGTCCGTGCTGTTGAGGGTAAGGCCCTGAAGGGCAAGGCTACGGGCGATACTGCGGCCCTCTACGGAGTCGCGGGCAGTTTGCCGAATAAAGCCGTTGTTGTGGATTTGGCGACGGGCTTCATAGATTTGATGTACAAGGCGTAATGAATCAAGATGAATTGTCTCGTTATGCTAGAATTCGAAGAGGTGGTAGATAGTGTTACGATAGTATGTGTAGCGGATGAAACGACTTTACAGCCACTAGGCATATAATAGGAGAAGCAGTGTACGTTAGAGAAGGGAGAAAGTAGGCGGGTCTTCGAGCGGGTGGTCGGGATCCATTATTGGTCTTATAATGGCTGTACATATATATACCCGATAAGGGGTTAGCGAGCATACGGAAAGGGTAAATCCTATGAAAGGGGCCATGAAAAGGTCGAATCCTCAAAGAAAAGGGGTTCCTATCGTACCTACGCCATGCATATATACATATATGTATATTTCATAGCGAGACATGGCGAGTGGATGGTATAACAACAAAGTCTTCAATCAATGCTGTTACTTATTTATGTACATTGTAGAAAGTTGCTTTCCGAGATGATCTTGTTCATGCTTTTTATACACACCATGCCTTGATGCAGAGTAGTCATATCATTCCGGCCACCTGTCTCCCACATCCATAGTCCCGTCCTGCGCCTTTTGGAAGTAAAAGCATCGGAAAAGGCGGGATGAAAAAGGAAGACCGAAAATATGAGGAAAAAAGCGCCGTGCCCCAAACCCTATTTAATTTTTACCTATTATGTGTCCCCTGATTTGACCTTTTAATCTCCCTTCTTACCCTATATCTTTCTCAGCGAGCACACGCATCGATCCGAGATCCGGGGGTCATAAGCCATACAAATATATGATCATAGCTCTGCTTTCTCATCATCTATGTGAGAAAAGCGGCTGCCCTCCTGGCTGATCATAGATTCCGCGTCGCCGACCTGCTTACGCTCCGAGACCTCGAAAAATTTAAGCCGTTTCTGCATCGTTCTCCTATGTGGTAACGTCAATCCTTGGGACGATGTCCACTCCCTCATGACTGCTGATTGCTATTGTAGGGGCTCCGAAGAGCTCGACAAGCGGTTGAGGTGTAGATACACATCTGTTCCATACCTAGGTAGATTCTAAGTTAGTCTTATGGTGATGAGGTAAATCCAAGATATTAAATCGACGTACCCTTCCATGCTAATCAGTTTCAAATCGCCACCGAAATACCGTGCGTAAAGTCTCGAGATTGGCAGTCCGTAGCCAAAGCCCGCCATCGGTGCCTTGAAATCGCTCTTATCAAAATCAGGGTCCAAGTTAGGGGTCCGATCTACAGTCGTGTACATGTACGTCCACACTAGTGGGATGGCGCTTCGTGGGATTCCACCACCTTCGTCGCTGATCTTGATCGTGATATCTTCCCTTCCTTCTGCAACAATTACCTTCGTTACCGGAAACTCCTGCTTATCTTGCCCGTGCGTCTCGACAACAGCTCTTAACGAGTTTTTCAATGTCTCGAAGAGCATATGCGATAAGTGACCGGGAACGTACATAAAGTTGAGGTCGGGGTTACAAACAAGTTGGATCTTGGGTGCTTCAAAGAGTCCATAGTGATCTTCGCATACAAACCGAGCATTCTCGATAGCCTCTTGCGCCAAATCCCGCACGTTCGTCTTCGTGCAGATAATCCCAACATAAGTAGGGTCCCGATGGTGGCTTTGATCCGTCAAGGCGATATGCTGGCCGATAAGCATACGAATACCTATTCGAGACATGTAGAAACGATCTAAGAAGGACTGTATGTTGTTGTCAATTTGCATCCGTTGTCTCTTTCGCTTGTATTCAAGGATACCCTGTGCCATCGTTGTGACAACGCCGTCATGCCGTCTCTTGATCTTGTGTAATGTCTGTGCAAATTTGGAGTTGTACGCCTGTAACTCGGGTGGCCAATCGCCATTGTCGTCTACCATAGCGAAGTATCTTCTTGCTGCTTGGTACTTCTTGCTATTTCCTAGGCCAATTTGTGTCGGCGGCGCCGAGGCATACTGGCCTTCACGAATGCTCGGGTTTGGAGTAGCCTCCGAAAGCAGAGATCCTTTACCGTTGTTGAATTTACCCGGGTTCAACAGTCGATCCCGCACGTCTCTTGGCAGCTCGGGCCGTCCGAGATTGATGATCTCCTATTATCACATATCAGATGACTCACGTTCATGACCATCGCGGGTAAGTCAAGGGGGCGTACCTCAAACGACTGCGCGTACCAATCCTGGACTCTCTTGACCGATGGCATGTCACTAAGTCCATCAGGTAGGCTCGTGAGCTCCTGAACTCGATGCGCAAGACGGATTGGGAGCTCTTCGGCGAGAAATTGAGAGGCGCGAAACAGGGTTCCTAGGCGATGATGTTGAGTCAACAAATTGCATTTGTAATTATGACGACAAGAGAAGTAAAAACAACATACCGACTGAGGGTCTCTCGCCAAACTGAACCATCTGCCTTAAACTTACACCCGTAGCAGGAAAGAGGGAGTAATGGCGGATGGTGTCCATTAGCCTCTCAGAAGCCTTCCACGACATGATGGGCGAGTTCGTCTAATCAGCGAGGGCTCGGTGGTTAGACTTATCGGACCTGAAGATGTGTAAGATCTCAGGTAGGAGAGAGGAGTTCAGGCCATGAGACTCGAATTGGAAAATGTGGAAGTTTGAAGTATGAGCAATAGCACGAGACTAGAGACTAGATCGGAGGATCACCCCGCGGGAATTAGGATGACGCTTGATAGCAACGGATAGCAGGGTCCTATCTGTAAAAGTGCCGAGGCTCTAAAAGAACAAGGAGCTTTAAAAGTCTAGTAGCCGCAACCTAACAACGTAACGTGAGACTTTTATGACTTTTATGATTATATGAACAAAAAAAAAACAAGCTACTAAGAAGGACAACGACAGCAACGGGGATGACAATAGGTCACCATTAGGTTGAATAGTACTATCTCGAAGACTGACATTGGAAAAGTCCAAATCACAAGACCTTGTGAAATGGGCGAGTTAGAAATTTGGAGAACAAGGAGATCCGGTCATTGACTGTAAGGGTTTCGAAAGCCGTCATTGGTCGATTATCTGTGGGGGCGCGGAGACATGGGAAGAAAGTTGCACAGCTTTCGCCAGCTGCTTCCCTGGTAACATTCTGAACACTTTACCGAAACCATGCGAGTACAGCCGAGAAGGAAACTCTTTTAACGGGCAGTTGCCGGTCTGACAACGAGCTGTACATGTAATCATATCAATGTAGGTGATTGTTGCTTCCCGTCCCCCCCCCTTCCCCCCAGATTTCTTACCAGCTTACCAGCTATCCAAGTACGTACATGCAAAGCCGGCACTTTCCAATCAAGATGGACTTATTAAAAGTCTCGCATAAGAAACACTTCTAAGTTTTAAGCGCCTTATTAATAACCTTGTACCTGTCAATGCGGGTACCCCGCCAAATAATCGCCTTAGTTCTTCACCCTCCTGAAACTACCTCCTTGAAGGTTGATTCTGAGCTATTTACGACTGTTTCGAGATTGGAATAGGAGGTTATCCTTGCATTTCTTAATATTTCTTAATGGAAGAATATCGCGTAACTACCAAACTTTATCTATCTTAGATCTAATACTTCAATATCGGAGTATACAATACATCCAAGGTCCGGTATGACTGCCTCGTGTGCAATTAATATAGGCGCATGTACTTCCAATAGCCGTTGTTGCCTTAGGCCTTCACAGAGGCCAGCTTTTGTGGTGCACGGATCTAGGTTGCATCGAGCTGCATCTATGTTTCCTAACCAAAGAATATGTCACATCGTCAGGCATCTCCCACCAGGCTCATCTATTGCTCCTATCCAAATACGGAAGTCCTTAGTTTAAGCTGGTTATCAAGGCTGAGGTTACGTTGATTTGCCTTATGACGGACACAGACTCGGATGCAGAGCCGGATAGCACTCCGGCCACGCCGGCGCTGCAAACGCCGCCTAGGAGCGCCAAGTCAGAAGAGTATCATCACCCCTGGTCATTATACCATGCCGCCGCAACTCCTCAATCATCACCACCAGCTTCGCCGTCATTACCGTCCTTGCGTCTTCATTCCTTGGGCATGTCTCCGTTTTCCCCAGCGCGTCGCCAGTTTTCATCACCTCTTATTAAATCAGCATCCGCTCTACATCTAACCGAGGTAGGCCGATCTAGACGAGAATCCGTTGTACAAGACAGCAAAGATGTCCTCGTGCAGCGACTAAATGATCTTGCTGCTCAGTTGAGCAAGCAGGACAATATACAAGAGCACAATGTTAATACTCTCCATGCCAAAGTGGATGAGATGGAAAAGGCCCTATCCGCGAGAGACTATCAGCCGAGTCGAAGATCTCTAAGGTCTAGACCTACCAGCCTGGTACTCCAGGATAACAAAATTGAGCGCGACTCCTTTTGGGGACCGCTAACACCAGGGCACACGATGCCTAGTATTTCGACCACGCCTTTACCTACATACGCATCTTCATCAACCCAAACCGAAGGAAGCCTTAATGCTCTTGAGGTCGCTGTCGCTAAGGGGTCTCAGATGTCGGCAGTGCAGGCTAGTCGAATCGCCACGGAAGCACAAAATTTGTGCAAGGAACTAGAAGAAGTTGTCTCGGGTCTACGCGCTCGGCAGGAGGAGACAGATGTAAGAGTGTTACCAGCCACTTATATAAGCACATTCTGTCTAATACGTATGTAGCATATTCACGAACTATTTATCACACGTGCAGAACGCGCCGCGCAGAGAATCATTTATCTCGAAAAGCGGGTTAAGGAGCTGTAAGTTTAGCCAAGTCGGCCATTACTCGAAGTTGTGACCGATGCTGACAACCACGGGAAAGCGAATGTGAGCGAAACGAAGGTGAGATGGAGATGCTCAGCCTACAGATTCAGCTAAAGGCGATCGAGGTGCAGTGCTTAAGCTACGTGCCGAAAGATGCCGATGAAGAACTGCGAGAGAGTATATCTGCATGGAAAACGGAGTGGTCTGCCTTAAAACGGAAAAGAGCCCGGAGAAAAGCTAGCGCAAGCGAAGATACCGGGACATTAGGAACTCCTACCAGACAGCCGAGAATTACGGGTTTTCCAAGCTGAATTATATTTGTACATCATTTGCCTGCTGAAGGGTGTCTGGCGGTCTAGGGGTATTTCTTAGAGGGGCAAACAACGGTGCCGATCATACGTATATTTCATCAGCTTGAGTTTGCCCAGCAGGCGCTCAGCATTGTATATATGTCAGTGTAACCAAGGCTGGCTGAAAGAATTTACAAAATCAGACAATCCTACCGAGCATATCGTTTGTGGGATAGCACTCAGAAGTTGATGCTACACGGGAATTGGCATAGGTTGCACGAGTTGCGCAGATCCGTTTTCAGTTATAAAATGTGCAAACAATGAACTCGGTAAGACATGGAAGACGAGATGGTATCTATCGAGGTACCTAACATGAGACTTGCTTGCCTCGCCTAAGTTCGAATATTACATACGAATATTACCTAGGTACATACCTCTATACCTATACCTATACCTACCTTATACCTAGACATGCAGTACATGTACTACACACCACATGACCTATCGCATCGCCGACTTAATGGTTCAGCAGATTCGATGCGACTGGGGGGACACGCGGGACCGCGGAATGCCGGCAAAATCATTTATCACTCTACATCTTAATACTACCGATTAAATCATTGATACAAATATACATCGCATATTTTATTAAAATTCGCTCTAGGCGCTTACTACAATTATAAGTACCTATATTCCATTTACCCAGGACTAATAGTAAATTCACTATAAACCATCCATCAGTATTTGCACAATATTCAGGACCGGGAAGAAAGTAACTGTAGCGTAAGAAGATGATAAGCTTATTGAAAAAGTGCGGTTCGGATTACGTCATAGGTCGCCATTTGGGGGTCTTAGCCAATTATATGGCGTATACCCCAACTTTGGGATGACCATGCCTTCCTCCGCTTTCCTTTGTGTCGGGAGAAAGAATACGTACAGGTTACAATTAGGTATCTACAGCAGATCTTGGTGGAGAATAATGCGTGCCATAGTGGAAGCAGCTGGGTAAGGTCCATAGCTGCAAGGCTTTCGTGTAACATCTGATTACATAGTACCTACCTCCTCCTAAGTAGGTAGGTATACATACCTGTAGTATAACTCACAACTTACAACTTACAACCCCCAACCTTATAACATATGTTAAAAATTGCATTTTCTACAATTAAAATGCCTTGGCTGATTCTAGATGTCATACCGGCTCACACGAGAGCTCCAAGTTACTCTCGGTATGCATAAAGCTTCATCCGGCATTGGCATAGTCATGTCAGCCGTATTGGCCGCATCAAAGCTGATTCTCTTCACTTACATGGATAATGTGGTAGTACAATCTGTAATCTTTTTGGTTGCCGTTCCCGCGCAACGTAGCTTCGAAGGATTCTACCCTATCACGTTTTTAATATAATCAAATTCCGAAACAGTAGGTATCTGGTCTGTCAACCATCGCTATCCATGCTGTCGTATGTAAATCATACCAGCAAGCTTGGAACTATCGACGTCACCGCCCTCTCATATTGCACCTGATGTCCTAGAAGGCTAATCGGTGAATTATAGCGGACGGAAGCTTGGGTATCCTTGGCAAAAAGCAAAAAGACTAGTAGTCATCTTCCATTGGTTTACCCCAGGAATACTATACTCTAGCAAGTCTAGATCCCTGCTATGGCGAATAGGGCAACACTACAAGATGACGTCGCCTCATCTTAGGGTAATCCTTCAATTACTCTTTGACCAACGAGGCTCGAGGTATAGTCTTTGTACTACACCACATCTCATCCGTCATATACAACTCTCACGCGATGATCGACAGTCGTTTTTTTCGAATAAAGGCTGCCGAGCCCTAGCCCCCTTGGTCGAGTAGTCTTCTCGCTGTGTGGCTCGTCAAGCGGTGTCAGAGCTTCTCACTGCCTTGTCTAGTCGACTAATATAACTAGTCCCGTTCTTACTTATCGTTGCTCTTTTGTCCGTGTCAATTTTAGTTTCAGTTTCATCTGTGCCCTTCTATATAAGCTTATATTAGCACTGTATCATCCTATAGGGAACGAGATAAGTAGACTGAGCACCAAACGTGTCCTACAACACAACTTCAGAATCGAGTGATTGATACCAAGATATGGCTTCTAATTCGGGAGATCCGCCCAAAGACGGCCCATTAAAAGAAAAGACTGAGAAGATCCAACCTCGAAAAGGGTCAGGCTATTCAGACGCGTCTCCATCCGAACTCGAACATCGGGAAACTACAGACAATATACTAGATGAAGGAGAGAGACGACGTCTAGAGGCCACGGCCAAATTAGAGAATCCTCTTGCTGGTCTCTCTCCAACACAGCTAGCCCAGCGAGGTGAGGAGTTCTGTGTGAAGCACGGCCTCACTGATGCAGACGACATTCGCGCTTTCCGACTCGGCGCTATGATCGCCGGTAACTTGAACAAGTACGACACCGTCGACGAGCTTACCGATCGTGAAAGAGAGGTGCTCGACAGGGAGATTACACACAAATGGTCAAACCCCACCATGCTCTATGCCGTTATCGTCATCTGCTCGCTCTGTGCCGCCGTTCAAGGTATGGATGAGACTGTAGTCAATGGTGCGCAGTCCTTCTATAAGGCGGAATTCGGGATAGGAGACTCCAGCTCTCAAAGAGGTGAGCTATAAAGGCGTCGATGCATATTAATTCTACGTACGTACTAACTAATGTGTCTGAAAAGATTCGTGGTTACTGGGCCTCGTCAACGGTAAGTCTACCCTTGTTAGCGAACACTTAAACGATAACTGACAACCCTCCAGCTGCACCATACATATGCTGCGCTTTCGTCGGTTGCTGGCTCACGGAGCCAATGAATAAGGCTTTTGGACGCCGTGGCACCGTCTTCATTTCTTGTGCCATATCAGCTTTAGCTTGTTTCTGGCAAGCCTTTACAAACACTTGGTGGCATATGTTCATCGCCCGTTTCGCCCTCGGGTTCGGTATTGGCCCAAAGTCGGCTACGACCCGTAAGTTGTCACTTCAGCTACAAAACGTGATGAATATCGACGGCGCTAACTATGTATAAGCCATATTTGCTGCCGAGTGTTCCCCGCCGAAGCTTCGCGGTGCTTTGGTTATGCAGTGGCAGATGTGGACTGCTTTCGGTATCATGCTAGGATACGTAATGGATTTGGCCTTCTTTGATGTCCCTGATTTGTCAGGAATTATAGGTCTAAATTGGCGCCTTATGATGGGATCTGCCCTGATACCTGCTGTTATCGTCTGTGCCATCGTATACTTCACCCCTGAGGTAAGTAACATAGAACCCCTCGTGATTCAATAGTTACTAAACACGTCTCATAGTCGCCTCGGTGGTACCTTACCAAAAATCGACATGTCGATGCTTATAAGTCTATCTGTAAGTTGCGGTATGAAAAGGTCCAGGCCGCGCGCGACCTCTTCTATATGGACACTCTCCTTCAGATCGAAAAAGAGACTATGAACATAGGCCAGAGCAAAATCAAGGAAATCCTTACCATCCGTCGAAACCGAAATGCCATGATAGCATCAGAGATCGTGATGTTTATGCAACAGTTCTGTGGTGTTAATGCCATTGCATATTATTCGACGGAAATTTTCGTTGAGAGTGGCTTCTCTATTCAATCTGCTCTCGTGGCCTCGCTTGGTTTTGGCATCGTCAATTTCTTGTTCGCTCTTCCTGCGTTTTACACTATCGATACGTTTGGCCGGCGCAATCTACTCCTTACTACTTTCCCTGTAAGCTCATCCCTTTATAGCCACCAAATTCTTAGGATAGTAGCTAATTTTTTGATATAGCTGATGTCCCTTTTCCTATTTTTCACGGGCTTTAGTTTTTGGATCCCGGAGGATAGTACCGCGCACATCGGTTGCATCGCGTTAGGTATATACCTATACGGCGTGGTTTACTCTCCAGGCGAAGGGGTAAGAACAGTTCGGTATCCCCCGAAAAATTCTTAATGCTAATTGCCTCTCAGCCCGTCCCATTCACATATAGTGCAGAAGCGTACCCGTTATACATCCGTCCAATTGGAATGTCACTTGCAACGGCGACGACGTGGCTCTTCAACTCGGTGATCTCTCTCACATGGCCAGCGTTGACTCAAGCCTGGACTCCTCAAGGTGCATTCTCATGGTATGCAGCGTGGAACATTGTTGGCTTCTTCCTTGTACTCTTCTTCCTTCCCGAGACTAAAGAGAAGACGCTCGAAGAGCTTGACGCCGTCTTCAATGTTCCACTCCGTAGCATCATGCGTTACGGCGCAGACCAGTTCTTGTACTTCTGGGGCCACTATATCTTCCGCCGCAACATGGCGCCACCTAAGGTCCCATCCGCGACCCCGACGATCGAGTATACGAGGGAACAATTCTCCGAGGAGAAGACACACGATGCAACTGCTCGCGTCTAAGCGACTGGCATCTTAGTCTTAAGGGTTTATTAGCGTTTTTCTTTCTTTTTCTTTGCAATGTGTACAATGCTATGTCACTTTCTGAGCAAGTTGGCTACCTAACCTAGCAATGGACGCAATTTAAGGGTGACGAAAACTGGGTAACGATTACTTTTCGCGGGAGTGTCTCTCATTAATAACTTTTGGATACCCATTTTAAGAACTACCCATTCAATTAAATAACTAAATATGTCGATAGTGATGGACTACTTACCTAGGTAGGCATATAAAGCTACTACTTTACTGCAATTGAGTTTGGGGGTGTTTTTTTTTTTTAAAAAAAAAAAAAAAAAAAAAAAAAAAATAATGAAACTAGCTGAGTGAATTGGTGTATTCAGTAGAGTAACTTAGCAGCCAATTCATATCTCGAGAAAGTAATAGTCAGAGGTCACCTTTCCTCCTCGAGCTCCTTTCCTTTTAATAAACATGGACTTCGTTAAGATCATACCCTTACGAATAGCGAAAAACTATTCTCAAATTCTACTAAGGCAAGGGAAAGGCTCATATTGTTATAATACTACTTATTAGAAAGCACGCAGTAAAACAGAATGCATTATTAACTACCTAACCTTCGACGTCGTAGTCAGTACCTGTTCACAACTAACTATCTGTAAACTTGAAAGCATGCACTTATATGTAGCAACACGAGCTATTAGGACCATGCAATTTGACCCCTAAATACCGTAGTTGAGGCTTGCTTAGTCGCTATCACTGTCGTCGCTTTCGACGATTCGAAAATTGCTGGGTTCCGTCGGACGAGTCGCATAAGCCGGTGGCGCAAAGAATACTTTGCGAGTGTCCTGTAGACTATTAGTTACCAGGTAGTGTACACTAGGTATGACTTAGAAGCACTTACTCCTTTGAACCATTTTTTACCGGGCTGATTATCCGGGATCTTAGGTGGCAATTTACTGCCTTCCGCCGAACCCCCGTCCGTGGCCTTTTCGACACTCTTGCTAGAACCAGGGGCGAATGGGCTGTAGTTGTACAGCCGAAAAGTAGGTTCATCGGCAGGTGCGGTGGAGCCGGTTACCGATTGAGCCTTACCGTTATTAGTGGAGTTCACAACGGAGGCGGTAGGTGTAGCGGGACCCCTATGATCAGATTCGGGACTAACAGGTAGGTTGGTGGAGTCGGCGCCCCGCCACATCGGGTTGAGCGATTGAATCATCGTGTCATCAACCTGACCAGCCTCAATTCCATTAATACGAGCCTGCTGGTAATCGGAATGAACTCCGCTAGGTCTATTACCAACAGCGGGACCGGGAGACGCAATGGTAGGAGCTTCGTTTTGTATGCCTGTCGCCTGCGCCAGAACCTGGTGAGGGAGCAACTGAGAGTTCGGGGGACCGTAGGGGGCCTCCTCTCCGTTGAAATTGCATACCCATAGAGTACAGGGTATGCATTGCTATGATGGTTAGTTAACAATAATAGAATGTCAATAGGGCACTAAAACTTACTGCATTAGGGTCGTTACGCTGGTTCTTGCTGAAGTGATCCCTGTGTTTCCACAGACCACAAGGACCATTGCACTTGATTTCTTGTGGTACTGCTGTCTGTTTTGTATGCTCTTTGCAAATGAGCCCAGCATTCTCGGGAGTGACGCCATCGCGACCCTTGATCTTCTGCCATTTGGAAATCTGGTTTCGAGAGAACTTGTCAGGGGCAAGCCACTCGCCACCAACAGCACACATAAACCTAATCGCGATATTAGAAAAAAACATGAAATATCACACCATCAAATACTTACATCTGCGGAGTACCGTTACCGTGTGCCATCTTGAACGTTGTTTGACAGTGCGACAAGTAAAATAGCGATAATAATCAGAATAGATATATCACTGACTATCACTCCTACTGTTATAATATGTGTTAGTAGAAGGCGCGAACCGGGTTAAGTATGGATAGAGCGTATGAGGAGGGTAGATATCAAATATCAAATACGCAAAAAGCATATGTATTATAGGAAAGTAGTACCGATGTCTTTAGAGATGAACGAGGGTGGGAGAGTTGAATGCATGCTAACGTACCTTATGATTTCTTGCGTGGGGAAAAGTAATTGCTCAATTATTTGAGATACCGATTCGGGCAAGGTCAAGTTAAGAGTGTCGAAGCAGAACGAGAAAGACGAAATAGAGATGTGCCTATTTCAGGTAACGAAGGTTGAAGTGATTTCCAGTTGCAGACCTAGTAGGATGTAAGCAAAGGTACCTAGGTGGCGCTTGCTGTAATAGCAAGGAGAATCTATTCGGTGGGCTAGTGGCAGGTACCAGTTAAACACACGAAGGAGAATTAATAGTTGAATAGAAGTGTTGCCGGGGAGACGAGAGGGCATCTACTCGAAGGAGGATATCGCCCTGGAAATGTTCATGAAGTGGAAGGGGAAAGGCAAGATAGGTAGAAGGATGATGCTTACCGTGATATCAGTTTTATCGAGTACCGTGGCGAGGCGAACTCGGTGGTTGTTGTTAACTACCTCCTAGATCGATATCCCAGGCGCTTATGAAATATTGGATGGGATATGGCGGTTGTGTATAGGATGGGGGAGATATTGAGTTGGAGGAAAGACTTAGGTAAGTTTTAGATTGAGAAGAAACCGCCAGGGTTTACATAATAGGTTAGGTAGGTACCCAAGAGACGGTATGTTTTATGGCAAGTACGTTATGTGGCAAGTATCGTGGGCCTAATGCCTTCCAAACGCGTCAATAGTGAAGGTTAGATAGGTAGAAACCAACGCGGAAGGGTACTTTATAGAAGGTACCCTTCACGTTGATGTTTCCACATTTACATAACATCATTATAAGCCTATCATCTACGGAGTTTCGTAAGCATGTGGTGATTATCATTCATATTTCCAACTAGCGCTAACTTTGTAATAAATGGTATAATTCCGTTTCAGTTTAAAATATCCTTTAGTAGACCTCTACAAGTGTTACCCGAGTATTTGAAAGTGACTAGGTTATATAGGAATTGTATCAACATTGCTACCTAATCTACCTGCTGTGATGAGAGAACTATAAGGTAAGAAGAAAATTATATATAAATATCCTCCTTGTAGTTCATGACTTGAAACTGGAGGTTATGAGAGAAAGTGTCCAAAGGCCGGGAAACTTTTAAGATATGAACTAATGCACCTATATGGTAGTTTCAACATGTTAAATGTCTCGTGAATTTTGTACCTAACTCTGCTTAGCTACCTAATTTAAAAATTATACGACTAACTTTACCTAGGGTGACATATCTTATAGGAAATATAATATTAATATACCTGGTGAGCCTAGAGATCGAATCAAGAAATAATACTTATAAGGTACCTATATATTAAAATTTCGGCAAACAGTGACTTTTGGGGGGTCTAAGTACCAGTAGGACGCAAGCTTTCAAATTTTAATATATTTACAACATGTGTAATACGAGTATAAACGATATGAAATATACATGATGTAAATCGGGAGTTTCGATGACAAGTTATCGCAAAACGCAATATGGGTGGAGCGGTTGGATCTGGTACAATGGATTTATCCCTATTTCACCCTATTGTATACCCCTTTCTTAGGAAATACGCCATCCGATAATATCCCGTGAAGATCACGGAGGAGGTCCGGCTACTCAATTTGAATATAACATGTCATACATTCCCATATGTGTATCCTCTCCTATGAGTGATAGGACGTCACTGTCGTGTATACCACCATAGGGCGTTCTTAAAGCTAGTCATACTAAAAGGACACCACCCTCGAGAGCCCGCCCAAGGCATTGCCGCGGTAATAACTTGCCGGTGTCTTCCTTAGCGAAATATTCCGGCCCCGTGGACTCTCCCGATAAAAGAATTGTACGCTCAACCATCCCTTTCTCACCCGAAAGCGTGACACCGATCATATGCTGTGCGTACCACGTAGATTTCTCCCGAACATCGATGCCTTAATAACAGGGATGATCCCATTCATGATGCCAATCTGTTGCCCGGCTTCTGCCAAGGACGGTAATGCTCTACTGTGACCACCCGTGAAGTGCGGAGACACTTGAATGAAGGCTTTAGGCGTTCAACTAACATTATGGCTTCCACCCCTTATCATAATGAAGTCTTGTAGATAATATAATATGGAATGTTTCTAAATTATCTTTATTTGTTTTGGTATATCTCCATTCTTATGAGCGGCAGGACTGTTTGAATTTCCAGTTAATAATGGCGGAACAGCTCTCTGCGTACGACAAGATCAACCACCCGAATATTCATACTCGTAACTGGGAGGCCCAAAGTGTTCGTATAGTGGAGTCTAAATATCCGGCAAACGGTGCGTCCCAACCTAGGCCGCTTTCTTGCGGCCACCCTCGAGTGTCCTTCAATGGCAGTAGCCGCCCATCCAACCTAAGATATCAGCATAACTCGAATAGCTCAATACTAATGCCTACCGATTTGTAGATGAGCGTAGGACAGAGGGGGATGAAGGTAAAGTTGGCCTTCATAACCTTGATGCAAACGCTGATGAAAAGCAGCCGAAGCGGCCGACGGATATCGGATCGCTAAGCCTCATCAGGAGCAGTCAACTTCAAGTTCTTCAAATTCAATCACATCTTCTTCTATCGAAAGTGCAAGCACGACTAGCACATCTGCTATCAGAACCCCGTCAAGCCTAAAGAACACGGAAATAGGAGACACGTCACGTCCGGGGGTCCGTTTTTCTGACCGCGGACCCCCTCGTACGTCTACCGGCCACCCTACGATCTATCGACGGTCCAGCATTGGAGCTGGGACAGGAGTAGAATGGGGTACCCTGTTTGACGATAACGGGTACGCTACCACGCGAAACAATCAGTTTCTTAGAGGCCTGGCAAAATACATTGTATGCTATTATATATAAGAAGAGAGATGATACAATATCAACGACTAATGCACCTAGGGTCACAGATCGATGATTTGGCACCTAGTAGTAGTAACCTTGTTATCACGCCCGAGAAGCTATGTGCTCTCTATTCGAGATACAGACTGAGTCCGGAGATCTATCCTTTTATAGGTGAGCTTTGGTCAATTTGTCTAATGATATCCGAGTATTCTCAACTTGAAGGTTTACACATATATGATATGATTATGGGAGCTTTGCTGAAGTAAATAAACAGAAATCCTCAATTCTAGAGCTAGGGATGCCCATGATCGTCTCGCCGATTTCTTCACAGATCTAGACTGTCAGTACCATCTAGTGCAACCCGATTTCTATTCTAGGCCAAGAATCCCTGCTTTGACACCCGCTGGGTTCGCCCAGTATTTTACCACATGTATCCTTGCGCATCCTGATGAGGAATTCCGCCGTCTTGACAAGATTGTAGCGGATGTTCAGCTTGTATCTGATACCCCTGTCGATGGCGAGCCCGAAAGACTTCCCAGACAGTTGTTCCGCAGTCAGTTTCCCGTGAGGCACGATCCTAAGTCGAAGAAGATCCTGACCGCTGCGATTGACGACTTGATATACGATCTTAGGCTGTTGGAGCCGTCCAGCCCGAGGTCCCCACTGGCAATTATGCCGCCGCCACCACCGTCGTCGAGTAACAAAGACCGAAGTATCGTCCCCGTAATTCGCCGTTATGTCATTCCCGAGGAGTACACAAGGAGAGATGAATACAAACTCGCCGCTAGCTCCGAGGCGGGACAACCCTGCGGACGATACCAACAGAGTATGAATGATGAGAAATCTGGTCGGGCTCTTATGGGTAACCGGGACCGTGAAACCTACTACGGGCGAGAGAGAAGTCATTACAGCAAAGAATCCAGCGGCTACCGACCTATCCCGTCGGGCGATGCTGGTAGTATTGTACTCTATTCCCCGAAAAGCACGTATCAGCGCGCGCGGAGTCCTCCGCCTAGGGGCTATCGGGCCTCGGCGCCGGACGTTAGCAACGCATCTACGAGCTATTTTAGGCCTGCTGGATACCTGCCGCAGCCGCCGCTGACCATCGCAGAAAGGCGCGAGTATGCAATGAACCCCGTGAACCCAAGCGCAGCGGCTGAAGACGGCGCTCGAGAGGAGATTAGAAGACGCGAAAGCAGTGGCGGACGGCTCGAAACGGAACCACTTCTAATAGAAGCCGCTGCCCAAGAGAGCGATAATAAAGGTACGATCAGCAAAGCGCCGGCTTCGAGTCCAACCACAGCTACGAATACATCTTCGACGCCGCTAGTCGCTACTACGACCCAGCGGCAGCACTCACGCCGTGATAGCAACGGCAGTAAGAAAGGAATTACAAATTCGACTACGGCATCATCAGAGGCAATGAACACCGGTGAGAAGAAGCACCATCACGGCCATGGCCATAGTCATAATCACAGCCATAACCATGGGCACCATCGGCGTCGTAGTGTGGTGGAAGACGATAAAGGGCCGACGTGGGAGGAAGTGCTAAAGTCGCCGCCCTCTTCTCACCACCATCACCATCACCATCATCACCATAAAACGGAGAATAACAGTAAAGGAGGGAGCAAAATTCAGCATTCCCGCCGTCACTCTACCTATTAAATGTAGTCCTCTAGTCTCGCTACGTTTTGCTTGACTAAAAAGGGGGTAGGGGTAGGAAGAGTAAGATATGGAAAAGGAGGAGCGTAACATATAAGATTAAGATTAGGTTGATTAATGTACCTAATTAGGTAGTCATTCGCTACATACCGTGGTAATTAGGTGCGTTAGAGCTACCGAGGAATATGTGTTGAGGTAATTATTAAGTAGAAAGGGGGAGATTGATCTAAGATATGTTAATTCAGATGATATTACTACCAATACAACGTCGTTTTATTCATTATATCATTATATATTTCCTAGTAGTTCGCATTAATTCGAATTAAATTCATATTAAAAGTGTACCAACTCTAAACTAAAGAACCACGATATCGCTATGCGTGCCACGCATAAATATACAACAATTATAACACATATACTCAACCGCGACCAGCTTCTAAACTTGGCTGACCTCTATAAGGCGTACTAACTCGAGCTACTCCTACTGTCCCATCATCCCACGAACACACATGGTTTTCAACGTGTTGTAAGTCGGACTTAGGTTCAGTATGTGCTTCGTTGGTATCATCCTGTTGCGGGTTCACGGTCTCATACTCGAGGGCTTTGATGAAGATATAGAAGCTAGATGCAAGCAGCGAGCCTAAAATGGGGCCAATCCAATAGATCCAGTGGTAGTCGTGGAAGGACCTTATGACGACGGCGGGGCCGAAGGAACGTGCTGGATTTACGCTTCCACCTGTATAGTACACTCCCCTATAGAATGGTATATTAGTGCTGCTTCTATTAAGGGATTTGAAGTGTTCTGAGATGGGCCGGGAGAAAGGTTAAGGAACAGACGAAACATACATAAGCTCGGCAATGAACAACGACAACCCAATCCCGACAGGCGCGATAAATGTCCCGCGATGCTTCTCGGCAGCTAGCATAAAAATGGTGAACACAAGCTGGGCTGTGAGAAACATCTCAATGAACAAGCCCTGAACCGCCGTCGTTCCACCACCTAGACTGGTGCCTACGCTGAGTGGACCGGGCGTGAGACCAGAGATGACAGCCGCAGCCGCAATACCACCTAGAAATTGACTAAATATAACCAAAGGTCCTCGGATATAATCCACGGCACCGACAAGCATCATACCCATCGTGACGGCGGGGTTGAATAGACCGCCACTGATGCGGAAGAAGACCCAGGCATTGACGGCAAGGCTCATACCGAAGCATAGAGATATGTACAGCAACTTAGCTGGATCTGCGGCTGGCGTTCCCGGCAGGTTCGTGTTTACGGCGTTAGTACCACCGAACGCGAACAAGAGGAACATGAAGGTCCCTGCAAACTCGCTCATCGTCGCAATGAGGTGGTTCTTGATACTGAGCGGCAATCGGTCGAGTGGACGTAGGCGATTAGATAGCTCTGACTCGCTATGTCTTTTCCAAGGCCGTCGGATACGCGTGTTGAACTCAGTATGCTCCATGGTACTCGGGATACGGTACGAGTACCTAAGAATGCAACTGAGAATAGTAAAATTAAGGGTTGCAATTAATATCGACGTCCTGAAGGGATTCGAACATGTATGTATGTATGGAATCAAACTGTAAGATGATGCTTAAGGGCAATGAGAATCTTATATAAACCACTTTTTGTTAAGAACCGCTTAATATTGTCTCCTACGTAGCCTACCTCGAGAACTTACTGCGATGTGATAGTTTCCTTACCTATTAACACTACTGAACCTACGTCAAGAAGCTCCGTTAATGGCAAAGGCCATGGACTCGACCGAGGATCCATCGGCATGCCGCACCTACTTTCTAGCTATATACTCAAGTAGCTAGGTAGGTAGGCATAGCATCTCTTCTTCACCAATTCTTGAATCAGCAATACAGCTAGCTTGGAAATTGAAGAGAGTATGCGGGGTGCGCATCGTAGTGTCCGTCCTATTTGGCTATGTTCAGACTCTTGGGAACCCGTAATCTTGTGCGCCAGTAAGGACCCGTGAATTTCTCGTCATCGATCTATCTCTAGGTGAAATAGAACTTCATCTATTCGAACTGACTGACTGGGGTGGTGTTGAAAATTGCAGTCGAAATATCCAAGAAATCGTCACCTATGGGGTTAGTGTGAAGCGTGATTCAGAGTAGCCACACGGTTGGGTTGGTCCATGAATCGTATAAGGTGCCCATGACATCAATAGCATCGACGAAATCCTGACCTGAACACTACAGAATTCGGATGACAACATGTTTCGCGTCTCCCGACTAGAGCCGTAAGAGTCTCTTCGAATGTAATGTCCCTGTACACTCGTCTTTTACATACTGCCTACCTAGGTATCAAGATGAGGATGTTTTATAAGACACCATATCCATAATGTTTATGCTACTGGGTAGAGTAGCCTGAATTATATTGGCAACGGGAACGGCCCGTGTTCCACAAACAGTCAGCCTGATCTCGGATAGACATTCAATGTAGAGCCACCACCATCGCCTTGCTTCGCATCTCGTAGCCACACGGAAGGTTCCACTATAAGCGATTAAGTCGATGAGCAAAAAGAAAATTCCGCAGGTAGTCCGGACCCTCTACATAGCAGTATGCCTGAACTTGGCGGAGAATAACCCGACATGCAGAAATAAAAGCATGGAGGAAATAGATCGGCCGTCAAGGATGGTAAAACACTGGCTCCACGATCCGCGCTGGAAGCCCCTGGACTTATACCGCATTCGTGCTTCTAGAAGAAGGCGTCGAAGACCCGCCAACCTGCGAGCCTATCCTTGGGATCCGGGGCTATTATGCGCTTCGAAGGCGCGTTTTAAATTGAAATCGCTGACGCTTGAAAGACGCACCTTGCAGCAATAAGAGCAATAAGCATAGATGATATTAAACATGCATCTGTCATCGACATCCCGTTCTCCACCTTATTACCACCGATGCGCTCTGGCCGTTCTTAAGTTCGTGCGACGCCGTAGGGACCATGCGGGCAGTGATCCGTGGACCATGGACCATGGACCATGGACCATGGACCGTGAACCGTAGACTACGTGGATAAGCAGGTGATCGCCAACGATTTAATCCCTACGACTTAAGTTTGGAGCTTGAGCTTGAGCTTGAGGTAACCAAGTATCTACCCGTAATCACGATCTTTTTATGAGCCACCATTTACCAAGACTCAATAAATAGCCGTGTTTACCGTCTTTCTAGGTCTTTTGAAATCTTTTGAAAAGATGGTCTGTCGCGGAAAGAAAGTCGGCATGTCAACAATCAACAATACACACACACATATACAAAGATGATGTTTACTGGCATTGTTGTTGTTGTTGTTGCATGATTTTGAATGGTTGAAACTACCTAATATTTTGTACTCACGTATACAAACGCGTGAGAATCAAGTTTACGCGTTCCATGCTTAGTTTCTATCTATGCAATGGCAAGAGCGGCAATTTTCAGTAACGGTACCCAAATACAGTCATCCGCATGCAATTATGTGCATAATATATGGAACCAGCACCTAATGCCCAATGTACATAATCCGTACATGGATGTAACTTAAGTACTTAAAGTAAATATGTATATCAGGTACATACCTATCACGCGTTCAATTCAACATTGAATGAACTCAGGGGTTCCTCGTGGTCTGAAAAGAGTTTAGACTGTTTAATATATATAATGTGGTACCGAGTATCCATTCATGCAAATTTAGGGTGCAATCATTGCTCAAACCACATGTTAGAAAAAATACCTACCGTATAATAAGGAATCCTGTATAAATCGAGCTGGTTAAAGATGGAGAAACTGTCTTCAAGTGATCGATGAAAGTTTCCGATTCTTAGATATATGTGCTACATATATACCTACCTAGGTATATATATAGATAGTTATATATACCTATTTTCAGTTCTGTCAAAATATAGGTGACAGTTTAAATTGCTACGTATGTACAGAATAATACCTCTCACATGTAGCTAACATATCAATGTAAGCTTTCTCCACATGGACATGGCCTTTTCTAACGGATGGTGCCTTTTTAACCCGCGGTATGTCCCTTGCTCCGGACTTTGCCTAGAAAGGCTTAAGTTGATTGGGTCGTTTTCGTTCAATGTGCGTCCACGTTGCCCGATGGTGAGGAACACTCCATTGGCAGGTCTAAACGGGCAGTAGTCCCTGCGTATCATGCATTGCTCTTGACCAAAATTGGGATTTTACATTCTCGGCCTCCCTTTTTAGTGTACATATGTCCATATCTTACCTTTAAAAGATACATATACTGCGTAATGTACTTACTGGTGGTTCAATTCAATTCAATTCTAAAGACGGTGTGACCAATCTATTCTCGAGGTAATCGAGACACTTAATCTTGTCAGCCTCTCTCTTTTTCCTCATCGATCGCCCCCGCTTGGAACCAGCTTCTTCCCCGACCCAGCAGTGGGATGGGATGCTTATGTACTTACAATCGCGCAACTCTCGGCCCCCCTTTTTCTATGAACCGCGGTCACGCAGGTACGGATCTTGATTACCTAAAGCACCCTGGGAGTTCGTCAGTTGAGTTGGGTTGAATATATATGTATATCATCATATGAGTACATGATGATACATCGTCTGCCACTTTTAGACACCATTTTATATGTACATTTGAGGCTTGAACAGAAGGAATATTGTCTTATTCTGAAAAAGCCACAGATCGGTAAGGCGCAGCATATTCAAGCTGGAGCGAGTTATTTTTATTTTTTTTTACGTGCCTAAGCACCTAATATAGGTAGGACAATGAACAGGTATGACGAAACAGCCATTACTCTGCTCGTAGAAGGAAGACCTGCCGCCGTTCATATGCATCTGGCGTATTGATGGGAGATCGTAGATTGGGTACTTATCAGTACTTCTTGGTTTCACACCGAGCTTCGCCTCTAGGGTTAGGTACTTTAGATGATGCCTGTTAATCGGTCAATAGTATCATTCGTTACGCGATAAACCCATGCTGTTTATTGCTTCGTAGTTGAATATAGTACATACATAGTATACATACATAGGTAGGTATGCTTACCTCATAGTAGGTACATCTATGCTGAGTTGGCATTGATAGGTTGTAGTTACAGCAGGATATGATCCCAACCCACGCGTCTTATATTTATGTATTTGGATTCCCTATTAGGCAGCCCTTGTTTCTTCTGTGTAATGTCTATAAATCAGACGTCTTGATAAGGTAGGTCACCTCGACTGAATGTCATACTTATCTCAGCGCTGTATGCGTGCTTATTATATCCGGCTTCTCATCGTCTCTGGTGCTAAAGATGACAAGTATGGAGAATACTTGGGTAAAGTAAAAGAGAAATTATTCACATGGGTCTATCGATGATACGCGCAGGCGGCAGGACTAATGACCCATTGATCTAACTATCTAAGCAGGGCTAGGTTTCGAATGATGATACATTACAGATTTCGTCTTATTGCACATTTCAATAGCCTTCACAGTGCGTCATGTCTTCGTTGCGTGTATACTGAATAAATCCGATCTTGGTGGGATTTCGGCCCTGATAATTCCCTTAGGGTACGTCAACTACATGGGACCTAACGCCAACAAAATTTCAACGGAGGCAGGAAACATTACCGGTTAGTACATAGAGATGGCTGGTATTAGGTATGAATACAGTAAAAATAAATTATATATACACTATGTACAACGGTGTATCCGAGTAGTGCTTTTATGCAGTTAGGTTAGGTACCTAATAGTGATTTTCGGAATGCGCATCGGTACCTAAAGAGTTACTTTTAGAAAGCATTAGCTGCCGGTAGGTAAAGAGGTATATGACAGGTACCTTCGTAGGAATCACAAAAAGGCATGGCGATATTGGGTATCAAAAAGGGAAAATAAGACCATTGCTAATTAAACTAAAAAAAGGGGAATCCACCCGAATTGTAACTCACTAAAATTTTTCTCTCTTTTCATTTTCATACCCCTGGTCTTAAGCGTAAATTGCTAAGATTGGCTCGATTTTCTGGGCGACCCGACGTCTGCCCATAGGTGAGTAGCGAAATTGGTGTCATTATCATTATGCTTCCCGGGGAACTTTATTCATGCTAAGCTGCTTAAGCTGCCCCAAGATTCCCCTCCCCCCCCCTTCCCAGTTTCTAGCTTAGCGCATGAGAAGGTCCTGTCAGGTCCTGTCAAACACCTCTGAAATCACTTCAATCAATCAATCCATCCATCAATTCGTCCACTCATTCGAGATCCCTTCCCATCCGGCCATTCCAATTCGACCCCGTATCTCTTCTCCTCTCTCACTCTTTCTCCCTCACTCTCTTTTTTCAGTCTATGGTTTAGCTTTCGCTCATACTCACATACAGAAAGGTGCATGTATGCGCGATAAGAAAGCCGGTCCATTAGTTTTCACTATTAGTTTTTTCCTGCCTTCATTGAACTGTTGATTCCTCTCACTATTAGTTTTTTTTCCTTCCTCTCTTCTGGTTCGTTATTGCCTGGCGACGAGTTTCTAAGTCAATTTCACAAATACATTTTCGACACAATCAATTCGGCCAAAGAGATTAATCAAAGGCAGCATATTCGAAGAAAAGTTGCAAACTTGAAATAATAATAAATTGCAACGGTCAGAAATCTTACATCCTCTCCTTTTTTTAAACCAATATACGAAATCGTCAATCCGTCACTCCCTTGGATCCAACACGACGACATCTGATACGCTAGTAGGGAGTGTGCAGTATTTCCAGAAGCCCTCCCCCTACTACATCAGCTTTGACCACGCCGACCCGCCCCCCGGCATACTGGTTCTCATATCACCCCCTTGTCTCTTTTAATCATCTAAGTTACCCTATTAATCCATTCTCTTCCTGCTCATTTCCTGTCTTGTCCCCTCTGCATATTATCTATCCTATTTATTCTATCGTGGTGGATTTCGACGATTCTTTTGGACAACAGCGTCTAGTGTCCGCATATCAAGTAACCATCCTGACAATACCCGAACCGGCTCACCTTCTATATCAACGGTTCCCGCCAAGCTGAATGCACCCGTACACCAGTATAGCTCTTCAAGAGAGCTGTTAAGAGGGTATAGTGACTGTTCGAGAGAAGGTAGTCATATCTCTCTTATTCAGTAGGATTAAACAAAGGACTATTAGCAGCTGGCCATCGAGATCGAACAAGAGCACAGGAAATGGTCAACATGACGGTCACATATGATTCCCTCCGGGGGTCTTCGATACCTCAAGCTAACAAGCTGCCCCTTGAGGATCGATTCGAAGTTCTAAAGGAGATCGGTGATGGAAGTTTTGGTAGTGTGGTTCTAGCAAGGGTTAGGACTGCTGGTGCGAGCGTAGCTCGCCGTGGCACTGTGGTATGTCGGTGAATAGGTATAATGAGCAAGACAGTAGGCTAACTATGACTTTGTAGGTTGCTATTAAGACTATGAAGAAGACCTTCGAGTCCTTCACGCCATGTCTTGAGCTTCGAGAGGTTGTTTTTCTAAGAACATTACCGCCGCACAGCCATTTGGTTCCTGCTCTTGATATTTTCCTCGATCCATTCACCAAGAAACTCCATATATGTATGGAGTATATGGAAGGAAACCTGTATCAGCTTATGAAGGCCCGCGATCACAAGTGTCTTGACAATGGAAGTGTTAAGAGTATCTTGTTTCAGATTATGCAGGGCCTCGAACATATCCACGCCCACCACTTTTTCCATCGCGACATCAAACCCGAGAACATTCTTGTTACGACATCTGGACACCAAGACTCCGTTAACTCTTTTAGGCGGTATTCAGCATTGATGACACCGCCTTCTACGCCTCCAGCATACACCGTGAAGATTGCTGATTTCGGTTTGGCAAGGGAGACGCATTCCAAGTTGCCTTATACAACATATGTATCGACGCGATGGTATCGTGCTCCGGAGGTACTACTGCGAGCCGGTGAATATTCCGCACCGGTAGATATTTGGGCTGTTGGTGCCATGGCGGTCGAAATTGCGACATTAAAGCCTCTTTTCCCAGGAGGTAACGAAGTTGATCAGGTTTGGAGGGTTTGCGAGATCATGGGTAGTCCCGGAAACTGGTATAACAAAGCGGGCGCTCGAGTAGGTGGAGGAGACTGGAGAGAAGGAACACGATTAGCTGGAAAGCTTGGATTTTCCTTCCCGAAGATGGCACCGCACTCGATGGACACGATACTTCAGGCACCTCAATGGCCTGCATCTCTCAGCCAGTTTGTAACTTGGTGTTTGATGTGGGACCCGAAGAGCCGGCCAACGTCGACTCAGGCATTGGCTCATGAATATTTTACGGATGCAGTTGACCCACTACGACCGAAGTCGTCAGCATCGAGGATACTAGGTCGCAAGCAATCCGACATAAGCCGTGGGAAAGACACCACTTCTGGGACACCAACTTCATCCAAACCCTCATGGTTTAGGAAATCGTTGATCGGCCGCAACGATACCACGGAAAGTCCACCTGCGCCTATTAGTGTGAAGGATATAGTCGCGGCTCCGCGTCCATCGCCGATTCATTCACCCGAAATCGCGGAAGCACCCTCTGCCAAACCGAGGCCAGCCGCTGGTAAGCGTACTACATGGACTAATGGGCCATCGAATGTTGCTCCCATGCCGATTTTGCCTACGATTCGACCTATTTCACCCTTGTCGGATGCTGTGACTGCTCAGGCGTCCAACCGCACTCCTTCGTATAATGATTTATATGCCAGTGGAAATGACAAATCTAAAAAGATCGGTCGCCAGCTCTCGGTAGCCTCGAGCGCAAGCCATTATACCGAGATGCACCGGCAACAAGCCGAACGAGCTCTGAATGGCAATAGCGGGCTAGCTTCGCCCCCGAGTGGGCACAAAGAGAGCTTTTTTTCCCATCTACGCAAACGAGCCAGGAGATTTTCTGGTAGGCATCAAACTCCTGTCTCGCCTTCATATGAGGACCTCGAGGCACAAGCAGGCTGTGGGCCTTGGTCTAGCAACCGATCCTCAATGGTCATCGACCAAAACGGATCTACGGCGAAGGTGGACAATTATGAATCATTGGATCGCACTTTACACGACTCTCATAATCCTGCGCTGGGTACTCCTGCACCACCTATTCATATGACTGCGTCAAATGGTAATTTGAAGCGACATCATTCATTACCTCATCAGCAACCTAGATCTGTTGATAATCTTATCGGAGTTGCTCGTACACCCGGGCCAATCTCTAGCCGAACGAGAAGGGCGCAAGCAACTCATGGTGTGCAGAGCGATGCCTTAGACGAGGAAGATGAACTGCTAGACGAAGCACTTCACTCTACCCATAAGGCCATGAAGCGACTCGAGAAGGAAGGAAAGACCAATCTTCGACAATCAGCCAGTAATGTTGGGCTCTCGAACCCGTATCCGACGCCGTCCCCATCAGCTAGTGGAAATGTCGTGCTTTTCGGGGACGGCCATGAATCCCTGGCACCTAAGCCGTTAGACTTACGCAAGAATTCGGGACGAGATGGTCAGAACAAGTGGCCTACTCCTCCGTACGAAGAAGGCGAATGGGCATCTTCGGCGGCTGCAAGTATTTGGGCTGCTGGTAACAGATTCTAAACATTTCGATTGGCATTGGTTATTTCACATGTTCCTCATGGCACGGTGTTGGGAGTTCATTTAGGGGTTTCTATGGAGTCTTAAAGCATTATATTTTGCCGCACTCATTTTCCAGCATACTTTCCAATATTGGCTCGATTTTCCGTTCGTCGATCTGGAGTCCGATTCGACATTTGGCCCGTCCAGTCTACGATGTAACAATCTCGAATCTCAAATACCCCAGCGGCTGGTTTATGGTTAAAGGCCAGCTGATTTTGTGTTTTCGCCCGTACTTATCTTCGAGAATACCCACTATAGATTTGATTTGCAAGGTTCAAAAGGGCATGGACCCGGCAAAGACATGATTCCCTTTGTTAGATGTGGGTGGCCTCAGGCACATTTACTTCGTTGCATCTGACGGCGAAAAAAAAAGATAATTAGGGACAGGTGTGGTGATTATTAGGGCACAGCTCAGACGGGCCTGGCAACCACACCAATTGTACAAAGTAGAAAAAAAAATCTGCATATGTTATCTTGGTGTTTTGGGCGGTAGTTTGACCTGGAAGAATTTAACTTGAGTCTAGACATGTCTGGAGGTTTGCAAACCCTGATAGTTTGTCATATACGGTATGGTAACCGAAGGACGGGTATATAATGCAGTACTATTTATATCGTACACTGGGCATAGCGTTAGCTCTCAATCAACTCTGAGAAGAGTCCTCCCTCTCCATGAACTATTAAGACTATTTCATATTAGATTTTATCATTATCATGGAGGTGCTAGCAGTGGTATATTTGTAACATTGAAATTAGTATTATAAAAGCGTGACAAAGTGGTATAGGTGCATATATCAAGTTAGATATTACTACCTTAGTGTGTACATATTGAAGTTGATTGGCGTAAGAGCTGACAAAGGCCCCCTCTATGTAGCCCTAAAGCTCAAAATCTCAAAATCAGCCCCAGAGTGTATGATACATTGGTACCTGCCTTGTTTGACTCGGAATGCATCTAGGTCGCAACTTCGGTTCAGGCAGCAGAATAAAGCAGATTGACTGCGTGCCTGCGTAAGTATTTATGGAAGGTTTCTCCTCTTCTTTACTTTTAAGAGTCTTTAACTAACGAAACTTGATATCTATAAAATTCTTGAAGACGAAAAAAAGAGAAAACCAGAAAAAGGAAAAAAGAATTGAGAGTTAAGAATTGAGAATTTTGGAATTAAATGGTTAGTATATTAGGAGAGGTCAGCCCCCGCAAGTTGCATACATACTAGAAGGTTGGAAGCTAAAGCGGCTGTGCGACGGCTGTGACTCCACGCCTTCAACTCTGATCTGTTACTCTCTTACATTTATATTCTATTCTAATCCTCCTTTTATTTACTCTCTCGTCATTATATTTACCTTTGTTTATTTATTTTTCTAATCCTAGATCTACTATTCTATTGGATTACTTCTACAGTCCATCATCTTCTCGCGCTCTGTCGCAGCTCTCCCCCCCAACAAAGCTCATACGCCAAGACAACAAGACCACAAATATCAGGGGCCCATATTGGACCTTTGGTATATATGAATGAGTCTCAACGCTGACAGAATCGAAAAGAGCGGCATCATGAATCTCAATTTACCAATTCGATCATCCCCAAGTCCCAGGAATCAGGCTAGTAGAAACTATTTCACTAATTATACTCCTCCGGCGTCAACAGAAGCTGTCAATGGTCCAGTACGTGAGCCCGCTCGGGAGCTTCTAACTATAAATGACCGCCTCATTGTCGGTGTTGACTTCGGTACTACGTTTTCTGGGTGAGTTCGACTTCTTACCATCATAATTCGTGTAGAGGATAGAGCTTGGAAGTCGAGTATAGCATGAGCATACTCTTTTTAGGGTTATATTCCCTTTCTCGGATATGATACCAAAATGGAATATAGTATGATGATTTATGTAGTTACTATACCGTCATGTACGGCTACAGCAAACTGATTAGAATACAGGGTAGCCGCAGTATATACATCGACGCCAGATGATGTTGAGATCATCAAAACGTGGCCGGGGGGGAACGGCATCACGTCTGACAAAGTTCCTACTGAGATTTCATACGATTTCCCTCCCGATGCAGCAGCGGGTACGGATCCCAATGTGAAATGGGGGTTTCAATTCAAGCCCGAGGAGTCGCGGTTACGATGTATTAAGCTCTTCCTCGACCGATCCCAGAAACTACCATTTTATGTCAGCCCGCAAGAGACTGCCACGCTACTAAAGAAGTATAATAAGACAGTTGTTGATGCTGTTAGTGACTATCTCACCGAAATCTATAAACACACTATGGACACCCTTACTCGGCGGTACGGAGAATCGTTCATGGCATCAACTAACGTAGACTTCGTACTCACTTGTCCGGCCGTGTGGTCCGATGCAGCGAAAAACACAACCTTACAGGCTGCTGAAAGAGCTGGAATGGGCGTTAAGTCCGAGATCCAGATGGTCAGCGAGCCCGAAGCCGCTGCTGTCTATACTCTAAAAGCTATCCAACCGAATCACCTCAGCGTGGGAGATAACTTCATCGTATGCGATGCAGGTGGTGGGACAGTGGAGTTAGTGCTTTTTGACCCCTGGATACTTACCTAGCCCATATCTAACTGATTATACAGCTTGATCGCATATAAAATCATATCATTAAAGCCGCTCAGGGTTGAAGAGTCAGCTGTTGGAACCGGTGGCCTTTGTGGAAGTGCATTCCTGAACTATAGATTCGAAGAACACGTCCGAGGCCGGCTCGGTCGTAGTCGGTTCGAGGAGATGAAACTGAAGAAAGCCAAAACTTGGCAGATGGGCCTTCGATACTTCGAGGAGTTCGTCAAGAGAAACTTCAATGAAGATGAATATCAAGAGGTCAATGTTCCGTAAGTTCTACTTACAATTGCTATTTATCCATTCCTAAGGAATAACGACTTACAGCCCATAGATTCCCGGGTTTGCCCGACGATGAAGAAGCGCGAGTAGACTCGGGTTTCCTCGTTTTGACAGCAGAAGAGATTAAGGACATTTTCGAGCCTGTAGTCAAGGAAGTCTGTGACCTCGTCCAAGGCCAGGTAGATGTTATCCGCGGTAAGGGAGGCATCGTTTCGGGAATCATATTGGTTGGTGGTTTCGGCCAGAGCGACTACCTCTACCGACGATTGAAGTCGCATTTTACAAGCACAGCACCACCTCCTTACACAGAGCGACCAACGCATGCCACTACCAGCCTAGCATACGAAGGGAACGGCAATATTGAAGTGATGCAGCCGGTGTACGCTTGGACGGCAGTGGTCCGTGGAGCCGTACTACGTGGACTCGAAGGAAATATGGTTATCAGCAGGAAGGCTCGTATGCACTATGGAACATCGTACGCAACCGTCTACGATGAAGAGAAACACAACGTAAGCGAAAGATACTGGAGTCCTCTATGGGAAAGGTGGATGGTTAGCGACCGAATGCAATGGCATATCGCAAAAGTAAGTCGTTAAACTTGTCGGCGAAGTGTCGGTTATTTCCCGTCTCCTTCCCCCTTTTCCTCCCTCCCCTTCCTCAGCGTTTCAATTACTTTATTACATAGCACTCGTTATTCTAACATCATACCTCTATGTCGTAGGGTGAAGCAATATCGCCCCTCTCGCCGATCGCTTTTCATTACACGCGTAACTTCCGACCAGGACAGTCGTTGGTGGTGACAGACGACTTAATCGCATGCGACGCAGACGAGCCACCAGCGGCGTACTCACGAGACCTAGTGAATGTCTGCACCCTGACAACAGATTTAAGTGCGGTGCCGCGGAGCTTATTCACACGGCTTACGACGACACGGGGCGTTGAATTCGACAACTTAGACTTTACGCTTGAGATGATTGTCGACAGTGCCGGTCTCGGGTTCGAACTCAAAGTGGATGGTGTACGATACGGGCGCGTTGAGGCAGATTTTCACTAAGCTTCGCACAGATTAAAAATGCCTTAACTTCTAACTGGGTTTCAACTACATTAGAAAGCAAAGGGCGGGACGGATGATATTAGATATATCTGAACTGACACGACGACTTATTGGAAGGCTCGTTTGGGTTTAAAGGGGCGCTTCGGGTTGAGCCGAGGTTACACTGCTTCGATGGTATATGAGCTGATTGTATGTGTTGTATGTGCCATCGGTATATAAGAGACTCGATTTGTTAGTATAGAATATTCATTTAACTATACCAAGAAGAAGAAGAAGAAACAACTATCAGGCTTCCTATACCGCGTTACATTTTATTATCTTGTCTACTGGCGCGGGGGTTTTCCCGGTGGTATATACAAAAAGTACTAACCGGAAAGTATGTATAGAATCCTATATAAAAGCCTAATTGATTCCTACCCTTCTCGCCCGTCTTATTACGTCGTTATGCCCGGCTTGTAGAAGAGGGGCAGCACGTCCATTTTTCCCCATACCGAGTTGTCCTAGACGCAGGCATTAGCGAATCACGACCCGTACCTACATACTTAGGACATCGACGTCTAACAAGCCGGGCGTAAAAAGAGGGTTCGGTACCCACCCTGTCAGATTCAGATTGAGGCGGACGGTTGCCTTGTCCTGCACGGCCAGCCAGTCAGCGGTACTGTACGGCCACTGCCCTGGTCTTTTTTTTCTCGTTGCAGATGGATCTTGTTATTGTTATTGCTTTATTAGTCACACCGATGAGGGGCCGTCCCGACGACGAAATTCGAAATTGTAGAGATGGGGGTAAGGTTGGTATAGGAGCGCGAAGTTCCGCGGGTTATGTTGAGGTCGTAGGTAGTATATATATATAGTGCTTACTATTCCCGGATCAAAAATTCGTTATCTTGCTTGCTCCATTAGTCTATCCTCATTCCGCAGAGGAGAAGGCATGGGGTTGATGGTCTAGTTTTGGCTGGCTCGGAGTGCGACGGGTAGAATGAGAAAGACACCTTTATATTTAAACGTATGAGGATTAAGTCTTCTTTAGGGTATACGAAGGACATACATAATAATACCCCTCTCATTAGAGGCGGACGATGTTCCGGCGTGCGACGTTGTTACTTGAATGTATCATGGTTCTATAACTACTGCTACTACTACTAAGGCGGGAATGGTTATAGATACCTAGGTAGCTACCTACATAGGTAGCCATCATGATACGAAGTAGGGGTCGAGACCCTTTTTTAATTGTTATAGCATTACATACACTGTCCAAAAACTGTATGTTTTAAATTCAAAAGGTAGACGAATGGCTGTTGGTTGGCTGGGAAAATTCTACTAGACGGTCAAATGATCGGTAGCGAGGCGAAGCTCCTGCTACGCCACCACGAGCGTACACAAAATTCACTCCTAGGAGGCAAAGTTGCGGTGAGAGGAGAAAAAAAGAAGAGAAATTTCATTATAATCATTGGAAAATCCAACGCAAATTCTGAGTGGTATCTTTGTTTCCCTTCGTTTGCGCCCTTGTTGTTAACCCTACCTATTTTAGACAACATTCTCATAGGCATCATCCCATCGTCGTAACCATCGTCAGTCATTATTCATCCCTTAGTATATTCATTCGATTCCTAATCCATTTCAAATATACCCGAAACACATGTGGCTCGCTTGAGAACCTTTCCCATTCATCATAAGGTATAAAAAAAAGTCGTAACGTCGTCAGTCGAAAAGTAGCTGTCTTTCCCGGAGAAGAGAGTGCCACCATACTCGGATTTCCCCATATCCGCCCAAGCATGCAGTGTATGCTATGCGGTATGCAGTCCGCCCAGCGGCTCTCTGCGCCAGCTAACGGTGTACATGCTATGTGTCCCGATCCAACCCCAGATAGGTGCATGTCCCAGACACGAGGCGAGGCTCCGGGGCTGGCCAAGACTCGGCACCTTCCGGCCACCCCCTTGCATTAGGTGCCTTGTGTCGCATCGGGGGCGATGCAAACGTGACTAGACAAGGCAACCTGGGGGCCATAGGGCTGAAAAGAATGCACGATTCTGCCTTGCCGATCTCCCGTGCATCATGCAGTGAAAGGAGGCTATCGATCCTACGTTCGACGTTCCAACGTAGAACATATTATTAAGATATAATACCCCTTTTCCCTTCTAAGGGGTAGGACTCTGTCGTTGGAGTAGGAAAGATAAAAGAAAAAGATCATGACAAGAAATAACAATAAAATAGAATTAGATATAAAGTCCGACCAGACCTAAGCCGGCATCGGGACCGAGAACCGAGGTTTTGACAAAGCCGGTATGTGAGTGCTGTGTGTATGTGTTGGATATTGGCTGGCTGCCTATCAGACATGGCGGCAGTAGTTCGCGGACCATTTGCGGACATTCCCGCCGCGCTTATAGCCCCATGTCTCCCTCCTCGATTTATCGGCGATGGTTGTGTTTGTCTCGAGGTTCCTTTCCTTTTTGTCCCTGTGCTTTCTTCCGTTGTCTGTCATCTTTAACAATTTCTACATCATCCCGTTGCGAACGTTGATTCCGTGCCTCTACCTCTGGTGGCACAAAGTTACGGTTGCGGACATGCTTCATCTCTTCACGACTGCATGGTAGGTCATTCCACCTTATGTACCCAAAATATGTATCATCAGAGATAAACTGATGGCGATGCAGATGTTCAACCATGTGGAAATCAGGACGTATGTCATGAACTGTTTTTCCTTCTGTGAAGTGTTCACGGATGTGCCACATCCTATTATCGAAGTTTTGGCGGCGGTCACCTCCAACTTCGGGCCTCTTGGAGTCAAAATACTCTGTGTCGCAGAACCAACAAATAGCTTTAGAAGGGAGTTTGTCCCCGAGGTGGCCAGCGATTATGTGCTCGATCCAAGCATCAGTTTCGCTGAAGCTAAAAGTTTGGTTACAGCCAAATCCGACGAACTCGCACGGCAAAGCCATCGCCCTAGGGTCTAGGGTAGGATATGGGTTGTATAAACCATCATTAGGGTCGCTGAATTGAGTCGGAATGGTACTATTACTATACATTGACGCAGTGTCTGAGGTGCCTTCTGCGTAAGAAGGCCCATAGCTGGATGTCCGCATAGACATATTGATCGGTGAGGAATAGAGGGGCTGAGGTAGTATGGTGTGATTGGTGGCTGTCAGCGATGCAAAAAGCGAGCCAAGGAATACAACTAATAAAACAGCTAGGCCAGATACGAGAGCCAGTTCTTGATTGTCGGTGTTATTTCAAGACGACCTTATAATTATGGCGAAAAAGCGACGAGCGATGAGCGATGAACGATGGAGTTTTATTTGGAACTTTGCCGGCGATTTCGAAGAGATTTTTGCTTAAACTACAGTATCACCTGAGCTAATGCCCAATGGTGTAGAGATGCTCTCAGGTCCTTGAAATCTCTTCTCGGAGATAATAGGTGTGGTAACTCGAAATGAAGGAAGTGTTAGACAGACGCCAGCTGTCATCGACTTTCTTTTCTTTTTTTTTTCGAGCATGCAGCAATACAATTCTCATATGTATAACTCGGAACTGGACTGGACTGGCCCACTTTGCTGCAGATGCTGATTTGCAACAAGTTGTGGCGGCCCCAAGTGAGATGGTCGATTTTAAGGGGGGTAGAGAGGAGGGGAAGAAACTGAATTCGGAAATTCAGCGTAAGATGATTCTTATGATTCTTAGGCTAGGGTAAGTTTAATCTTTCTTAGTTGACATATAGGAGATTTGTTGGAAAGATGATTCTTGAGAAAATAGGATGATGGGCTCTTCTTGGGTTGTTATTGTCTTGAAATACCAATCTGATGATCCAATCCAGAACATTTAATGTTTACCAGCAGGGGTATACGACCTATTACACCCACAACGAATAATGGTCTCTCAATCACTACCCGGAATGTTGGCGCCCACCACCGACTCGTTTCTGAGTGTGCATCCAACCCTCCAGAGCTGCATACTCCCACACCCACCCTGGGCCACATAATGCAGCTACGCTACCTGGAGACGTGGATATATTTGATCGGATAGCAGTAACGCCATTGAATCAGTATGAGGTATTCTTAGACCACGACTATCCGAGAACCGATCCGAAGATCGGCAATTCTGCCCGAAGCAGCATGTCAAAATTGTTTACAGCAATGAGTCTCATATTCCTTGCTTGCTATAATTCTAGGCCCCTCATCGAATCCATGACAGGGAGTGGTGGATAACCCAATGGTATCTGAATGGTTCACAAGCAACCCCCGTGCCAATCAACCTCCCCTGAGCTACAGAAGTGGGTTATCGTGGGGGAATAAGAGTCATCTGTGCACGAAAGAGATGTTGTAGATGCAGAAGAGTCGTGCAGACGATTCGTCATATCTTTATCATGTTAATGAGGCGTCGTTCGCCGTATCAGCAGTCATACACAATTTTGACTCGCTTAGTCTTGAATGGCTGGCATGGACGTGGTAGAGGACTAATCTACTATATCCAAGCTCTACTCACGAGACCTCGAGCCTCGACTGACGGGCTATCATCGAATATCTCATCTCTCAGCTACTTGACACCCGTGCAACAGCATGTCCTTAGATGTCTGATGCGCCTGTCGAACTATAGTTTCTTGTCTTTCTTAGAGCCGGTCGATGTCACGTCAGTTAACATGCTTGGTCATGATAGTTTATCATGCTAGATATCTTGCCGTCGCCACAAAAGTTCTTTCCTATAGCTTGCTGTCATAATTGTGCTGTCAATTAGGCACGAACGGATAAGACTAGCGTATGATTCGGGCTGTCTTCAGTGCAAGCCCCGAATCGTCGGCCAATGTTATGCACTTGCCTCGAGACCTTATATATTAGCTCTGAAGAGATATCTATATCTTCTCCTGGCTTCCTCTCGTACATTGGGCCATCGGTCCACGTAAGTTGGAATGCCAAGGTATTTGATCAGGGAATTAATATGCCTGGAAAGCGGGACAGCGTTCCGTGTATCACAGATGCCGATCCGTGTGGTCAGACGGAGACAAGACTGACGAGGTAACCCGCCTAGTTAATTGTCTGCGAGACCGGTGAGCGTCTCGAGCGTTTCGAGTGGATGGACTGTTTTCATATGCTTCTTTTTTCTTAGGTCAGAATATCATGAACTTCCTATAGCAGTGAGTTTGAAACGACGTTTATGATATCTCCTAAGCATGGATTATATGTGACTGATATGCACGAAGTTGCATGCGTTGCATGAGTCAATCGTGGGAGGTATGCATACAACTAAACAGTTGCTCCAATAGGTTCGATCCATGTATTGAAGACAGCGAGGAGGGGAGAACCGGCAGAAATTTTCGGCCGCAGAGCCTCAATTTACTCCACTTCATTCATTTTCCCTAGTCTTTCTTTGACCCCTCCTAATTCCCCTGTCCCTGCGCTTGGGATGTGTTGTGTAAATTTAGAGGGACGATGATGCAGCTCCAATTGGCTCAGGCTTCAAACCCGCCTATTGCGTGCGTGTTCCATTTTTACCGTTCCGATATGTATGTCGTACGCGTTCGAGTTCCGATATAGAGTTAGATCGTATGGGAAGAAGATGGGGCACCACGTCTAAAAGATGTCATCTTATTCGAGCCACTTGAGCTATCTCGATCAAAATGTTTAAGTCACCGCCTTTTTAGTCTTTCTCGGTTTTAGGTCTTAGTGTGAGGGTAGCTCGCTTCATTCGGGATCGCAAAGAACCCTAGCTTTTGCCACAACATTCTTAAAATGCGGGTGGTCGCCGTTCTCATCCCCCGTCTTGATAATTCCGGGGAAGGTTACACAGCATATTTCGCGTCCAGCTAAATCCTCTTCATTTTCAGCCCCGATGTCCTCCATAGTAGATATCTCAAATAAGATCCTTTGGTGAGGGAAGATCTTGGGCATGTAAACTTTAAATGTAGCTTTTTGCACTACCAATAAGCGTGCTAGTTCAACCGAGCTATGCACCAGCGCGCGAAGCGCATGATCCCGAACTTCCGTAGCGCTGGCATCTGTAATTGTATCTAAAATGTGATTGACCCTTGAAATAACGGATTCGATCACTAGCGTCGTTTCTTCCTGCATCCGCGGGGTGGTCTCCTTTCGGAGTATGGTGAGTGTTGTCGCACGCCATTGGTTCACAGCTTCAATTGAACCTACTAAAGGGTCAGCTGTCATCCTAAGGCGAGCTCAAATTTAAGGGTACTTACTAATTGACCCAAGATACTTCTCTATCTGGGTTAATTGGTGAGTTTGATCTTCAGGAAGACCAACAAAATAGGCTTCGAAAACAGTCTCTACCAAGATGCTGGATACCACGTTTTGAAGGAGATGTACCTTCGCTGATGCTGCAAGTTGCTCATACATAGGAACAAGTTCTGCAAGATCGTGGATTACAGCATCATCGGCATGCGTAAAATCTATGCCCTCATTAATTAAAAGTTCATCTAAGCCGCATATATGGTTGTTGAGCCATCCTACCAATTTTTGCTCGTCTGAAATGGACGATAACCCAATTTTGCAAGCCGTTCCCAAGTTTCGTCATAGAGTCCCCGAACTCTTCATCGGTTGTCTGATGGCCTCTCGCCGTATTGGTGCTGACCCACTGTTTGAGTCCGGCGATATGGCCCTTTAAAGCTTGTATCTCGTCGTCACGCTCCTTTATTTCCCTTCGCAAAAGGTCCCATCCTTCGCGCAACTCAGCTCGCTCTGCCTCTCTTACGTCGACCTCGGCACGCAGCAACCGGACCTCAGATTCGACTCGTACGAGCTGCCGATTTAAGTCCGAATACTTCGCTTGCCAGAAACTAGCCGTCTCGCCTTCTTTTTGGGAGAGTATATCCAATTCGCGTGTGAACTCAGCTTCCATAACAGTAAGTTCCCGATTCAATTCAGCAATTTTATCATCTTTCTCCTTAAGGAGGATGCTCTCTTTTTCCTTAGAGGCCAACGACGCACTATTTTCTTTGCTTCCCGAACTCGTGGCATCATGAGTACTTTCGTTATCCGGACCGGGCGAAGATGAGGTAGAAGCTGCGCGGGTGAGCTGTGCACGAGGAGGAGGGGAGATTATACTGTTTCGTGACGAGGCTGAAGGGCGGATTGAATGGGAATTGCCCCGCCGTTTCTCTGGGGGGCTCATAGTGTCAAAATAGCAAAGTTGCGCGTAAGGCGTTGCAAGACGAATTCTACATTGACTTGACAAAATCGGTTGTAATCGGATACATTTTCTCGGTGCCTAACGCCACTTACATGTCAATCCACATCAGCACCTGCGTGGAGGTCGTCAATACGGAAAGAGCAGAGGAGACATACGCCTACATGTACCTAACCGTTAGGTACTTGAGGCTGTGTGGATTGCGTAACGGCTTAAGTTCGGGTAGACTGTCAGTACAATACCGTAGTACAAAGGTTAATAGGTTAGGTACTCTTTCCGATCCCATGGAGGTAGGTATCAAGTTTCCATCTTACACCGGGCTGAATGAAACTCGACTTTCTTATACTAACATTATATACCTAACATAGCATTTTTCATAAAATACTTGGTTTGAAGCAACCGATGATCCTCAAGTTAACTCAATTTCTGCTTCAATTTCGTACGCTTCATCACCATCTTCTTGCTTCTTCGCCCCCATCTTACATATCGCAATTTTCTCTACCGGGACATCCTTCATCCATACATAATCATCATAGCGGTCTAGTATATCCCTTGCATCGATTGTCAACTTCTCATGTCGTTTCCCACCTTTGCGATTTCTCCCTTTGACGTATATCGTGTTCATAATAGTAGCATGCAGTAGCAAGGGTCGATTTTCTTCCGCCATCAGTCCGGCTTCCTGAAAGGTTGATCGCAGATTCTCGCAAAATCGCAATAGAGTACCTTCACTATCGACCGGTGAAGCGTAAAGCACCGACGCCTTAGATGATGTTGGCTGCATTGAATGTAAGCCTTTCAGCGTTACAGATAGTAAAGGGGACAGCGGCCTAGCTGGCTCTTGTCCTGTTTCGGCTGCGTTGATGCTCGCCATTATTTTCCTAGGTACCAGTGTCTTTAAGAGCGCCACCGCCTTATCTAAACCATCATCCCTTGGAAAGCTCATAACGCCAATTGTAAGGTGAAGTGTACCTAATGGTCGAATAGCTTGCTCTGGAACAGCGAAACTGTCTGTGCTTGTCACATCTCTGCTAAAGGCTGATAGACTTGCCGAGAGTTGGTGGCGGGATTGCCCCGTAACAAGTGGTAAGCATAAGAAGTGCGTAGGTGACGGCCGCGGCGGCATAGCGAATACAACACAGCGCTATCTTGAATTTTTAAGTAAAGCTGTGCTAAAGAACAAATTATAAACCTAATACTTCTTAAGCTAAAGGGATACCTAATTTCTTATAGTTAAAGGGTTTGTGTATGGCTTGGTCTGCGATTCAACTTTGTAAGGTATCTTGAATAATAATTATAGTGGTTATACCTCTAGGTACCTAAGGTATCTAAGAAAATTAAACTTACAGCCTCTTACGTAATTTGTCGGTGCGCAAACTAAATAAATAAGTTGGCTAATATCTCGATATGCGGAAGATAATCGAGATGAGATCTAAGCCTTTAATTTTCAAGTATTGAAGATAGCTCCAAAGGTTTAGGTATAGATTAAAATAGCACGACTCTAAAAGAGCCCACGTGCAAGTCATTAGTTAGCAAACCCTGGAATTGATTGGTCTCCTTATTATCTGTAATTCAAGCGCAAATTTATAACATTTCACTTCGAATCACTACTCCTAAGCCAAGAGCTAGAACTACTTGACATTTTCCTACAATATTAGGATCGCGTAGTAAGCCGTCTCAGACCCGCAAACGGGAGATCTACATTAGCCACGTAGGAAGAGATAGGTAAAGGTAACAATAACCCTACACCATATAGCCAGCATAACAAGTATGACGTAGAGAAGTACGTCAAGATGCGCTACTATGTATTAAGCACCAAAGAAATCCAAAATTTGCACGTGGGGTGATGTTGGCACTCTTTCGCAGGATACGAGCGATAATATCCATAAAGCTGACGAGGCAAGGCTGCGCATGAAAAAAAAAATCGGTGTATTAGAGGAGCGCGACTTGCCTGTCCGATCGCGAGAAGCTGTCGCCTCCTAAGACTAACCTAGATGATCGTACTGTGTATTGTGCTCCGAGTTACGCGCATCAACCAACTGCCTGCAATAAAACCGTCATACAAAGTAAACTGCTCTCTACCTGATGATCGAAGCTGTAAAAGTACGAGAGGACAGGCGTGGGGTATATCTGAAGTCAACTGATAGGTTAGGTAGAATAATCGGCTGCTACTTCCTTTCCCTCTCTGAGAACTTGGAGCAGCCTTCATTTCTCATGATGCTCGAAGCCCTTTAGCAATGGTCGCACCCATAGGAATGTCCATGCGGTGACCATATTCGCGAAGGTTGCTAGTAGCATAGTACAACTCGAACTCAAACTGTAAAAACTCGACCCACATCCGTCGACTAGGTAGAGTTGAAGAAATTCTTGAGCGTCTGCTCTACGTCGGCGTACTCTGATTTAACTGTCTTGAGAGTTTCCGTGATTCGAGATAGGCAGAGCGTCTCATCCTTCTCTGGGCTGCCATCGAGGTTCTCTTTCTTCCCATAACGTTGAATCTTCTCGCAGCTGTCCTTAACTTTAGTTAAGCCGAGAGTCGCAGATGAGCCTTTCAAAAAATGACCAAGTCGGTATAGCTCATCAAGATTCCGCGCCTCCCTAAAAAAGAAAAAAAAAGAGCGGCCGTATTAGTTTCGGTCATCTATGAAGAGAACTGCGGGGCGGCCAGTGTTCACAAAGAGCACCGTAGGTAATGACCATGAGGGTAAAGCTTACAGAGCCGTGTCCATTTTCTCAAATGTTTCCTCGGCTTGTTCGAAGAACCCGAAAACAATGGATTTACTAAATTCACGATCGTCTTCACTGTCGTCCATCTCTAGAATCTGACTAAAAGTCACAATATCGATCGCATCCCCTAGGTCGGGCAGGTTGCCAGTGTCATGACCGTCATCGTTCTGCGCAGGCAGACGAAGATCCGTCAGTCATTTGCCTAAGTTTTATACTTTGATTTAGAGTCATGTTTCCATTCATACCTGGTCGTTAGCAGCCATGTTGCCGGGTTGTGCGATGTAAAGGGCTGGTCCTGAAAAGACGGCGCCAGTCAGAGAAGTCGACTTTGGTCGTAGCGAAAAAGGGACCCTATGCGATAAACCCAAAGTCACGAATAGAAAAAGGTAGCGGCGAAATGGACAAAATATGTCCTGGAAAGAGGGTCGTGTGGGTGGTCTGAAAAAAAACCGCGGCGACTTTAACCACTCTAGTGTTGATCGAAGAATGTTTAGGTGGGGTCTATCGGTAGGAAGAGATGGTGATGGGTAATGGTAACAAAATGGGTTGATGGGGCGGCACGTCGCACAGTGTATAGGTTTATTTGTTAGACTATTTGCTGGTCGGCACCTATGCCGAATAATACGTTGAACTGGATGGAATAATACTTTTAATTCGAACCTGGCGGGTTATCTGGGTCGTCTGGGTCGCCTGGGTCGTCTACACGTAATGCTAGGTGTTGTAAATGGTAGGTTAAGGCAATGTAGAAGGTAAGTAGGATGTAGGGGTTCGATTGTTCTGAACGGTACCTAAGGTAGTAATAGGCAGTTTCGTGCTTAGAGATTACGGTTTTGGCGTACCTTTAGGGGTTCCGTCAAGGGCGTCAAGGGTCTTTAAACAACGTCACCGGTGCGGAACCGTGCAATTAAGCAGTTAAGGTAGGCGCGCAATTCATTATTGTACAATACATGTATAAGGCATGTGGTGCTAACTACCTAAACTAGCTAACTAGCTACTTGGGGTACCTTCCTAATGGTTAGTATACCTAATTCGGAATTACAAATGACCCTCCCCATTACCTAAAACTTAGAAGGAAGGGCCGAAGGGTTCTTTAACGCTTAACGGGCAGACGGGCTACAAAGGAGAGATAAAAAAGGGTCATGGACGCTTTCAAAAAAGAAAGAATTAAAAAGTGTAATAATACGTATTAGTGATATTGGTGGGGTGCCAACCTACCTATCTATCTTTACTTCCACATCCACATGTCTAGTTACATCCACTTGTATTTCAAACATACATGTGGACGTACTAAATTCTACCATACCAAAATTTCTTGGCCCCAACCATCGTCAAACCCAGTCTATTGGAAGCTACTGCTACTACTAAAGGAGCCGACCGAGCTCAGGAGATGAGCACTACGCCCTATCCGCCGCCATATCTGCGCCTGTCGGACTTGCACGATAACGCATCTGCCCTACCTAACGAAGGTGAAGGACCCATCAGGTCCAACGTGGGATGGATGGGACGAGGAGATTGACGAGAGATTTGTTAAGCTAGGTAACTTACCGTTTCCCAAGGATGTATTGGGTACCTAAACCCCTAACCTCCCTAGTTACCGAATCTTCTTGCTGCCCTCGTTTACGAATGTTTAACATGAAAATGTATATCTTCGTGTTCGATGAGGCTCGATCTCGCTCGTGAAGCCGAATGTTCGCCATCAACATCAACACAATCCAGCTCGGCCAAGAAGAAAGGGTTGCGGGAAGACGGGAAGCCTCATCAAGCTTCCCGCCCACCACTCAGCGAAATAAGCGTCGCTGGAATCTTCTATGATCGACGTCGACACATCTCTTTCTATATACAATACTGCATGCTCCCCCGGTCTCCTTGCGTCCTCAGGACATATTGGACCCCGGACCGCATAGTTGCGGCCCGCCAAGCTGATCCTACTAGCTTATGGTGTTACTATTCCAGTGATCCTGTGCCACTCGCAAAATCCCAACTTATTGGCAATACTTAAATATGGCGGAACCAAAAACTATGTTATAGCACACGTTAGTCCCAAACACAATGTAGCGCTACAGAACGTAGTTCACTACTACGGCGTGCTGCTTGCAGAAGTCGCAACATCAAATGTTACCATATCTGCGGGCTGCGTTCAACCTTGAGCACCGTAGTTGCGGTACCTCAACCAAGCTTCCACTATAGGAGACCCGAAGCGATAATGTTGGCGTCTCTTCTTCTTTTTTTTTCTTTGCTCGGGCTAATGGAAAGGCTCAAACAGCCTTAACGGATGCGCGGTCGCGTCCATACTAGGATCTGTAATTATGGTAGAAAAAACCAATGTGGCATCGTTGAACCCCTCCATATCACGTCGCGCCCCCTGCACCGAGGGGTTGGTCACGTTGTTTATTCTCGAAGCTTTTCCGGGTCTCCACATGCATCTGATGTTGAAGTGGGGGCATCAATCGGGAAAACGTCATAAGTAATCCAGACCCTGAATTCCCGTGTGACGTGATACAACACAGTGCTATCCGCACTATCGATATTGTCTATTTGTTAGCCTATCTGTTACCCGCTCGCATTGAACGGGTTCAAGAAGCACCAGATAATGGATCTCGACTCAGCGGAGCTCCAAAGGCCGGATCCGGACATAGGCTCCTTATTGAATCCACATGTTCTACATGCGTAGCGGTATGTTACATGATACTCGTCACAATTTACCTGTGCATGATAGCCTTGACAAGTGCATACATGGTAGGCGGATCATCTTTTTACGGTTCTTACGGTTTGGCCTAAAGTCCATAAAAGGCAAAGAGGAGATCGCCCTCGTTCCCGCAATTCTCGGCTACACACGACTAGCAGGTTCATTGGCCAACACATAACTCCGTAAGGGATATTTCGAAATTTAGAACGAGTTCGACAATATATTTCGATAATTTTTTATTTATTTTTTAATGAAGAAAAGAAAAGAAAGGAAAAAAGGCAGCCAAAAGTCCTCTCATAAAATGCCTCGCTTATAATATAGAACCTCGGTGGATATAAAAAGGGATCTTTATTCGATTTATCGTACCTAATGGTCTAAAACCCATCTATCCACCACACTAAATATTAACTCGGTTCGCTACGATATCTCCTTACACTTCCGGGCCCATTTCACATTTAAGGACAGTCACTAACGGGTTCTAGCGCCCGGGTTTAATCTACCTGGATACCTGTTCCCGGCAAGCTTCAGAGCGCAATGAGTAGAAAAACATATATTGCTAATCCTCAGAATAATCATATTTTTTTTCTCTTACCCCGTAAGTGACACACGTCTTAGTCAAAGGCCTCGAACGTATGTTAGTTGCATTTTTATGAGTAAAAAAATCCGGTTTTGGCCCTGTCTCAAGCTAGCTAGGTAGCCAGCTGAATGATTCTCCCTGCGGGTTGACTAGAGATGCCAATTCGTGGCCTTCCCCGCACCCAAACTACACTCCGTTTTACAAATAGTCGAGGAGGAACACTACATAGAGTAGGCAAGGAGTAAGCGAAGCGGGCGCATGTATATGCAACGTGTGCATGTATGTACCTTGAGCAAGTACTCCCATTGTTTGTGATTTGTAGAATATTTTCTTCAAAAGCTTAGGTAAAGCCAACTAACGGTCTTAATGAGATTTGGATTCCAATACTGTTTTTAGATTGCCGGGTCTAGCCGTTTTGTGAACTTCCAGATCAATGAAACTGTACTGTTCAATAATCAGATACAGAACTCGTGTTCTATTCTTAGCAGTAAGATGTTGAGGTCCTCCGCTTGGCTCATATATTTCCGTTTCTGATAGATAAAAGGGGACAAGGCCCCGTCGTAGAAACGTAGAAACGGCTTTTCAGCGCAGCTGCAACGTGACTCTTAAACGTGAGAGCTGACAAGATCGCATATCTCGCCTGCTTATAAAAGATGACATGCAGCGCAAATGCAATCCTCTAGATCCTCATGTTCCCCATAAAACATCGTATCGGAATTTGCTTCGGATTCTAAAGCAAGACTTTGGACGCCACGGTCAAAAGCCACGCGGCGTCTCGCCAACCACCTTCATCTGACTTAGGAGGTGGAATTTGTTCTTCTGAGATATTCGAAACGCCTTCAAAGTCCAATGTGCTTGCGCTACGAGGCAAATGACTTCCTTCGGTTTCGCCATCTGACAGCTCGCCGTCGGCAGTGTCTGATTCCTCGTCGTTCTCCTCAACGGAGAATAGGGACCAGACCCAGGAGCCTACCCCTTCATTTTTCCTATAAACCAGTCTCCGAACAGTTGCCTCGTCTGATTTGCTGGTATCCGTCTCGAAGGCCTCGAGCTTTTCGTCTAAACTTACGAAATCTGGGCCTTGAATGTAATCTTCCGATGACACGTCGTAGCTAAAATACCCATCGTGTGCGTGCCGCTCCACAGGTGTCTTTAAATGAGCTCTACTCCCAGCCCGGCTCTGAGAGCGGCTACCATAGCGGCTACTCGGCGAAAGGATATCATCATCTCCACTTGCTATACTGCCTCGTCGGCTGCTCCGTCTGCTCGCGAGTTCTCTCTCCCTAGCTAATTCTCGTTCATATGCCTCTTCCTCAACGTCACGCATGCCAGTCAGACTAGTCGAGCTCGCCCTCTCGACGAGCCAGGCTTGCCCCTTAGACTCGCGCATCTCTGAGCTTATCAATGCCCCCGTACGCAGAATCCAGTCGTCGTCGTCTCCTCGTTCTTTGTTGTTGGGTGGCGCATGATGCCGGGGAAGAGGTGATAGCGCGCCTAGGCCAGAGCGTTTTGCATTTGACGCAACTAGATGAGTCGTGGATTTGCTCTTCGGCAATGTCGCGCTTATAGGATCGTGCACCGAGGATCGACGTCGGCTAGGGGAGTTGGCTCGGGTCCGGGGGGGAGATTGGAGTAGCCGTGGGGTCGTAGGGGCAGATTTGCCCTGAAGGTAGGAAACATTGTGTTGGAATGGCGGCACATCAAAGTCAGGCAATTCTTCAAAATCGGTCAGGGGTAGTTTAGACGTGAGCGGAGCAAGAGACAAGTGTTGAAGGTTCGTAGATGATCTGTTTTTGCGACGCGCCTGGTTGGCATGCTGTTTGTACGCGACATCCATGATTTATATAAGAGTTTCAGCACTACAAATTCGACAATTTCAAAGTCGTAAGTACCTAGTAAGGCAATCTTTGGATAGAATATAATGGGAAGTTCAAATAAAGGCCCAATTGGATTATGTACAACCGTGTACAGCTGATAGATCGAGAAACGGAGTTAGTCCTACAAACTTGAATGCCCTGTATTAGATGAAATTGTTAGATGATCTGAGGCGTGCCGCTTTAAGCTAAGGGCTGCCGGAGCCGTCATTTATCCCTGCCATAGCATAAAATAACATAAGTTAATAAAATATGCATAATTCACTTATCCAGAACTACAACTTAGTTGCTTTGGCAGACATATATTTATATTTACTGCCTAATATCCTCAACTATAGATAGTTGCGAGGTTTCCTAGGATTAGACTCGAGTATAGTCGCATAGTACGCTTTATATGCGCAAGAGCCATCGCAGAAGAGGAAACGCCCGAGTAGTTGATATGTGGATGTGTAGATGTGTGTCGGAGAAAACCCCTTTTCTTATATTGCTTGTCCCGTCATTCGCATGCAGATGAGAGGGCCCAGGAGCTGCTGACATATAGGGATAATGAATCAGAGTACCATCACAGCGCTGCCCCGAAAACCTTCAAGCGCCCTCTTCAGACCAGGGCTCCATCCGTCGTCCGGTGTGCCTTTCTCGGGATCCTCTCTGTCGTTCTGAAAGTTGCCCTTTGATATCTTTCGCCTCCGCAATATAAGTACCAGCCATACGAGAATAACGATACATAGCGGACCAACAACCGTAAGGCCTAATACGGAAGAATCCCAAACCGTCGATTTGAAAAAAGCGACAACCATGCCGAGGACAACTATAGCGCACGTGAGGACTAGGATGTGGGCTGCACCTCGTAAATCCTCTTTCAACATTCCTGGATCCTCTTCGGCGAAAACGCGCAAACAATTTGGTATGTGAAGGCTGTTTTGGAGCTCACGGCCCCGTCGGACGATCGTATCTCGACGCTGGACAATCTGCGCGTCGATCAAAATAATGGCAGCACTCCATACGATATACACGCAGGACCTTGACAGGCATCCTGTAAGTCCATGAACCATGATTGAGTATTTGTCGATTTAGTAGAAAACGCAGGATAAGACCGTAGAACAATAAGATATTGAACATGCGATTGCTTGTCGGTAGAGGTTAGGATAGAATAACGAAGGATAGAAAAGGGTGAAGAAGCGTCATATAGTGTAATATATATCTCAACATAAATTGTTGAGCATTGGTAATAGATAAGTCCTATCCCTTAATGAAAAATCAGCTTTGAGACCACGCTATCCTTATGAAAAACTTACACACAGACGTTGGACTGCTCAGTACCCAAGTTACATAGGTAGATATAGTCTAAAGTCCAAGTTATGAGGTGTTCTCAAACTCTCCTCCCTTCTACCTAGGTAGGCTATTATTAGGTCACTAGAATACTAAGACGCTTGGAATAAAAAGCTCCTATTTTTATTAGCAGCCCTATCTTAGCTGGATTTATAATTACTCATTCTTCGAATTTCAATATGGCTATGTTCTCCCTTCTTACTCGCATACTCACAGTTATGTAGGTGGCTGCGCACATATAAGCCATACATGTATGATGTACCTCTCTTTCGCTACATACATATGTACTCTGGGAGTTCTACATAAGCGCATGCATAAGAATGGTGCTTCCCAAACGTGTAGGGCCCTTTCTTAATTCTATATAGGGCATTGCATCATATAATATCTCGCCAGGGTAGTTCTAGGGAGCGAATTCCTAATTATTTCAAACCCAAAAAATTATCAGGCTGTCTCGACATCGACTATAGTAGTAAAGAGCTAGTCATAAAACTTAAAACTCGACATGTGGCCTTCATCTAAGTATGCTGATACTTGCTGTGGACTTAGGTAGTTACTACCTCAATAGCGAAGTATAAATATCAACTAGATGTGCTCTTTCTCTATCACAAGTATTAAGATGTTATAATTGTCTTTACTACTATAGGATAAGCTATGATATAACTTTGCTCTTTCTTTCCCTAGAGGATGAAGATACCATAACTACTTCTACAACTGCTTCTATTACAACAAAATCTATTTGCTCTTTCTCTAAACAGAACTGGTGAGCTAATGTTTAAATCCCGCCTGTTCCCAGCTTGGATTCTTTTCTTCTCTCATTTTGTTTTTCTCCCTATATCCTTATACCTATATTGTCAATACGATTACAATAGCGAGAAGAGATGTCTTTCACAGATATCCTTAACAATCTTTGGCGCATAGCGATTATCGTTATGTTTTCAGAGGGCATCCGATCCCTGCTTGCAGGATATCTTATGCCCGCTGATGTGGATGACCTCTGTTTTCTAGATCAGTGGGTGTATAGAACCATCGGATGCCTCCTACCTATAATCTTTGCAGCGGTTTTCACTGCTTTCATAGATTCGTGGGGGCCTTCAGTCATTTGATTGACAGTGTTTACACTGGGGTTCTGAAGCCTTAATTTTTGTAACCTTTTCATCTTCACTAGTGATTTCTTTTGAAATGGAGCGGGCTCTGATGGTTGACTGTAAACACATCATTTTTACGAAATGTGTTCCGACCTCATCCTGTAGTTGAGTGGCTGGTATTACACTACTTCCAGTCCACTGGTGGCCTATCTTTCTCTTCCAAACTTTCCCAGTACGTAATTGATCATTCTTCTAACGAACCGGAGAGGTATGTCCCTTTGCAACTCTTTACTAATGATCTTGGCTAACAGACCTCCCCTATACTTCTATCATTGGAAGGTCGGGAGTTACAGTAGTTCACATGAACACCACACCACACCATATTTATATCAGTCACGTCAAGATTCCGAAGAACAAGATACCCACTACCTATTCCTCTTCATGGAGCCGTAACGGTCAAGTCAGTTATGCACCCGGCTCTTCTAGAAACGCTCGTATATTAATCTTTAGATCATAGATATGACTCTGGTTTCCGTTCCGATGTTTATTTCAACTTGATCCATCATCTGGCACTAGAGAAGAAGGAAAGGGGGAACGGGGTCTTGGGATATACGAGCATATGTAGGTAGTCAAGAAATATGTGTAAATTAAATTGGTTTAGGTACAAAATCAACGTATTTTTTTGAAGGATATGGGCAAAGTGCTTACCTCTTCTAAGGTTCGAATTGAGTACGGAACAAACTTTAATCGATTCAAAGATTTTAGCTGCTTTCATAGGTACCTAGGTACCTAAGATAGACAAGTACCTAGGTACCTAAGGTATCTAGTACAGTATCAATACCACCCCCAAAAGTTTTATCGCACGGACTTATAATCGTCATTGCAAAGTCAAGTCTGATAGTTATATTATATCACACTTTCGTCGCAGCAGAGTTATACCCTACCCCTACGACGAAGTCAGGCATTCCCAAGATGCGTAACCTCCGCAACGTAAGATATAACGCTTGGAAGTCATCAACCGATTTAACCGAAGAGGTTATCACATCAACATGTTGGGACCCAGCCAAAGATGAGGTCTTGTGCACTTTCGGTCCGAGCAAAAAAGATGGGCGCATTCGCCTAGTAAGGATATTGGAACATGTGAGGGCCTCGTCTATAGACATGTGAGTTTTCACCATCCATTCGGGGATATCCGACAGTCTATAATTTGCTCACAATTCACGACTGTAGTGAATGTCAAGATGTCGCATCGTGGGATGCCCCAAGTCCAAATCCTGATTTGGCTGTGGATAGAGTCGTAAGCTCGCATCACTTCAGTGATACCTTGACAACTTGCTTGGTTCTTGAAGGAGGCGACATAGTTGTCGTCCAAGAATCAGAGGGTCCGAACCCTCATGATGGAGTTCACATCGAGATCGAGGGATCTGTAGATGAGGGCATCACAGCTGCAAGCTGGTCTCCGGATGAAGAGTTACTAGCCATAACTACCAAGTCAAACACAGTGATCTTCATGAGTCGTAGTTTCGATTGCATAGCAGATATGACTATGAGCGGCGATGATCTCAAGGCATCCAAGCACGTCTCTGTTGGCTGGGGCAAGAAGGAAACACAATTCCAAGGCAGAGGCGCTAAAGCCCTAAGAGACCCTACTATACCAGAAAAAGTAGACCAAGGCATACTCAGCCCCAATGATGATGGAAGTACATCCATTAGTTGGAGAGGCGACGGTGCATATGTCGCAATTAACTCTATTGAGACTGGCATCCGCCGAGTTATTCGGGTATACTCCCGAGATGGTGTTCTTGATAGCGTAAGTGAACCCGTTGATGGTATGGAGTGTGCTTTAAGCTGGAGGCCAGTTGGGAATTTGATTGCATCTATGAAACGCTTCGAGGACCGTGTGGATGTTATATTCTTTGAGAGAAATGGCCTTAGACATGGCCAATTTTCCCTAAGAGCCCCTGAAGGCAGGTCATTCTCAAATGACCGGATACGGCTTGAGTGGAACTCAGATTCTACGGTCCTTGCCGCTACGCTTGATGATCGAATTCAACTTTGGACTATGGGCAATTACCACTGGTATCTGAAGCAAGAAATCATCACGCAGAGGCGTCCACTCTCCCTTACATGGCATCCTGAAAAATCACTGCGTTTCGCGTCGGCCGTCCCAGGTGAGTTCGAATCTTTATGGGCGTGGCTTCAACACTAAGAGTATCGCAGATAGACTATTGCTCACTGAGTATATTTTCGAGGTTACTCGAGGGTCGCTGACGCCCCCATATGATTATGGAGCCGTTGCTGTCATAGACGGGAAGACACTCAAGCTCACCCCCTTTCGAACAGCTAACGTTCCTCCTCCAATGGCATTATTTGAACTGCAGGCATCATCGCCGATTATCGATGTGACCTTCTCCCCAGCAAACACGTTCATGGCCGTTCTCCATCAATTCGGCGCAGACGTATATGAATGGAAATTAAAGGGGCAACGTTCTCTACCTCCATCTTTAGTAGGCAGCGTGACTTTCGCTAAAGATAACTCGGACAACGACTATCAACCTTTGCAAATTGCCGTTACCGAGAATAGTGTTATCCATTGCCTCGGGTTTGAAAAGGGCCCCGTGATCCAGTCGCACCCCTTTGACCGAACTACGGGTGAATTCTCATCTAATTCGAGCATATATGCTGGTTCAATGTTTGGCTTTGTGCGCCTAACCCAATCAGGATCTACAGAGGTCCTTGTTCAAGATTGCCTAGGTAGATTTCATGGTGTTGTCAACCAACAGGATGACTTGTACTCAGTCCGCCTTCCGTCTCAGCTTCCGTGGAGTGAAGTCGTCGACCTCGCCGGCAACGTCATTGCTGTCGGTTTATCACGAAACGGACATCTATATGCAAATTCTCGTCTATTAATGAAGAATTGCACATCTTTTCTTGTTACCCCAGCTCATCTCATTGTCACAACAACCAGCCATCTAGTCAAGTTTATCCATTTGGTCGATGTAGAGAGTGAGTCTTAAAGATATCCAGTTTCTTCTTACGTAGCTAACCCCGCCTTATAGGCTTAGAGGTACCACCAGATGATCCTGAAAAGGATGAGAGGTGTCGGAGTATCGAGAGAGGTGCAAGGCTTGTGACAGCAATGCCTACTAATATGAGCCTAGTTCTCCAGATGCCGCGTGGAAACCTGGAAACGATCTATCCCCGAGCCATGGTTGTAGCAGGAATTAGGCAATTGATTGACGCTAAAGATTACGGAAAAGCATACTCGTACTGTCGGACCCAGCGTGTGGACATGAATATTCTTTATGATCACAGACCGCAGCAATTCCTTGCTAGTATTGGACTCTTCCTTGAACAAGTTGGAGATGTCTCGTATATCGATCTTTTCCTTTCCTCTCTACGGTAAGTGAGCCTGCGTACTACTTATGAACACATACCTGATGCGAAGTAGAGACGAAGATGTCACGCAGACCATGTATCGAGATACTAAGGGTGTAAGGAATCAAGAGTTACCGGAAGTGACTCCTAGCGAGATCCCTACTGGTAAACCCTATGACAGTTCAAAGGTCAACACTATCTGCGACGCGGTGTTGTCTCATCTCCAATCTCGCAAGACCAAGGACCATGACACCCTACAAAACATTATCACAGCCAATGTCTGTAAGGTTCCACCCGCGTATGAAGACGGGCTGTTAGTTGTTGCCGCTCTATTGCAAGAAGACGAACAACTTGCCGAGAAAGCTGTCGAGCACATCTGCTTTCTTGCAGATGTTAACACTTTATACGATGAAGCCTTGGGTCTCTACCATTTAGACTTAGCGCTACTAGTTGCACAACAGTCTCAAAGAGATCCTCGAGAGTACCTCCCATTCCATCAAAATCTACATCTATTACCCGACTTAAGACGTAAATTCGCTATTGATGATCATCTTGGACGGCATGAGAAAGCCTTGGTTCACCTTCAAACTGTCCAGGCGCATAAGGAAGCACAAGACTACACAGTCAAGCACGCACTCTATGCCATGGCGTTGAAGCTCTACCGCTACGATCAACCTAACCTTACTATCCTTACTGCTCTCTATGCGACGTATCTCGAGTCTAAGTCTCGTTTGCGAGAAGCGGGTCTCACCTATGAGTCTCTTCACGACTATGTAGGGGCTACCAGGTGTTACCGTGCTGCCGGCGCTTCCTGTTGGCGTGAATGCCTCTTCACGGCACAGCAGCAATCACCGCCGCTGACTCTAGATGCGCTCTCTGATCTCGCAGCAACGCTTGCGGAAGCCCTCTACGAAGCTAAGGACTACGCGTCCGCAGCTGCAATCCATCTCGATCACCTCAACTCACTCGAAAGTGCTATATCCTGTCTCTGCAAGGGATATCTATTCGCCGACGCCATGCGCCTGGTATCACAGCGCGGGCGCCCCGAACTTTTAACGAGCGCCGTCGATCCCGGTCTCGCAGACTCTCTAGGTAGTAGTACCGAGTTTTTCGCGGATTGCAAGGCGCAGCTTCGCGCACAGGTTCCTCGTATCATGGATCTCCGGCGAAAGGCGGCCGAGGACCCGCTAGGTTTCTACGAGGGTGAACGTGCTGGCGCAGGCGATATCCCGGATGACGTGTCGGTGGCAGCCAGCTCACGCATTAGCACGAGTGCCAGCTTGTTTACACGGTACACGGGCAAGGGAGCAGGAAGCGTGGGGACGGCTGGAACGGGCGTCAGTCGCGCTACGAGCAAGAACCGCCGCCGCGAGGAGAAGAAGCGCGCCCGTGGTCGCAAGGGTACTGTCTATGAGGAGGAGTACCTTGTCAACAGTGTTCGCCGACTGGTGGAGCGTGTTGAGGGTGCAAAACCAGATGCTGAGCGTCTTGTCTTTGCTCTCGTACGCCGTGGCATGCACGAACGTGCTCGTGCTCTCGAAGCACTGGCTGCAGAGGTAGCGGAAGCCTGCAAAGTAGCTGTTAAGGAGGTGTTCGCGGGTACTGGAAACAAGCCGGCTGGTGAAGAAGGCAAAGGAGACGATGATGAGGAATGGAGACCTATGGGTGCGGATGGGGTTTTATACGAGAATCTCGAGGCTAAGTGGAAGAAGCAGGAACCTCCTGTTATCACGGCATTGGAAAGGCTGTCGTTGCTCGGCTCATAGGTAGGGAAGGGGTGGTTCAGGGCATAGATAAAAGTACTGGCTAGATAGGAGGTAGGGAATCATTCACATGGGGGATTTACGCTTAGGAAGGAATATGAAGTTGGGTTGATGCTCCGCGTGCCCCTGAATGTAATATGTACATTTATGTTACAGGTCTAAGTGGCGTCATATTCTACACCCATCTTTTATTTTTTAATCTTACGTTGAGGACGGCGGAGGTTGTGTCTCTTCCGCCGCCGTCGTCGTTTCTGTAGGATGCGGTGATACGGCCGTCTCAGCCGACGCCGCACCGCTATTACTGGCAGCTTCTAGCAGAGCCTGACCATTCCGCGTCCTCTCTAAGTTCTTGGCCATGACCTCGCCGATCTTCTCGAGCATCTCCTGAGTGAGACGGGGCTTGCCCTTCTTCTTCTTGCCCTCGCGCTGGGCGCGGTGGAACTCCTGTAGCGGAGTGCGCATCGAGTCCATGAGCTTGCTGCGGTCGGCGACGGCCTGGGCCTCGGCTTCCAGGCGCGCGATGTACTCGGGGTCGTGGCGCGTGCGGAAGCGACTGTACTTGTTGCGCAGCTCGTCGAGGACGGCCTCGGGCATGGGCGGGCGCAGGAGCGTGGGTACGAAGGTCTTGTCCTCGACGTCGATGCGCAGCGTGTCGCAGCTGTAGTCTTTGATTTCCTTCTCCTCTTTCTTGGGCCACGGAATCGAGATGTTCAGCCCCGGAACGATGCGGGACCACCGCCGCTTGCCGGATACGCGGTCGTGTAGGAAGCCCCCGTGTACTAACTGGTTGATGATGACGTCGCGGGTGACGCCTGTCGCGGGGTCTTTGATGGGATGGACGAGTCGGATGCCCGAGATGGGTATGGGGAGTTCCATGTTGACAACGGGGGATTCGTTGTCGTCTCGGATTTCTGCTTGTACTCGGATATTGGACTGTGTAGTTCATATCGTGTTAGATTTTTTTTTTGAATCGCTAGTATAACGACCATCACAATGCCATGTGGAACTGGATTACCTTGTTTAACTCGTCGATGACAACCTCGGCCTTGTCGTAGTCTATAGACTTTATCTTGCCGATGCGCCCCTTATCCGGGCCGTCGATTAGTACGATTCTATCCCCCACGGTGATGTTAAGGTGGTAAGCGCCGCCAGCCCATTGACACCGACGATTTCGCATGGCGAGAGTAACTTTGCCATATGCAGCGTAGCGAGATTCGTGAATGGCGCCCTTCGCACCAGCCCACTCGCCAACGTCTCGTCTTGGGGCAAGGGGGCCTAACTCCCAGTCGTCCTTTATGGCTTGCTTCGCGTCATTGAGATTTTCTCGGACCATCCCTAGCTGTTGCTGCTGATCCCGAAACGTCTCCTTCTTCTGCTTCTTGAACCACTTCAGGTCTTTGGTCTTGGTCCGCTTGGCGACCACCCGCTCGGCGGTAGCCACTCGGCGGAGGATCTTCTGCATTTTGGAGGGGGACCTTCCGTTGAGGTTCAAGGGAGGACGCTAAGTAGGTTGTTTCTTACGGCCTCATCGTGTGCGTGTGCGTGGGTTGAATAAAGCTGCTCTCAAGAGACCAAAATTTTGGAATACATTTAATTGGTCCAATTGGATTAGAGCCTTAGCTTAGTGCCATTGAAAGATTGAAAGACCTCTCTCAGGTGGGGTGGATTAAGATAATACGGAAAATCTAAACTCCGACGATACCAAGTGTCAGATAAGGTACCTACATAGGTACATAGGTACCTAATGTATATACTTGAGTACCTAACCTATAGCAACCCTTGGATGCCAAGACTAATAAGACCCGCGCCCGTTGTGACCATGTCGTGACCTTGTCGTAAAAAAGATGTTGGTCTATCTTGCAGATTAATGTCGTAGTTGAGCTTGAGCTTAAGCTTATCAAGACCAAATGTTAATTGTTCCTGTCCGACCTTCCTGTTCAAACTTTGACGCCATATTGGCAATGAACAGGCATTTGATATAGTGGTAACTGAGGTAATTATCAATTATTGTTTAATGGTGTTTTTTAAGAGCAGAATTTCGTTATGTATTCTGCAATCGTTTATTATTCTAGACTTAGATATACCGGTTGAGCTTATCTACCTACCTAGGTATCATACATATGAAAAGACACATCAAATTTAGGTATGTATTGGAACTTACCCAAATGAGATCCTATGACGTGAATCAAATTGATCTGTACCCTTTTTCAGTCTCCCCGCAAGTCCCTGATGTTCTAGGTCAAATATAACAGGCGGAAGGCTATTTATCGCATAATAAGGTTTAAAGATGTAACGGAATGCATAGGATCCCAAGGTTTCGGCCGGTAAAACCCACCCTCCCGGTTTGATGCGAGATGGACTTAAAGCTTCAGTTAGTTGATCTAAACTAATACCGTTCCGTGTAACAAACTAGCAAAGTCTCATATTCCTTAGTTGGTTGTAAGTAGTATGCATTCTAAGTACGTTTCACCTACATGCGGATCTGTTATGTAATTTGATATGTTGATTCTCATTAAAGCCCATTGTCGATATGATAATATTAAAACGCTACAAGATTTGTTCGTATGGTATCAATGTGGTACGCGTACATAATATACGTATGTAGAGCTGGTTAGTTCCAAATCACAAGCAAAACCAAGCCACAGAAAACTACCTAACTAGGCTTTACAGCCTCGGTCTAACTAATTCTGTAAACAATAGGGGGATTCTCATTGTCTTATACGCAATACGTAAATACGATAGTAATCCAAGAAAAGAGAAAGGGGTTATGAGAGATACTACATATAGTTATGTTAGGTAGTTAGGTATGTATGGATGTATGTTAGTTAAAAGGAGAATTCCGAGACGGGTTGGCCGTATGAAACAAAATAACAAAATGACAAAATGACGACTCCAGGGCTCTTTACACCACGCGAATGCCGAACCCCACAACTCGTATCGACGAGCAGCAGACAAAGAAACAGTTTGCGCGATAGGAGAGAACGTGGAAACTTGGGGAGCTTGGGAGCTTGGGAACTCGGGAACTTGGAATGATATGCCAATATCTGAGCCACAACTGCTCAGCTGAAGAGCCCGGATCAGCTAAGGGTTATTGCGACGTTTAGTCGGTGAAGAAAGACGCAAGCTCCTTTCCCAGCTTTGTCTAGCTCGCAACGCTCGGTAGGGGAGTTTGACTCAAACGTGCCTAACCTAGCTTGGTCTCTATTTTTTTTTTCTGGGAGCCGATCTGCCGGCAACATCCCCCGATCCTCCATTTTGGAAGCGTGAACGAACTATGTATGTCCATATGAAATCCATAACCAATTACAGTAATACTCAAAAGTATCGAACTTCAAATATTCAATATCAACGCCTCTGAGTCAGCATATGTCCAACTCATCATAAGCGTTAGTTGTTTTATATTTGTGAGATATGATTATATGAGAAAAGCTGTGCCGTCTGTTTCTCGTACATAGTGTATGATATATGACTTTTGCTGCGCCCGAATGCTACATTCGCCTTTTATCCACCTCAATGACCTCAGTACTTAGCATCTGGTAAATAGTCTTTCTATTGGATTTGTTATCTATATTATTAGTAGATCAATATATTCTAGAGAATTGCTTACGTATGAGTGAGTCTCATACTCTATGTATATGTAGCATAACATAGCAACATAGCAGCATGGCATAGCATGAGCTTCAAATGCAGGACGCTGCGCACAGGCCCACTAAGAACAGTCCATAAGGTACCTAAAGGTAGGTAGTCCACATGCATGGAATATCTTCAATGCTGTAAGACGGTGTCGTGGCTTGGTACAAGGCCCTTAGGTACCTTAACCAGGCTTTAATGATGTGTGTTTTGGTGGGTTGCCTCCTCGAGATCCGAGGTGCAAGGGCCAAAGGACTTTTAGGGACGACTCATAGGGCACATGATGAATGTATGTACAAATAAGTACTTTCGGATTGGGGATTGGGACGGAGAGTGGAAAGCAAAAGCCGGCCAAGTCAGGCCAGTGCGAGTGCAGAAACGGGCATAAATGTATTATAAACGGGTACAGTACGCGGTGCTATGACTGAATGTACCGTACCTATTGTAGGTACCTACTTTGCATGTACATAGTATTTGTATTTGTATTTGTTTATGTTTTTCAAGGACTTAGCAGAGTTTTGGTAGTTTTGGTAGTGTAAGCTACTAAGACGACCACTAAAACTTGCCTATAAATCCCTTAACGATTGAATAAGCCCCACTAAACCCTGTCCCCGGTTAGGCCTACATTGTACCTTTTTGTCTTGTGCCTTTCTGTGCTTGTCCCCAATTGTCCCTTATTTCGTGACTTGACCCGCTACTTCCTATTATTTTGGCGCTGATGCTGCTACCTGGTCTACCTGGTTACCTGGAGTAAAAAAGTTATGTACTGTATGTAGTGCCTGCCTGCCTTATCCTACCTTGCTGGTGCTACCACTATCAATTGAGCAACGACCTTCCAACCTTCCAACCTTTCCTCCTTCTCACATTCTCCATCTCTAATCTCCTCCATCTTCTTCCATCATCCAAACCTCCAAACCTCCAAGGGAGAACCCATAACGAACAATCGCGAGGATTCAATCCATCAAGACTTTTGACCTCTTTTTTATCTTCTTGCATATTCTCTCAAATACCCTTGAGCAAACCCCCGTTCCTATTCTCTCCCCCCCTAAATCCGACCATCTTCTTACCCAAACATGGCTGAGCTCCGCCGAAAGCTGGTCATCGTCGGTGACGGTGCCTGTGGTAAAACTTGTTTATTGATGTACGTCGCTTATCAAAACAAACTCGTCTCCTCCATCATGCTAATTCAACTATAGCGTTTTCTCCAAGGGAACGTTCCCTGAGGTAAGAGAATAGCTGCTTCGTCATCACCATTGCTTTTTCCTCCTTCTATTCAACGTACGCCCGCGTCATACCGAAACAAAGGGTCGTCGGTCCCGTCAATCCGCCTTCCGAGCTACTACCTCGTCGCCCATTGATGCCATCATGTGCATCCATCGCGTCCTGATAAACAATCAATAGGCCATTGTACACAATGCTGATAAACTGTTCTTTTATTTTGAATAGGTCTACGTCCCCACCGTTTTCGAGAACTACGTCGCCGATGTCGAGGTTGATGGAAAGCACGTCGAGTTAGCCTTATGGGATACAGCTGGTCAGGAAGACTACGATCGTCTTCGACCTTTGTCTTACCCTGACTCTCACGTCATCCTAATCTGCTTTGCTGTCGACTCTCCCGATTCTCTGGACAACGTTCAGGAGAAGGTTAGCATTTCCGCATCTCATACTGGTCGTATTAGGTTTCCTAGATAAGTAATTTACTGACATGTGCTCTATCTGATAGTGGATTTCTGAAGTCCTTCACTTCTGCCAAGGCCTGCCTATCATCCTCGTTGGCTGCAAGAAGGATCTGCGCTACGACGCAAAGACAATTGAGGAGCTCCGCAAGACTAGCCAGAAGCCTGTCTCCCCTGAGGAGGTAAGTCATCATTATCATTACAAACTTATTATTTAATCTGGGTGTTTGGAAACACGTGGGATCTCCATCTCCAAACTCAGCCTGACTCTTTGTTTGATTTATAATCGCTAATATTGTCATAGGGTGAGGACATTCGCAAGAAGATTGGTGCCTACAAGTACCTTGAGTGCTCAGCCAAGACGAACGAAGGTGTCCGAGAAGTTTTCGAGCACGCTACTCGCGCGGCTCTACTGTCTCGTAAAAGCCAGAAGAAGCACTCTAAGTGCTTAGTCCTTTAAGAAATGTACAACATCTTTATGATACCTTCGACATACCGTCATGATCCATCATCGTCCTAGGTTCGTCTCACGGACGAGATATACAGATGAATAAGGGTTTTAGACGGACTGGGGAGGGTTGGACCGCCTGTGCGTCCTAGTCTCGACTGGAGTTTGATTCGTCTTCCCGTTTTAACTGCTTCGGTAGGCGTGCAACTCAGGTCAACTCTTGCGTGTCTCCCATATTACAAAGGGAGTATATTGGTGACGGGGTAGCGGGTATCGTTGTATTTGAATTCCCATGGTTCGAGAAAGGGGGGATGGGCAATGTATTGCCGTTAGAGAGATGTGGGTGGTGTGTTGTGCGTGTGGTATGTGTGTCAAGATTGGCGAGACAACCCCAGAGAATACGGCTATATCATAAATCTTCTCCTTTTTACTGCTCTTGGTAATTCCCGCGTCAGGCCAACCGGGAGACGGACATTTGTTGCGCAGGGGCTACTCTTTCTACCTGTCTTTTTTTCCCAATCATACTCCTTACTAATCGTCATGTCCTGCCTGGTTTCCCACATGCGTCTTGTAACTGTTGTGCTGCCCTTCGTAGATCATTAGTCCTAGGAGGCTTGTAATGTTCCATCGATGATTGAGAAAGCTCCAAGACTACGCCCACGAGGTTTTATAGTATTAGCCTTGATTGTAGCCCGTAGTAAAAGAGGGACAGTATGGATTAATTCAATATGTTGATAGTAGTATATGACAGATATAACGGTGATGTGTCGTGATGTTTTCATGAAGTCAGGATGTTATCTACTGGTGTAGTTCACGATAACACAGTGGACATGTGATCGTTGCTTACTTCTACTATATAATAGCATCTGTCCAATAGGAAAGAGGGGAGAGGAGTCCGTGGACACTTAGGTATTTCATGCACACCACGCCCTGATATTTTGAAGGCTTATTAGTTCAATCTTGTAACCTAGGATCTTAAACGGAGGCAAATCAAATCAAAAAAAGGAGGACCGTTCAACTATGGTAATAGGTAGGTAAGATTGGTAGTAAGTTAGTTTGCCGTAGAGGCCGAAGTAAAATACTCGCCAACGTATGCTTCCGTGTCTCGCCCTTTCAGAACAACACACTCCTCTCGTCTGATTCGGTTCGTCTGTCTGACTGACTACATTAGAAGAAACCTGTCGAGCTCGCCCCGCCGTTACTGCCCCTATTCTGATGCCGTCGTAGATTAAGAAAAGAAAAGAAGAAAAAAAGGGGGGAGGGGGTTCTGACCCCGTATCGCCCTGGAACATCTCATTGTACAACGAACTCCTCCCTCCCCTATGACCCTGACCTTGCCCTGCCCTGCCCCCTATCTACGCCGAGTACCGGTGGAAAGAAACGAATGGTCTAGTAGGTTGGAATTTGGGGTTGGGACGGGTTGGGTTGGTTGGTGGCATTGCGGCGCCGTGGAAATTCCCTGCCCCCCTTTCCCCTTGGGTACTCCTACGTCTTCATAGTTGAAGATTTGGTGGTGTGTTTACACGGGGCAGGTCTAGGGATGTTGTTGTCAGCTTGGTTTCAAGGCTTGAGTAGGAGGAAGATATGGTGAGAGAGCTACTGTGTGTGTGTATACATATGATAGTAGCTATATGAAGGTTATGAGAAGTGAAGCGAAGGGGCTTCAACTTACAGCACCGCAGGAATCGCATTTCTTGGTGTCGCCGTTGAAGGTGACACCGCACTTGGGGCAAGATGAGTTATGCATTTTGGCTAGTTGAGGAGCGGTTACGTCCTTGGTGATATATGATATGGATTTGTCTTCTATGTTGCTGTTAGCCAGGACTAGCAGGTACGTGGAATAAGGCAGAATAAGTAATCATATAAAACTACGCTCTGTCTCGCTCCCTACAATGAGAAGGGACGGAGATGGCTAGGCAGATATATATATATGTATGTATATATATGTAAGAGATGAGGGTAGATAAGGTAGGTTGGTATCACGACAGTTGATCCTTAGGGATTGATGAGTCGTCACACGGCACGAAAGGGGGACGAGGGTAAGTAGGTAGTGTTATACTGGTAGTGTTATACTCACGACAGATAGGGAGATCGAAAGCTGATCTTGGTTATTTGGTTTAAGAATTTCCTTTGACTATGGTGTGATGGAACGGACGACGGGTGGACTGGGTATTTAAGGCGGTGGATAAGAGGACAAAAAAGGGGACTAGCTGGATTATCGAAAGGGTCTCGTCTTTGGAGCTTTTATTTATAAGTTGGCAAGCGGGGTTCGGTGTGATCGGAGACAAGCAAGAAATGGGATAGAAGCTTACCTGTAGCTTAAGGTAGTATGTATAAGTGTATGTAATTGTATACGATACTGTATGATTCTTGTTTCCGAATGCCATCTCTTTTTTTTTTCCATCTTCTCTTCTGTCCCATCCCGTCTTTGCCTTGTCCTTACCTGCCTACGTACATACGCACGATGCTTCACATGTTGCCTATGACGCCTATGACGCCCTCTATCGCTCCACGCCGTCTGCCTATCTTACCTACACCCTATTACATGCTAGATATTACACCCCAGATACACATAATCACATAATCTAGAAGACCGTGACTAGTTAGCCAAGTCACGGGTCCCGTTCGACGTGGGAGCCAGTGGGAGCCTTCCTAATGGGGAGCGGCATCGATAGGTCAGCTGTTTGCTCTCCGCGCGGGTTACTGGAGTTGGGGTAGCGCGTAAGCTATAAGCCGTAAATCAGAAAAAAAGAAAGAAAAAAAGAAAGAAAAAAAGATAGAGAAAAGAGATGGATCTGTTGCTATACGGTAACGGAATTCGCCTTCGGCATCCTACGTATTCGCCTAAGGTAATGTGCCACGATGGAGATGACGGAGTAGTAGCCTAGGACTAATAGGACTTGAACGTTTCCAATTTGTTGGTGTGTATGTTGATGTTGATGTATATGTAGTCTCGCGTGGTGTTCATGTCGATATGCAATATGAATATGTGACAATGTGTATGGTATGCTAGGAAGTATACTGTGTATGTACTTATGTTAAGTATGTTAGGTATGTATATAGATAGGTATATAGGTAAGTATATATGTATATATGTATTGTAAAATATGTCGTGTATAAGAGATATATATGTGTATGTATGTGTGTGTGTATGCGTTGGCGTGGGTAAAACGGCTTCGGCCCTGTCTTAATGTGGTTCTTTGCATCTTGCATCGACCCATCCAGACGCCGACTTGCTATCTAATCAATCGTGCATGTGCTCATCCATCTGTGACTGGCCTAGAAAGTAAACTGCAAAGTGCCGCGTAAACCCAGCTAAATCCAGCTGAACCAACCAAACACATCGTCCCGCGATAAGCGATACATACCAACCCACACACCCTTTCTACAACCCTTCCTACTGCTACTACTACTCTACCCTACTCTATTATACCTGCAGGATGACCGAGGTGGGGAGCTGCACATAGGCGCATCCTCCTTCACGCCTTAAGAGTATCCTCAAATCATATCAGATTTCTCCATCTCATCTCGGAGAATCAACGCCCTGCAACTTCGCCATGCTGCTACGGCTGCCATCGACCGGTGGCGTTGCCCGATGATTCAACTATCGCGCGACCGGTTCGATGCCGACTGGGGACTGGCATTATTAAATAGCGGGCTGTTGTATGCAATATGCAGTTTGCCTTCCTTTACTCCAAGGCCTAAAGGAGCTTCGCATTACGTGTATGGATAATATACAAGGACAAGACCAAGGTAAAAGCCAAGGACAGATTCTATAGCTCTAGACGCACTGGGATGGTTCGCCCCCGCCTGCAAAAAAAAAAAAAACAGATATAAGTCAGCTCTGGTACGGATAAAGACGGGTAGCCACGTCGGCAGCTAAACTAACCTTTGATCATTTTGCCAATAGCTTGGAACATGCTAATAACCATGACCAAACACCCAAACGCCACGATGCCCATGGCGACGTACGTCTTCCACGACCTTGAACTCAACTTGATATAACACAACGGCGGCAAGATATACGCCAGCGCGCAGGCGCTCGTCGCACCAACGAGCTCGAATACGACCCCGAGATCGCACGTCAGCAGACTCAGCGTCATGGCCGAGACGACCAATGCAGAGCTGAAGATTAGGTGCAGGTTCATATTGAAGGGCTCGTTAGGAAACCAATAGTTCATCATGACTTCCCGACAGACGAATGCCTCTAATGGTAATGTCGTGAGCATGTTCAACCCGAAACAAAGCCGCGCGATCGTCACCATCGTATTATCGGCCGGGAAGTTATTCAGCACGTTTCCGAGAGTCTTATCTCCGAAGGTAAGGAAGCCCGCGAGGGCCATAGTCATACATGCCAGCATGGAGATGCCCGTAGAGTAGTGAGTCACCTTTGCGAAGCGGTCTATTGTTGGTGTCTTTAAGGAGCCGTAAATTAGGAGAGAATTATGTTGACAGACAAATGCTAGCTTTCGTTAGCTACCCTCCTTATAATGCTTAGTTTAAACCATGATTGACGAAGTGCACATACCAAAAGAAATAACGCCAACGGCCTGAAATATGCCATCATTTATTGTGAGTAGCGGTAAGGTAAAAGAGCCGCGGTTTTCCGCGGGTGTAAGAACGCTTTGAACGACGACGGTAACTAATATGATACCCATGCTGATCAAAGCGAATGTGCTTGCTTTGGCGAGCTATCTTCACTTTAGCCGGTCGATCAGACTGATTTTTGCCACACTGTAAGAGGCTTACCTTTGCAATATCTCTATATAACGTCAACGGGTAACTTATTCCAAGTATAAAGAAACAAATAACCGCTCTGCGGTCTGCGAGTAGCCATAACACGGGGGTGCTGCTCAACCCTGGCCATATCGTGCGTAGAACCTGCGGTATCGAATCGCCAACAATAATTCCAAAGGCAATCATGCCGCCGAACGCGAAAGCCCATTGCGCAACGCTTATGGCAATCAGTCCCGGCTTGCCAAAGCAGTGCTCGACTGTTCCTTGAAAGCTGTTCGCGCCGCTTAGTTTACTATTGATGACGATCAAGCGAATAGTCCAGTCGACAATAATGGTTAGACCGATAAGCAATACGATGCCTGCCAGTAGACCGGCGTCCTTGAAAGCGTAGGGCTGTCCGATAATGCCGGCGCCTATAATACTATTCGCCATATTCATAAACGCAGAGCGCATCCCAGATTTGGGCCTCGTTCGTTCTCGTTCGGCCCACTCGTGAACATCATCGTCGAGGCTGTTGGCTAGGGCTACAGAAGGAGCTTCGATGTCGGTTAATAGGGGGTGTCTTGGTGTTGAATCATCATAGATAGGGCTGTCGGGTTCTGCAATATCGAAGTAATCAACGGGTTCGGCTGGATGATCATGACCGTTCGCAGGAGGTGGAATATTGGTAGGTCTTAAATCAAACCGAACTCGATTAGGGGTTCTTGGAGTGCCCGGGGTGCGAATAGAACTAGGAGGAGCATCGAGGTCACCGTTATTCAAATGCACTATAATGCCATTCTCGTTCTCATTCCCATTTTCGTACTCGTCCTCATCTTCATCAGAAACGTTTCCTGCTAACAGACCATGCTGCTCTTCGTTTGCGGGAGCTTCGGTTTGATTAGTGTTGCGCGTTTGCTCTCTATTAGAGCTATGAGTCGTGGCCTTGGCCATTGTGTTATCACGGCGGCATCCTTGCAAGGTAAGAAATCGTATCCGTCCTCAATAACGGGTTGATTTTGTTAGTAGCGAGTGCAATGGATTTACTGGTAACAGATCTCAAGTTGAGCCGCGCCTCATAGAGTCGAGGCCAGTCTCAATGAAACGATTACAGATTACGGATTACGGATTTCTTTCTTATCATCATGTGATAAAAGGTACATACTAGCGTACCTTGTATGTACATACATTAGGTACATACTATAGTAGCACCTACCTACATACTAGGTGCTAATGCAGGGGATTCTAATTGGTTCCAAAGCTTATGAGCAAGACCCCATTATAAGTCCCTGTTGTCTGGGTCTATTGTATGGGTCCTATCTTCCCTAAGCTTCAACTTTATTAAGGTCGGTCCGATATTAAGTACATGGTCAGGGACTTGTACCTAGGTACTATTACGTAGTTTCTAGGTTGATAAGTTTAGGTCGTTTCGTTTCGTTTCGTTTCCTATATATTTCGTTTCCTCTATAATACATTCGGTACCTAAGTAGTAACCATCTTCAGGAGATAATTCTTAGGAGAGCATCATTATCACTATCACATAAAATGATCTAACAAATAGTAGCAACAAATAGTGGCAGCTTTTAGTTAGAATTGAATATTTCACTGTCTATTATATAATTATAAATATAATACCTAACAGCGTATTTTGATTTTGTATGCCCGCGTTAGGCTGCTGACTCTTTCGTTCGTTCCTCACCCGCCCTGGGTATCAAATATTCGTGTACTCTTCCTCTACTAACTAGAGAAAAATGCTCTTAGTTAGGTATCCAAAAACCTAGTAACCCCTTTCTATCCAAATGGTACGTCTACCGTAATGAAGGATTGTCATCTGCTTTAGCAAAGCAGCCCGTAGTATATATGCAAATGCGAGACAATTAAGATCCAAGACACCTTATGCCTACATAATCATGCCGATTAATAGGATACACATCAACGACGTATATACGCCCACTGCGCTTAACCTCACGCCCGAAGAGTCTGTGGTAGGCGTGCTTCCCGGCGCGGACTCTGTCGGCGAACTGCTCGTGCCCGAGCCTGCGGCTGGCGTATCTTCGGGAACGAGGCCAACCCCAGAACCGTCTGAAGGAGAACCCGTTGGGCTGGAACCATCTGATGTAGCCGTTGCGGAAGCCGATCCGGAAGTCGATGAACCACTTGGAGATGTCGTTGACGTTCCGCTGGGGCTTGCACTGCTGCTAGTACCGCTGCTGGAAGCTGCCCTGGCGGCGAATCCTATACTTTTAGTTAGTTTCGATCTATATAACATAATATGCGGTTTCAAACTTACCGATTTGTTTTTGGTCCATATCGAACACGCTGTAGACATTCTTCAAGAACATATCTCCAAGAAGCCAAGCGCCAGGCACAAATTCCATTCCATACACGCTGCCGAAGCAAGTTCCAGCAGTGTTGGGAGCAGTTATAAAGTCCTTTGAAGAGGCTGTGTAAGCTTTTCCAGAGAAGGAGAATGCGACTTCACCATCGGTATCACACGGAACAGTATAAGTCTCGCCGTTGTCGATAGTTTTAGAACCAGGGATCAGCTTGTACAGAGCCGCAACATCATCAGGGGGACCGAAAACAAAGGTGGTGCCGGTGTCGATATAGGCGAGTCTACCCTTCACTCCAGCTGACTTGCCACCAAATAGCACATCGTCCATCGGGATAGCCCAACTATTTCCAGACTTGAGGCCAGTGTACGATATGTCACCAGTGTACTTGGCCTTGTTCGGCGCACCAAAAGCCACCTCCCCGTCGTTAGCGCCATCCGCCTTCCTGTTCAACGCAATTCCAAACACATTAGAATCGATCAGCTTGGCATCCTTGAGATGGGTAAGCCACGTGCCGTCGACCATGGACAGCCCCAAGATACCCTCAAAGGGAAACTGGGAAAATTGGTCTGAAGTGATATTAGCAACGCCAAAGGGCATTGTTACCTCCAATCCCGCGATGCTGATACTGTCAGACACAACGTGCCCGCTCACTTCTCCGGAACCATATTCTACCGAGTAGTTTTCTTCGGTGTCCTTGTACGTCTTGGAATCATTTGGTCCAAATGTATTATGCTTGGTGCATGCGCTAGTGGTGCAACCCGAGCCCATAACCCACGTTGTACTAGCACCAGTATCGACAAGCATGTACATCTTCTTCCCTTCAGAGCCAAAGGCAGCCTCGACAAAATACGAGTAGTCCGTCCCGTCCTGGTCGATTCCCACAGCATTGCTGACTGAGGGGTTGACGGCAGTATCTACATGGTAGTTGTTGTCTCGATTACGAAGAGCTGGATCCTCGGATGTGGAACGAGTGGGCACTTTGGACCCGTACTTAGCTGCTAGGTTCTGAGCAACTCTTGAGAGTTTGTCTGTGTGGCTGTCTCTGGACTATATAGAGCTACATGTTAGTATATATTCAAACTTTGTGGCCACGAGCTTAACATACAACTGATCGTTTCGAGCTCATCTTAAACGTTACAAACCCAAGTTGCGGGTTGGAATCGCTAGGAGCATCTCGCTTTACATTGCCATGGGCTTTCGAGTTAAATGTGACGAATCCAATGTTGTTTGAAGCCTCTCGGTTATCTAAACTGCCATGGCTGTTGGAGTTTTCGTCTGTAGGGAGACCCTGGACAAGGGCGGTACTCCATAGCAGGAGCTGTAGCGATAACCTGCTTTGATGCATGTTGAAGAGTTCCGCAACGTTCTCCCCCGACTCGAATTACCAAGTGCCTCGGTTTCCGCTCTAGGTCGGTTGCCGTAGTTGAATGATAGCAAATCACGCTGTCATACACATTCGGATCCAATACCGCGTAGCTGATTTAGATAGGGAAAGCTTGTTAGGAGCGGAGGCAAAATGTTATGGGCCAATTGGGTCCTCGATGTGGTATACTCTGGCGATTCACAGCTCAAGAGTACCAGACTCTCTGGTCTAGATATTATAGTATTAGATATTAAGAGAGTGTCGTTGATAAACCAGAGAGTAATAAAAAAAGAAATTGGCCGACAGGGAAAAGCCAAAAAAAAAGGAGGTTGTCCGTGGATAATAGATACAAGGCACGTAGGGTTTCGTAGAAGTATTCGATATGTCGATATGGATTCCAAACCAAGTGCGCCGCCGGGAGAAACACGTTTGATAAATAAGACAGGTAGAGAATTCCAACCAGGCCGCCCCGGTCTATTTCAATGAAAAGAGAGTAAACCAAAACGATCGGGTATGTGGCAGTGAAACAAAGACGACGACACACGCCAACAATAGAAAAAAGTAGATATCAGATGGCTGTGGAGAAGGTAAGAAGTGTGAATACTTAGTGGAGGTCGGCAAAGACGGAGGAGGAAGGAAAGTTAACGATTCCAACGATCCCCCCTCAACCCCTGCAGTCATCAAGCCCAGTATCTTGGCCTTCCTGTTGGTTGGTTCTCTAGATGAGGATAACGTTAGACTGCGGGATAGACTACGAGGTCTGGTACGTTGCTTGTTCGGCTGTCAGGTAGCCGAAGCTGTCCATTTCTTCCATTTCTCTCCGTGTCTAATACATAGTATCTCAAAATGATCAATCGGATTAGCACTAGGGGCACGAACGCTCAAGGGAGAACCCCTGCTTACCAGGGGCTAAGCAGAGATAGCGCCATTTGTGGGCGCACGGCTTTTAATCTACTTAAAGATGACCTTAGAATGCCATGCGGCTATGGCGTCGTCCAAGTACCTATAAAGTAGTTTCTTATTATAGTGATCTACTTGGGAAATTGGGTCTCCCTCTAAACTGGCTGATGATTGGCCCGTCTCTGATAGAGTCTTTTGTGTTTGCAGCGCAAAGCGGTCGTGAAGCTACCATTCTTTGCAGCCTCGAGGCCTATTTTCGATGCTTTAAGCTGTATCCCTTCCGGCTCTGCCACTACAGAATTAGAAGGCTACCTCGTAAACGAGCATTCGGGTGCTTGAGTTGTTGGTAATGTAATTGGCGCCACTTGGTTGCTTGGCTTTGGAAGAATGACTGATAACAGAGCCTACAGTATGTAATATATACAATACGACCTCGGCGATACATACAAACCCCATAGAACGCTTAAGGATAGAGCTAGATTGCTTGCAGGGATCCACTTCAATGGCTCCATGTGGAGTTCGGACTGAACGGGTATGGATGAGCAGCCAAGAAGACGCTTGAGTCTGGAGATCCTTGATATAGGAAATCATATCCACGGATAGTGTCTTTACCAACCCAGTATTCAAATCTCACATTGGCCATCAATTGCGGCCCACACGAGTTAATCAGGACGGTCAGGGTACTCAAGCGACCTAGCCTGGGGGGAGAAGTATTTGATAAGGTAAGTCATGATTACGCACGTCGGGATAGAAAATAGGTCTGAAATGTTTGGCGTCAAGGTGAGACTAGTTTCGGTCGACACGAGGCAACCGAGTAAAAGGCCAACCACATAAATGCGGTAGAGGCCGGCGCTTGGCGTTACTAGCACCAAGCCGTCATTCCAATTCTTATCAGCCGCTTAAAATTTTCCGTAAGCTCAAGCGGCTTTCAGCCACTTCGTAGTATGGCGGTTGGAAGCTCGGATCTCTGTCAAACCTTACAGAAGGATCGGATCTCGATCACGGCCAAGAAGTATCAGATTTCTGAGGTTGGCAGTTTAGTACCCAAAATGTAAGGTGACAGGATAATTATAGGACGAAGCGTCTTGTGCCGTCCAAGTTGTAGCAGAACTAAGCCCCTGCGTCAGCCTACCACGAATTTTGGACCTATCAGCGTCGTCGTTGGACTGCCGAGCCACGTCTTAGTTATTCGGTATGTACAAAGGCCTTCCTCAGCCGCCACCCGGATAAGCTATGTATGTGCAACTGATGAGCCTCAATTTGAAGCAGACGTCCATCCTCTTTCGTCCATTACGAGAAGGAGGTATGAAAACGAGGGCAAGAAGGAAGCAAAGGGCATATAACATCTGGACTGGTCGTTTCAGTCGCTTGGTTATCTATTCTTAGGTGTTCAGTTTCCCAAGTAATGATGAGTTGCTGACAGCGTCAATACTGAGGCCTCTATGCTTTTCCCCAACGGTTGGCAGCTTTGCTGGACCAATTCGGGCTCATTCCGCCATTTTGGACCCCATTAGAGGGCGATACTTTTCGCACCAACGTTGTGCGCTATCCAGTGTTCTCCACTGACTACTGTTCTCCGGCGTTGTGGAAGCGAGCCTCTTATTTACGGCCAAAAATGACTCGAATTGCTGATCACTAATGAATTCCACCGTCGCTATAGTGCGCAGAAATGTCCAGACAGACTCGCTTATCCAGCGTAACGAGCTAGTGATATCAAGGACTTCTGTAAAAACGGACGAGCAGACTATGTCGCGGTTTTCATCGTCTTTAATTCTGCTGATAGCATAGATGAGAAAACTCCAGCTGGAAATGTCGGTATGATTCTTCAAGCAGAACTCTTTAACATCAGTAACTATAGACCCAGCCAGTCCCGGATCTCGATCTATTAAGAGCCGAGCGTGATACCAGGCAGGATAGTTGCGAGGATGCCGGATTCCCGCTACCATGACAACATTCTTGATATCGTGCTGCAGGTCCACGACTATATTGTGAATTGCATATAGGTGGAGTAGCCAGCGACGATGTGACCAGAGGGTAGGTGATTTGGCATGCCGATACAGCCTTGACGTGAGAAGGCTATCCACAAACTGCTTCTCTCGTCTTAATGACAACTCATCTATCTCGCTAGTTTCTAGCGACGATATGAGCAGTCGTTTCCGGGTATTAGCGGCTGTCAGATGTTCCGGGTCCATAAGCAGCAGTACAGCTGTTGCAGCCATCACTTCGCTGCGATTTACTGTACTGTCCGCATGATAGGCCTGAAGCAATTGGCGTGCAACGAAAAATGCTTGAACTAGCCTGAGCTTAGGAATTGCGACAGCCGTGCCATCTCTAAGGTAGTTGACCCCTGGTTGTAGAGGATGGCTTTTCCCAAGGAATTCGATCTCTAGCAATTCATTTTCTGGTAGCTTCGCGAGGATCGTTGAGATATCTTTATACACCTTATTTGGATCATCAGCTTCTAAGTGAGCCAAAAGATCTTTATCTAGCGAGCGGGACATTATGAATGTGAGCCACTGTTAGTTAGCCATAGAATCGCTTCGTAAGGTAAGAGGTATGTAGGTTATATGGTAACCATTTATGCAGCCCTAAATACCAAATACCATAGTACATAGGTAAGTAAAGCATACCTAACCTCGTAGATTATTCATAGTTCTAGAAGCTGAATACCAGGTAATACATAAATACATGTAGATGGGACAGCGAATATAAAAGTGGGAGGTGGACCTTGTGATCTTGGTAGTGGGGTAATATGCTTTTAGCGGATAATACTTATAAAATCAATCTTTTATCTTAGTAACGTATTTATTTAACCATCATAAGTTTCAAGGCCACATATCGGATAGGACACGAATTTAAAGCTTTCTACTACTTTAGGTAATGTTCTCGTGCCAAAACTTGTCCGCTGTGACGTTATCCTTCTAACTCAAGAGAAGCAGTGCTCGAGACGAAATGATATCTGTACTGCTACTGGTATTCCTAGTCGAGCTCGGTATTCACCTTGTGAACACTGTCGGCGCCGCGACGATAAATAATCTAGTAGGATAATTCTCCGAATATACCAGGGTAGCATCATATCAATGGCTGGCTGACCGCGATATAGTTGTGGAACTTATATCTAGCTTTCCCGACCGAAATCTCGAAGCAGGCGGCGGAAAAGAAGACGCTGCAAAAAGAATATCTTACGATCCGCCGCGACCTGAATGCTACGAGCAGCCAGGACCAGTTTGCGAAATGGGCGAAGCTCCGACGGCAACATGATAAGCTGATGGAACAGCTGGAGAAGATGAGTTCGTTTCCCCCCCAAGCATACAAGAGGTGGATATAGATAATAGGAGATGAAATTGACCGATTTATGTTTTAAGAAACTTCGCACGAAAGCGCCAAATCAAGATTCGACAGTACTATCAACATTCTACGTTGGTTAGCGACATCGGGGTTGAAGTTCCTCCTCCCTTTCTGGTACGCAAAGCAGCCCATGTTCTGGCTCCCTCACGGCTGGTTCCCATACTACGCCGAGTGGATTTTGTCCTTCCCACGAGCGCCCGTGGGTAGCGTTAGTATCGCATCGTGGCAGGTAGCCTGTGCCGGGATAGTCTTATTGGTGAGCGATACCATTACAGCGATTCTAGGATTGGTACTAGGTGCAAATATCGCCGAGCAACAACCAGTCAAGGTGACCGCAGAGAAGGGACCCATACCAAAGTCACAAGGAGCAAAGGCTAAGAAGGATTCATGATTATTTGGGATACATAGAGAGGTTATGTTACGTTACGTTACGTATGGGCTATTGCTTAATCGACTAGGTTAATAGATATGGGATATGTCTCTCATCTAAAATTTGACGCAGAGTTTTTCATGGCAGAAATGCTAGGAACTCTGTAACACGATTGAGATGACTCTTGGCAGAGTACTTTGGGTCGCTCTAGGCAAGCATATTGACTCTGACGACCATGGAGAAAAAGATCGTTAAAGCTTCGAAAGTGCCAATTAATAATACATCATGGTTCTCTTACCTTGGAATCGGCATCTATAAAGATGCAAGTTTAAGACATAGACGTCTTAATTACTCGCATCTTCTAAACCAATATGATAAATGATATACAGCATATATAGTGTATCATCCACTATCACAGGCCTAGTCCTCAAATCCAGTTCAGATGCGCCCCCATGACTCGCATATTCTGTATTATGTAGAGTTGAGGAAAGGAAAATATAAATTTTCAGAGTGAACCGCGAAATTTGAAGAGAAATAAAGAAGTGGATATGAAGGTCACGGGCCTATCAGAAGCTCACACCCACTAGTTCCATATATATACATAGGTACAATCGGGATGTATTGTCTGTCCTGATTGAATGCGTCATGTACAAGTACAAAACACCTGTGACGAAGGTCTTCAATATATATAGACACACTAATGTACCTAACCTAACACATTAACATCAAAGGCTGACTTGAGGTCTAATTCATGTGCATATCATCTGGTCAAGCTGACTTTTGAACGAACTAAATAACTTCCTTTGTTTTTATATAGAACTTTAGGCAGCCACCACATATACTGGCGGAATGGTTAGGATATATCTAGTCGTGCACCTAGCTAGATAGCAAAAAGACACAATGGCGATTCCCTGGGGAACGTGAGTTTATCTACACCACCAGCCGAAAGGAAATTTACCTTATATATAGGTCTCTACCTCACTCAAGATATGGAAGCTAATATTGTACGTCCACCTTTAGGATAAAGTCCCTCCTCATATTCTTCGGCCCTATGCTCTTACCCAAGGCCATAAGCTACTACCGCTCCGTCCGCAATGCGCCCCGCGCCGCCGGCGTCTCGATACAGCCGGTGCCGCAACAAGCTCTACGCGCCATCGCCGCGCTCATCATGGGCGGTCTCGTCTTGCTCTGCGGCGTCCTCCCCCTCTTCTCTCCCGAGAACATCTTTGTGCGCACACAGTCGCGCCTACAGATCCCAACCGATGTACTCTTCAACCGACTCGCGTCTCTACGCCCCCTCTCCGTCGCCGACGACGCTTTGCGCACACGCTTCGTAAACCTCGAGTCTAGGTTGCTATACCTACAATTCGGCCCCGAGGTCCTAGCCACCTGTCCCTTCTGCACCTCCGACGACCCCCGCTCCTACTTCTACTACGCTCTTCCCGCGCTCCTCACACCACACCTCACCAACCTTGTTCTCGCCTCCCTCGCAACCTCTGAGCTTATGTCTGGGTCCTACGGCCCCAAGTGGCGCGCCACTGCCGCCGTAGCTAGCGGTCTCGGCGCCGCTCTCGATATATATCTGGCCAACTCGTACAACTACCAAGCGAACGCGCGAGCTACACGCCTAACCGATCTCGATCCTTTCTTCTGGAACTCGCGCATAGCACGACAACTCGGGCTCGCCTCTCTCGACTTCCTCCTGGCTTACTTGCTGTACCTCTCTAGCACTAATCGAGCCTTTGTCGCCCCGCCGAGCGCCGCCGTGCGCGTGGAGGCCGTGACGCGGCAACTGCAGGGGACGAAGGGACGACTAAATGCCATAGGGATAGTTAAGAACACGGCGAACCGGGATGAGGAGCTACGGTCACGCAGCCAGGCGTACTGGCGGCACGAGGGTATGCTGATGCGGGAAGTTATGGAGGAGCGCGAGGTAGTTGAGGGTGTGAATGATGCGCTACAGAATCGTATTGATATTGGCGACATTATGAGAGACGCTGATGCCTACGCATTAAACGTGCTGCCGAGGATGGAGGAAGCGGTTACGCCGGAGACGATTGTAGGATAACTAGATGATGGGATGGCGTGTATAGATAGAGCCTCATATATGGATAATACGGAATAAAATTCGGTTTAGAGTGGTATTAAGGTTGTGAAGGTATGCGTATTTAAATTCAGCATAGGCTGTCTGAGATCGACATGTCTATTTAGACTGACTGGGTTGTAATTTCAGCGTTATAGGTGGGTAAGCAGTTGATACATATTAAGCAGCCGCCACTTGTTCGGAGAAAGAGTTGGGTATACGAAGGTGTGACTGATAGCTAAGATCCAAATGATCCATTTGAATAACCTATCCTCCCCCCCTAGGAACTAACTGAAGCTATTCCCTTGAACCGTATCCGACAAACGCCATCAGATGCTGCATGGTATGCTATATGCCTTTATCAAAGCTAGCCGCAGTCGAAACAGTAAAATGCTTGTAACGCAGATACACGGGTAGTATTTTGCTACCTAATTAAGTACCTCGAGTATCCGGCCTCGTCGTGCCGGCTGTACTCGACATGCTGCCCTTCCTTGATCCTCCAGCCTGCGATGCCTCTTCCACGCTCCGTTCTAAGAATCCGGCCCACAGGTCGGCAAGGGACTCTCTGCTGGCCGAAGTTGGTGTCGTATCTGAAAAGAAGTCCGCACTCAGAGACGGCGTACTAGGTGTTCTGTGGAACGGAGAGCTAGGAAGGCGGAGACTATTAGTAGAAGTTCCCGGCCTCGCCAGTCCAGCCTGTTCTCTTTGCTCGTCTGTCCAATTTAAGAGTCCTGCGATGATCTGGAGGATCTGGAACTTCTTGGGATCAGAACGGTCAAGGGCTAGGAACTGAAGGAAGTGATTCGTAACAATTTGTCTATGCCAAGTTAGTAACTACAATATAGGGGTTAAGACAATAAGATCCAACGAACCTATCGATGCTGTCCTCAGGCTTAGTCTTCTTGAGGTATCGAAGAGCTTTTGTTAAGTGATCGTTTAGGACGATAGCTTCATGTCTTAGCTTGCCAATGAGGAGGTTCTTCTCTTTAACCTCCTTCTCAAAGGGCGCAGTTCGTTCCAACTCCTTTTGTAACGATTCTTTAACCTTTTCTGCTTCAGTTGCTCTTGTGTCCGCCTCTTGAACGAGCTTCTTGAGCGCCTGAAGTTGCTCCTCGGATGTCTCAACCATCTCACGCAATTCTTTCTTGCGGGCCTCTTGGATTTCTTGAAGCGCCCTCTGGAGACTATCAACAGCTTGAGACTGACTATCCCGCTCTGTTATAATTCGCTCATAGCTTTCTCTTAGTGTTGATAGTTGCTCTTCTAGGGCAGCTGCTTTCTCGGACAGGCTCTCTCTGATTGATCGCTCCTCCATGGCTAATACTTCCCAGTCACCCATCGCATCCTTAGCTGCCTCTGCTTCTTCTCTTAAGTGTTGTATCTGCCGCGTCAGGTCTTCCTTTTCCTTTAATGAGTTATGTTGAGAGAGATTGTTCCTGCTGCGGAGACTAGACAGTTCTCTTGTCGCATCTTGCAGTTCGGTCTTGAGCTTTTCGATTTCATCTTGATAACTTTGTACACCCTTTTGAAGCTCCTCGTTTTGTCCTTCTAACTCTTCAATGCGTTGATTTGCTTCTTCTAATTCTTCCTTTCCTCTTGCTAATCTGGTACTGACGTTCTCTTTGATCTTCTCGACCCTGCCTACCAGAGTTTGGTATTGCTCCTCGACCTGCTCCTTCGCGGCTTCGGACTCTTCCAAATCTGATTTGAGCTGGGCTGTTTCTTGAACATGCGTCTCTTGTATGGTTTCGAGCTGCTTTCGAAGTTGCTCTACTTCTGCTCTTAAAGCTTCACGCTCTTGTGTTATAGCGTCTAGCCGAGCGCTTGTGTCTGTGGATTCGGTTGTTTCGTTTGCGACTGGTTCGTGGGCAGGGTGTCCATTGGTCGTAGGCGACGGGGCATGACCATTTGCGGATTCTTTTGGTATATTCTACCAACTTTATTAGCACTCAACTGTAGAACCTGAATTCAAAGTTGGTCGGGCTCACTTCTACGACAGGTGTGTCTGGCTCGTCGGATTCGTTGCCGTCATCTTCGAGATGCACTCCATCTTGGTTTATATCTGTGGCTTTAATTCCATCCTCGAGAGGTTTTGGCTTTGGGGCATTCTTCTTCTTTTTGTTATTCTTTTTCTTAGCAGCTATATAATAATATGTTAGTTATCGTAATCACACTGCAAGACGACAACAAGAAATGTTTAGCGACCAACCAGTATTTAACTGCTGCGAAGGCTCTGTGGGAGTCATGATGGAATCATTCGTGAAGATTCAAGATCTAAAATGGTAACATCAATCGTAGGTGGCCCTCGAATGGTAATCGAAGAGAAGTTTATTATGTAAAAACGTTTAGAGGTTGCGACGTTCTACTGCAAAATCACAAGTCTACAGTCCACAATCCACACGTAAGCCGTTGCTGTTTATTGAGTCCCCTAGTACCTGTACATACACCCGGTACCTTACAGTGCAGTGGTTTATTTTAGGTAACGAATCAAATTACAGTTGATTAATTAGGGTGCTAGATCGGCTAGCGTCCCACAATACAGGGCTCATTCTAGCTATCCGACCACTGTAACAGCGGGGACTTATCAACTGAGACTGAGCCTCTTAACATATAAAACATCTGTAAAATAAAAGTGGCATTAGACGTCTTCTTGATGATCGGATTTATAGATATAGATATATGTATTAATGTAAGGCATATGTTGCCAGTAATGATATAGTATTGCCAATATGTATTCTACATGGGAAAGTTATATACGAACTGATATTTATTTACCATGACTTGTCTTCGATCCCGGCTATCCAAAACTCACCACTTACAAGAGTCTAGACCATCTCGATGTGACGTCTAAGAGGCCAAGAGTTGTAGATGAAGAATAGCCTGTCACACCTCGCATGAGCTTGTCCTCGAATACGAGATTAGCTTAGCGAACGGTCTTAATATTCCTCTTAGTATTATCTATTAACTCTAGTAAAATCATTCTTACTACTGACAAAATTGTTTCTATAGATTGTATAAAGTCATGACCTTAGATACGTAAAAGTTCCGTTCTAAGAGCCCCCGCCAGTGGCTCATGGCTCATGGCTCATGGCTTTGATTAAGATGTGGCTTATCATGTCACGGACCAATCAGTCCTTACGACGTAGCCACTTGATTGGCCAATCATTCATAATACAAAGATTTCCAAATTCCGAGGTTACCAATTTTTCTTTCTTCTACACATATTTTACCATCTTCGCTAGAATTTCTTAAAATCGAAGCTGCTTTGCTCAATTATTGAGCTCTAATGGCTGATTCATCCTTCTGGTCGAAGTAGAGCGAAAATTGCCCTTTATAATCCTGCTGTTTACCTGACTTAATCCACGGGTACAGCGGGTTCGCTATGTGCAGATATATCATTCTCCCATTTTCTCGTTAAAAGGTGTAACTATGTGGAGCGTGAAAACGTGAGGTGATCAAAATAGGAGCATGTTTCTATTCATAATATGCACGCAATGTGCAGTTTTTCATATAAAAAATAAAGTGCACAGGGCTTTCTCGATAACAAGGTCTCATAAAATTTATTGTAAACTATGTAGGTATAAAAAACGCCTCGAAACCATTATGCAGCTACCTTCTTCGTCTTTGAAGACTTCTTCTTCCCCTTCTTGCTTGCCTTAGCTGGTTCCTTCACAGCAAGCTCATCCTCGGGGGAATTATGACTATCATCTTTTGCTTCTTCGGCCAGTTCTGTCTCTGCTGTATCAGTCCCAGGTACTGCCTCGATGGCTTTCGGTACCTCGTTATCAACACCTTCAAGCGCAGGAGGGTCACTGGCTGCTTCATCAACTGACTTAATCTTGGGGCCCTCAAACTCATAGCCCATGTCCTGTAGTTTCTTTGCGCGTTGGCTGCGCTTCTGTTCTTCCTTCGTGATCTTCTGCGTCCATGTTGATTCGGTTAAAGGCTTCTTCAGATGATTACCGACCATCTTGTTTAATGGTACTTTCTTGAAGCGTCTGTTTGAACCTTTCCAGAGATCGGCATGAATCTGTGACTGAGGAACAACCTTAACTTTCAGAACCCGGCCAAATAATAGATAATTATCCATAGTTTTTGAAACAATTTCTGCTACCGGCGCGGAGGCGAATTCGATGAATGCAAAATGTTTGCTAGCGCCTGTCTTCTTGTTCCTAGACATCCGTAACTTCTCTATTTTACCGAATTGGGAAAAGTAAGATCGCATCTCATGTTCGTAGAAACCATCTGTCATCGCTATTAGCGCTATTACGAGCCAATTGATGAACTAACTTACGCGGGAGACGGCCAACATATACAACACCACGTTCTCCATCCTTGGAGCTGGAGGATTTGAGCAGTTCCTTGGATGCTTGCGGGATTTCGCCTACATCTTGTCCTTCTTGAAATTGAGCACTGGTATCGACCATAGCATCTTCTTCGTCGCTATCAACGATATTTGCAAGAGCCTGAGCGTTATCACGCTCATCATCTGAGGACAACAGGGTTTCGTCTTCATTTGCGACCTCACTCTCATCCTTCTCGCTTTCTTTGGTGGATTTAGAGAGCTTCGTCTTTACTGAACGGCCTGTTTTGGCCTTCTTCAATTTGCTATCGTCTTTTATCGACTTGGTCTTCTTTGCCGCAATCGGGCTCTCATCATCGGCCGCTATATGGTTCTTATAAGCTTACAGAAGCTGGGATTATATGTCTTTCGTACTAACCTTTTCGTTTGGTAGCTAAAGTATCGGCCTTGCCTTTGGAGGTAGGCTTTGCAGTAGGCTTCGCAGCCGATATGCTGGCTTCTAATAAATATTATTAGCCAAATGATACTTAAAGCCTATTAATTAGAATATCCTACCCTTAGATTTCCTCTTCCTGAGTTCTGGTGCCATTTTTGTTTATAATTTGTTTGTATCGTTGACAATATAGACCTAAGTGCAATGCGCTCTTCTACTGTGCTGAATCTAGGTATAGTTTGAACTTTTTCTTCTTCTTTGCGCTGTAATTCTGCCGTTAGAAAATTTGGCGGTGAAATAGATTAGGTAACCCCCACTTTCCCCAGATAGAAGAAGTTACATAGGTACCTAACGTTAGGTACTTTAGCTACATCGGTACATTCGTCGAGGCTGCAACCGCTTTAGAATTAATTTAGGTATAACAACTTCTCAACAAATGCGTTGGTAGAGTTGTTCTTTAAACGTTTAGAAATTGAGTTAATAGATCTCTTCCAGAGACAAATGAAACTTTCTATATAAATTCAGATTTAGGCCTCGATTACAACCCAAATCTACGTTAAACCCCCTAACAGGCAGGACAGGTAACCACCTACAAAAAGAGCACCTCTAAACCCAATTTTCTATGCACGCCAGACGACATACATCTCACTCCGAAGTCTTTGCAGTACATTCCCATTCACTACTGATTACCTAAACTAGAGAAATTCCAATCGATCCAAAGGCCTCTCAGCTCTCAGAATGGCTCCGTCCAATAAACCATTGTCCCATAAAGAGATTTGGGATGATTCGGCTCTCATAGATTCGTGGAACGACGCGCTAAAAGAATATGAGGTATGTTATCCAGGTTTTCATTTTCTTGAGCTGACAAGAGCCGATGTCTAATTACCATTGTTTAGAAATATCATAGTATACACAGGAATGGAGGCAACGTGGAAGATCTTCTAAAGTCCGACGAGTAAGTTCGCACCTACTACTCAAGTCCCTACATAGATTTATCGGCATTTTATCCACACACACACACATATATATATACTTACATGAAGATCATTCAAGAACAACTCCGGATGCCAAGGACGAGACGGAAAAGGCTCATCCCCTCGAAGCTGATTCCGAAATGGGAGTTGAAGCTACTGTAAGTCATAACCCCAACCCTATTGAATGGCTACCCTTGAGAGAATCTCAGACGATCAATAAAGCTTGGCCTAGATCTCCCAAGATTCTAACGAAACACAGAATGGCAGACAAGAGAGCGGAACGTCAACTTCCCAGCACAGCCACCCGCTTGGTGGAGGTCCCGGTCCTGGAGGGCTACTAGGTTCAGGTGAGCTTCATATTAACCCTTGTCCCCGTTGAAATTCTAGAAAGAGAATATCTCTGGATACGAAGGAGTCGATCATGCTAATGCTTATATTGCAGTGCGTGACGAAGGCCTCAAGAGACTATTGATGTCGTGGTATTATGCAGGCTACTACACAGGCCTTTACGAGGGCCAGCAGAACCAGACTCAGCAACAAACATCTGAATAGAGGTGAAAGGGAAACTTTAGAGATCTCATATCTCTAATCCGGAATCTAGTTAAAATCGTTGATGGGATTCTTCGTGAGATCGACTTGACAGGGCAGGGGATCTGTAACGTTAGATGTTACAGGCTTTTGTGACAGCGATAACGTCACATACAGAGCTTAAATTTTGTGAGTGTGCGACGAATTATGCACCAGTTCACATCCATAAGGAATAGTACAACGTAATACTACAAATTACGGAATGTTAATTGGAGGAGCAAGACGAAGAAACAAATTTGAGGCTACCATTACGCTCATGATGAAGATCATGGCCTGATTTCTCCTTGTTTGGGGGTTGCGATTATCAGCCTAGCCATGGAAAGCTCGTTTTCAGCTTTATTGAGAGGGAATAACTCTTATTGATATGACTTCATTTTAAGGGCATCGTGAAATACGTGCTAATAAAAACAATGTCTTTTCTAATACTATTGATATAATATTATAATTTTACATTTTACATTTTACATTAGCCATTAACTATTAACAATTGGCGCCAAGTTTCCATACTAATCTAATATTTTAAATATTTCAGTAAAATACTTGATGGTAACTTCATAGTAAATTAGAGCCCTTAGGTGATTCCGAAACCCGGGCGAACCATCACTAAGAAACCGCCGCTAGTGTTGCCTTATTGGGAGTTTTTCTAATACTACGTACGACGCTATATATCCACGAGCTGGGAGCGTTTAAGATGAATTTGAGGATGAGACTAGTCAAGAAACGGTGCATGGTGCGGAGGACTATGTAAGGAACAGGGATATACCAATGACAAGCATTGGCGAATCCAGTTTAGACTAGGCCAGACCCAAGTTTTTTCTCATTTGAGTAAAGGTTGAGAGCCAGGATATGGGTTATGATAAGGTTAACCCTTAAGCAGGAACAATCTCATCCGTCAGGGAGTTCGGATGGCAGGGAAAGGATCTCGGCACGGGTCCTTTTGCCATAGAAACATGTAGATTTCTTGGTAAGCATGGGAAAATTAAAAGTAGCTTACTATGTAGGTACATATTAGTTATTAAAGGTCTACAGAGAAGAGAAAGAAAAATAAAAGATCCGGCTCCGGCATAAAAAGCAATAAAACGTGGTCCCCTTGAGTGTTCGGTATAAGTGCCAAGAACAGATCGCAATACGGACCCTAAAGAAGTTTCAACGGAAGCGCTTCTCTGGTTTAGCTGTACTGGTCCGTGGGCTTTGGGCCTAGACTAATAGCTGTCATATTATATACACCTAGCGGTAAACAATCGAAATGGCAGCTTTGCTTCAGTATTATAGATTCAAATTCCCTCTGGACATATCCAATACATAGAATTATCTCTATTGTAAAACTCATCGTAAATTTTGATCCTACATAGGAGCTATTGTTCGAAACGTTTACTACGATAACATTCAGAAGGAATAACAATTCTAGATTGGAAAAAAGGTCAACTTCGGATTGGCTATCCCCAGCCTTGGCGTCCTAATAGGGGGTTGAGCTATGACCGCATTCCCCTGGTTTGTAGTCTTATAAGCGAGGGGTCCAAACGCCATCCGAGACAATTCTGTCACATCCACCTCCTACTCCAAGCCCATGTACGTCTTGGAGCCGCGAAACCCGTCTTCTTCATGGGCCGCCCTAGTCCATACTAGACTGTGCTCCGTCGTAGTGAACAATTAAGTGGCATACTTCCGGTTCCCGTGCGTCTCCAGTCTTGATCGGGCGCCCTTGGCCCCGGTAGGCCTCCCCAGCTGCATGCTGCACGGAAATTTTTCCTGGCCCTGTTTCGAGGGCAACTCCTGGTCAAGGAGGTATTATCTCAGGGTCCAATTCAAGCCCGACAGCGGGTTAGTAGATCGCCATGCTTGATTTAAGTAACGAGGTCCCCCTCTGGGGCCAGACCTTGGCTGTTTCTTTTCACTCCTCTTCAGACGACTTGTCCTGTGTATACGCTCTTTTCTTTCCATCGTCCCGGTGTGATTTTACGTGTTCATTCTCTTAATTACGAGCAGGCCCTCGCCTTTTGAAGCATTCTATCGCCAGGTTCATTACGGTCATTCAGGAATACCAATAACTCAATCTATAACGACCTCCCGTAAAAAGGAACATTAACGTTTAATTCCCAAATCTTCAAAAATCGTCAACATGAAGTACGCTACAGCTCTTTCGGTTGCCGTTGCGCCTCTGGCCATCGCTAAAGCCGTTAACAACGTCTACCCCCAAAAGAGGACCAGCCACAAGCAGCAACTAGAGGAACTCGCTGGTCTTGACGGCCTTGGTGGGACAATCAACCTGGCACACGGCGTTTCGTTGGGACAGGCTACTCAGATCATCGTGATCTGGGCGAACCCTGGAAACGACGCGAAGACAACGACGCTGCACGAACAAGTCACTGTAACTCAGACAGTCACTGCTGGCGCGGAAGCAACTGCGATTGGAACCGATACCCTTGCTGCCGGTGCTACTACCACAGCAGCTGCTGGTGCGATAGCAACCCACACAGTTCAAGTCGGTGGCTCTGCCGGCTTAGTCTTCGTTCCCGATCAAGTAAAGGCCAACGTTGGTGACATGGTCATCTTCGAGTTCATGAGCATGAACCACACCGCTACCCAGTCCACTTTCGCCGAGCCCTGCAAGGCCATGGAGGGCGGTATGGATTCTGGATTCCAAGCCAATCCCAACAACACCGTCAGCCCCCCTCCCAAGGTTGCCATGCAAGTTATGACCACCGACCCTCTTTGTAAGTTTACATCCCTCGCAGCTCCTGTCTAGAATTTCAACTAACCATCAAATTAGGGTTCTACTGCAAGCAGAAGGGCCACTGTGGAAAGGGTATGACTTTCTCGATCAACCCTACTGCTGAGAAGTCCCAAGCCATCTTCCAGGCCGCGGCCATTCAGCAGAACGGTGCAGGAGCCGGCAGTGCTATCACCGGAAACGCTACCGAATCCGCTGTTGCCGCCCCCGCCGCCACCTCTACAGCAGCTGTTGCAGCTCCATCAGACATCACCCAGGGCACCGGCACTATCCAGAACGGTGCCTGCGTCTGCGCTGTCCAATGCAGCACTGGTAGCTTCCCTGTGAATGCTGCCCAAGGTATCGGTGCCTTCGGTGGTTTCGCAGGAGGCATACCTGAGAGCATGATGGAGACTGTTTAAGCAGTGGTAATGGCGTCTGGGGATTACGACTGATGCCGCGGCTGTTGCTAGCGCGGGTCTGAGATGTTCTGTATATCTGGGGGTTTTTACCTGAATGACTAGACTTCTTTTTTTTTATTGCCTGGCATAGGGATTCTTTGTTTTTAAACATATGACTGGATCGTATATTGTAGGTGCACTTAATAGGTCATCAGATCAAGTAAAAATACCAATACTTAATCCAATGCCATGATATGACCGTTTGTTAAATGTGCAAGACTGGCTTTCACTTGAGTGAACCGAGTATGTAGAAGATATCGAGAAACAGTCACAGCTAGGGAACACTACAGATTAATAATGATCGCATTCATCAAGGAACGAGATTGAGAAAGTCTAGACGCCGTTATACGCCTAGAACCCCGTCTGGTCGGAAAAAAAATTCGCCCCAGTTATATCATATCGCGAAGCATGTCCCTCCTATACCCAAGGTATATAAATACGCCACTCGCTATGCTGGAAGTCCATTTACTTTCCGCCAGCAGCTGCTGCTGCCCTCTTCGCGTCGGCTAAGAACAGAGGACGAATCAGCTTACGTACAAAACACGCAGGTATATCATATGGCGGGAAATGATCTAAATAGCCGCATATTGTTCTCGTTGTGTAGAAGAAAATATATCTCACCAGCAGCTTGCTTCTTGCGCATCATCTCGGCAACAGCTTCCTTGTCGCGTTGCATCTCAGTACCGCTCTTGCCGTTCTTCGATTTCTGCGCAAAAGAGCGGTTAGCATATCATGAACATTATGTCTTAGGTTAAGTGCTTCTGCAGTTTTCAGTATCTCCGGTATACACATTAATTAATATCGAACCAGACCAAGTCTATGAACCTATTTTGCTCAATAGATTTATTCCGTTTCGAGTACCTTTACGACAAGCGAGCGCGGATATTGCGGTAAATGTGTGTAGGTGAATAGGAAGGGCGTAAGCAAAGCGGAAAGACTCACCTGGGCAGCCTGGGCCTTGAGGTTCTTCTCGCGCGCCTTTTCACGCTGATTGCCGCGGGCCATGGTTTCGTAAATAGAGAATGTGGAGAGAAGTAGGATAGACGAGGGAAGGGTAGTAAAAGCAGCGCTTAACAAAACGCAAGTTTGGTGGCTTATCGGTCTGATGGTTAAAGATGGAAGGGTTTACAAGTTTAGGAGGAATCTAAAGTTAGGTTCATGTGTCCAATGTTTCTAGCCGCCAGCTGCTTAAAATAAAGGGCGCCACAGCGTACCGCAGGGGTGTTTCCCGCCTAGAGCCGCGCTGTTAATTTGGTTAACTTATCGCTTGGTCAGTGCGGGCTGCCTACGGCAAAGAACTTTAACGGTTAGCCAATCAAAACATTTTTCTAGTGACTGGTCTAGATATTCTCGATCCTTCCTTGATCAAAAATCGATTCGACTTAATAACAGTGGACTTGTTAGATCCCCCACATAACTTGCTAATACATTAGTAGCCGATGAGATTCAGGTACAATCAGTTGTAGAACGATCTGAAAGATGTTCTTGATTCATCTTAATGTTGTTAATTAGGTACGATGGTGATTGCGATAATATGATTCTTACTCCAGCTAAGTACCTACACATATCCACGTTAGATGCATACAAAAACATGCCATCTACTCGTGAAGTACCTTTGTAGGAATGGAGATGTGAACAATGGCCTGCCTATCTAGGTATTAAAGAACAATGAAGAACAATTCGAAGAAATCATTGTAAAGATAAAGAATAATCAGATACATCATATTTAATTTACCCGAGGTTCAGTCATGTAGTCTGAAGTTATTCCCAAATCGTTCGAGCAGAATATCTGAAGGATCTTTTTTTCCTGTGGTATCTATGAATTAATACTTGGAATGACTTTGGAGGGGTCTGGCCAATGGGTCAAAATCGATGTGAAACAAAAAATCATTAACTGACAGCCAATAGAATTTGGGTCGTAACCTAATTCTCACGATGTATTCGCTCAACGGGAAATAGACTACTTTTGAATCATTGGATATGGTGATCTTCCGCTGCAGGGCCCATGCCATTTTCCTAGCTGCCGGTTTCCTAGTATCATAATACGTGGATCTTTAAGGGTTATGATTCGTGTCAAGCGCCGGGACAGTTGCAGATCTAACCCGTCTGAGGGAAGGAGATTTCACCACATGCATCTTAGAATTAAGTACGCACCTTAGAAGATGCAAACAATAAATTTTTAGATCGTACCATGTCTCTTGTACTCTGCGGCTTCTTACTTGGGTCATAAACACGCGTTTACCAATCGCTTTGACTGTTTAGTACCTCCCTGACGACCCTGACGATCCTGACGAGGGGCACTTCGAGGGGCAATTCAAGGGATACTAATGCTTCGATCGAGCATCAAGCGTGAGAACATTCGCGCCCGACTAAATCTATTGGTCAAAGACACCTGCCCAATGCACAACCTACATTTGTAGATGTAGATGGTACATAATACTCTGATGAATTGATCAAGTCCTTCATTTTTAATTGTCCCTAAATACAACCTCTTTCCTCGTTCTTGCATCACTTCTTTCAGTGCGTTTCTTTTTTCTTTTTTTTTTTTCGTTACTATTTAAAACTTTCAGAGCCACCCGGCCCATCACGACTTTCCTTGTTCAACGGCTTTAATTCACAAGGGTTTCTGTTGTCCTTGATGAATGTACATAATAGCAATATCTTTTGCCTAATTCATTGTCATCAACTTTTATAAAACATAACAATACCATTTGGTATCTTACGTTTTCCTTCAGCGCTCACCTTTCGTTAACCCTCTTCGCTTCGACCATCTTTATTTCTCCCACCTTCGTTCCATCAATTTCGATAGATCTGCAAGCCAGATCCCCGGTTTACCAAAGAAAAAAAAGTAAATTCGCAATAAGCTGCTGGCAGTTTCAACAGTTGGTTTCCCATTTCTTAGATTTCCAACTATGCCGCCTAAGTTGCGCAACGCTAATGCTTACACTCCTAGGGACACAACCCTAGGTATCGCAAGATTCACCAACATCATGGGCTTCAAGTCTAGTTCCGGATTCCAAGGCTCCGCCTTTATTATCCTCCAGGTCATCCGTGGTTGCAATCTTGCTGTTCTGCTGGCCGTCATCTTCGTCTCGGGGATCATGATGTTCTTCGCCAAGATGCCTAACGGCTTTCAGTTCTTCAACGACGTCTCCCTCGCCTTCGTTATCGCCGTCGCCGGTCTCCTGTTCTGGACGGAGCTACCGATCAAGATGGGTAAGGCGATGATTAGTCGAAACTGGCCAGCGATCGGCGAAGACCGCGGCTTCACCTGGCTCGGCATCGCTATGATTCTTATGGGATGCCACCATCTTGGTGCGCTCAGCAATGATACTTACAACAACAAGGACGTACCATTCCAGGTTTGGCAGGCTATTATGGCATCCGGCATCATCGCAATCGCGTTTGGCGTTACTAACGTCATTGCCTCGCTCGTCTTTAGCAACAGGGCGAGCGGCGTTCATGCTCGAGAGGTCCGCAACAATGGTGCGACCACCAGAGATGTCAACTTCACCGAAGAATACGATAGCTACCGAAGCAATTCGATTCGTAAGGAAAAGGCCAAGAGTAGATTTTCCATCTTCAACAGGGGTAATTCCAAGCCCAAGATCAGCCACCCGATTACTCATGATCCTCATGATCTTGAGTACGGACCGAGCGATGATCATCTCCCCATCGACGACCGCTGCAGTCCTATAATTCCCGATGTGAAGCGTCCCCCTACTGCTCTACATCCTGCCTATAATGCCGGATCAAGATCCAGCCGATATAGCGAAGCAAGTCATCTTGATCGTTTTGCCGATAACAGGATTTAGAGTGGACCAAACGGGACGTCCAGTCCGCATATTCTTAGCATAGGGCACGGTGTTCACTGACATGAGGCGTTTGGTTTTGTAATTTCGGATATACCCAAATTCTGGACAGCGGACATTTTGCTTTAGCTTTTACTGTAGCATACATTAGTAACAGTCATAATTAGGTTAGGTAGGAAAGCGACGCAATCATAGGTATTCAATTTAATTTCTCCATTATACGTATTCATAATTTAATATTTGTGCGTGACGCGGATTAGCTTAAATTATGCGCTCAGATGGATGATTGTGAATGATTCTATACTAAAGAGTTGTTAGTTACGTGTAGTTAGTTAAAACTATTATGTATCTACATAGGTAGGTTAGTGGTATGATGTACCTGAGCCAACTACATACCTAAGGTTATATGATAGGCACGTGACCGATCTAGCCGCAGTATTAGGTAATCCGGTAGATCTTCCATGTAACTTGTACCGATGAGTACCTGAACTTTGTTCATTATTCGATTTCCACCTATGTACATTTCATCAACAAGCTAAACATCTAGCATGCGTCTTTCTCCTACAACTTTCTATTTCTTTTCAATCGCCGCGAGTTCAACATGACGATTCAATTTACATAGGCTTAACCACTCCTTCTACGATTTTCTTGCGGCAACCTAATAGGATTACTTGCGACAGCTTTCAACTTCCAATATTCTCGAGGTACGGCAATCTTCAACTGCCCATCTACAATCGGATTCCCGTCTTCTAGCAAGGTGATTTCAACCACCTTACCACTTCATTTATTCGCGATCGCATCCAACCCATTCACCAGGTGTGTACAAGATTAAGTATCGCTTGAGGGAAATAGAGGATTGCATACTGGCTAGTCCTGTAGCCTGTTGGCGTAGAGGGATCCTGGGAAAGACAATGTTTTGAGCTCTCATAATCTCTTAATACCTACCACCAGGCGGTTTCTCGTGGCCACTTTGGCAAACTGGTGGAACCAGGCAGGAGTGATCCTATCTTACAATTCTCGTGCCTTTATTTCTGATGAGAATATCGAGTGAGGGGCATCTATCTGCATCTGCCTTTGTGACATCTATACAACCTTAGAATTGGGTCATTGTTCTCTACGTGCAAGCGGGAGAAAAGCGACAAATCAGGGTCTGAACCCTCTCTTCATTTATACATCGTGAGGCCTTCCTCACTAGTTCGTTTTCATCGATTCACTCGTCGCGTGCTTGCATATATTAAGCAATCATGTCCAACGACTCCGAGTCTGAGGCGGTAGCCCAGGACTTTCGGGATGCTCTTGAAGATCTTCAAAGTTTCGATAGAACTGAAATTAGCACCTTGACTGTAATTGCAAGGGAAAACACCGAACACGCGCATGCCATATCTGGCGCTCTTCAGGATCACATCAAACGAGTAGGTTAATTCCTTCTCTGCGCCGACTACATAATAGACGGACACCCTCATTGTCCCATTAACGCATTATCTACCAGTTTGTTTAGAGATATGTAGGAGTATTATGCTAATGTTCTTCTTAGGTTGCTCCTCAAAAGAAACTGCCTGCCCTCTATGTTCTCGACTCCATCGTAAAGAATGTGGGTACGCCATATACGCTTTACTTCGGCCGAAAGTTATATCAGACATTCATGGATGCCTACGCATCAGTCGATATGCCTACCCGACGCAAGATGGATGAGATGCTTAGGACCTGGAAGGGACCCGTTGCCGGCTCGCTCGATACTCGACCCGTTTTCCCTCCGGATGTTACACGCCCCATTGAGAACGCACTCATCAAGGCGAGAACAGCGCATCTACAAGCGCAACAGAAACATCAACAAGGTCAGCAACAGTTGCTTGGTCGTGGTAGGCCAGCAAGCCAGGGGGTGCCATATCGTGAGACGCCTACTCCGCCAGGCTACCACCCGCCTTCTCAAGCCAACGGCTATCCCTCCCAGGCTCCTGTACCCAGCCCACACGGCCCATCTTATGGTAGCTCGAGCCAGTTACCTCCGACTACTTACCCGTCCCATCCCGTAAGCTCTCAACCCTAAATGTAGTATGATTATTACTAATATCCTGCTCAGAGTCAACCACAGCCGGCCAGATCTACACCACAACCTACGCCAGGATTAATGGCCTTCCAACCCCCCCAGCTAGGAGGCTATGGCGTACCACAGGCTGGAATCAGCATAGATGCTTTGAATAATGACATCCAGAGACTGATTACGGCCTCCAAGGCCCAAATCGCATTGAACCCGCATGACCCTAGTATACAGACAAGGTTGAAGGCGCTCATGGATTTGCAAACTATACTTCAAACCCAGAACCTGCCACAGGATCAGTTAGTGCTTGTTAAGAATCAAATTGCTGATCTCGCCGTGACTATAAGAGCACCCCCATCACAAACACCTACTCCTGCACCTATCCCTCAGCCACAACCAGCACCCGTAGCAGTAGCTCCTCCGCCGGCGCCGGCGCCCAAGGTTTCTTTAGATTCATTATTCGGTGCAGGTGCCTTAGCTGCCCTAATGGCACGAAATTCTGCCACGCCGCAAGCATCTGCACCTTATCACCCTCCTACACCTGCCGTTGTTCACACTCCGCCTCCGCCACCACAACCAAAGCCGGTTGAATCTAAGAAACCAATCACTACACACCAGCCGCCGCCACCACCTTCTGATCCTATGGCACTAATGAATATGTTGAGACAAGCCGGTTTACTTCCGGGTACGGCACCGGTTAGTAGTTCGACACCTGTCTCTCGTCCAACACCTTCAAACCCCTTTCCTGTTACTTTCAACACTCCGGCTATGGTCCCAGTTGTTCAACATATTCGTCCTTCTACTCTTGAGGGTCTTACAAGTGATATCGTTCTGCGACCATCGTCTCTTAAACAGTACGTTTCTTTCGAAAATCTCTCTCAATTTAAACTAATGGGCTTGTAGGTTTCGCCCTCACTTATTGCCTTTCCTATTCGAATCTCTAGGACCTCAATGTACGCAGTGCGGACGACGGTTCCCAAAGAATGAAGAGGGTAAGAAGAAAAAGACGGCCCATATGGACTGGCATTTCCGGGTGAACCAGCGTATGGCCGAAGCTGAGAAGCGAGGACAACATCGGAGCTGGTTGGTAGATGAAGTAGTACGTATTCTGCTAAACCGTGTCACGTAATTACAATGCTAATATGACTAGGATTGGATTAAAACAAGGGAGATCGTTGACGAGGACTATGTGGCCCCATCCGGAGATTCTAATTCGGCGTCAGGAGGCGCCGCTCCTAAACCGCCGCAGCTGCAATATATTCCCGTACCTGACGATCCTAGTTTAGCAAACAGCGTTTGTAGCATTTGCCAAGAGAAGTTTGAGACGAGATGGCTGGACCTGCAACAGGAGTTTGTGTGGCCTGACACTATGAAAGTCGGCCAGAAGATATATCATGCAAGCTGTTATAAAGAAGCGTTCAAGGATGGCGGAAACACACCTGTGTATTCCAGGGGCACTCCTGAGCCAGTGACGGGAAAGAGGAAAGCCGAGGTAAGTTTTTGCATATTACATCCCTAAAGTGCCGGACACTCATTTCGATACTAACGCGTTACAAGCAGGATGAATTAACTTCTACACGAAGTAAGATAAAGGTGGAGGGTACGTAGGATGTACACTCCAGCCCTAGTCCCCCTGATCCATCGTGTCCCGTATCGGAACGCTCACGTGTGGTCCGCTCTAGTGTCGTACGCTTGAGACCTGCTCGCTTGAGTCCGACGAACTATAGACCGACACATTCTAGTCCGCTGAAGAACTGTACCTAGTAGGAGACTGCAGTCTACATCTTAGACGCTGTAGCTGACTATAGTTTTGTGGGTTTTATCCGCGGTCATTGGACTGTAGCTATAGTAGGATAGAGTCAGTCATGTACCTACCTGTCTCCCAAGAGAGGCACCATTGGTAGGTAGGTAGAACAATAATAATACAAAGTAGCGATTCTAATTTTGTATTTTATTTTGGTGATTTAGCGTTTACTGATTCTTTTATCTCTGTAATCATACTATACAGTTGCACCATAGTTAGGAGCCTAGTTAGTCCATAAGAGAACAAGTTTAGCGATAATATGTTAACTATATGTCAGGATTCTAGATGAAACATCTAGAACAAATAACAGGTTTAGTATGTATAGACATAGAACCTCTTAGGTAGCTTGAGTTCCTTGCGGAACAACGAAGTTATTTCCATGCTTTTTGGTTTCACCTTGTGACACTATACTCATGCTCTATAACCTCAGAATTAACTCCAGTTCTGTTTATGAAATTAAACATCCAGTTCCCGAAAGAATACGTAAGTTAATTCAACAGAATCCAGCACCCAATATAGAAATCATTTCACTAACAAGAGTACTCAACCAAATGAGTCTCGATTAATCGGATGAGGAACAGCACGGTGGTAGCGATGTACATGCGGTGTGACTTCTTTTGATCGAATTAAGGAGCTAACAGCTGGCCTGCGGGCATATCACTCGATGCCATTCCATATTTTCCTAAAACGGCAATAAAAGTGAGAAAATAGCCCACGCCCAGATCTATTTGCGCCCTTAGCTTATCCATGGTAGAACTACCGGAAGTGAGGTTCTCCGTCCTGGTAGATCATATTCTAATGATTTACTCAATTGGGAAAGAATAATGAGAAAGACGACCGTTTGAAGACGGTGCCTCCAACATAGGCTCCTATTCAGGTGAAACGCCAACGTCTCAATGGATAGCCCAGACGAGAGGATGGCATGCGAATATATAAGGGTAATAGCCTGCGCAGTATAGGCCCCTAGGAAACTTGTTAGTTGGATAAGAGCTTTTCAAACTATCAATATGGCAAACCCGACTACTCACACTACCCGCGACGGGTTCCATTGGACCAGGGAGGGAGGTCTAGCAGCAGGCGTCCCTTCAGTCAGCGTAGTCCAGCCACCTTCTAACTTGATATCTACCGACCAGAAAGACCCTTATGATGCGGTAATCATAGGGGCGGGCTACGCAGGATTGACCGCCGCTCGTGATCTTTCAACCGCTGGCTACAAAGTTCTGCTTCTGGAAGCACGAGACCGTATCGGCGGTCGTACCTTTTCAACTGACATCGGGGGCTATCCATTCGAGCTAGGTGGAACTTGGGTACACTGGTATCAACCGTTTGTTTGGCGGGAACTTTCGCGATATAATCTTACGAACGAACTCGAGATCTCACCCAGTTTAGAAGGTGGTAAGACTATTATTCGGGTAGGGAATGATACTATCACCTTAGGCCACGAAGAAGAGGTATGTCCAAAGAAGTAACTCGAAGAGTATGTTCTAGAAGCGTTGTCGTACGCTCATTATATTATGTACCGTATAGTTTGCGAAGCTCGAGGCCGTTCTCAACAAGTTCGTTGACGTCGACGGACAGCGCGGCCGCGCCATCATCCCATTCCCATATAACCAGCATTTCAACACCGAGGCTCTCGAGCGCTTCGACAAGATGTCTATAGCTGATCGGATCGCGGAGCTAGGAGACCAGCTCGAGCCGATAGAGCGTGCTATCTTAGAAGTATATTTTTCTGTCCTCTGTGGCAGCGATCTAAAGGACGCCTCGTTCTGGGAAGTTCTGCGCAACTGGGCGCTCGGCGGATATAATTGTATGGACTTCCTGGCTGCAAGTGCGGCTTTCAAACTGGCGCGTGGACAGTCAGATTTCGCTCGACGGTTCTTTGACGAGGCCGCGGGTACCGGTCAGTTGAACTATAAGTTCTTAAGCACAGTATCCGCGGTGGCTGATCACGGGGACCGGGTCGAAGTGACAGTACACGACGGGACTATTTTTAAGACCCGACGACTAATCTGCACTGTACCGCTTAATGTCTTGAAGAGCATCTCATTCTCTCCAGCTCTCCCGGCAGCTAAACTTGCAGCATCAGAGCAAGGCCATATCAATTTTATTGTCAAAATTAACGCAGAAACCCAGGGCCCAGACCTCCGGTCCGTCAGTGCGCTTACACATCCCGCCGGAGGTCTGAACTATATGTCCGGCGACGGAATCACACCCTCTGGTAACACGCATATTGTGGGTCTTGGCACGAAGTTACAGCCGAAAAAAGACCCAGAAGTTGCGCTCTCGGCCTTCCGTAGCCTCGCCGACGGCACAGTTGTAGAACGTCTTGTCTTTCATGACTGGAACGAGGATGAGTTCTCCAAGGGCACCTGGGCGTGGCTGGGACCGGGCATGGCCACAAAGTACCTTACCGCTCTCCGAGAGAGACACGGGAACGTGCTATTTGCGAGTGGGGACTGGGCGGCGGGCTGGAGGGGTTGCATTGATGGGGCTATTGAGGAGGGAGGCAGGGTGAGTAAGGAGGTATTGGATGAGTTGAGGGCGATGAGTAACTAAGATGAGTTTTTGTTATGGGATCGGCATTATGCTGACGCCAGCTACCTCGTATGACGTTTGTTAGTCATGCTATATTATAATTAGGAGGACGAGCAATAGGTTGCTTTTACGACTGACTATAGACGATAGAGCTTTATCTACTAGGTAGTTGTCTCCAGTTATGCAGCCCTAAGGCTTACGTACCTAAGATATTTAGTAAGTGTAATAGCTATATCTGTTTGAAGCTTATTGAAGATCATAGTTACTATTTGGTATGTTACACCAAGTAGATGAATTTGGAAATAGTATACCTTACGTCCCAGTATTAAGTTGTTTCTCCTTGACACCGGTGAGAATAATTGTTTCACAGTAGTCCTATTATATGACTTAATACCTAGACTCAACCATTGTTAGTACAGCTTTAGGATACCTACTTATATTGATAACGGAAAGTATTTATAAAATCCGGATCCCTTAGGCTTTCATGATATACGAGTTTTCCTATCACGTGTCGCACGTGCGCTAAATTTCCCTCTTTAAGTCTTTCTATTTACCCCTATTGATCTTACATATCTCGAGTCTCGCGGAGGTGGAAGCTGGGTACCTAGGTATCTATATACACACAATCTTCCATGTAGGAAACAATAACTTGAGCTCGGAAAAACGCACCTGGGACAATGGCAGATCATGGGAATGATAAAAAATGTGAGTGAGGAGGCTATTACTCCTCTCTTTACCCCATTCGGCGAACCATGTTACCCTGATCTAACCTCAACAATTAGCCTGCTATAATTGTGTCAAGCGCCGTATCGTCTGTGACAAGACCGAAAACCAATGCGTTAAATGCACCAAAAAGAATCTAAAATGCCCTGGGTATGGTGTAAGATATCGCTTTGCCAAAGGGGCGACCAGCTCTAGCCTACTATCGGTATCATCTTTAGAAGAAGACCATACTGGGTCGAAACGACCAAGAAGGCCTTATAAGTGGATCGAATGTTCGAGGGACAAATTAAAGACCGCATCACGAGTTTCAAAGGCACCACAAATAGTACACAACCTACTGCCACTCGATTGTTCATACTTAACGACGATACCAACTGCGATGTCAGACTTGGACCCCAGAATCCGTCTACACTTCTTGCATTGTAAATTTCTACTTTCCCGTAATCAGAGCTATCAACCTAGTACTGACAGTTAAAGTTGCTGCGCATGTGTCTCCCTTCATGGTACTATTCGACGACGAAACGAATGGTTATAGACATCATATACTGCCTGTAGCGTATCATGAACCTCTTGTTCAAAAAGCCGTCTGTATCGCATCGGCCTTCCATCTATCATCACAAAGGCCACAGCTTCGTGCTCCCGCTGAGATTGTGAGGGCTAGCCTGATCCGTAAGCTCTCCGAAACTTCGGCGGTGAGCCCTGATTTGAGCGAGACTACCTGGGCGACCCTTGTCCTTCTAATAGTGGCCGATCTCGTGATAGGTCATGAGGATGTATCGACTTTATACAAGCTGCTCACTGTGTTTCTCGAAGCCCGAGGGCCTCTGAAGGAATCAGCAACTCAGTTAGAGAGGTTCTTGTATTTTCAGTCTTGCATGTTAGTCTAACCCCCAGGAACTTGTCTAGTACCTTATCCCCCTCTCCATGATAAACAATACTATAATATAAATACAATCCGGAAGACTTACAATAAGCAGCATAGGATTCTTTACGCAGCCGTTCTCTTCTCTCGAAGCTCGACCAGTTCCTCCTTCACGGATGTCGAATGATCCGGTCGACATGTTTAAGCGTTACGCGCACGGTCTCGAGAACTGCAAGCAACAAAAGAACCTTTCACAACGCCGGGGTTACGATTTCGCGAGAAACTTTCACGTGTACGAACAGTTATTTCGACTCGGGGGGGAAATATATACGATGAGGGCGGAATTAAAAACATGCTCGCTCAGTCCGGAATATTATATGGAAGATCGTGTACAACAAATCAGGACTCTCTATGAGCAGCTTGACCCGACCGCACCAGGGTCCCACGCCGTCGTATGGCCAATCTTCGTAGCCGCTGCTGAGAGCGTGTCAGAAGATCATCGACAATATTTTACTGCAGCACTAAAGAGAATATATAGCATAGCAGGTTATGCGAACATATCACGTGGGTTCACGATTCTTCCTGAGTTGTGGGCTCAACGAAGCAGAAAAAGCTGGACTTCTGCCATGTTAGAATATAAAGGTCTCGTCATATGTTGAAGACATGCGTTAATTAAGTGTGTCAATCAAGAGAATAGGTAAATTTTAGATTTAAAAGGAATTTATACTCTTGTAGTTGTCACAAAGTATAAGTCAACCCTCATGAAATGCTTATCAGAATTCAATTAGGAGGAGCGGGGCCGAAAGGTGAAAGGTTACACTCGGGGCCGGCCGTAAGCAAATTAACCTTATTTGATGGGGAAATTTCTAATTCCCATTCCTTTTTGGATTTTCCACCCTGTCACCTTCCCATGAACACATGCAAGGGACCACAAACGACGATCGGTACCCAGTGATGTCATAGCCAAGGTCTTGGGAGGGACAAAGAAACAAACAAGGCTAACAAACAGGGAACACTTCATATGTATTACAACGCACTTACCCAATAATATTCTACTAGTCTACCTCATACGTAGGATGAATTTTAATGGATTTTTACGAGATAATAATTTAATAACCTCAAACTTACCTAGGTACCTAACATATCCCGTCATCGTGACATTGTCGACCCACATCACAATTACCTTATTATGACAATAAGTGCTAAACGTTACCTACTATCTAATACCTAACGCAAATGGCAGTATTATCGTGTCATTTAGTATCGATATGGCTATTGTCGCTACTCTCGATCAGGACAGCCTTGGCTATACCGCCTGCATATCCACCTGCATATCCACCTGCACATCCTATGATTACACCAGCTCCCGACCTAAGTAATCGAGTACATGTAAACCGCCGCCTCGAACCTGGAAGTTACATTCACAGTATAATAGACAGCCTTGGGAGCGATGTATCAAGCTATGTAGCATCAGGCGTGCCACAGTTCTTCCAAGACTTCCCTAGTGGTGAAGCTGTCGCGAGCTCTCTTGGAATCCATAACTCGGACCTAGATGCTAAGCCCACTCAGGTTCTAAATCTCCCGTAAGAATAGACTTGTAATAACTCATCACTATAACAAGCTCCTCGCTAACAAGTGTGCTTTTAGAGCATATGCGAACTGGACCGAAGAAGGATGGAGCGTTCGAGTGCATGGAAACGTATACAAGCAACCTGATATCTCTCAAAAGAAACTCGATGATCTCGCCAATGTGTTTCTTATCGATGTAGATATAGATGAACTGTCTGAACCAGAGCAAAAGCAAGCTCGAAATTTAACAGCTTCCATCTATGTCGTTCAGCAGGGGGATTTGAATGTCACTATCGACTTTGAGAATGATGTTGACGTTCGCCCGGATGCAAGTGGCGGCGTGATCAATGCTGTGAGTCGATACAAGTACGGATGAACCACGTATTATCAGAAGACTAACAAAAACCAGGAGGGCGGTGCACAATCCATCGATCTCCCGTATAAAACAACAAGTGAAGGTGACTTTGATGCTTTCGTCGTCCTTCAGAACATAACTAGCTCCAATAATGGACACTTGATGGCCGGCAATGCAACTTCATCCATCCAGGCTCTCAACATGTACGCCAGGGGAACTGACACAGGAAACGCGACGGCCTACCTGGTGCCGCCAACAGGCTTCACGATAATATCTGATATTGATGACATTCTCCGTGTCACTAAGATTTATGACCCAAAAGAAGGTCTTTTAAACTCATTCGCACGAGAATTTACTCCCTGGAGGAATATGCCGGAGATCTACGCCAACTGGTCTGCCACCATCCCGAATTTCCACTTTCACTACCTCACTACGACACCAGAGCAGGCGACGAGGAACTACATGGAGTAAGTTTGTTCGCGCTATTGGACTTCTAGAGGCGTTAGTAGTAAGGAATACTGGCTAGAACTAACCACATTGCAGATTCATCTACAAGACGTACCCCCTCGGCTCATTTGACACGCGGCCGCTGAACTTTTCGGACGTTTCAGCAACACTATCAATACGTAAGGCGCTACTGGACAAGATCTTCCAAACCTTTCCGCAGCGGAAATTTGTCCTTATGGCCGACACGTCCAACTCAGACGTCATGAAGGACTACCCGCAGCTAGTGCACGACTACCCGGGACAGGTACAGTGTATATTCCTACGTAACACAACAGCAACGGACAGCTCGGATCTGTTCCCCTACGACACCTCGGGTTTCGAGGGGATCGACCAGAGGCAGTATATGTTCTTCGTTACCCCCGACGATTTGAAAAATGTGGATATTGTCGGGGGGAATTGCCACAACCAGGCTGTCGTCCAGAATGTGACATTCGGATATCAGTGGCGCGAGCTCGGGAATGCTGCATCGTCTTCTCGGTGTTGGAATTGGACTTGGGGTTGGCTGTCGGTGATAGCGGCGCTCTTCTTGTTTCTCTGATTGAGGCTTTTACTGGGTGCGTTATGCGAATATTGGAACGTCGCTTGAAGACTGATAGAGTTCGATCGTTTATACCGGATATCCTGAGTTAAAAGATCGATTATAATTAGCTTGCCTTCCTGCATTGTCTAACTGTTAGCCTTAGGGAGATACGGCCGTTAAAGGTCTTGAACATAGATTATACCTACCGTGTCACTGTCAATTCCGGACGCGTCTAGAATATCATCTCTTGGCGACTTTTTCCGATCACAAAGCTAACAGATGAAGGAGATTAATCGTCAAATAGTTTAATCCTACAAGTTATTGTATCAGTTGCCTTTCCTCGTTCTAACGTTGAGATCGACTGTACTGACAACGATTACATCAAGACTATTGTTCTTATGTAAACGGCCCTTGTTCCTCATTTCGTTGATGTCCTCTGGCTAGTCATATTCCTAGCAAACATCTCTGACTAAAAGGGCATGGGTTGGCTACTGCGATTCATACCTTAAATCCCTAGTTAGAAAGGGGATACCTATCGGACCATTATAGCCCAGCCAGCCCCTGTTTTCTAATAATATTAATCTGATATATCACCCCTCTACTTAGGAGAAAATTTACCGGCTCCGACAAATGTCTACTATCTGTAACAGTTGTTTTGTGAAACACTAACTGTAATAGTTACCCAGGCAGAATGTTGTCAAAAACATGACCCATACTGTGGTGGCTGGTATGGGGGGGTCCCTTTTGACGCCATTTCGCTAGGCACATAACATCGGTCTATGTGGTTATGCTAATTACCTCCTTAGCCTACTGGGATAGGAGAAAGCCACTCGTATTCTTTACGCGTCTTTTCTATTTGAATTATGTTGGTCAGGGGCTTGTATGGAGTACTTAGTTAATGTATCCACGCACGTTACTCTTCTCTTCGATGCTGTTTTAATAATTCTCGCATACGTGGTAGTTTGCAAACCCATCCCCGAGGCCCCGAGGAGTAAGTACCGCATACATTATAGCTAGTGTGACCATTAACCGATTTTGATCAGCGGTCTGGTAAGTTTTACAAGTAGATAGTCGGTAGGAGTAAACCTTCCGTTAGAGGGGTTAAGAGATTACCTGGGGGGGCACAAAAATTACCTCGGAATGTTGTAATCGGACTAGGTAGGACAGAGGTCATCGTAACCTAATACATTCCTAATACCATCAAGTTGCATATCAAGTACCTAACCACTATCCTTTGTATAGATTAACCAGAGCCTATCGGATGAAGTTTAAACAGGATATGCGTACCGGTTAGGAAGTAAGGTACATACTGGGAATTTAACGGAAATTAGGTAGTTAGGGCTTCTTGATAAAAATTATCCCACGTCCCGTTGGCTCTCCTGTTAGGTTCTTATTAGCTCTAGATCAGGTAACACCTACCGAGCCACACCCAGGGTGAGTTTCTTACAAGCAGCAGGAGACTAGCTAGAAGGCACGGTACTATTTGATGTATACATTTTGTGAGGTTGGCTAACGCGGTTCGATTTCATATTGCGCTGTAACCCCTCAACACGACCATATATGCATGGGTCTAGCGAAGGCTGCTCTAAGCCGTACTCGACTACTCCTCGATATGAATCAGTTCTTCGGCGTTGTCTAGTTGCCCGGGACGGGATACTACATAGCGTCTCCCGTCATTTTAAAATAGGGCTGATGGTTGGACACTCCAATTTCTTCCTTGATGTTGGACAAAATTGGATAGCCTGGCGTTGGCTGGAAGACTCAGAAGAAATGTAACCACATGAACCCTGCCGCTGCCAAGGTTGATCCAATGACCAGATATATCTGTACCTTAGAATGAGTTTGTACAACACTTATGGGGAAGACCTGCCTTCATGTATGTCACCTCGATCATACGAAATGTTCTAGCCTTCCGCATCCCGAAACTCGGGAGTTGTAAGACCCAATGGTTGTATTGCTTCCCATCGCCGAAGAAACCTTCGAGCAGGCAACGATCGACGATCGAGAATTACCGATAAACGATCAGTGATAGGTCAAATGCAGAATATGTCCGTCCAGCTGCAAAAAAAAGCATCCCCTATTAATACTATAACCCTTATTAAGACCCAATATAGCGAACCACGACGACCCAACAATCTTTATTACAACCAATAGTCAGTCCTCTAGAAGGAAGGTCATTATTCGACCAAGCCTACGAGTTCCCCTATCTGAGCATGGGAAAATTTAACGCCACCCTCTTGAGGGTATCTGGACCAAACTATATTCGCGCTATCAAAAACACGAATAAAGAATAGGAAAGCAATTATATTGTTACGAGTAATCATAAACTAAACTAGACAACTACTTCATTCTTCATTCTAGTTGTCTCAGTAGTCAAGATGGACGCGTAAAGCCATTTACTTGGTAGGAATTCAGTCCTGTTGGAGTCAAACACGAAGTGTTGGTCCTAGTATGATATGATACATCATGGAATAATCAAGAATACTTGCATATTGCAGTTCGTGATAGATATTATATCTTATGAATATCAATTGATGAACCTTACCTATAGTATGCACTTTATCGAGCTCCTTCTATGGTCTAGAACAGAAAAAGGTCGACATATCGGGCCGCAGACTATAGTGAGGGCTATAATCAAGGAAAGTGGCTTAATGGGTTATCGAGTAGTTTGGCTTGAGTGCTTACAAGTTGATATTTACGTCCGTAAATGGCTGATTTTGCGAGTGACTTAGCTCGTTCTCACTATTGTATAGAATCTTAGGATTCTTAGGCCAGGCAAGCGTGCTAGGAACTTGATAAGACGCGTAAACCGTAACGTCATGCAATAATAATGATATGTTCTTAGTAAATACATGTAGTTTTTCTTAGATAATTTACCTAGGGAAGGCCCAGTACCCTATCGGTTGAGATGCAAAGCCACAGTAACGGAACGTTGAGATGGTTGTTTACTTCCGGACAAACATGACTGTATTCCATAAATGGACATAAGAATACTAAGAGGCCCGACTTTGAATTTCTCGGGCCGGTTCAATACTTACCACATCTGGATGGTGGTTCAGCCCAAGGATGATGATGACATAGGTTTAGCGTGATCATCAGTACCAAAAGGTTGACGCGCATACATAGCAGGGGGCTCCCGCGGGGTGAATGGGAATCCTGGGATATGATATGTAATATAGGTATGTACGATAGAAAATGGAGGCCCTAGACATGCAAGTAGGAGTAGGTAGGAGCAGGTAGGAATCTGATGTGCTGATGTGTCCAAGGTTGGAGAAGATTGTAGTACGGCATATGAGACATTGATAAAATCGGAAAGATGTCGTACGAGATTTGCAGCTGTCAGATATTCGATGTGACATTAATACCAGTAATACCAGGTATATGCTGACAACTCATTACTTGTTTCGGTATTTACTGCTAAATACTCATATACAATTCCTAAGTAAACAAACTCTGAGGCTGAAAATTTATAGGGTAGGGTAGATGAACAAACTACGTAATAAGGCTTTTTGGGAATTACACCAGAGGTTCAATATGTGTGGAGAAGATTGAAGGTGGAGCAAAGCGGACCGGACAAGCACTTGGAAAAGCTTTAAGCACGTGGCCGAACAGGGCCTGGATGCTCCATACCGAGCGGGCCCCCACCTTCGATACCCCCTGTTCATGTCACGGTTGCGGATAGGCGCATCCGTTAGTGTTCCCGATTTCCCAGCCACCTTAACCGTGCAATAAGGCCGACTGGTTCGGCTAGATTAGACCCGCTTTGACTATGGTATTTACCGTATGTCCTTATTAACTGTATTAACTGATAGGATGATTTTTGACTACCTAATTTTCTGAAGCGGATATTTGCACATAGAACACTTACACTCTAATACTTCTGACCTCTAACCTCTAACCTCTAATATTAAACCATCATTATCACGTCATGCTTTCCCTACCTATAGATACCCTAGAATGGGAATTTCTATTGTATACGTGTATGTCCTCAAGTGCAAACAGGTAGCTACAGTACATATCCCACTTATATTATAGTATAAAAAAAGCCTAACCAATCAAATTTCAATGAATAATGTACTGTAGCTAGTTCGCGCTTGAGGACATACGCATGCCTTCATGTCATCTTGGTCGTAGTATTCTTGCAACATAAATCGGACATAACAATTCCGCGTCTTAGTACGGCCACTAATACGACGCATATAAGCCTCGCAGACCATTGCCGTCCTTGTGGCTTTGCCTATCTCTACGTTGGAAATAGGGATATATGCATAGGTGCACATTGATGCCGTTGTATTGACCCTTTCTAAAGAGCTTTAGTGGTCAACCACAGAGATTATGAAGAATGCCGGCTATCATAATCATACCTACCTAAGGTGTACCTAGGGTAATCAGTAAGCTTTTGTCACATTCCGGATATTAGATTTGCTACCGACATTTTCTTTGCAAGGCGCGTATAAGTTACAGTACCAGAAAAAAAAACGATCTATCATCACGAGGCTCATACCAGACGCAATAGCTAATGCAGCAAGCCCGATTGAGAAACCCCAGGATCTATATTGCAACATTATTCTACTTCAAACTCGAGTACATGTAGGTAGTTAGCGTCGTGGAGTTACGTGCCCTATTCATACGTCGCCCTCATTTCTTTTTATCCCTTAAACTGCATTATTGTAATTCCAATTTTATGGTATAAATTTAGTACCAAATTGAAGGTTTTTATTATGCGGGATCCTTTCACAAAATTGCGATTAAACTCCTTGTTTTAACATGACAGCTACTATTAACGCTCTGTAGACATTAGGCGAGATAGCCTCGCCTAAGTGCTTGAAACTACTACCATACTAATTATTTACCCTCACCCATGGCTACGAGTGCTAAATCTTAAAAATAACATCATACTTTCGTTCCATGGCAATGTGCGCTCTTTTTACTATAAGGACCGAACTCGGCGCAATCTTTGATTGAGAACATTTCCATGAACCGTTGAAATCGTCGCAATTCATCAACTATTCAAGTGAAGCTAATCATAGGCTGATTTTGTAGCAAACGCCGCCGCTTCCGCCATACGATCGTCAGTTCATTATTAGAGCCTGGGCAAACTGGTGGCTGCGCCCCACAATCCCGGTTGTCTTTTTGGATATGTATTCCCCAATGCCATTAATCCGCTCCCTTAATCCCTGGAAACTGCTAGAAGGTCCCATCTGATTATTCTCAACATTCGACGCCATGACTTCGCCGTCATCGGCCATACAGACATACAGATTTCTCCCTCCTCTCAATAGCTCGTTGCCGGGATCGGGGCACCGGGAGTGGCATTGGTCGTCATCACTGTAGGAACTTGAGTCTGGTTGACTTTGTATCTCAAAATCCATTGACTTCCAGACTCGTTTGTATTAACAAGCTCCATCAACGTGTAGTGTACGACGCCATCCTCGACCCGGGGAACGCAAATATCGTGTGAGTGCCTCGGCAAAGGCATCTCGGGGACTTCTCCGTCGACATCTCGTCCCTCCGCCTACAGGATGTATTAGCCAAATTTCTATTGTAAGATGCGATCTCACTATCTCCGGGAGAGTGACTTACGCAACAGTTTGCGCAGGGGGAATTGTTAACATATACCCAATTAGGGCAGTTATGAGTATAAAAGTATTTGCATCGGTACTTATAGAAACCGCCGCTTCCACTCATCGTGAATGATACCTTCACTTGAAATAAGGGAAGCTGTCGGCTTTAAAGGATAAGACTTTAGCGACTTAGTCGCGAGGTAGAGCAATGAGTTATTACTGAATGACAATGTCAAGGAGGTTACTGCCCGCTGGCAGCCAAGCGATAAGGTTTCACTGACGGACTGCAAAGTCCAATTCAGTGAGAAAGTAACCAATATAGGTGCTCAAGAACCTCGAAATGGCTCTTGCTGCAAGGATGCTCCGAAAAATAGAGTGATCTACCAAGGTAGGTGTGCGGAAACATCCTTATTTATCTCCAGGGGTCTTATCCTGCAGTACTATGTATATATATACGTAGCTTACTTAAGTACGTACAATGAGATGGTTTCTCAGTAAGGTCTTGATTCCTCAAGACTCAAGAGGTGGTTTCTAAAGATCTGTCTAGGCCGTGCCGATGTTCTGGCAAACACGTTCGGGACACAACAGCTTAGGTTAGGCAGTCTGCCATATCTTTCCAACGGGAGTCCCCCTGCCATGCATCAATAAGGACCCTGCGGCGACAAGGGTCAAAGTGGATCCTCAAGTATTCTGGAAACACGCCTTTCATTTAGTTATAGCACACTCCTATCAAATACTGTAGAAAACTGTGCGGGAGCAGCTGGCATATCAACTCTGACATGTCATATATAAGAGGGGTCGTATCATATGTAGTAGATGAACATCGTATTTTTTTTGGACCAACCCTAAGAAACAACGACTTAGATCTTTGAAAAGAGCGCGAGTAGAGAATCATCGGACCATTACCACTAAACCCGCGCTGACCTCGCTATTGGTATGTTGAAGGGTAGAAGGGTAGGATACGCGACATTGTATTAAACATAACTTCTCGCCCATTGGCGGAACTTGGGTAAAAGAAGTCGTAAGATTCCAACCGGGACTCGAGAACTTCGCATATATGAGTTCTGATAAAAAAGGGGCTCTTTTTTTAGTTGGACACAAAATGTAGTAGTTGTGTTCCAACGCAACCAAATTTTTTTTTTCAGTTTTGTTGCCTGCATTCTGTTGTACCATGCCAGCATCGAAAGGGATCCAGACGGCGGTGGGAACGGGGGCAAGAGGTTTGTCTCCCAGCGCCGACAGTTACACTGCGGCCAAAGGGTCGAATAGCAAAGCGGAAAGGGCTTGAAGCTTCCTAATAGGGATTGCTAGGAGTGGTATAAGCTAACATGAGACCCCCAACTACATATATGTACCTACCCACCCCCATCGCCATCTTGCCGCGCTTCTACTCCCCTTTAACGACGACCCTACATATGTTGCTAAGGAACCATTCTCCAATGCAGAATAATTATACCCCAGATGAGGCTGAAGATTCCAAGAAAAAATCAAAGATTTACTATTGGCCGGAAAGCCCTCCGCGGTGGACAACGGCATAAATTAATTAATAAATCTCCTTACATCGTCCAACCTGCATACGTGTGTGTGTATATATTATATATATATATATATATATACCTACATAATATGTGCGGTACCTACATCTGAGAGCGTATATACATACTTATCTAGGTAGTGTATGTATTATACTTACATACCTCCTTACATACCATGTACCTAGGTAATTATGTAGGTAGGTTAGGTACCTAAGGTATGTATAACCATTACACATAACTTACATGTGTGTAAGTTTACAACTTCCATATTAATTAAGCAAGCTCGTTTACTAACGGGCCCTTGCGTTTTGATCACCTAATAGTGGGAACATTGGAGAAACAAGGGAGGCATCTACACTAGGAAGCAACAGGGAAGCCCCCGGGGCAGCACTGACTCCCGCTGTGCTAGGTCGGGTAAGACCCTAGGAAGCCTCTCCGCTCCACTCAAATAAAATGTCTTAAAACTTAAACCCAAAAGAAATCTCCGGTCTCCGGGGAGAGAGGCCGGAAAAACCTGGACTAGGACAGGGTCTAAACATTTTGACCCTTGACGTCAAACTTCGAAATTTCCCACACCAACCAACTTTCATCATAATATCAACTATCAAGAAATTTAGAAGCTCAGAAACTTACAGAAATTTATCCTAGAAATGAGATAATCTGTCGCGCCACAAATACTCGCCCACTCATATCATTCGCATCGCGTCTGCCTATACATCTGCCTATCATATCTATCATATGCGCGTTATGCCTAATCGTTACGTCTAATCGAATGCATGCAATCCTTCCTTTCATCTATCCGTGTCATGATCTACCTCTAGGCTCATTTTTGTTTCGTCTATCTCCTAAGCTAACCTACCATTCATACTCGGAATAGTATGTCTCTTTTTTTTTCGATGGCGACTACTTATTGCATATATTAATACGCATATAGAAACCTCGCTCTTAGTCGGCGTGAACCTGCACACTCACATTCATATACAGATGCACGACTTACCGTAGCGGGCTCGTGTGTTTGTACTTGGGTTGCCGAGCCTAGGCTAAAAAACAATCTATTGACATACGCACGTATGTATAGTCTCGTAGCTATGGCCGATCATTCGCCATATCGAGCATTACCTTGGCGGATGCTTTACGACGAATACGGGTCATCGGCTTCTGTGTATGGGATTGCTCTTCGATCCCGTGGCACTTGTGGTGTCTATCAACACTCGCTGGCGCGCTCATCTCAGCGGCTAACCACGAGCATCTTGAGATTAATCTGGGTCACTATTCTGTATATGTCCTGGTTGAGGGAGAAGAGTTGTCGTATGTTCAGTTCATAAGCCCACGAATGTTCCACCCGGTTTCCTACGTATAACGATGCCGGAACATATTCAATTCACGACTATCTTAAGCCGATTCGACTTCGGGTACAACCAGGTCCTCGGCCTAGACAATTTTCAAATGTATCATGCATGTCCTGTGTCGCGATGGACGGCATACTCTACTCTACCCAATTCTTAAGGAACCTCCGTATCGGAGTACACCACATGAACAACAGTCGCGGATTCAGGATGGCGTGTCTTTCGTCAAGCAACATGCCGGTTAGTCAGTTTGCGGCTAACATGTCTGAGCAGTAGATGTTATTTGGTCTATGACATGTCAGGCTATGTTATTTCGAGATCTACGGCAGACGTAGAAGTGCATGACGCGATACAGCTGTCCTTATGGCCAACGATTTGATTAGGTGGTCGCCTGCGATATAATGCGGCTTAATGGTCTACTATTACTTAGTATCTCCTCCAAAACCAGCCGCTGGAGTCATATTCGAGGCTATTCTTGGCTAGGTTAGATACGTATTTGCAAGGTAAAACAACTTTGAGCGAGTTTTTGGAAAACTAGCCTAGACGCGGATTGATGTTTACTAATAACAGAATGTTTTGTATTTGGTACTCGCATATTCTCTGCATTTGTTGGCTTGCAAACAGGGTAGGCTTCAGATCATTTCCAACTCCAGAACCGTGTTTTCTTTTACTTTCAAACTTGGACGAAGACTGGTCGGTACTATTGACCTATTCTTACTAGCTTAGTGTCGGGGTTGGTTCCATGTCCACGATAAACTTACAGGACCACGGCTTGGGGTTGACACCTTCATACACATGTCATCATCTCGAATTGGAGACTGTTAGCGACATTGGGATAAGCTTAGCTGTGATTGGCAACTGGGACATGTTGATCTACTTTTTTTTCCCTGATGGCGTTGATCTAAACTGGTCATCCCGGGTTGTTGGTTCTGTTGCATCTCCAATCCCTACCTGGGGATTAGATACACTCACTACTCGAGAGCCAGCCAGCCTTACTCGCTAATGTTCTATTACTGCCCCATTAGCGACATGCAATGTGACACTCGATGGCCCGCGTCGTATGATACTGCAACTCAGAAGACCAGTATTGATTTTCCAAACCAAGCTTTCAGTTCAGCAGTGAGTCTGCCGGGGAATATTAAGCAGGAAACAACCAGTGATATTGCCCGATGCAGAGTTTGTGCTAGATGCCGCGCCTGTATTATTCTGGGCTTGGGCGGGAGAACGATACAATCAGTACCTTCGCTTACACGCCAATACATTGATACCCCATCTTGGAGATGTGGGAATCCGAAAAGACACTAGAGAAATTTGCTATTCGGTATCATCGAATCGCATGGAATGTACATCTTAAAACGCTACTGTCTAGATAGGTAACGTTGGCTATCTACGAAAGTTTTCGGTCAAGATAACAGACCCTCCTAACCTCTGAACCTCTGATTTTCGCTTTTCACCACTCAGAATCAGAGTTCGATATATAGCACGGTGGGACGATATTCGCAAACGATCAGCTATTTTCATAGGATAAAGAGGAAAGCTACGAAAGCTACTATAAGGTTTCGGTGTCCTATGCTCTCAAGATGTTGTGAAACGACGGGATCAAGGAAAACCGCATGAGAATCTTATCACAAGTCTTTCGGAGTCTAGGCAGCTACCTACAGCAATTCGCGCCGAGAAGTCCCTGCAGATGTGATGTTGCATGGAGGTATTACTACAGCTTGTATAACAACCGCGTCTACTCAGTTGCCTGTACAGCATCTTAGCTCAGTTCTCATTTGCGGATCAGCATCACGGCCCAGAACTTCCGAATCTCCAGGTAAGTTACGGGAACCAATAATCACACCTTCCCTCTATGCGATTAATTAAAATCGGAAACTCGTGTCGCCACTTGAGTTCAGCTACACCTCCTTTATTATGCCGCCTCCAATATGAAGATAGAGAAATAGAAGCATCTGAATACTTCACATATGATGGCGCGTATTCTCTCCTTGGTCGAGTTCTGCCTGATCCCACTACCATCGATATCACTCGCAGTAACGAGAAGGTTGGCACTTGGCTTTCAATAGTCGGTCAGCAATCTCGATACCTATATTTCATTTCTGTCTATCCTCTGCTAATGAATGCACAAGGACAATGGTAAAGAAATACTTGCGGGCCTTTTTAAGCTAGTCAATTACATCAACGTAAGATGAAAGATGGTGGAGTTACTTTCCTTAGGAACTTTACGTGGCGTTTTTTAGAATTGATCAAACACGCATAACCGATAATAGGCATATCAGATATCAGATGATATGCCTTGGTAGTTATTGATCTTAGTCAGGAGCATGTGAATGCCTTCTTATTCCATTCTTCTTGACCCTCTAAGTATATCCAAGTGTATCTTCAGTGGTGGCAAAATCGGAGAAGCATGGAAGGTGGAAGTTTTCTAGTACGATACGACGTTACTTGAGCATCAAGGCAAGATTTGCGGCTTACAAAGAGGTCAACATCATGAAATCGTGGCGACCAGTTCGTGGCAATCGTAATCTTACAGTGCCGATGCGAAAATACTGATTACATGATTACCATGAGGTCCCCGGGCCTATATCCTATTTTAGTCCTATTTTGGAGGAGCTTGTATGATTTTACTCTCCGGCACCGCGGTTCAACATAACACATTAGCTCTCACAAGACATAGCCACCTCGATTAAATGTTGGCCTCAGGTGTATCCCCTAAGAGGTATTCCGAACTTGACGGCGATTCCTACGGGAACTTACTTCCCCGCCACAATCCCAAGATCATCCATACCTGCGGGCTAATCGGCCTGGCCACCATCAAAAGGACACCTCGCCTAGTTGGCAATCACTAGGGACGAGTTTATACTCTAATTTCATAACCTGGTTGTTTTTTTTTTTTTTTTTGAGCGGCTTCCTTCGGACTGACGATCATGCTAGATGGTCGGGCTGACAGAAATCTGTATCTCGACAACTTGGACTCTTTCAGGTCAAGTCTAAAGCAGGCAGACAGCAATACATGAACACCAGGACCGAAGACTCGTCAGTAAGCTTTGGGCCAATCAAGGGACTGGCTTGTCGAGAAGCCATCTAGACTGTTCCAGAACCAAGATTGCTTGGCTTTTAAAGCCTCGTGATGGCTTCTGAGGAAGTATTGTGGACCGCTACTATGCATGGAGACCGATGCCTGGCGTTGGAGATGAGAGATGCGGGCGATATCTGTCCGCTGCGTATGACTCCTCGTATTCATGCGGTTAGCATCTAGACCTCATTACGTGCGTGGTCGTTTTATTCCCTTTGCGTCTTATGATGGACGCATGCAAACGGTAGTTGCACGCCCTACCTCTTCTAACCACCTCTCCGAGCAACCGAGGCTGTGTCACGTCTCAAGGGTTACGTCTCGCCATCGAAGACCCTCGGTAACGAGATATTCTCAGAAGGAAAATACTTCAGTCATTGGTACGTCTGGGCGCGGGTATTCGAGTATGTATGCTTTAACCCTTAGTCGAATTATGATCAATCGTTCTTATTCAAGCATATGAGAATGCTATCTCGTTTGGAGCGCCCCCCAAAATACCACTTGAATTTCGTTCCGGTATTAACCTGAAGCTTGCCTGGAGGAATTTTTAGGAGCATTGAAGAAAATATTTCTCAAGCGCTTAGCAAGGGGCGATCTTTTCCAACCCCCTTTCCCTACGTTAAGTATACCCCTATCTTTATAGATCACAAAGTAAAAGCAAGCGATTATTCGACCATTAATTCCAAATGTGTCTATTTTAATAGCTGATAATGGTAACTACCGAAATCCTATACCGGTACGTAGGGCAAGGATATCTGCACAGGATAAACTGCATCTCTGCAGGTTGTCTTGGGTGTGTGAAAAAATTTGGCGAGTTTTTTTACGTCTCTTTTCATATTGCATTCCCAATCCCAATCCCCTTTACCCGCCTATCATAAAGCACCGATCGGAAGATCAGAGCGCCACAACTTGAACACGGAATATTGACTCTATCCGTTTATATGTCAAATCATATGACGAGATAGCTCGTGTAGGTATTCATCATAACAAAATATTCGCCTGCCCAATTCCTAGCTTTCCCTTAACCACGACAATTATCGTTGATACACTGCTCTGCTGTCCGCCTCGATAGGTATTCGAGATTCGGCACTCATCTCTTTGACGCCGTGCTCATTAGACAGCTCTGACGGCGGCCAGTTGACGTGCGTCGGCGGTTGAGTAAAGGGCGGTGCGCCCCATGTCGTCGAGCTCCAGTTATTAGGGCCCATCATGCTTTCTTGGGCTTGTAGTTCTGCCGTCTCTTGCCTCCTCTTCCGCCGTCGCGACCAGAACATCCATAGTACCACCGCGCCCAAGGCCAAAACCACAAATGCAGCACCAACACCGATACCGGCGGCGGCGCCGGTACTAAGCTTGGTATCCCCGTTGTTATCAGATTGCGCTTCCGCTGTTGTTGATGTCGAGGGCGAAGTTTCTGATGCGGGGGCGGAGTTGTCTGATAGTGACTTGGAAACTGCGGTTGCCGTCTCCTCTGCCGTCGTTGTCGCGGGACTATTCTGGACCACAACGCCGTATGCCATGATGGTACCGGGGGCGAACAAACTCGTTAACGACCCAGCTTCCTCATCCCCATTCAGTGTGCCATCGATCGTCGTGAAGGTTGTCTCCGTGTCTACTCTGTATACGGACATGCAACCCAGCGTTGGTCCCCATGGGTAGCTATAGCTGCTCGACGTAGGTGCACATTCGTAATTCCCTTGCCTAGATAGGTATGTCTCATTAGATCTCTACATTCGGTATATTGCTTCCCTCGTCGTTCGAAACCGCTCGTTTCTCAACATCAAGCACGGTATCCTATCCTACCAAATACTACGGACATGTGGCTACAGCTACGGACATCTAAGAGCAAGGAAAAACGCGTATGCGTTATTACTTACGGACAACATGTCGCCCGCGTGGCGACGATTGTATCATCCTGGGTCGATATAGACTCGCAGGCGCGTGTATAGCCAGAAGGGCATACACCAGGACTGTAATACTGATTTTGATAGGGAGAGTAGTCGTCAGGGAAACATGATGACTGTCCCGGGCGGCCATGCAGCCAGTAGAAGGTTGAAGCGGTGTTGACCCAGTACAACGCCGACGATGCGACACAGTCGGCTGGTGGCGTGAAGCTCGTCGTAAGTGGACCGAGCGACATAGTTGCGTACGGCCCTAAGCCCTCGGCCGAGTGGTTGACAGACGGATAAACGATTTGGATCCCGTGTTTACGTCCTTCTCCTATCTCTATCTCTATCCCGTGTCCCTTGTCCTTTTTTCTTTTTCAATAGACCGACCAGCAAGAACAGCCTCTACTATGTGCGATCTGCTGTGCTTGGTTGCACTTATCTCGTCTCGTCTCGTCTCGTCTCGTTTCGCCTCTTTATTATTCCTGAATTAATGAAGAAAAGACATATCTCGTTTTCGTTTTTTTCTATATTTTCCACGGCGACGCTACACGCAAAGAGAAGAGAAATTAAAACCCGACTACAGAGAGAAAATGTCCCTGTCCGCCTCGTCTGCCCACAAATTGGCAGTACGCCTAGTTTATTAAAATTTACTGGGTGATGGACATGTTGGCACTTCGGATGCCAGAAGGATTGGAATCCCGGCCCAGCATGATCTCATGTCGTATGTGAGCTTTTCCATCATAGGTTCTTTATGCCGGCTTCGCCCTGTCGAGTATATACTGGCTTAGCAAATCAAGGGGCTCGCATGTCCCGCTGTCATTGGAGACTCATCTGTTTTCTTATTGCCACACATAGTAGCGAACCTGGTTCTATTTTGCTTCTTAGTTGCGAATATGCATGGATGGGCAAATAGGGTAGCAATAAAGCGCGTCTATGCCACCCCAGCCTTTTCCACTTATAGTAGGGATCGTCGTGCCTAGACATCTTTCAAACTAGACTAAGCTCTTTTCGACTCGACTTTCACGCAAGTCGAAAGGCTGAGCTGTCTATCTCTTACAGGTACACGTGCTGAAGATTTGGAATTGGTTAGGTTAGTTTTTTTCTGTCTCCGCTAATAGGGTATAATAGGGTACGGGTACCTTAGAAGCAGGCTGGAAAAGCACCTATACATATTATCCAGTCCAAATACTACAGATTACGGGATACCCCGTTTAGAAGTGGGCGGCTAACTATGTCAAAATAAGAAAAAATTCGGAATCCTTCGTCGGCTTCTTAGCCTTACACGGACCCCAGATACGGATACATAGTGGTAATTGAATAAAGCACCGCTCCGTAATATGTTATGCTAGGATAGGTTGAGCACTGCTAGATGTAGTAGCTTAAGTCCGTTGTTAGGTAGGTCCGAGAGGTTAAGATATCCGGATGTTGTACCGCAGTCCGGGGACGATAACCATAATTGATGAAGAATTTGGGGATGGAAACTGTCTGTTTACATACCGACTAATTAATGCAGGGGTAAATATCAATAGCCTTTCGCCTTTGTCTACATACATACCTAGGTACATACATAGTAGAGTGGAGTATTAGCTGAAAGATTACGTGTTCTCGGTATTTTAGCTTATCTTAACATTCCCTACCAAATCCAGCATTAATTCCGTAACTACAACATAGGCAGGTATATAAATATATATATAAGCGCGGCGACCCCCCCCCCCCCCCCCCCCCCCCCCCCCCCCCCCCCCCGGTACTACCTTAACTCCAACCGTGGCGCCGGCCAAGTATCAAGGCGAATATGTCCGGGACCGAACACCGAACATATGAGACATCCGTCAACTTAGAAACCATACCATGTTCACGTCTCCCGTGCCTCACCACTACCTAACTTACACCTCTTAGAATCTCATTACATGTTTTCGGCGAGCCTACCTTAGGCAGGTAGTTAATAACCTATTATACGACCTCATTCACCTGTACTTTGCGAAGCAAACATAATTTATATAAAACATCAAAGTCTTTGGCACAACTCCGTCATAAATTCAATTGACTAGCTTGAATACATAGACAGATACTGAATCGATGCTACCAGGATCAAGCCATTTCTGTTAAGCTTCTAAATCGTCGGCCATCCGCTCTAATATTTATTTATCGCGGTCTCATTCTCATCTAAGATAACTTGCATCAGCCTTGCAACCCCTGCTTAGTAAAAATTTGAGTGTATGTGACACGGATCGTACACCTCCAAGAACGCTGGAGCAGCAATTAGTATATCGTGCAGCCCCTCGTGCAGTCCATAAGATTCTGTTATAGGTAGGTAGACTGCCGTCTCTGAATAAGGCCCCTCTTAGATATGCTTATCAGCTTTTAGACTGTCAATCCCAAGTTTCTTAACCCCCGAGGCGTCGGCTCGAGCCTGCATCAAAATGACTATTAGACTCTGATCGTCCCAGCTCGTAGGACATTATCGTTTCATAAGAGTACCTAGTTACAGCCCAGTTCAGCGGCCACCCTTCATAGCAGCTCGGCGTCTCATCTTGTCAGCTACTGCCTTTAGTGCTAACTTGACATCTTTCTGCCCGTCCCAAGAATCGATATCGTAATATACGGGGGCGAGTTCCTACAAGCATTTAGTTAGTTATATTATTTAGACTTGATTTGAATATATAGTATCGACTTACCAAGAGCCACTCCGGCTTAATTCCGGTGACTGTTCGGATATAATGTTTGGATGTCATAACAAATTCGTTATAGAGAACCCAGTCATATTCTGTCTGGAGTACGGTGCTCGGGTGCAGCATCACTTGTTGGCTGTTGTCTTTCAGGGTGCGGTATACCCTATCCTTCTCCTTTTTGGCCACTTGCATGAAGAAGCCGGTGACAAGTGCGCGACGAATATTAATATAGTAATTTTTATCGTTGAAGTCTGTGCTGATGAGGTCTAAACCTTGCGTTTCCATAATGCGCTTGAGTTGAGCACGGACGTTATCCGCACTAGAAAGATGACGGAACGACAGATAGTGCTTGTGGCACCACGTCCTCGCATCCTCGCTGCGGTTCAAGACCCCCTTAAAAGCGTGGTAGACATTTAGCATAGTTAAATGATCACCGTCGTTGTGCTTGAATAAATTCTTCATTTCATCAGCTTCTCGCCTCTTTTGAGCTGGGCGCACGAAGATCTGAGGCACCGAGAGGAGTGCAGTGATCGAGAGCATTTCATTCGAACAGTAGAATTCGGGGCTCGAAATGAGCATGACGGCCAAACTGGGATCCAAGGGAAACTCGGATGCTAAACCGCCAAGAGCTGTCAGTTCTCCCTCGTCGTCGAGGCACCTAAGATAGTTAAGTTCCTCGAGAGCCCGCATCATGGTCTCGGGAGCAGGAGGGTCCATGAGATCGAAATGCACCAGATCTACGACACCAAGCTTCTTGAGCTCGAGCACGGTGTTCGCAAGGTTAGATCGAAGAATTTCTGGATATGTCTGCTCAATCAGCTCATCTTTGAATGCCTTTTCCGTGTATAGCCGGAAACACTTTCCAGGTTTTGTTCGACCAGCACGACCAGCTCGCTGCTGAGCAGAAGCCTTGGAGATGGGAGACACCAAAAGCGACTCCACTCGTAATCGAGGATTATAGATCTTCTGTTTACTAAAACCAGGATCGACAACATAGACGATACCGTCGATTGTCAAACTTGTCTCAGCAATATTTGTTGATACGATGCACTTGCGACCAGGTCTACCACCTTTCTTGAGCGGAGGGGGCGCCTGGTCGAATATTTTCTGCTGCTGGTGTGGAGGGAGTGTGCCATAAAGGGGATATACCGCCATCGGCCCGCAATCAGTTTCCCTCACAAGCTCGTCGACCTCGAGGGAGATCTTCCTACATGTATCCTCGATCTCTTCCTCGCCAGTAAGAAAGAGGAGAATGTCCCCTTCGCCCTCACCAGCATGGATTTGAAGCACAGTACGTATCGCACCCTCCACGTAATCCTTCTCGGGCTCGGGTGTGTAGAAAATCTCGACAGGGAATGTTCGACCTGGGACAGCGAGTAAGGGTGCATCGAAGAAATACCGTTGGAACTTCTGCGCATCTAGCGTGGCAGACATGACAATCAGCTTGAGGTCGGGCCTGCGCCTGGTGATTTGCTTCAGAAGTGCCATAAGTATGTCGGTAGCGAGGGTACGCTCGTGCGCTTCGTCCAATATAATACAGCTATATCGTGACATGTCGTGATCGTGCATCGCCTCTCTCAACAGCATACCATCGGTCATGTACTTGAGTATCGTCTTGGAACTCGTCTTGTCTTCGAAACGGATACTATAACCGACCTCCTCTCCTAGAGTAACGTCAAGCTCGTCGGCAACACGCTGGGCAACGGACATGGCGGCGACTCGTCGGGGTTGCGTACAGGCAACCAGCTTTCGATTAAGATGTGGTAGTTCATCATAGACGACATATTGGGGAATTTGCGTTGTTTTACCAGAACCAGTTTCACCGACGAACACCAGAATTTGCGATTTGTGATATAGGTCGAGAAATTCTTGTCTACAGCAGGCGCATTAGTATAGGATCGTAAAAAGGTAAAGAACACAAGAGTGTAGATGATTAGAACAAACTAATGGAAGTAAGCTTACCTTTGTTTATGAACGGGAAGGTTGCGCCTCGACTTCAATATGTTAAAATATTGTTGTGAATGCGGTTCTCCGGTAAAAGGGTTATTGTCACCATCCTCAGCTTTGGATGCTTGTTTGGCTGTTGTTTTTCGTCGCTCGAAATGCGCCAGAGGAGAACCTTTCGGCAGTCTATCGCTAAACCCATTTCCGTTGTATTTGCTATCCGAGTCACCATTACCATTATTCCAATGTGCAAGGTATTTGTTATATTCGGTCGGTTTCGAATCCTCGCCGTCTTCTGTTTTAACGCGCTTCACAGGCGTCTCAACATCTGGGCTACTCAGGCGCTTCTTGTCATTCTGCGAACTTTTGCCATTTGATTTATCAGCCATCGCTACTAGTTTTTTTCTGCCGATAAACCCAAGGATATGTCGTTGTACGTCCGAGAGATTGGATGCTGTCGCAATGGATGGCTGTTAAGACAAGGCTGAAGAAAAAGAGGTAGAAAGCTAACCTAGAGGTCAATGAATTATTTTTTTTATTTTTTTTGGTTAACACCTTCTAAGCCCCACTTCTCCGTGCCACTTACCCCAAAATGATACCGGCAAACCGTGCATTCATTCATTTAACCAAAATTCTATACTTCCTATATGCATATATGAATGCATGGAAATAGATAATTCAAGTACGGAGTATAACGGTAGTATTTGGAGGAATGGTACTTTAAATAAATTAAGGCAATGAGGTACCTAGGTAGGCAGCAACATGAACAATTGCAATTCATAATGTATTACACATACACTGGGTTGTACAGCTATCTGAAATCATCGCAATCGAATCTCTCAAGAAAAGAGTCCTAGAGATCTCAAGAAGTGACTCGTCGCCTAGCCATAGTATACATCCGTCCAACTCCTTAAATCCCCCCCGCCTAACCACATATAAATCTCCTTCGTATAAACGAACGGAGGGGTACGAAATCAAAACATTCCCATTTCATGAGCCCTATGCCCGAGAAATAAACAAGCCTATGTAGGCGCTAAGTCTAACTGTGAGACGATCATCTGCCGGAAGCCGAGCAAGATATCGTTTAATCAACGCCAAACTCCACAGGACGGCACATGCCATCCCCGGGACCATTATTTCATGGTTTCGTTATGCTCGTGTCCTGTTCGCCACATTTCAGATGCTACTTTTCCATATGCTACTTTCTCGGAACGGTAATCTCAATATTCTCATTTGCGGTATTACAATGCGTGCTGCTGATCCGCCGGGCATCTCTGATAATGCTCTCAATCAATTCCATGGAATCGTCTGGTACTTCCGGAAGGTCACTTGTGTCCACTGCTATCGAAGGTACAGGTGCCGATGCTATAGGGGTCGTGGTATATCTTCCTGGTGATGATACTGACTCTGCTGCGATTGGCTGTTGTATAGCTGTGGCGGCTGATAGCCGTTGTATGTCTACTGGTCGTACGTCACGTACTGAAACTACCCGTGACTCATCTGGCTGAGGCTGCTGCTGTTAGGCACTGTCTGCGGGAACTTCTGCCAAAAAGGTCCGCTTACATTGCTGGGCTAGGGCCCTGGACTTTCTATGTGCCTCAGATTTCCGGATCCGCCGTTCATCAACGGACCCGGCGCATTTGGGGTAGTAGTCGGGGTGGCTATAGTTGGTGTCATAGAACGAGATGGGTGTTCCGTTGGGAAATATTGAGGCTGAACCGGAACCTGTGACTTACGTAGTGTTTCCCACGGTCGAGGAGGTGGTATATAAGTCTGCCTAGGTGGTAGACTTGGTGTTCTTGCCAAAGCGATTGAGCCCGTTGATGAGGGTTGCTTCTGGCCCATAGTAGCCGTATCCGATAGTGGGGGGGTATCTACCTTGGGTTGTGATGAGTTGGGGTTTGGAGCTGAGATGGTCATTGGCGACGGGACCGAAGTGACCTGAGAAGACGACAGTGGCGTTGATGGCGATTGATGATTTGGCATAGCTTGGTGTGCTTGAACAGTAGTTTGCTCGTTGCGGGCCTCGAAGTTTCTTGTCTGTAACAATGCGGCATATTGGGCTCGGATTGCTGGGTGTAGTTGTGTTATAGGACCTTCATTTAAATACGAGGAATCTACGACACGTGCCGGTGTTTGTTGGACTTCTAGCCGTCCAGTTGACGCTACGTGTGTTGCTGGCAGCATCACTTTCTGTGTTGCAAGTGGAGTAGGAGAATCAGACGTTGGTAGACCAACAGATGAGCGAGCTGAGCCAGAGTTACCCGTGTACGGCGCTGGGCTAGGAGTACCATTGTTCGGTATACCATTGCTAAAAGGAATTTGGCGAGTAGAATGTGGGCCAGGAGTACCGCTGCTGAAGCCAGATGATCGCCTTCTAATCTCAAAAAGCGCTTCAGGCGATCTCATCAGATGAGCTCGAAGATTACCTTCGTAACCGTTGGTAAAACCACCCCAATTGGCGTAAGGTGTCCTATACTTGGTAGAATCTCTAAATGATTATTAGCACGAAAATGAATTAAGGGGAAATTTGACTGCTATACCTATTGTGATGAACCTGGAAAAAGGCATATCTCTGGACGATGCTTGGTCGCGCTTGCTTAGGCGCATTGTATTGCGGAGGTATCTTGGCTTCTCCCACAGTCCCTTGAGCGGATGCAGAAGATGGTCGAATGGCAGACGATGTCATCGGCGTGTCGAATGAACGGTTAGATGCCAGCGACCCAGACCTAGCTCTGGCTTGGGCCTGGAATAGTTGGCCGTTTTGCGGTGACGGCGAGGGCCCAAGGCCAGGAGGTTGCGTGAATCCATGGCTAAAGGGCGACTTGGCGGTAGAATCAATTCGGCTACCCCCGTACGAGAATGGCGGCGTCCTAAATCGATGATCCGAACCGAACGCCAAAGACTGACCACCGAGTGAAGACCGATTCCGAGTGTGTCCGCCCTGCGGAGGTGTTGGTCGAGGTACAGGAGCTGGCCTCGATATAACGTGTGGGGCGGAGGATTGTCTGCTATGTTGCGGGGTAGAAACTGGGTTTTGTGTAGTTTGCTGAGGAATAAATTGTCCGCTTTGCTGATCCGGAGAAGTCTGTTGACGAATAGATTGCTGTGGAGGGTAATGGTTAATGAACTGGGGGGTGTAGACCGGTTTCTGGATATTCTGCTGTGGTGTATATGGCCCTTTCTGTTGCAGAATAGGTGGCGTAGGCACTGGTTTTGGTATAGGTTGCTGCGGAGTGCGCTGTAAGGTTTGCTCGGGGGCAGGAACCAGCTTTGACGCTGTGCTTTGTGGAGGATAGAACGGCGGCCTTGGGATGTACTGCTGTGCCGTGAAGGGAGAAGGCTGCGGAATGAACTGTTGGGTCGTAAAGGAAGAATGGACATAGGAAGGAATAACAGGATCCCTTGGCTTGTACTGGTATGGTTTCTCAGGTTTCGCTCCTGTTATAGTCGGAGTCTGTACCGAAAACGTGGATCCGTATGACTTTCGGGGTTGAGCTGTAGGTGGAGCCGGTCGAGGAACAGTTTCTAAGAAGTTACTCTTAGGGTTGTGTCTAGGATTCTTCGGATCTTCTGTGTATTGAGCACGCGCTTCTGTCGATGTTCTACCAAGGTAATACCAGATCTGGTTATCCTTGGACAGATCCACTTTAGCTTGAAACTTGTTCGAGCAATTATACGAGTTGAATTCGGACCAGGTGAATCCATCGACGAATGGTGCATCTGCGCGTGGAAGCTCCTCTGTGACTCGCTTTGTGGCATTGATCTGATCCTTAGCCTTACGTGACGTTGGCATGGGAACAGCATTCGCAGACGCTTTCGGTAAATGGAAGTCGGCTGGATCTGGAAGGAGAAGCCATTTCCATTCAACTTCAACACGTTCCCTGGAGAAAGTTAGCGACAAGCTCTTGCTAATATGGCTATTTGTTTCGCACCCGTTTGGTATAATGTCGACAAGGAACATCTGTTCGTCAGCCCGGTTCTCAACGACAACACCTGCGAATATATCCCCGCGATAATACTGCAATTGACATATGTCCCCCTTTTTGAGAGCAGTCGCCGCTTGGCGGGTCTTCTGACACTCTTCCAATCCATCCCCATCTAACTTCTTATCTCTCTTAGTCCTATGGAAACGACAGCTGAACTCGAAAGCTTGTTCCTTGTATTCGGTTCCATCCTCACCGAATATGGGAACGTCTGCCTCTTCTACCAGAACTCCAGCCGCTGCGGCACAAGTCGCATGGTAGGAACGAGCGCATTTCTTTTGGGAACACTGGAAACAAGCACCCCTCTTAGAGCGGCAATACAAGCACTTCAGTTCTAGGCGAGCTTTGCTGACGTTTTCAACATTGGCGATGACTTCTTTTCCTTCAACTGTTTCAACCCAGGTTTCGGGTCCGTAGAGTGCACAGATTCTATGGGCTTTGCGACCATCGCTTGTCGGTAAAATCTCTTGTCCTGGTATGTCGTGGGGGCATAGGCAACACGGTGGTTCAATGTGGTTCTTGACACGGAGTCGTATCTTCTTGGCCTTCTGCTTCTCTCCTTTATCTGCTGCTGGACGTTTACGTTTACGCCCAGGCTGCTTGAATCTCACAGCATTAGACGAAGGCGGTGTCGTTACACCATTATCGAGGTCATCATCATCTTCGTCCTCATCTTCATCCTCTTCATCCTCAGTTTCTTCATAATCCGTCTCTTCTCCTCTCAACTTACGCTCGATCTCATACACGTCAACCCAAACGCTATCTTGGGCTTGAGCACATTCACATCTCTTGGCGATCTTTCCCATCGGCAACCAGGAATCCAAGGCAAAGTTTACAGCCTCGGCACAATTATAGCCCAGATTATACCCCGAATGGTAACCATACGGATAAGTAACAACGAACTCTCCAGGGTAAGAGACGCACTTATTGACTTTGATGTTGTAGAAGTTTGCCAAGTGGTTTGGCGAGATTAAAAAAGCCTTGTGTCGTAGAAACTGGTCGCAAGCCTTCGCGTCTGTTGGCCAGATACTCTTCATCGCAGCTTCGAATCGGCGCGCATCGCCCTGAGAAATACTGTACCACTGCTTCGGAGCACCAAAGTGTAGGTAGTTGATACTGTATAGATCGACATCTTCAAGATGCCATGCGAAAGTCGCCTTCCACATGCCAAGGTAAAGATATGCCGTGTTAACACCGGGAACCTTTGTACCCAAGACGTCAAGGAGGTTCGGAAGCTTGTTAAGATTCCAAGTATCGCATTCGTCATCAAAAAGCGTTCCGGGAAGATCAGCACCGTACAGTGGCTGTGCATAAGTAAGAGTTTTCCAGTATATGCGCTCGAGCTCCTCACACCTATCGGGTGTGTAGTCGGAGATGTCCATACGGTAATCGAAGTCCTTGAAGGCTCCCTCATCGATCCTAGCTGATGCTTCTCGCCTCGAGAACTTCCTCCGAGCTGATGTAGATTGTAACTTAGGTTTGGCCTGCCTAGCGCCACCCATCCGACCAACAACCCGGGGGACGTCGTCATCATCATCTACCTCAGCACCCGGGTCCTGCTCTACGGACTCAACAATCTCTTCGTTCGGTTTTGGCGAGACGGGTGTCATCGGCCGGTCTTCTTGGTCTACCTTGTCTTTTGCTGTACCTCGCTTACCTCGACCCCTAGTCGATCGACGTCTCTTAGAATCGGTAGCACTTGAGGACGAAGCTGGTTTCGGTTTAGACGGTGCCTGTGCACGCCTCTCACCTCGTTTAGCAGGAGGCTGGTGTTCACTTTGGTCGCAGAGCTGTCGCCACTGTGGAATATTGTAGGATCTCTGGTGGAGAATGTTGACTTGTCGATAGGTTCCATTGGACCCCATGATATCCTGTTTAATAGGTTCTCTAACTTTGATTTGCTTGATCATATCATCCAGAGGAGGACGTTTGTCCGTCCATTCCTTGGGCGGGATGATCTTGATAATGCCAGACTTCATCCCGTAACAATCGACTTTTGTCATCTAAAAGTACGAGTTAGCAATGTCGGGATCGGATGAGTAATAAAGGGATGAGAGTAGGGGTATAAGCATACGAATTTCTTAAAATCCTTGAACTGGTGCATGTTCGGTTTGAAGACAGGAACAGTACCAGACCAATGGTCAGGAATGACCTCTCCAATATCTTCCTCTTCCTCTTGCTTAACGTTTTGATCATCATTTGCAGGTTCAGGTGGTGGAGCAGGAGAAGACGGCTTGATGTGCAAGTGCATGTCCATGTCCATATCCATATCCATAAACGAGGGATCGTCGAGATCACTCAATTCGGAATCGTCGCTACCGTCCAACTTCATTGCACTGTTACTATCGGGCGGTGAGTGGAGGCCGGTGGCTTTATTATTGAGTGCATCGTTGCTGGGTTGGTCACTTGCGACCTCGATCTCAACCATCTCTTTCTCGGGCGCAGACGCCATCGCGGCGGTCGCTTCGGCGGACATGGCAATTGGTGGCTACATGCGACCGATGGATTCAACGTAATGCTATTCCCATCGGTCTTTGTTAAAACGTCTTTTATTAGCTGCAATTATCCTTGGTTAACTCGTTTAGAGTGTTGGAAGGTAGAAAGGTAGAAAAAAAAACAAATATAATAGTCGGCGGAATTGTAAAGCTAGGTACAGTTGACTCCTTGTTAGATGAATGGTCGAAATGAAGTCGGTAGGTGTCGGTCGTAGTAGCACTGTGGAGGTGTGGGATGCAACTGCTAAGTGGTGTATCAAAGCTTTTCCCTTCCAGGCTCTAACAACTACCGGTTAATCTTCGGTAAGCAGTCGCAATGGTACGTTGGTGGTACGTTTTGCGTTCTCAGTTGCCTTACGGGGGTTGTGTTGGGGTGGATAATTTGGGGGGTGCGGAGGCCTTGGACAAGCTGGGGGGAAGTAACCAAGCAGCCAAGGAAGGAACTGCCTTATCTATGTCATATTATGCCTTGCGAAAAAGATGCGATGGAGAAATGAAATTGAAATGAAAATAGGATATAATATGTGAGTACCTAATTGCTCAGACTTTACAGAAATCGTTTAAAAATAAAATCCGATAGCTGCACAGACGTGCCCGATAGCTATGTACTAGCTACTAGGCTAGGTTACTTAAAATGGATTATAACTCTACCGCGAAACTACCTAAATATTGTAGTGCGGACATGTTCGTCGGCTATACAGTTTTTAAACTTGGTGGCTTGCACTGTCTTCATATCTGAGAAGTACTTGCATGTACCTTTGTATTTCGTATCTATCCAAGATCCATCTTTCCGGTTTAACGTTATCTGATGCTGCAGCACGGGCCTATGGGCATTCTTTTTTGAGGTCGGAAATCGGGATCTAAAAACTACGGCATCTATGAGGAGATCATCTTGAAGAGCCTCTTCCTTACTTGGCAAGTTACCTACCTAGTACATATTAATCTAGATCAAGCCCCGCAGCCTTTATTCTTAATGGACAGTTTCTTCCATTTTTGCACGTATTCCGCCTCCTATCCCGCCTCCTATCCCCACAACAATTATGGAATGTAAGAAGGCGAGAAAGATGCTTGCATGGCTTATTAGTGCACGTCAGGGCTATGTCACCATTAGCCCCGAATTAAATAGGATAAACTCTCGAGATGAGGAACAAGTAAAGCATTTTTCGTTCCCAGATTGGAGTCGCTTTACTCATTGTCATCATATTATGTTAAGAGGCTTTGGGAAAACAGCCATTTCATCAGAAATAACTTACAACAATTTAGAGACTAATATAAGGTAAAAGCGGAGGCTATTTATAATGATAGGTATGGTAGATCATATTCTCTTTCATGATTTTGATAATGTGACTACCTCTTTTCAGTAAGATTCGATTTCCTTCCATAGTTGTGAGCTTATCGAGTAACAAAAGTCGAAAATAAATGAGAAAAAAACAAAGCCCTCTATCTACTCTCGCATGTGAGTCGAAAACGTGTATTTCATTATAGGAATTCCATTCTTGTAAAGTTATATCAGCCCTAGCTCAAGGTTCGTGTAGTTATCTTTTTTAAACAGGTAGTCATAACTTCTACCTCGGAATTTGTTTCCCATATCTTATACTAAAACTTTACACCAACTCATGAGTTATGTTTCTAGCAACTGTATTTATTTGGCGCATCGTTATTATACCTATCGCAATAATCCTAAAGGAACGATATAGGTACTTATCAATGGACATAATCCCTTAGCCTTAACGTCACCAAGTCAAGCTAAATCCATGGATGATACATCAATGCAAAGGCGCTCTTGTTTTATTTTTCATGTTTCTTTATGAAGCTTCGTCATTTCATGTATACCCACAAGGTTCTTCGCTGCGCAGCAAATATTCCTAGGTTAGCTGGTCTTCTCTTTCCGCCAATATGCTTCATGAAAGTAATACGATTAATTTCAGACTTTTAAGCTGATTATGAGGAGTGCTTTCTGATCTACATCTTACCGAACTCGGCGACTCGAGTCCTGAATTGCTCAATTTTAGATTTGCTCATCTAGTAGCCCCCCGCGATTTTATCAGGGGCTATATTGATGCCGCCTTTACTTCTGCACATCCTGCGATCTTTAGTTAAGCTATTTTGAGGCACGCATGATTCGCGCTCTAATAGAAAATATTTACATACTATCGTGGCCTGCTTCATGAAAAGTATAGATACTCTGTAGGAATTCTTCGTGCAAGGTGTACACATACCTTTACTAAGGCTAAGATTCTAAAAAGGAGAAAGATTCTATTAGATTACCTAGGTACCTAACCTACTTATCACATATGTAGGTATGACACGCATTAACATTAGATGCTGGTATATTACGAAAATCACAACTTTATCGGAACTTTGTCTCCATCCACAACTGCGTCATAGATGCATGATGACCAAGGAAATAATTACTGTGGTCGTCCTTGAATTTGAATTTATTGGTTACCTACTAAACGCCTCATGCAAGTGACGTACAATAGTTTAAAGTCTATGCGAGAATAGTTCCATTGTTGGTTGTTTCATTTTTTCTAACTACTATAACCTGAAAGCATCGATAACACGTAGTGACTCTTCAATATGTACATGAACCATAAGATAATGTGCCCAGCTACTGATTGTCATTCGCGGCGCTAATAGTAACATATTCATCAATGCAACTCCCAGACGATATTTTACAAAGGCATGCAACCCCAGAGTAAACAGAATGCATTCTCAAACTCCTTAGAGCTAGGAACCGAGCCTTATCCACGAGGTATTATCCAGTGCTCCAGAAACGAGATGCTATGAACCCATTGCTCGCGTATGACGCTTGGAAAATAAGAAAGGAGGTATCATAATGTCATCGACAGGCCATTCATGTTCGTGAAGAGGGGCGCGTGACATCGATCTTTCAAGTAGGAATCATAACTAAAATTAAAGAAATTTGTCTTCCTGAGCCATCTCTTACTCGAATGGAGCACAGGTGAAGGCACCTCGAACTTTGCCCTTGCTATATCCGTCAATCTATAAGGCGTTAGTTAATGGTCCAAAGAAATAAAATATAATGAGTTGTGAGATTAGTGACTTACGATGTCGACAATGCTAGCGTACGTGCCACCGACTAGTACAATCATTCCGATAATGAATACCAAGCCGTTGAGGATACTCTTTAGAATGTTCTCCTTTGCGTACCACTTGCCCTGCTTGATGAGCATGAACCAGAAAACAGCAGGGAAGTAAAACGTAAACCCGGAGATGAATAGCGCCGAAGAGATGGCCAGAAGATCGGAAAAGAAGGGGATGGCCTCGGCGATAACCCACGCAATGAGGGTAATGAAGGTGATGAGCGCCAGCCACGTGCTCCAGCCTTTGGTGGTATTGATGAAACGAGTGACCGAGTCCTTGTAAACACGACCGTGAATATATCGGCCTACGACGGTACCGTTGATGGACCCGGAGATGAAGATGACGGGTAGAGCAATACCGAATGCAATCTTGGAAACCAAGTCTCCAGCCGACAGAAGAGATGGAGACTTGACACCTTGGCCGACGAAGCAGAAGATCAATGCTCCGGTCAGCGTGTAAATCACGATCTCAATCAGGCCGAGCGCCCAGATGGACTTAACGAAATGCTTGGGGGTGTGCATTTCATCCATGAACGAGAACTGGCAGATGGCGAAACTGTAAGCAAAGACGATGTTCGTGATGGCAATAAAAGCCTCAGTGAAGGTAATATTCTCCTTCGGCCACGCGGACCAATCAGAGGGGACTCCAGCATCTGTCCGTTGCACACCCGTCGCAATGATCGTAACGAAGATGGCGGCCATGATAGAAACGAAGTCGATGTAACCCAGAATGGCTACTTCGGCAAAAGAGGGCGGGATGGCGAGAAGTAGGAGAATGATGGCTGATACGACACCGAAAACCAATGAACATGCGCCATTGTTGCTGATGTTCATGAAAGCGATAGTACCCGTGAGACAGTGAGATCCGACAAGGAATACTAGTTGCAACACGAACATCCCGCCGATCAGTTCATACCCAAATTTGCCCATTATTAGACGACCGGCATCCGCGTAGTGCTGTACCTCCGGGAACTTTAGCTTGACCTGGCCGACGACGTAACTGGTGTAGATAGCTATGAGACCCAGGCCAACACTCAAGATGACGCCAGCCACCATTCCTAAGGTAGCGAATGCTGCAGGCATACTCAGACTGCCGAGGGCGATGGCCTCGACGATGAGCACTACTGTGAGTCGCTTCCACCCTAACCTTTTGAAGTGAGCGTTGCCCATGGCTACTTTTTGCGCTTCGAATGCCGAGATGTCGCTGACTTGACCAACCACCTCAGTGCTGGACCCCAACTCTTGCCCCGAAGGCGAGTCCGAATCGAACATCTTCTCGTTTTTCGTATCCCCCATCTTGTCTGCCATCGTGTCCGTGAGATCTAGCTGACCGTCGTGTCGTCCTAGATGTAGTTGTCGTTGGCACAGATGATACGGTAGGTGATGGCTGATGGCTGAGGGCAAGGTTGATGGCGGGAGATTTCGTCCAGAGAAGCAAAGCGCCCGGGTGAAGAATCAAAACCAAAAGTTTAAAACGCGCGGGCTCCTAGGGTTTATTATAAAAGACCGAGGAACGAGCTGCACTAGGCAAGTAGTCAGGTGGATAAATATTGACTTCCACCGAGAAACCATGTTCGTACACGAACCATCCATGGGCAGATGGGGTTGCCCCATTGTGGATATGGTCCAGTATAGCCCAGTAGGCCAATCACGCCGGCGTTTCCGGCTATCTTTGTGACGAAAGCCCTAATGATCGACGAGATTACATTACGTTTCGCGGTCAAGATGGTGGCTCAGTTCCCCAACAGCGGTCGACATACCAGGATACCGAGAAGTGGTCCTAGGGTCTCGCGTGGTTAAGCAGTGATGACGGACCCCGTAATAATCAAAGCACCATGACCTTCCAATATGGGGGTTTTCTTATTCGCCCACAGGCAAAATAAAAATATATCATTCGCCAAGGTAGCCTCGGCCAGCTACCGACGCTAGTACCTCGAGCCATGGACGTCACCATGACCCCCCTGGTCAAAGCATACCAAGTATATCCGTGGACCTTCTAGAAAAAGAAGAGATTTCTTAGTCTTGCCGATCTAGGCACTCGGAGATATTCTATTGGCCAGTCTGGATCCGCTTGCGGCGACTCCTTCACCGCCGACGCAGGCGCCGAAGCTTTTAAAAAAGAGTTGAAATGTCTGAGACAGTGTCCATTTTCGTTTTGCCCTCGTACCCATTGTTGGAAGTTCGTTCCGAACCGGACTCGAAATGGATCTCATCCACATCGAGGCTCACGGTTGTGGCTTACGCCGCATTCCTAACCCCCTCACACCACTTTCATTTAAGCCTGCTCTAAGTCGCAGACTGAGTGGTAGAGTTGTATGCGTTATGTCATCGTTTGATTCTGCGACTCGGGACCCCAGGGTCATTGTGGAGGGTTACACCACGCATGGAGCCGCTTAATCCGATTGTCTCATGAGTCTGAAGAATTCGAGAGGGGGGGTAAAGATATTCTCCAGATTACATATTAGAATCTCGGAAACGGTCGGGTCAAAATATGGGAATGTGAGTGTGAGAGTTGCGCCTCGAAGCTCTGATGATTCTTTCATCATACAATACATAAAAACACCGATAAGTAAGTCGATAATAACCATAAACGGAAACGAGAATCCTCGGACCGATGACACGCAGCATTCAAGTAAGACATAAATGCAATGTCATTGTTCAGGTGATTATGTTGGTAATTTATGTTGGTAGGCTTAAGAGGCGACATATGTAAGAGATACGATGGGTACAATGTAAGAATGTCGAAAAGGGGTCTCCGCTCGTAGCCTATCTTTCCAATCTCTCTTTCTACATATGTAATCTCATTCCATAATACGGAGTAACTAAGGCTATCTCATAGCCCCTCTCTGCATATCATACAGGTGGCTGGATGGGTATATAGATGGGGCGGTTTGCTAACATGAATACACTAAGAACCCATTCGTCCTGTTAACCCCAATAACATCTAACATTATTTATGCATCGTAACATCTTAAGCCAGATCTATGTAGATATATACGGGGAATTATGTGGACATTAATCTAAAATGAATAGCATTGTCCCTTATGAAATCCGAGCTTCTTCTTGGCGAGAATGCCTCCGATATCTAAAAATCCACATATCCCATCGTCGGTCACTATGAAGGTTGGCGCGGTCTCATGTATGAGGATTTATCAAGTTCTCAGGGGATACTTATTGTATGCTAACATTACCTATTTGCTATCCCATGTAACTATGGTAAATTTAATAATCTTTTTGGGAAATAGACCTTCCTATTCGCTTAACCATCGACTCTTAAAACAGGGCGTACAAACTCAATGCGGACGTATATCCTGGTAGTTTTTGGGGCAATCATTGTGGGGAAATACGGCACAGACACCGCCGGCCAGGGCTACACTCCTCACGAATATACCTATATATAGGTAAATACGGAGATTAGGATTCACTTTTGCATGCTCTTCATCCTATTAATGATATTGGTGGTATTGAAGGAGCTGTTATTATAACGTGCTTACGCGGTTTCATATCCCCTGCCGAGAGTCTTGTCAAAGCTTATCTCTACTGTACTAGTTCGTTATAATATCTATTGAAGAAGCTTTAGTAATAGCGACAGTAAAGGCCGCGATGCACTAATGCGATATATCAAACATAATATCGTTATGAAATTCCCTTCTAGCTACCTCCTAACCTACCTTAATATTAAACCGCGCTTAGTTCGCGTGTTTTCCCGCTAAATTGTAGAACTAAGTCGCCTACCTAGAAACTATTACTTAACAATAAATGTCATTCATGAAATCAATCCCTGTCATTCGGTGTTCAAATGTAGCAGAAGAGGTAGTTTTCATGCCACATCGAATAGAGATGGTCCCATTTTCAAACCTACAAGTCGCTCATAATATGGCTTCCCCACGACTAAGTGATAGACATATCCGCTGAATTTGCTAATTTGGTTCTCGGGTTCTCCCCAGTCTAAAAGGTTCTATGCAGGATGCAAGGCATAGAAGTAGTCCTAGGTGACGATCATAGGTAAGATAGTTTTGAGATTCGTCCTTACCACTGAGGCCAACGCGTCAGTGGCCCCATAATGGCGAGGTTTATAAACTAATAGAGAACTAGAGAATACGTCTCGGTGTCGAATAGAGCTATTCGCATAGTGGTTCCGGGTGGAGAGACATAAGTTACATCGCGATATGGATGCACGGTCATATTTTTCCGTAAGAGAATTTCCTTTCGGTCGAAGCGCGCCATTAAAAAATAAAATAAAATAAAACCATGTAAACGCATTCGTATTTCTTGCTTGGTATATGTCACTTCTTTTCGGCTTATAGCTACTCATCTTTTACTCTGTTAGTCAGAGCTCCTTGGCTTTAAATAAATGATAGGCTGGCCGGTCTTGCTAAGCATCGGGCCTTAATACGGATCCGGATAGAATAGAAAAGAGACAACCGCCAAGGACCGTCCTTCGGGCACTAGTACATATTTGTACGATTGCGATCAGTCTCGATGAACTTGATTTTGTATTGGGTGAAGTACTCCTATCCATCTAATCTTGGCGGACATTCCACACGTAGAACTTACCTGACATGGCGGGAGTAAGGAAATCAGTAGACTTATGTTGGCCCGGTCGTTGGAACTGAGTAAAAGTAGGGTATTAATAAAAAAAAGAGGCAAATATAGGGGCTAGACCGGTGTCATCGATTATCAATATATCGTGTAATCAAATATGTGCTAATTTTATAGATGATCTCCGGAACGTACGAGCGGTTTGGATGGATAAGAGTTATATCTTCCCTCTATATCTCTTGTCCTATGCATTCTTAATCAACCGCGGCGGCTCTTGTCTGCCGGATAATAATGCAATACGCCGCCAAGATCCCTAAATCCGATGTCCCACGAACCCCCAAGGCTTTTCTCCAACTATCCATTTAGCCAAAGTTGAACATAGCTATTATCGCACGCGTCGCGCTGCGCTGCTCGCATGTTGATGCGCTTCATTGGGTATATCGCTGAGCTACTCCGCATCGGAGGTGATAAGGGACGTGGAGCTTGAATTTTCCCAAGAAGCGATGCTGTATTGGGGAGAGCCCGCATTGTTGGTATAAAGGATGGCATGGCCACCAATGCCGGTGTTCATGGGAACTATTAAGGGTATTAGAGATATTGGGTTAGGCTGAAGTCCAGAGAACCGAGACATGGCGGGCCAACTATTTGCGTTAGGGCTATTCGCCGCCACGAGGGTCGTCGCGCAGGCAGTAGCTACATATGACTATATCGTTGTGGGTTCAGGTCCCGGAGGCGCACCACTCGCGGCTAACCTCGCACGAGCGGGATACCCGACGTTGCTACTAGAGGCAGGTGATGACCTAGGGAATAACAAGAACTATTCAGATATGATCAACTTTAACCTTGCGGCGAACGATGAGAAATCACGATGGGACTTCTTTGTTAAGCACTCTTCGGACGAGGAGCGTGAGGGCAAGTATGAGCACACGACGTGGCGCAAACCTGACGGATCTTTCTACGTCGGCCTCGACCCTCCAGAGGGATCCGAACGACTGGGTATTTATTACCCACGTTCAGCGACACTTGGAGGTTGCGCTAGTATGTAATATCAAAGCTCTTTTACCCCTGGTGATCTATCTTAAGAGTCCAGGTTTCCCGAACGAATTGATCGAGGAATACAACTTACCTAAGAGCTCACATGAAAGAAGTGTTAACTAACACTATCAAAAGTGCATAACGGTGGTGTTTGCGCGCTCCCCTCTGAAGATGATTGGAACGCGATCGCCGAGAGCACCGGAGACGACACGTGGTTAGCGAAGAATATGCGACAGTACTTCGAGAGGATAGAGACAGCTCACTATGTACCCCCTGAAACTCCTGGACATGGATACACCGGATACCTCAATCTCACGATTAGCGACCCTGCCTTCATGCAGCAGTCATCTGACGTGCGGGATATTGCAAGTAGTATTATTGAGGTTACGGGTGGCGATGTAACCCGGGATATTAATGCTTTAGATCCGGATCGAGATCAGTCCACGGGCGTCTTCGGGCTCGCCAGTCACGCTGATCCTACCGGACATCGCGTTGGTACTAATACTTATATCCGGGCGACTTTGGATGATCCAGCCAAGTACCCCTTAACCGTCCAGCTCCGGAGTCTCGTTACTAAGGTACTATTTTCGGAAGATTCCGAGGAACCAACTGCAATCGGTGTCGAAGTCCTCCGTGGCCAATCTCTATACAAAGCCGATCCACGTTACAACGGTACTAAGGGAGAGGTTGTCCAGATATTTGCTAAGAGGGAAGTCATCGTTTCCGGAGGCGCATTTAACACGCCGCAGATACTCAAGCTTAGCGGCATCGGGCCGGCCGAGGAGCTTGAAAAGTTCGATATTCCCGTCGTAAAAGACCTTCCCGGTGTGGGTGAGAAATTGGCAGATAACTACGAGGGAGGCGTGCTGGCGCTGGCTAGCAAGCCGTTGAACGGATCGTCGGGCCCAATCGCAGTACAGCTCAAGACACCTACGGCGCGTAAGAACCGTAACATCTATGCTTGGTGCAAGTCTTTCTCCTTTGAAGGGTTCTGGCCTGGCTACCCGACCGAGTATGGCCCGTCGCAGTATGAGTGCGCGTTCGTACATATGAACCCGCGGTCGCAGGCTGGATACGTCCACCTGCGCTCGAATGATCCGCAGGAGCCGCCGGAGATCAACTTCAACTTCTTCGAGCACGGTGGGGATGAAGATCTGACTGAAATGTTGGACGCGGCAAAGACGTTCCGGAAGGCCAGTATGTAACATTTAGATTTGCCCCTTAATCCCCCTTTGGCTTTATATTAAGGCAATTTGAACTCAGCTTCTTTCAAGACATGACTTAAACCCCTCAAGCTTCCTACTAGAAGAAGTACTTGCTAACTGTCATTTCTAAAGTCACGTCAGTCGGCGAGCCAATCGGGCCCTTTAATGAAAAGCATCCATGTCCAGGCATAAACCAGAACTGCACAGACGCAGCGCAAAAGGAATTCTTGAAACTGCAGACATACTCACACCACGCCACAAGTACGTGCGGGATAGGGCCCGCGGACGATAGGCTAGCGGTGTTGGACTCGAAGTTTAGGGTCCATGGGGTAAAGAACCTGCGCGTCGTTGACGCATCTTCTTTTCCGGCCGTTCCCGGTGCATTCCCGGTCTGCCCAGTCTTTAGTAAGTGAAATCTATAAAAAAAAACCCTTTTAACCTATTCCGGGACTCGGGACCGCCGATTAGAGTTATTTATCGAGTCCCCTAGCTCGTGAGTTTTATGAGTAGTAGTAGCAATTGCTGACACTCGATTTTAAGTGCTCGCGGAAAAAGCAACGGATGACATTTTGAGAGACGCCAAAGCTACTTCCCGTTCCGCATAAATCGAAAATAGGAGGTGCATGTTTAGAAGATAAAATATAGAGGAGAGCATGATTGAGATAATATCAGAGAATGGGCTGTATGATTGGAGGGCAAGTAGCTGATAGATGTATGTAATTCAGGCTGCTTATAATGTATTTATTTTCTATAGATCGTCTACCAATAGTATCATCTTGCTTTTACTAGTAAATCTATACTATATACCACCTACTCACATATTCTATCATATCTAAATAGAAATTCATAAAATCTACAGCTAGATATTTCATACTAACTTTTATACGATTCCACAGATATCAGTTGTGTGTACTCTATTCTATCAAAGGCTAGAATAGAGCCCAAGAGATGCAAGTACATGCTATTTACCAGAAGGTATCTTTGCCATATAGAAGTTGTAGAAGAAGATGAAAGGGGAGAATCATAGGGGACGTCCAACTGAGCTGCGGACTGGTTGACAGGCAGCGACATGGGACATATGCTCATCCTTACAGGTGAACCTCTTATTACATTTACAGTAATAATAAGTTTCACGAATCGGCCTACGACAGCATGTAATGTGGCAAAGGTAGCTGTCCTTTCGGGGAGAGACGTATCTACACCGGCATCGGTATACTGGATCGGTTTTCTTCCGATGAACAGTGTCCTGGTGCCGTTTCAAGTGGCTCCCCGTGCTTAAGACTTTATGGCATATTCTACATTGATACAGTGTCGTCGACGTGGGGATTTGAGGCGATCTACTGGGCGACATATTAAGAACCTGGATAGCCGACGTCTAGATTTGAAGTCTATTCGCTGAATCTATGACACCGCCAATAGACTCGCGGCAACCTCGAGTCATCTTATAGCTACTACTAAACAATGTAGAACTGGGGAACAATAAAAATATTGTCGTAAGGAACAAAGAATTAAAGCAGGGATTTTCTTTATGGAGTGAAGGGGTATGTTCTCAATTCCCGAGACATGGTAGATCGCGTCTCACTGGCAATTGAGCAAATACCTAGTATAATCCTAACTAAATTCTCATCTAAGATAGATGTTAGAATTCTAGAGGAAGCGCTTAAAATACTAGAGGCCTCTAGTATGTATTAGGTGGGTTAGGTTAAGGGGTAGTCACAGGTCTCACAACTTAGGGTTAAATTCTTTGCGGAACAATGAGTTGCTTTCACGCATCCTAGGTCCTCATCGTGACAATAACCTATTCTTTTCAGGTACGAATAACCTGTAAGTCGTTATGATTTCAACCACCACCAGGTAAGCTATTTTTCAAGCTTAATTACCACACATAGATTACCCTCTAAAATTCCGGTCATTATCTAAGGTACATGGACTTCCACCAAACACCTATTCAATAGACGCCTCTGGATCACTCGTTTGATGATTGCGATTCGAATTTGAATCGCACAAGTTCGTTAAGCCGAGCACCCCATTTACCCTAAGCAATGCCCGCTCGCCACGATTTAGATTAGTTACTGGGTCACTTTCTTGACTCTCTAGCTCATATCTTGAGTTACTCCTGTAACTTGGTAACATTGACTGACTTGTAACCTCCCTGGTAGATGATGCAATTCCGGAGAACCCGATAATTTCAGATAAGTTCCTGATAAATGCTTTTGCCACTGGCAGGCACGCTGCAGCAAAACCAGCTACCAACTCAAGTAAGGTCCAAATGCCCGTAACCCATGTATAGTAAGTATCATCGGATTGACGTTGGAGTATAACAGCGTAAATTATGCAGACGATTGAAGATACACATGCACTAAGATCATCAGTAAGTAAGCATGATTAAAAATTAAATATTGTGAGACTCACAAAATAGCTATCAAGAAAATAATCGAAATTCCAGCTTTATCTTTCCAGGATCGGTTCAACCGCCAAATTATGACCTGCGGTAGGATCAAAATAATTATATCTGATGCCGTGTTTATGCTGGTTGACACGGTAATAAGAGCCTTTATATCAATACAACTGCCATTCGTAATTAACGGATCCCATGCTTTAGCAATTGGTTGGCAAGAAAAGATTTCTATGAATCTGCCGACGAAATAGTGGATGAAGTTGACCGTGATTATGAATATTGTAGTCCAATACAATGCCTTTGGCTTTTTCATAGGCATGAATATTTGTATGTATTGAATCAATATCGAAAACTTGACGAAAAACATACATATACCGTATAGCACAGATGCAACATGGAAATACTAGACATTTAAATGTTAGTTTTCGTGTGTTTAAAGTATCCCCTAACTAACATAAAGAAATGGCCCTAAATCTCTAAGTTGAACATTCCACTGGTGTACACCAGGTACATGTTTCACAGCGAGAAATGCACACACGACTTCCCCGATGAAGATAGTCTGATAGGGTCAGCAAAGAAATATATAGGTATATAAGAGTACAAGATAGTAATACCCATCCAAGAAAGAGAGAATCTATTCAAATAGTTAGTCACCGATTAACATTCTAAAGGAGATTACTGACAATCCGCAATATCCACCTGGCGAATGATCTTAGTTTTTGTATATAGACGTATAGCTACCAAAGTCGTAGACACTATCAGACAGACAGTGGGTATAACTATTGACGTGATCCTATGACCGGGTGGGTTGTATAACTGTGGGATGATCCCGGGGGGAGGGGCTAGTGCTGGCCCATTGAGCAGAGCTTCAAGTTGTTCGGGACTAAGATCGTTCATAGCTATTCAATAACGTGTTCAAACCGAAGTCTATAATCACGTCGATAGAGAAAGTCGAGATCGACGGGTAGTTTTATTCCGCTACTTTAACCCTTGGCTTCATTATAGTACCTATACATCATCATATACACATTGATACTGGTGCAGGCTGGCCGACCCCAAAACGTTATTTAATTTGCTGGTTGGTGTTACAAGGTATGCAGGCTACGGCTACTGGCTCAGCCCGCTTTGAATATAAAATAGACCTTATCTTCTACATGCTGACTATCGTGTTTTAATTTTTAATTTAGGCAAGTAGAAAATTGCGCATATCATGTTGTAGCCGATGAAGGGGGCTTGTTATTTTCTCCGGCCAGTGTAAGCCAGTCTAATTCAGTAATTAGATCACTACAGCTAGTTTTAAATTTAGGTATTTCAGGTAATAGAAAAAGCTAGAATAACTTATTGATAGGGGAATCATATAAGTCTAATTAGTGTGCTAGTTAGAGTAAAAAAGATGTTTATAATACCATATCTTCTAACCGCTAATAGGCAATATCATGTATACCTATCCATTACACAATAATCCACGAATACTACTTGATGCAAAGTAACATCTATGCACAAGCCTTAAATATCAGCCAATTGAGTTAATGGGGCTTGATGACTGCATATATTTACAGATTTTCGGCAAGTAAAATTCAATAATTCCATTTTATATGCAGCCAGCCCCTCGAAGTAATTGTAGATTGATATCGTTTCTACCATTGCAATTGAAATCAGATCTAACATGACAGCCTCTTTCAATCAGGTAGGTACCTAGGATTTATACATGTACTAACTCCCGAGGTGTCATTGCATTAGGTAGATAATATATATCATTAAATAACTTACCTTGGGGGATCTTACTGCTTTATCGGCTACTATAGTTGGAAATCTATAAAAAGCATATATTGGACCTTGGTCGAAACCGCAATTGACTAATCCGGACTGATACACTATCCGAAGCCACTCGGCTTTGGGCCATTTATTACATGTAGTGTACTATTCGTACTAGCATATGCCGGGGAAAGGAGTTTCGAAGATACCGGATCTAGTGTCATATATCCGTGTTTGGCCTGTTCGTTTCTCTTGCATTTCTGCGGCGTTGAAGATGGCTGCAGCTTTCGTGCAAACGTACGCTAACTGGAAACTACTCTGCTCCTAATCATCGTAACCCTTCGGGATGATAGTAGAGATCTTATGCTAAAACAGATAAATGGTAGTATTGCTGTTTTCTTATATTTGCTTTGGATCGATGGACCACCCGTAATATCCACACTAAGACATTCAATGCATGGCACAAGATAATGGATCTCGGGGACGAACGCCATGGATACCACAGAGCTATGGACGCAGCAGACGTATACTATTTGTATTACTAGTACTGGAGACAGTCCGTGACTTGTGAATAGTAGCACTTCTTATCTTCTCACTAACATCGTTTCTTTTTTCAGCTGATTTATGCGCTCTCGCAAAGGCGCACTTTAATCATGGGAGCTATAGAAGAAATCGTAGACAACTATTCCCAAGGCCAGATGATTGGCATCGGGGTAGCTTTCACGATGTTACCCATTATTGCCGTCGCCCTGCGATTGTGGGCCAAGTTCCTTGGCCAAAAAGGCATCAAATTAGATGATTATTTGGTTATCGCTGCAATGGTATGCTATGTCGAAACTGCACTTCTGTCGAGATATCTGATTATCTGATATAGACTGTTGCTATTGGTTGTGCCTCGGTGCAGCTTGTTGCCGCTGTTGATGGTCAGCTCGGCCAACATCAATCAACTACTCCCGACGGGCAGCCGATTCTTGATGACCCTCGATTTGTTATTTATGAGAAAGTATGTTAAGAGTCAGCTTCATAAATGATGGTTAAGGGCTGGTGCCAACGTTTTGTGTATCATAGTGCAAACTTGCAGTGAACATCCTCTCCACCGTCGGCCTTGGATTGGTAAAATCGTCCATCCTGGTCTTCTACATGAACATCTTCTTTGGCAGGCCGTTCGAAATCGCCTCAAAAGTAGTGCTGTGCTTAGTTATTGGCTGGACGGTCTCATTCTTTTTCGCCAATCTCTTCACTTGCTATCCGATAACCCCGTTCATCGAGTTCTTTTACCACAACGACTGCGTGGACGGACTCGCGCTGTGGTATGCTATGGCTATTTCAGATATTATCATAGATGTGATTATTCTCATCATGCCGATACCGATGGTTCTCAAATTACATTTGCCATGGACTCAGAAGTTGGGAGTGTTGGCTATGTTTTTGTTAGGTACCATGTGCGTTTTCCCTCCTACATCCCTCATTTATATGATAATATGGCACTAATTATGCCGTAGAGTATGTGCATTCAGCCTCACCCGTGCGCTTATCTACGTCCATGTGGGTGAGAGTCTGGAACATCATTATAATGATGAGACTTGTAAGATACCTTGTCTATGCAGCTCTAGATGCTTAATGGCTCTGGCGGCTAATTTCATGCAGACTACACCTCACCGGTCTTCTTTTGGGCTGTCATTGAGTTATCTACCGCGATCCTTAGCGCCTGTCTTCCAACTTACCGGCCAATCTGGCTTCTGCTTCGCGGCCGTCCGATTAGGCCGAGGAACCGGAGCTCATACTATGCACGTAATCATGGTAGCAGCGGTCTAGGCAGTAGTAAGCGGGAGTACCCTTTGGGGCCTGGCATGGACTTCAAGGATGACATTAGGCTCACCGATGGTTTACGCATGATGGACGTAGAAATAAATGCTCAGAGCAACCGTTCAGATGAGCAACTTCCTTCAAATCATGGAATTACCGTCGAGCGTAGTGTTCATATGGGCAGTCAACCCGTGGAGACGATATGAAAATAGTAATGTATAATGATATCAAATAATGTTTTGAAGAGTGTCTTATGGACAGAAAGAAATGAGAAGCTTGGTATTAAGGTTGACGTTCATCGCCGAGACTTGATCTATGTAACTGTAACATGAGGATGTAAGCTGGTGTTAGTCTAATCCTACGGTGCGGTTACGTTACTGCAGTAAATAAATTTAATTATTTTTGAAAATAATTGAAAGGTATGCAGGAAAGAGTTTATAGCTATGGATCACCTTGGCCCTGTTACGTACCATGAGCGGCTGCGCCTCGACGCGCAGCTTAGGGTTTACAAATGTTGGACGCCCGTAGAACCAGAAAGCCAGGAAACAATATGAGCGAAGCGCGAAACTAGCTCGGCCGAGACTTGACCCGAGTCGCAGCCGACGTCGTGCGCGGTTTCCCACTAAGATGAGTGGACGGCATATTGATTATAGATCTCGTTGTAGAACGCGGCGCTATACTGTGGCCGTAACAGTCGGCCGAGACACGCCAGAAGTTCTCCGAGTCTTCCTCCCGATGCCTAAGCGTGGTAGTTCTACTAGAGTATCTTACCCTAGAGGTAGTCAGCCCACCCCGCAGCTAATAGACTTGGGTCACATACCGCTGGAACCTAGCCGTGGCGTTTCTAGATCTTACTACCTCCTGGGTACCTATCTTCAAGCCGTAGTGATATAAACAGGAGCACGGTCGCATCGCCTGTAGTGGGGAGAAGAGAGAATAACACTTCAAATGTCCTATGCTTTTCTAGAGATCAAATACCTATATCAGATCCATTCTAGCGTAGAAAACAAAACATTTATGTATATCAGCCATGTATTCCGTATCTATTATGACATGATCGACGATCGGATCGTAGCCCGAATCCTTCGAAAGTGGGACATTTAAGATCATCCCGGATGAGAAATGGGTATACAGGGGTTTATCTACACAGGGCGGGTAGGATCGTGCCGGCACGAGAGTTTAGGGACCCTTGCAAGTAGTATCACGACGGGAACTGAGTACCTTTAGGTATGTAGTTGGAAGTGTACCTACCTATATGTTCAATTTCTTTTTTATAAAAGCCAATTTTAATTAGAAAATTAAACGACTCTCTGAGGATACAGATTGCAAATGAGTCGTAGTTTACATTGGTATCTCTGGCATTGCTTTAATGACTGGCTCACGCTTATATGGTTTGTGTTCTGGCATATGTTCTCCCCCGAATTGGCACTGTCGGCTTAAGCTTCTATCACACCAACTCTCATACCAACTCTCACACTAAATCCAATTGTGATAGTTATTAAAATACCGATGGCTATTTTCATATAATATGCATTTCAATATTATAGTCGATCGAACATATCGAAATGTGGTCAACGACATACCGAAAGCCATACTGGTGTCATAAATATTGATGCTCTCTTAGAAAACAATTTTATAGGCACACAAACGCGGAATTGACAGCGTACCTACCTATGTTTCTTTGAAACATTGATCTCTAACCCCTAAAAGAGCCGAGTTAACCGGACCATTAGAGGCAGTATTTTCTAATATTGTTATCTGCCCCCTAATATAAGTGAATCTCGACCCTCGCGCCCCTATGTCTATCGCTATTTTCCGGGTAGCATACATCTTTATCAACTACCCCCCGGGGTTTCCACCAGGGGCAGGCAATAAAGACGCAGATCCCTTCCTCGCAGTACTGAACGTGCAGCTTGTGAGTTAAGAAATGCGGCGCCCGCCATGTTAGAGCCCCAGCACCATAAGTCCCCATGGGGAGCTGAATACCAGCTGCATCAGGTACCTAGCTACGAAAACTGGGGTATTTCGCAATTACGCTTGAAGCGGTAGCGTAGCTTATGCGAGGCCTAATGACAAGACCGAGGTGAGCCATGGTCTTCTCTTTCATTGACGTCGGAACCAATTCACTTACTATGTCACTTGAAAGGTTCCCAAATAATGCTGATTCTGAATCATTAGTTTTGTGCCTTGGTAACTTTATAAATATTCCATTAGTTTTCGTTAAGGGAACGAGGTTATGATGGAGGGTAGTAGCATCAGGGATACAACGTCAGGCTATTCCAACAGACCCGATGGCGACTCAGTAATAGGAAACGAAGCAGCGATATATTGTACTACATACTTCGTACATAGTATACCGGAGAGGCCAAGGTGTTTTGCGCATCTGCAACAGTATATGGTTCTAGCCAGATCAAAATGCGATCTTATACACGAGTTCTTGGCCTCCTAGCCAGTATCAGCATCTGCAACGCCAGCATAAGTGCTGTTAGGTCAATCGATGATGACTTGAAGAAGCTACTCTCATCAGGCGCAACTATCTCCTACGATGCCTCCACAGTGCCACGCTGGAGCGAGTTTCATGCTCCGCAGCCTGGTACTATCGTATCGGTCGCAACCGAAGCTGACGTGGAGGTGACTGTTTGTTACGCTCTGTGTTATCTCTCCAAAGAGTGACGCTGATGTCTTACAGGCTCAACACTGCCTCGAGAATAATATCCCTTTCTTCGCTCAGAATGGAGGCCACGGCTGGAGTAGCTCGTGGCACCTAGGCGAAAACGGTCTTATGATCAACCTCCGTGGCCTCAACACCGTTGTCTTTAACGACAATAAAACACAAGCGCGTATTGGAGGAGGAGCGAGCATACAAGAAGTTATCGACGCAGCATATAATAATGATGCCCAAGTTTTTACGGGCAACTGTAACTGCGTTGGGTATCTCGGCGCGGGTCTTGGAGGGGGGTACGGTAACTTGATGGGCCTCTATGGCTTCAGTGTCGATAATTACCTCTCCATAAACGTCGTGTTAGCAAACGGGAGCCTCGTTACGGTGAACCCCGAGAATGAAGACCTTTGGTGGGCTCTCCGCGGTGCGGCCCCCAACTTCGGTGTTGTCACTTCTATCGTAAGTAAGACGACGCCCCTACCGCGGGAACAGAACATAGCTTGGCTAGGTGGATTATACTTCACTGAAGATAAAGTCGAGCAGATCGCGCAGTGTATCGAAGATCTGAAGCTGGAGGCATATATGAACATCTTCCTGTACTTCGTAACGACAGGGGCTCCGGACTATACGCCGACGGTGCTCGTAACGGTCTTCTACTATGGCACGGAGGCGGACGGCCGTGCAGCATTTAAACCAATTTTGGACATTGGGCCCTACAAGGATACGACGGCAGTGCTGCCGCAGAACCAGTGGAATGAGGGGGCAGATGGCTTCTGTGTCAAGGGAGCGCGAAAGCCTACGTACGCCGCCGGCTTTAGCCACATGGTCCCATCGACCTGGCGTCAGGTCTGGACCGCATTCACAGACTTTCTCAAAAATCCTGACACGGGCTCTACTTCCGTCGTCGTTGAGTGCTACTCGCTTGATAAGGCGCGGTCGATCGCTTCGGACTCGGCATCGTTTCCGAATCGCGACGTCCGCTTTAACGGCTTTGTCATCGCTTGGTACCCGGACCCGGCCCTCGATAATACGGCTGAGGCGTTCGGCTCTAGGCTACGTGACTTATGGCGGGCGGATAGTGAGCTACCGACCAACCGCACGTAAGCATTCCTCTTCAATCCTATATAACATCGATGTTCGCCATTGACACTTAGCCCTAGATACGTCAATTTCGCTTACGGAGATGAAACCAACGATATCGTTTACCATGATAGCACAACTAGACTTCGGCAGCTCAAAAAGCAATATGACCCCAACAACATATTTAATCAGTGGTTCGACCTGCAGTAATGGGCTCGTATCTTTGCGTGTCGAGGGCTTCGAGAAAGTATTCATCCGTACTGGGATTCGGTATATTTTGTAAATAACTTAATTAAGTATAGATTGATAATTGTGAATATGTATAAGTGGAGGGAGGGTGTATAACAACCCCATTATATTCGATGTCTTCCCAATAGTTCCGCAAGTCATGATCTTATTTTAGGTAGTCGTTCAGCAGATCGATTTCACATGGTTTTAATCAGAGATTTATCGTTCCGCGATCAAGCACAGGCAGCGATAATATCAGCGGCTCGTTCCACAACGCCGACAGCCCTAATTATGTTCTCAATTTCGCTGTCAGGGGACTCTAGCGTAAGTGGAGCGAACTTTGCGGTGGTAACTCGGACTCGATATAACTGTTAGTCTAGAGCACCACCTCATAGAGCAAGGCCTCCGAAAGTTGAGACGACATTGTGTTCCGGTTCTAGGCCAGCCTCAAGAACCAGGATGGAATTATTCGGCAGGAAACGTCTTAGACGCGAAGCTAGAGTATAGCCGCTGAGACCCCCGCCAATGATTATATTAGGTAGTGTATGGTTTGATTTTGTCATTATTTGTTTAGGAAACCTTACATACTTATTGTATAGAAAATGGGAGAAAAATAGTGACTGCAAGGATTTATTACTTGAAAGGAAGATGTACCTACCAGGTACCTAGGTAACCTAAGAGTGAGGTACCTGACAACGCTCCACCTAGTGCTGATAAGATGGATAACGATAACGATAACTTTAATTTTTGCTAGCCAGGTACATTATTTTTTAAATCTACAATTCGCATCCATCACCTTTCTATCCAACCCCTCGTCGCCCATATTTTATAATTTGCTTCAAGATGGGCAAGAGAAAGGTCGCAGCCCTCGAGAAGATAGAGGCAGACCTTGCCGGTCTTCAATATAAAATTCGCAAGGATCCAGAGTATGCATCCCAATATTTTCCGCTTCGATAATGTCATGTCTAACTCGTTCGTTTATAGAGCATATGAGAAGGAGTTCATTGAGAATTGGCAACAGTTCGATGCTGCGCATGAAAAATTTCTGGCTGCTCCCGTGGGCGCTGACTCTAACTCACTCATAACTTTTCGCGAGCAGATAGATCTAAGTATGTGGATCTCTACCTACCTATTTCGTATCCTTAAGCTCATAGTGTTGATAGTTGCCCATTGCGCCGAGCTATATCCTCAGATAGCTGCGACATTCCCTGACGACCTCAAAGATGTACTTACGAAGCATCACGCTGTATTGGAGCCTACCCTACGAGAGAAGATAGTATCTAGCCTTACACTACTGCGACGGAAAGATGTTATCGACAGCAACTATCTCCTCACTGCCCTATTTCCTATTCTCATCAGTACTCCGTCCAAATCCTTAAGAATGATCCTCTACCAGAAGATATTGAGCGATATACGGAACACAAATACCAAGACAAAAAATCACCGAGTAAATCGGACTATGCAAACCGTCCTCTATAACCTCGTTACTTCAGATCGCTCTTCTCCGAAAGCTTTATGGGCCGTCAAGTTGGTACGGGAATTATGGCGGCGTCAAATCTGGAATGACGCCAAAACCGTGGATATTATGCGCCAAGCTTGCCTGGCAGAGAATGAGAAGGTGATTTCGGGAGGTGTGAGATTTTTCCTTGGGGGAGATAAGGAACGTGAAGAGTATGAGGACGAAAGTAGCGACGAGGAGACGATTGATATTAAAAAGGTTAAACACTCAATCGAGATCAACAAGAAAACAAAGAAATCGAAAAAGGCTCTCGACAGGGCTGTCGAAAAAGTCAAGAGGCAGGACCGCAAGAAGAATTCACCACATCCACTCAACTTTTCAGCACTACATCTACTACAGGATCCTCAAGGCTTCAGTGAGAATTTATTCGAGAAGCACCTCCAGAATTCTAAGTCTAGGCTTTCTCTCGAGAGTAAGCTTCTTGTCTTGCAGCTCGTCACCCGTCTAGTTGGACTGCACAAGTTGACTGTTATCTCTCTTTACTCCTGGTTCATCAAGTATCTATCTCCTAGACAGCAGTCAGCATCGTCTTTCCTAGCGTCGCTCGCGCAAGGAACTCACAATCTAGTGCCCCCAGATGCAATTGAGCCGTTGATACAAAAGATCGCAAACGAATTTGTATCTGAAGCATCAGCATCGGAAGTCTGCTCTGCAGGTCTCAACGCAATCCGCGAGATATGTGCTCGACAGCCGCTAGCAATGAATGAAACATTGTTACAGGACTTAGTCGAATACAGGAAGAGCAAGGACAAGGGAGTCATGATGGCTGCGAAGGGTCTGCTTTCATTGTACCGCGAAAAGGGCGCGGATATGCTGAGGAAGAAAGATCGTGGCAAGGATGCAACCATGGGTCTCAGGAGCGGGGGGTTGAAGCAGCCGAAGTTCGGTGAAGAGCAAGTTGGAGAAATTGAAGGCCTCGAACTTCTAGCGAAGTGGAAAGAAGAGCAGAAGAAACAGAAACGAGCCGAAGGAGCTGAAAAGGGCGAAGACGAAGAGAACGGTTGGGATTCGGACGATTGGGAAGTTGCATCGACAGATAGCAGCGACTCTGGGGAATGGATTAGAGTAAGCGATTCAGAAGATGAAGCAGAACCCGAACCAGATGCCAAGAGGCAAAAGGTCAATCCAGATGACCCCGAAGAGGATGATAAAGAGAACGCAGAGAGCGAGGCTATTGATTTTATAAAATTAGCTACGACTCAGATTCTTACACCCGCCGACTTGGCTAAACTTCGCGAATTACGATTGCAAGCCAATATCGATAAAGCCATGGGCAGTAGCAAGCGCAAGAAGGAGCTGGAAGGCCGACATGTCGACGAAGGATTAACGGCAGAGCAGATTGAAGCGCCTTCAAGGCTACGCAAGAGTACCAAGGAAGAACGAATAGCATTAGCGAAAGAAGGCAAGCCAGATCGTGAGGAGCACAAGTCTACACAAGCTATACGAAAATCTAAGAAGGAAGCGGAGGGTAAATCTTCAACTAATAAGGAGAAGGCACGCAAGAAGAACTTCATGATGACGCTAGGAAAGGCGAAATCAAAGCAGAAACGAAGTCTTGTTACCACGAGGAATATCTTAAAGAATCATATCGATAGAAGCAAATCCGGTGGCAGGAGAAGGAATGGTGTATCACGATAATCAGTCAAATAGATTAATACTTGGGCTAAGCGAGACTCGTTCACTTTTCCTGTTGTTGATGGAAGTAATTCATTCAATTAATTTTCTGAGCATAAAATATTCAGTAGAGGGTATACCTTTAATTACCTTGCTTATGTCGAATGACAGGAGATGGCGCAATCCGGCCCTCATGCAAATTACACCGCTTTTAGTCTTGGATATCACAAATGCACATCTATAAGAGGGACCTATTTAACACCACGCCATGTCATATATAATATTTGACCTATATGCTTGTGACAAACCATTTGCATAAGAGTTAGAGTTGGCGGGTTTGGCACCCCCCCTAAACGAGATACTTGGTACAAACTGCTACCCCTTTTCACATCGTTATGTCTAGGTAGGTAGGTAGGTAGGTACTAATGTAGACCTTATATTCGAAGCTATTTTTTCGAGATTCATCTTGTAATGTTCCCCAGTAATACTTCATGAACACAGAATAGCGATAAAAGAAGAAAGCGACTGTTCCCATAATTTGGGTCTGATTTTCATGGTTTCTTTTTCATTAGGAGGCATGTACCAGGATAATCATCATAAGAATCATCTATAAGACATCGGCTAATATATCCGCGAAGAGTTCTATATATACTGATTTAACCTACCCAGTTTTCCTTATGCCAATCACCCTTTTAACATAACGCTATCAAATCCAAAAACGCAAGGCACCCACACACCGATTACTTCTAGCAGATCGAGTGTGTCTTGCCGTGCTTGCCCTGGATCGAATGTTTTTCTTTCTATTACCTCAGGGGTTAATATAGAATCGCGAGAAGATAAAGTGTTATAGGAATGAAAAAGGGAGGAAAGGAGGGAAAAAATGCTTACGCGGAATCGAGGATGGTTGTGTTTGGCTTGCCCGCTGTTCATGGAGTGCTTGCGGATGAATTCTTCTTGCTTGGCGATGGACTCCTTATCTAGCTGTTCAAGTAGTTGCTGGCAGTATCTAATATCTGAGATAAGGGAGTCGCATCGGTTCTTGGTGAAGTCCTCGCGGACGACCACCCGAAGCATCTTAAGGTCGTCGGTGTGTGGCGCCATGGTATACGCTGGCACTACCCAGCCCCTGGCGCGTAACCTATGCGCCAGCGCGAACTCATCGTAGTTACGCTCTGTTGTAGTATCCGGCAACCGGAAGGCAACTAGCGGCAGACCTTCGCCTGACTTCTTGCTCATAATTACGAAGCCTAGCGCTGCAAGGGATTCGGATAGATAATCGGCCGTGCGTGTTAGGTTCGACATGATGGCCCGGTATCCCTTCTTTCCTAGCCGGATGAGCTGGTAGTACTGCCCGATGACCTGGCTAGCACCCTTGGAGAAGTTAAGCGTGAACGACGATTGGTCGGCGCCAAGGTAGTTTATGTTAAAGACGAGTTCCTGGGGCAAGTACTTCGCATCCCGCCACACGACCCAGCCAACACCGGGGTAAACTAAACCATACTTGTGGCCTGAGACATTTATAGAGACGACCTTTTCAAGCCTAAAGTCCCATTCTAAATCCGGAACCACGAAAGGGGCAACGAACCCACCGCTGGCGGCATCGACGTGAATGGGGATATCGAGGTCCCTTTCTACCAGTAGGTCGTTGACGCTCTTAACGTCCTCGTACTCACCGGTATAGGTGGTACCCAAGATAGTACAGATGCCGATGGTGTTCTCGTCGACGAGGTCGACTGTCTCCTTAGGGTCAATAACGTAACGGTCTGGCGTGCAGTAGACCAGCTTCTCTTCGACCTCGAAGTAACGCGTCGCCTTCTCCCAGCACACTTGTACGGCTGAAGACATGACAAGGTTGGGCCTGTCGGTAGATTTGCCCTCGGCTATGCGCTTGTTCTTCCATCGCTTCTTCATAGCTAGAACAGCTAGCATGATAGCCTCGGACGAACCTACGCATGAGGTACCAACAGCACCACCGCCCTCTTCATGTTCCGTAGGCGCATTGAAGAGCCGGCCGATCATGGACACACATCTGTTTTGGATATCGGCCGACTGTGGATATTCCTCGTAATCGATGAAGTTCTTAGAAAAGCTCTCGGCCATGAGCTTTTCAGCCTCTTCCTCCTAGTCCATAGGGTCAGCAGATTTCCATGCGATGTAACGTCGCCATAAGTGCCGAGAGCCAGGTTGGGCTTCAACAGGGCACGTACCATGTAAGTAGTAACGAATGAGGCAAGACTATTGGAGAAAACGAATTGTCAGCTCGTCTGCCCACGTTCGCCTCGTTTTCCAGAAAATTCCGAGGCGCCACATCAGATCACGATCAGGAGATATATATATATATATACGCCTCAACTTACTTCAGCATTGGGTTGCCGTCTAAGCTCAGCTCGTCTTTGATCATGCGGTAGGCAATCTCCTTGGGCATCTCACCCTCAGGCATCTCATGCTTAGGGAGGTCTTCCGCGGCAAACCTAGAGCCATAGACGCTTGTTGTGTAGCTATCATCGTCGTTACTTAGCTGCAGGTTGATCTTCTTGACGGCCTCCGGCAGGTTAGATATTTCCCCGTTGGCGGGTATCTTAGCAAGATGTACCATTTTGCGTAAGGACGAGTTTCGAAACGAAATGATAAAGTGCTGGGTCTTGTGTTAGGCGAGTAGAGGAGAAGAGACTCAGAACGAAGTTAAAAGAACGAGGAAGCGGTAAGCCGGTCGTATATCTTTATATACCTCCTTGATATACAGGCGCGGGAGCTCTCCAATTGCACGACCCCACGTTCCAGCGCAGCGTTTCTCTACAGGTTACATAGGTAGTACCAGCTGCTGCAGTCTACGCGGCAGGGAAGCAAGGAAGAGATGAAATAGGATGTATCATGCGGGGTAGCCTATAGCAAGGCATTTCATAACAGCGCAGGTCAGGTTAGTTGAGATTAGGTACTGACTGTAGGTAGGTAGCCAACACATATGTATATACGATACGTAGTACGTCGTAAAGCTAGTGGAGTTCTACCCTTGACTTAAACATAAGTCTACTCTTTAACAGCCATAAATGACGTGCCTGTACAGTAGTTACCTATCTAGGTAGTTAATGAGGCGTAGCGGTGAATACGATCGATCCAATGGGTCTTTCGGCGTCATCCATTTTGTATCTTTACGCTACCTAACGTAATAAGCAGGCGGTGAACATGAGCAGATTGATGGTGGATGAGTAACAGAAGCGTAAGATTTAAGATTAAACAAGTTTTCTAACAGGTCGTAACTTATATGCTTACAATATCAGTATAATTTTGTGCTATCATTTCAGGGGAATACTTAGGAAACTAAATGAACAAACAAAGAGGAAATAGGATGATGATGGGATCTTCGGGTTCCGTTATGTACCTTAGCGTCTTGCTATGGGTTGACATAACTGTATATATTCGGCTCAATTATCCTAATCTGTACATATACTGTTTATTACAATATACCGCTCAGATTTATTACCTATCCATATTTTTACCATTCATTAGTTGAATAGTTTTGGTACGGCTCCCCCGCCGCACGTGCCAATATTTTGAAACGTATATGGGATAGAGCCATATTTTTACCGTTCAATTGAATAAGCGGTATAAATATCGTTCAATCAGAATGAGCCGTTCAATTTTTTGAACCGTTCAGGGATTTGAACCATTCAGGGATTTGAACTATCCAATCAAATAAGCCGTATACGTACAGCTCAATATATACACATACATGCCCAGGATATAATAGATTCAATTAATTGAATAGACTCAATCAAATAGATTTAATTGATTTAGTATGTGGCCTTGTATGTGGCCTTGTATGTGGCCTTATATGTGGTATGTGGTATGTGGTGTGTGCGCACCTGCCCTGTTAAATACATATATACCATACTAAGAATACCATGTACGTGCGCGCGTAACGTGACTACTGATATTGATTGGTCTATTTGAATGATGTCCGTAACTTGACCAATTGAAAAATTAGATCCTGTGACTTTGTGACTGTAATATTTACCTACCTAAGTAAAAAAAATAAATATGTGACATGTAAATAATAAAAAGTACAGCCTCATATAATTAGTATGGCAGCACCATACAATTAGTATGAGGCTGTACCTCCCTTTTGTTACATATGCCTATACACCATATGAACCGCTCGAAATTTTGAACCGTTCAGATTTTGAGCGGTTCACCTATAATGAGCCGTACTTATACCGTATAAACACGGCTCATTATATAAGCGGCTCATTTTGGTTTAGCGTTCCTTTTTTAAAACGTTTATAATTTTTTGAACTACTCAATTAGGTTTAACGGTTCGAAATTCCAACTGCAACTTTTCCATATAAGTATTAGTGCGGTTCAATTTTTTGAATAGTATATATACAGTATATATACCGTTTGGTAGACCATCCTATAGACGCTAAGGTATGTAATAAGGTACGTACATAGTATGTACATTAGCTGATTAGTTTAAAACAAGCCCCAACTTCAGGTCGCCAAGGGTTGGCAAAAAAGCTTGGTAAAAATTAGACAGGTCAACTCGTTTCGGTTAGTAAGGACCAAACAGGGATCAACAGGGATCAACAGGGATCAACAGGTACGTAGAATCCGCTCGTAATAATATTCTCCTAACTCTTACATGCATCATATACATAGTTACATCATATACATACATAATAGGCCTCCAACTCCAAGTGATTTACAACTTGGTTCAGACAACGACATAACCAATTCGTCTTCCATAGATTACCCAACACGATATAATGTCCTGTTAAAAAATGTAGTGCTAGAGTGTACAGCAAACAATCTTCTCTTATGCAGACCCGGTGTACCCAATGAGTAACACCGAGATCTCCAGATCTTGGGATCGACACGAGCCATAGGTATCCATGCTGTTCAAACCCGCCACGATACAGGTCTTTTTCGTACCCAGGTGATGATCCTAACTGCGATACAAGATACTAAAAAGCTTGAATTATCAGCTGTTATATTTGGTAGTGTCCTACCCAGACTTGACAGTCCGCGTCATCCAGAGTCCTTGGAGGTTTCCTACTCGAGACATTCTTCAGCTTTCCACAACATTTCCAACGCATCATCTTACCCAAATAACATATTTGGAATTATTTAGTACTGGTGATTCCAATTACCTAATATCAATTAACATTGTCGCCAGACAGACTCCTTGGGCAGAATGTGTCTACGTTACCCGAACTCGGCTTACGATGCGTGGCGATTCGATCCCGGTATGTGTTCCATTCTCTTTGACTCGTACATATGGCCGTGCCTCCCTGATTTAGGCTTCGTTTAAAAACCACATGCAAGGCCAGCAAACCAAAGTGAAACTCTAGTTGTTAAGGCTTCAGCCCCCTAAGTTAACGTCTAGGTACTCCTTTATATAATCGAGAGGCCAAGCATGCTAGGTATCATTATCATCCTGGTAACTAATAACATTTGAGATGAATTGAATTAGTAGCTACAATCTTAATAGCATTATCTCGCATACCAGTCACTATAAAGATCGAACATAAAACATAAGAGTAGAAGGTAGACATATATACGTAGGTACATATCTAAAATAGCAAACACCCTTAACCTTTTACGATTAACTTCACCATCTGAATAGTTAAACCTTATCTTTCCCTCATAAGCCACCATGAGGTAACTTAGAGAGGCTCTTGCATCTTATATATTCCGCTACTTTCCTTAGGTACTATTAAGACTATCTCTCATTTCCTCTTACCTCCCCAAAGTTACTCTTCTTCGTCTCTGTGACTGTATCACAATCGTCATATATTATTCTCCTACCATCTTATAACTTATCAGCTAACTATACCCATCCTCCCTCTTACTTATAGATAACAGTTTATTATACACCCCCGACTCAAGCGGAATGCATGGGGCGCATATTAATTTATATACCACTAGTCCTCGTCGCCCATAGCAAACCGTTCCTCTTAGTAGCATGAACTACAATCGCTACTATCTTCACTTTCAAAATCCAAACCGTATCGAGAGCTCTACCCTTTCTAGTTCAGAATGAAGTCTTCACAATTAACCTCAAATGGCAACTGCCAATCTCACTCTCCCAACCGCAAATCGACAAGCGCCGAGGGGAAACATGGGAACACCCAAAGAGCATCGTTAGCGACGACTGCACAGCTTGACTATGATGGCAGAATGTTCTATGATGCATTATTAACACCGCGAATAACGTTTCTAAAGAGCGATGAATCACGAAAAGGGGGATTGGCAAATGGTGTTAGCCATGGTTCTCATACTAACGGCCAGCAACCCCAAATGCCCACGGGATTAAATGAATCACAGTTTGATATGAAAAAAGAAAGGCAGGGTCAAAAGATGATGGCGTCGAATATAAATGAATATACCGAATCTAATTTGGACTCAAGTCTGAACGAGCGAAATGCAGCAAGGAGCTCTAGCTCAAACAGCTTGACAGATATACAAGTAGCCTCTCTCAAAGAATCACCCGAGTTGCGAACAACTCAGCTTAGCGAGACTAATGATATGCCGGAATTCACATCATTGAAACAGCCTAGCTGCGAGGCGATGGCTGCCAACAAGCCTGGGGAGCTTGGGGAGCGAAATGGCAATGAAGAGGTAGACGAACCCTCAAATAAGAGTTGCTTAAGTACATCGGATCAAGATACGCCACAAAATGGATCTCTCGACAATGGCTGCTCGTTACCAAATATACAAGTGGCAAATCGCAATGACGAAAGTTTAAGTATCCCAACCGAAGTAGCAGACAACTTGGAAGCGATGAAAGTATCAGAAGAAAAGAAAGAAGATTTGCTTCTTGATGGTACCAAAACTAATATTCAGAGCTTGCCGGGAGCTATGGATATGATATCACCTTCAAGTACAGAAGGTACGAAGACGACCACAAAGACAATTTCCGAACAACATCCCAAAGCTACACAAGACAGCGCACCAAGGGGGCCAAATAAAGATGAGACACAACCAACTAGCTCTACACGAGAGAACGTCGAATCCGTTGTCTCAAAATATATGTCTAGCACTATGAATGGTTTATCCCAAGCGAATAGCCTCTACGAGCTAACATCAACGCGTGAGACTAGTCCATTCAGTAACAGTACTCAGGACCATTCAGGAGCCGATCGGTCCAAGAAGGGCATGCTGCGAGGGCCAGAACAAGATGTAAAGATAGATGAGTCCGTCGGGGGGGAGGGTGCACCTCTGAACAAACGTAGTAAGAAAAACAAAAATCTAAAGGACAAGACCAGGGAAGAGGAAGAAGCGATTGCAGCTCAAGAGAGTAAAAAGAAAGAGAGGAACTCCAAGAAAAAAGAAAAAGAAAAGAAAAGGGCTAGGGAACAATGGGAGAATAAGAAAAAGATGGAACAAGCTAAGCAAGAGCTTAAGGAAGCGAGGAGGAAAGAGCAAGAGAATTTAGAGCGGAAGAAGTTAGAGGAGACGAAAAAGGTGCAAATCCGCGAACCAAAGTAGAGCGAGGTGGACGCGGAAGTTGAACAACCAGGTACTGTTCAGAAACTGGAAGACGAGGTACACATGGCCGAGCAACCGGGGGAAAATAAGACTCAAGAGAGCGAAGATGTTCAGGAACATGATTACCATGTGACCCAAAGAGAACAAGAGAAGGTTAGCTGTGATGGGGCTGGCCATAGTGAGATTTACGTTCGAAGGAAAGATGAGAAATCCGAAGGCATTAGGCAATGGCGACAAAATGCCAGAGATGAGCAAGAGATTGAGCAAGAGATTGAGCCTTTAGAGAGCTACCAAAATGACAACGAAACAAACTCATCTCCAGTCCAAAATGTCGACCAAGGGACCAAACCACCGGACGAGGAAGACGAGGCTAGACCTGCCTCAACTACCTACGTTACGGACGAGAGCAAGCCAGGAGATCCAGAAGATGTAGTAGAGGCTATTATACTAGAAATTCCAAAATCTACAAAGGATGTGGACGATGCTAAGAACTCATCCCGCGACGCACACAACCAACTAGAGTATCAGCAAATATCCGACTCTCAATCCCTGTCATCACCGATACACTTTGAACTTAGAAAGCAGTCACCGTCTCCTGGATCTCTACGGAAACTTGATAAGCGACCTGAATCAACTCCACCTCTTACCGTGCTTCAGTACAATGACCAACCTCAGCAGCAAATACTTACAATAAGCTCTTCCCAAATCAAGCCTTCTCAGCCATCGCTTATCTCCCAACAGCCAACCCAGTATCAAACATCTGAAACACCTCTAGGATCTCACTTTCAAATATCTCGACCACCGGGAACGTCTCAAACGTCTACAGCTTTACTGAGCCTCCTTAGAGGATCAATTTCCAAAGGAGAAGTGGAGCAAGCGTCGTTGACAACCACAACTGATCGACCGTTCGAGGCTGATACTCAGTGGCAATCTTTCAAAGTACAGTATCATCAACCTTCACAGCCCCAGCACTATAATGGACCCATGCAGATGACTGGAAATGGCGGGAACGCCTAGTTTGGCCCGCCAGTTGATTCATTTGCGCCCACACCTCCATTGTTATCAAATCCGCTGGGTTATAATATAGATAGAACGGACATATATCATAGACAATATGTCCCGTTAGAATCATTATCGAGAGAAGCGAGACAATTGAGCTCACAGCTGCTACAAAGTCCTTACTACAACCAGCAGAACATGACTAACGGGTATAACCAGCGCTACCCAGCCGGGCAGACACGGCAGCCGTTAGCACGATCTTCGTATTACCCCACATCGGGAGATAAGGATCAAGAAACGTCTCAATCCCCGGGTTCAACAAGTTGCCAACTTTGGAGTAGTGAAGCGGAACCATCTACCAGTACTAGATCGGATCTGGAATCGATGCTAAGATATCGTCACAAAATCACGAGAGGACAGGGACAAGCGAACGGACGGGCTGATAGGCAACCGAATGAAAGGCCGAATGGGAGGCCAAATGGGAGGCCAAATGGAGAGGGGAACGGAGAAGCGTGCAATAGGCAGGCCAGTGGGCACGAGAGTCGGCACAATAACGGGCAAGTGAATGGATGGACACAGGCACACCAGTCTGGGCACAGTAGCCTACAGAGGGATTATGCTGACCAAGATTCCTCGATTGATAACCAAGGAAGTAGAGACATGGCTAGATGTGGATGTACTCGCAGATGTACTGCCAGATGCCCTCGCGGTCGAACCAGCCTTCCAACCTCTCGAAATACAACCCGTGAGTATGATAGGCGGGGCAGGCAGGGCAGACAAGACAGGCAAGATGAATCTAATACTGAGTTAACACAACCTGAGATTGAAGACATGGCTTGGGAGTTGAGTGTTATCAGTCGACGAGTGCAAAGAATCGGAACTCAGTTGCCTCGGTTGCGACCTAGTCCGACAAGAGGGACTTATAATTCGGGGTATGAGTAAGTTATGAGGGTTGCTAGAAAGTTGAATTATAGCGGTTGTTAGTATTACTAAGGTTCTACAAGTATATCAGCGTAGGAATGATAAAAACCTTTTTTCAAGACACAAGATATTTGGGAACAAGTGCATTAGTAGTGTTTGTTGAAAGGAAAAGGGGGAATACTTCCCCCCTTTTTTTTAGTTAGTTATACTTCTAAAGGAGGATTGAGTACCTAAGTACCTAAAATTGTCACAGACGGAGCAGTCCCGGCTAATCATCGGGATTAAGGGAAGAGAAACGCGATGCAAGTACCTAATAATAAGGAAATATGGAGACGAGTAAATGGAATGACAGAAGGTACCTTAGTAACCAACTGTACCAACACCAACATGTTAGGTAACAAAAGCAAAGACGACAAGATGGAATTCACAATAATACGTACCTCCGAACGCACCTACCTACATGCAATATAATAATATTAAATGCCAGACATACAAACATACCACCTGCATTGTCTCCATACATAAGTCTCCATATCACCTGCCTAGATACTTTAGGTAGATATACATATATCCTTACCTGGTGACATTCCCGACTTGGACCAATGTTGCATAAATCATAACCCATACTTGAACTCATAACCCATAAAAACATATTTCGTATCATCACGGATACATCATCACCTTCGCTTTTTTTTTGAAATTTGAATTTCTACCTAACCTTACCAACTTACGACTCCATGTCTGAGCGTTAACAAGAAACATAAAATAAGGTGCAGTGCATAAGCTAAGAAAGACAAGGTCGACAGACAAATCATCGAGCTCGACCATGATTCCTAGGAAGTCAACATGGATCCCGAGTCAAATGCGCCCCTGGAGCGATCGACGTCACAACTCTCTGCAGCCTCAACCTCGGCAAAGATGTCCCGAAGCCACTCGACACGCGCAAAGTCGAAGCCAAGGAAGTTGATCTCACAACCTTCTAGTTCAGCATCATCCATCGCTGCCTCTGACAAGTCTCTTACCTCCTTCCCCTCATTTTCTCCTCAATCCCCGCGCGACGAACCATCATTCACCACCTTCGAGTCGAATACTTCTACCGTAAATGTCGACAGGAAGCCCCTCGTGGCTCCTATTAGGACATCCATGGTTGAAAGTTTGACTTCAGCCGAAGCCCAGAAGACGGCGCGCGATGCGCTATTCGATGATGCTCCTATAACAGCATATAAGATACCCGGTGCTCTTCATCATGCTAGTGATGATCATATACAATATCTTATCGCGAAACACGGGGCTATTAACCTTGTGCGCCAGGTTGCCGAAGACCTTGCACATCGCGATATGGAAATTTCCCGACTAAGAAGGAGAGCTGATGAAAGAGAAAGAGCACTTAGGAAAATAATACGTGGATGTGGATTATCAAGCTTAGATCTCGAGACAAAGCTCCGGTCGGTAGAGACAGAGCTTCAGGCCCAGGAAAAGATTAAATATGCTACAAATGGAGATGTTTCTGGCATGATGAACGATGCGATACACGATTCAATGTCCTACAAAGCTCTAGGGATAACGGATATAGACGACAGTACAGTTAGAGCCAACGCTTTATCTGCTCCGAGGGACAGCAACACGGTTAGTAAAGGCACGATGAAAGCATGGAAGGAATATCTATGGGGCGGCGGAAGTAGAAAGGCTAGCAGAGCAGCTAGTATTAACGAAGAGGGCGTAAAGACCGCCATTCGTGCATCAACACCAGGAGACCGCCGCCCTCCTATCCAGGAAGACCTCTTCACCCCGCCGGATGTCGAGTCTGCGCAAAGCTCAAGCCGTGCTTCAAGCATCTACTCTGCGTATACGAATAGAAAGCCTTCATCATCTTTTGCTAGCATGGCTTTACAATTAGTGGTTGGGAAAGGCTCTTCGATCCGCGATTCTGAATCTACTAGAGGAAGATCAAATTCGGCGGGCCAGGGCGGCTCTATGAGATCATCATCAAACGCTAGTACCAGGACAGGTGCCTCTAACAGAGCTGCGTCTACGCAAGGGGGCCCCAAAGCACTCATGTCGATGCGACGAGCAACTCCTAAACCTGGAAATCTGCAGTTTTCCAGGCCACGTGAAAGGTGGGAAAGCATAGGCGCAAACCCGGAAAGTCCGTCTGCAACGAGGTCAGATAACAATGGTCCGGTTGAGATGGATACTATATTTTCCCCTGAAGGCCAACCGCCGGCTTTATCGCAACTCTATAATAACTACAATAGCGGCGAGTACTTGATTGATCGCTTCGGCTTTATTTATGATCAACGTCGAAAGAAAAGACAGCGCGAAGCCGCCAAGGTCGCTTCACGCATGAAGAATGGACATGAGATGCTTTCTAGCGGAAGGTCTAACCTCTCACCTAACCTCCTTGATGATGACGCAAGTTCTAGCGGAGATGCTAAGAGTGATGATCGTCCAGAGAGTCCGACTTCTATTGAGGGCCTTATTGACCAAAGCAAGGCGAAACGATGGCAGGATTATCTTAAGATTGCTACCTTCCCTACGGAACTTTTATCGCATACTCCATCTATAACAGCTCCGAACATAGAAGTGCTTGAAGGAAGTGGATCCAAATCTCCAGGACTAATCAACACAGATGACCGCGGATTTGTCCCAACCGCGACCACCACCACTGCGGCTCTTGATAGGGAAACAAGCCCAGCAAAATCAGACGAAGAATCAGCTACGGCTACGCTAGTTCATGAGGATGTTGAGCCAGTGAAACTTCTACTAAAGCAGTTGAGTGACGTTCACGATACCTTGCAGAGAGAAAAGTCTGTGCGTTGGAATGAATTTTTAAGAAAAGTACGCGCTGAGCGCCGACGTGAGGGCGAGGCTGCGGCTGCTACTGCGGCTGCCGCAGCTGAAGCTCGTTTTCAGACAGCTCCCGTCATGATTCCAGAAGCTAAGCTTACTGATGGTGAGACTATTGGTATCGCGGATCTTGGGGTAAAGGGAAAAGTTGGGCGCGCTAAATGGAATGAGTTCAGGAACCTGGTGCTTGGCGGTATCCCCGTGGCAAACCGCCCCAAGATCTGGGCAGAATGCTCTGGTGCCATCTCTAAACGAACCCCTGGCTACTACAGGGATCTTATCTCGCGACCTAGTTCGCTTGATGATGATGTTGTCATCTCGCAAATCGAAATGGACATCAACCGTACGCTTACCGACAACATATTCTTCCGTAAGGGGCCCGGTGTCACCAAGCTCAACGAAGTTCTCCGGGCATATGCTAGGCACAACCCCGAAGTAGGATATTGCCAAGGCATGAACCTAATCGCTGCGAACTTGTTGTTAATCATGCCATCTACCGAAGATGCCTTCTGGGTATTCGTATCGATTATTGAACGTATCTTACCCCAGGGATATTATGACCATAGCTTAATGGCTTCGCGTGCGGACCAGCACGTACTACGCCAGTATGTAAGCCAAGTTCTGCCAAAGCTGTCTCAGCACCTCGATGCGCTAAGCATCGAGCTGGAGGCTTTGACGTTCCAATGGTTCCTAAGTGTCTTCACGGACTGCCTATCAGCCGAAGCGCTGTTCCGCGTATGGGATGTAGTACTATGTATCAACGATGGTAGCACGTTTCTGTTCCAAGTCGCGTTGGCATTACTAAAACTCAATGAGCGCCAGTTACTACAGTGTGATGCGCCTGCTGCAGTCTACACGTATATCAACCACCAGATGACCAACCACGCCATCAGCATTGACGGCCTAATCCAGGCCTCTGAGGGCTTGCGCCGCGTCGTTCGCCGCGAGGATGTCGAGGAACGTCGGAATAAGGCTATCGAGGCCGATAAGCAGATGGTACGGGAACGTGAGGAGCGTAACGCGAAACGTCGTGCTGAGCAGAATTCACAAAAGAGCACGTCAGTACCTACGCTCATGGCCGAGTCTAGTGCCTCTGCAGTCCCGAGTCTCACCTTGCAGGCTGAGAGCGAGAGCAGCAGTGTGACTGGGTTAAATATCTTGGACGCAGTCGGGGAAGAGGCGGAAGAAGAAGGCACCGGGCCGGCGCGGACACCGGCAGAGGAGGAAACTTCATTCGGGCTAGGATAAAGAGCACCGGGGATTGTAATACTGGAATATGATTGAGAAAGTACAAGTACAAGCCCGTAAAAGAATAAGGCCAAAGAAGTGTCTTTTTCGGTGCAGAATAAGTGGTAGGTAACTGGTTGGCTGGTGGACATACGAGCATTATTACCCTAAACGGTTGGCGGCTTCTTGCGTTTGCTTCTTTTTTTTCTTCTTATTTCTTTTGTTGTTCTCCCCGTTTTAGAGATTGGACCATGCTTGCATGCCATGATACCCCCTCTCGGTCGCACAAAGTTTTATTTTTTGTTTCTTCCCTTTTCCTGTTATGAGCAGTTTAGTCAGGAGGATGGGACAGCCGGGCGATATCACTCAGCCGGATGTGGAAAGGGGGATGAATGAGAGGCCTGGCTACACGAAGGTAGGCAGATACCTAGTGGACGGGATATGATACCTTACATACTATCCCTGCTGTCATGCGACAAGGTTATATGAAGCGGAAGAAGGCGATGATGCGCGTGTAGGTGAAGAGGACTATATCCGAGTGCGATTGAATGCCGGAGCTATCGGTACCGAACCGGAATTCAAGGACAATTCATACTTACCGGTAGTCATTTTTCTCTCGGGGTGCTCGCGTTTTCCTTGATTCCGTGAGACCGTGTACATGTAAGACGTAAAAATTAATTTATATCTAATAACTAAAGAGTCCTGCCCCTGATGCCACCAAAATCAGAGGTGCCTATCAGAAGAAAATGATTCGGAGAAAAAAAAAAGTCTATGAATATCCGAGGAACAAATGGAATATTTGCAAAAGTAAACTCCGAATCGGGGAATCGAACCCCGGGCTTGACGGTACTTCAGGGTCAGAAACCTTGAGAGCGTCAAATGTTAGCCACTACACCAATTCGGATTTATTGGATGACAGTTTTGTCTGCTAATTTACCCTATGTATATACTATGCATAGGTGCATGCTTAGCGCCTCTTGTATATGCTACGTAAAAGTTGGACGCATTACTAAACACATGTAACGCAGTTTTTGTATGCCTATGAATGACGGATGTTTTTACCTTCAATTTATTTGAGGGAAAAAATATGTTCTTTTCAACATTATCTAATTACAGAAATTGCATTGGTGTAAATCATAGCCCTTCGTAGTGTTAAGCTAAAAAGTCATCAACTTCTTCACATAAGATATAAGTACGAAGCAGAAATAAGGGTGAATTCTCATGCATCATTATGTCTCTTCAGCTAGAATGCAACTCGATTCTCTTAGTCTTTTTTTTTTCTTTTTTACAAAGTGCTGGCGCTCCGCAAATAGTCGTGGCAATAGCAAGCGATGCTCATATCTACACGTTAAGAATTCATTAAGAACTTCGCGGCCTCCTTCTCCCACCGCTCCTTATGTCAATCCTAGGCTCTGCTCCGTTCAACTCATCAATCACATCTCAACCAGACTACTTACTATCTATCCTAGGCATAGTGCTAAGAGGAATAGGTCTGGAGCAATCCTATGCTTACTGGGCACAAACGCCGCGCCCCCCGATTATTCTGAAGTTTTGTAAACTTGTTTTATACACGAGTCTTCCTAATCAGACTCAGATGTAACCCCTTGCCATGCATGCATTAACCAGCTTCTCCAATGTTGTAGATGCGTCTTGTGTAATAGTCAAGAGCATCGCGATGAATTCGTCCGTCTAGAGTGAGATGTTCGTTCTGCCGAAGAGTAGCTCCACCAACTCCTTAACCGAGTGGCATGTTATTACCAAAATTTCCCCTTGCATATTCCCTGTGAACACCTTTAAGTAGTACGCGTTACCGCGCAAAAACTTTGACGACTCCATCTCCCCCGCCACTTACAACCCATCGACCGTCTTGGCTCCATACGACGGCGCATACGCCCTCTCCTCTCATAATTCGGTGGCTGGTAATCTCTTGGGTACAGGTTCGTTTTTCTAGAGACCAGAATCGAAGGCTTGCATCGTGGCCAGCAGATACGAGCTCGCGGCCATCAGGGCTGAGAGATAGGGACGATATTGACGCCGGGTGGGCGAGCATGTTATATGTACATTGACCTTCAAAGAATTAGCGATATGCATACTTATAGTATCTCCTCTAGAAACTCACCGCTATTGGCATCAAAGAACCTTATAAAGCGGTCTTCATGCCCTGATATAATAACGCCCTCGACTCCGCTACCAGCTGTGCCTGTACCACCAGTTGGACCACTGGCATCATCGTCGCCCAGGCCTGATCCAGAACTTTGATCAAGGCCTGCTGTGGTCGCGACGACGGCATTGACACTCGTACCAATCGTGTTGTCGTACGTTTCAAGGCTAGCCATGGAGCCAATTTCCTCACCAGTTCTTGTATCGAACACGATAATAGCAGCGTCCGAATAACTAACTACAAATGCCTCCCCGCTAGCTGATAACGGAGTAATGCACGTCGGTGACGCACGGGATCCGTTAGAGCGGCGGATGTCGTGTATTAGTGTATAGTGGAACGGTGAACTCGAAGCCATGTTTGGTTGAGGTGAGCTTGGGAACTGAGATCCGGAGCTCATAGAGTTACCTCTAACTCGACCGCTTCCGGTGCTCCGTCTTGGCGGTCCCGGTTGAGGTGAAGTGAGTTGTGGCGGTGCACTAACGGCCCAGATCTTCACAGCGCCATCGGCTGCTCCAGAGGCGACCAGGATGCGATCCGGGGTACCGTAAGGGTTTGATTGGCCAAAGACAGCGCCGAGTGTCGCAGGAAGTACGCATATGGCCCAGACAGCGTCGCTGTGCCCGTCGAGCGTTGCCTTCGGATCTACCCTACCCCGTTCCCATACTCTGATGGTTGCATCTTGCCCACCAGAGAAAATCCATCCATCACCTTGTGCACGGCCGCCAGTCGAAAAATTAGGAGAAGGAGACCAAGACGTCAATGATAACACGGCGCCAGTATGTCCACGATGAGTGAAATCAGCTGGCACATCGAGATCAGATGACATAGTCCCGATATGGCTTGGATTCTCACGCGGAATGTGGAATCGCTTGATCAGTCCGTCGTCGCCTGCTGTGCAGATTTCTGGCTCTCCAGGACTTCCACCACCGGAAAATATTACGGTTCGGACGGTATTAAGATGGCCACGCAATCCATATCGCAACTTAAAACTGCCACTCTCTGATTTCTGCGCAACGCCATTCAGAGAGAGCTCCTGCTCCGCGCTTTTCCTGCGAGACATGGACGTCTTCCGCCTATGAGAATTAGGGCCACGATTAGGAGACTGGGGTACATTTTCAGCGTTGGGAAATGCGTCCGTGTCTGGACGGTGCGTAAGAGGTTGTAATTGCTGCGCCGCAGCTGGATCGGGAAATGTCCCTTCGCCAAAATCCCAACCATCCCCATCAACTGGCGCTCGCTTCTCCAATGGACTTTCACCAAAATCAGAGCGCGGAGGCTCATTAAGATGATTTGGTTTTGCGTTTGGGTCTTCTTGCATACGAGCACCCGGTTGGTTGGAGGCCGGCCACTCACCGGGCTGCGAGTACATCGGGGCGGCACCCTCTCCTGACCGAATCATAGGGGCAGATTGTAAATTCGGGTTCTCTGAGGTTGGCAAATTGACGTTATGCGGCATTCTCTGACCATGATGATTATTCGTATTTACAGCACCCTGACGGGGCGCCGAGTCCCTCGCATGGTTCTGACTAAGTCTCAACGCCTGGAAAGCTGTCTCGAGCGGTTGTTGAGAGAGAGGTAGCCCAAAGTCTCCTTCTCTCAAGTCATCCATCATAGGCAAGGGCGGAGATTCTCGAGGAGGCATAGGATTCGCGGGTGAGACCATTAGGTAGGTGAATTCGGCTTGGCATTGGTCTAAGAAGACCCTAAGGTTGTCGCGCTCCTCGTCCTCCTGTACACGCTCGCCAACAAGACCCTCCAAGCCGGGCACCGACTCTTTCGGTCTCTCGTCCGATGCTAAAAATGAAGTCAATACTACACACTCATGTAGCTTTTCGTCTTGATACGTACATTTGAGCTTCTCCTGTACCAAGGCAGCCCTATCAATCTTCTGGGGTTGCTTCACGGAGTGATCCGTGGCAGAAACGGCAGAAGAAACCTTCAGCTTCGCAGCCTGGTCTTTAACCTTCTTCTCCAGGATAGTGACATATCTTTTTAATGCCTTTTGTGTAGCGTCTGCTCTCCTAGCGGAACCTTCGAGGGCGGCTATTCTACCCTTCATCTCCTGACGTTCTATCTCCCAGGCGTTTCTATCTCGCTCGTGTCGATGCCACTCGGTTTGAAGGAAGCGCATAACACCTATTCGTCGAGCGCATGTGAGTTAGCCAAGAAACATCTAAAATACAGATCGGATAGGTCAGATATACCTTGTAATGTGTACTCGGTAGCATGCGGTTGATTTGACGGATTGCCGGGCAATCCTCCGCCAGATAACTCCTGGCCGCCGCCGAGACCACCGGCGCCCGACATACCGGATCCATTCCCACCGTTTCCCATAGCGGAGACCTGTTGCCAACTCATCGAGAGTTAAGTTTCCGGCTTCCTAGATTGACGGTGTTCAGCCCTTACAACCGTCTTCACCGTTTAGTTTGAGGTCGACTTCTCAACATGCGCATCTGCGTTGCAAGTGCCCTCTACGAAATACGACTTTATGTCGGAGAGGGAGAAGATGCGACGGTGGGGAAATCAATTGGCCCAACGTCTCATGAGTAGAATGGGGCAGATCGTTGGCGTGATATGTTCGGTACGTTTCTCGTTCTCGAAATATTGAATATTCGAATAATGTCGCGGTTGCAGGTAAGAAAGGAGCTCTCGTTCGTGGAGGATTAGAAGAGAAGAAAAAAAAAGAATTAAACAGGGCCAGTAATGAGCGAAGAGAATCGAGATAATACAAATTGTTTGACCCGAAATAAATGCGTCGCAGTGTATTATAACGAACTACTCGGCAATGCGATTTCGTTTCGTGTCGTAACGCGTGATGGGAATATCCCGACGTTATGTTATCGTCAGTCTAAATTGCAGAAGTTGAGAATTCCGAGACGTGATGGATTTGGAAAGCTGTCAAGGTCGATTTGCTGGCCTGCGAAGAGGACAGTACGTACTTCTGGCATAAACTCTTGGTACGTATTCCCCCCAAACTTGTGCTAGATTAGGTCATTGCCGCCCCGAACCACTTCTAACCCGGCCAATCAAGTAACTGCCACACAAGGCGAAGTCAAAACTTCCCCTGAAAGCTGTGTTAGCAACTGTGTTTATCTGTGATATGTAAGCTCGGACCACCATGGCACCTAACCCCCCTGTTGTGGAATGGGATATTATGTAAGCCGCCACAACTAAATGCGAACAAGCTCAGATGTTACAGCTAGCTGTATCATCCCGCATAGCTGCATCATCCCGCATATCACCTCAGTTACCTAAACGCCTCAATACCTTATCCATATCCACAATTTTTGTATCCAGCAGTCCTTCGACGAACTCGAGGTTCGCCTCAGTAAATCGTACCTTTAAGTTACTTAAGCAATATGCAACACTAAGAAGATTAACCTCAATTCACCAGTCCATCCTCCAGGTAGGGGGGGACTACTAGCTAACTCACTCATTTTCTCTATTTTCCTCTATGGTTCCCCCACATTGTTAACGGTTTAATATCGTTCCCAATTACAACCCTAATGTCAGTATCGCCTTAGTATTACATCCCCTAGCTCGTATGACCGTACGGCGAGCGTAGCCTTGTCTACGTTATAGGCGCTCTGGCGTTTTAGTTGTGTAGTAGCTCGGGCAAGACTGACTCTATCGGATTCCTAGCAGGTATAGTATGAGCCCAATACCATATACCGCTTCCTTTCTTGCCACTCGAAACGCACCTTTTGAGGTCTCTCGTTTTCTGGTGACTTTAGATTTTCGCATATGCAATCTGACCTACATTTAGCTCATGACTATTATTTCCCGCCACGCTTGCTATGCAGGGCGATATATCCTGAGAAAGCAGGCATACTTAGCCGATTGCCACTCGGGTAGTAAGAACAGCAAAAAGCGCACCGAAATTATTTTGAAAATACGGGTGAGTCAAAAAGTGATCTGTTATTGCATCCTTTAAACATTAATGCTGTCCGGATACATAAGCAGGGTAACGAGAAATATCCTGGCAATGCTTCGTTCCGTTCTAACAGACGACAGCATAGATATATTTAGATATTATAACAATTGATATATCATGAGCTTACCTAAAAATTCAAGCAAATTCCGTGTTGACGTTTCATTGACTACTAAGATCCTGTAAGCGAGCCAAATAATAAACCTATGTCAGCGGAGAATCTAGTTAGTATAAGTGATAGTAACATCTTACAACTACAATTTTAATAGAATGACTAACTAAATAGTTAACTAGTATTAAAAATAAGTTTGCAGCAAGTTATTATCACATATGTTTTATACACTTAGTTTGCTCCTCAATTGCGACGTAGTTTAATCACACCTTCAAGATGTTTCGGTTAGACTTCTAACCGTGGATCATCTATTTATTTTAACTAGTGCCAATCTTTTATTTACCTCCGAGCCGATAAACCTTTAGCTTATCAACACATATTTGGATGCGATCCTTTAGCGAACAACTCATCGCAAAGTTCACCTCACTTTCCATTTTGAATAATGTCTAGGTCTCCAAGTGGTAAAGATGCGCTGATGGGGTTGACCATCTTAGAGTACTTAAAGCCGCTTGTCGGTATCGAGAAGGTTGAGGCGTATTTGAAATTGGCCTCAGAATCCCAAGACCCGAATAATCATGTAAGCTCATCCCCGCAATCCTCATCCTCGGTGTCGATGCGTATTTATGAAATTTCTCGCATCTCCTATGCCGTGCTCTATGGTATTATTATCTAGGTAGTTATAATATTCTTATTTGACATAGAGTGTGTATTCGTGAGATAAGGTAGACGAATGAAAGTTCAAGGAGTTAACAACTTATGTTGGACATCCAAGTCTACTTACATTCATGTACTAACTGTACCTACTTTAGGAATGGATGACAACTATAGCGCCTTATTTATCTATTATTTCGTACTCATCCTCTCCGCCGCATCCCAGCATCACTTTCCGATTTACTGTGCAGCCTATTCATAGCAACGGTCTCGGTAATCTACACGGTGGATGCGCGTCAACCATTTTCGACGCATGTACTACGCTACCTCTTCACCTTATTTCGAAGCCCGGTTTTTGGCAGTATACGGGTGTCAGCCGCACGCTCAACGTTACGTACCTACGTCCAGTTCCAGTTGGTACTACCGTCGATATTAAGTGTGATATTTTACACGCCGGTCGCAAGTTATGTGCTCTGAGAGGAGAGATGAAAGCTGTAATAGACGATAGCAGAGAAGGGCCTCTATTAGTTGTCTGTGAACACGGAAAAGCTAGCACAGATCCACCTGTCGGGAAGCTATAGCTTGGTATCTACCTACGTATAACTACCTTCTATGTATCCAGATCTATGTACGGCCAATCTAGTGGAGTAGCTACAAGGCCTGGACAAGTGTTGAGTACATAATATTACAGCCATACAACGACCTACCACCTGTAGAAAGACACTGTGGATTACTCTTGAATTCCGAAGGGGGGGGGTAGGGTAGGGTTGGAGTACAAATTGCCTCTATCCTGGGTAATTCACCGTATATTTCTACTAGTAAAGCTAGGCCTGCCACTTGCTAGATGTTGGACACACCTGCTACCTAATAACAACCTTAACCGCGTGCGCAGACGAACTTCCTTCGTAGAGGCCATTGGGGAGAAATGGGTTGTATTTAAAGCTAATATTCAATCTTGACATCCTTATAGACTATTCCTATTTCTTAGCGATCAAAGTTTAGGCAGCGGATTTTCTTGGTAATTTTATATACGTAGTAAAGACTCCTAATGTACATTTCAGGGTAATGAATATTGTTCATGAAGCTTTGTGACATAGATACCTGTGTATGATAAGATCACGGCTGAACTCGGTATATCCCTTTGGTGGTCTCACTCCATTAACCCTTTAACATTCCGGGACAGTGCCGACGGTCCTACTTCATACATATAAGCGCCGCATAGAAGATTAGAAGAAACGGGACGGAGCGGGGCGGGGCGTTTCTTAGTGCTATAGCCAGACAAGCCATAGTAGGTGGCACCTATGTAGAATAACGCTGGGTGAATATGGGTGAGAGATCGAGGAGAGCGAATGATCTGAATCTTGGTGTCCGCGTGGCATGTAGCCTAGTTCCCGGATGCTACCACATGCGTAGGTGTAGAGTAGACTATTGAAACCGATAGGTACCTTATATGTACTTATATTACAGCTAATTTTAGAATATAGTAAAAAGTATCCCTAGGTACCCGATAAGTATGTCCAGTTTGGAGATATGAAAAGGATATCCTAAACGCGGTACACTGCAATCGCCACCTTCACTTGGTTCATGCGCGGTAATCTCGAAACGCTGTTAGTGTACCTAATACAGTATACTGAATAGTATACCGAGCATACCGTTGCCTACCTAGGTGCTCACAAATTGGTTATCACGTTGGTTCTCACGTTGGTTCGCACGTTGGTTCGCTAACAGATCGGAGCGGGAAGACGTCTAAAAAAGGGTATCATGTTTTGAGGTCTTATTTTATCGAATTATTCAAATACACTTGCCTTATTTAAATATAGTTGCCTTGTGAATTTAGTCCGCCATGGTCCGCCGTAGTTCTCCAAAAAAAAGAGGGTCTGTTGCGAGGATTCGATTGTGCATTTTACACCCAAAGATCCTACAAATATTCCCTTATATAAGGATCTTGTCTTCCCCCTAGCATTTGTTCTCACTAGAAATATGACAAACGAATCACTTATAAACGGAAAGCTTTTAGCCTTCTTCTCATATTATATTTTCATATTGTTCTACGCCCTCGTCTTGTCTCCAATTCTAAACGACTATGGATAAGTCATCCCAAGCAGCCTTCAACGGGTAAGTCCTGAGCATGCCGCTTTGCCCTTACCCATCATCATTCATAGCCCACGCTTCCCTCTTAGTTAAAGATCCTACTGTTCGGTCGGTGATTATGATTCGTCGTCATACTATCTTCCGTACGGCTCGGCGCCACTCTGCTGTAGAAAGCTTTCAAAGGCTTCTGACATCTCCTATGTTACTCTCAATCCATTCTCACCCTCGAACCTAAATTGGCCCGAACTAATGTCTCTCCTTGACCTAGCTCTGCCAAACCCGGGGAAGCCAATGTCCACTCTCATCTTGGTCAAGTCCAACACCCTACACAGAGCATCCTCGCATACATGACTGCTGTATCAAACGGAGATGCCCCAATCAATACTCTCCTCCAGCTACACAGTCCGGAAGCGGAAATAGCTGCTCGAAGGGCCAAAGTCAACCGCGAAGTCGAAGACGCCTTGGCAAAACTCAACAAGGGGTCGAACCAGTACGTTTTATTTTATTACTGTCCTATACCTCCACGCACAACATGTGTCACAAGTCGTGTCGCACGCCGTCGGGGTCCAATTTGCTGATGAACTATATGGTTGCGTACTGTTCCCTTATTGGTATAGCCCTTTGTCTGTTCCTCGAGGTAACAAGAGGTCTTGATATAAACTGCTCGAACCGAATTGGTCGGATGATAAAGTATTCCATAATAGATATATACTAACGTAGCAAATTTTTCGATCGGTCCAGTTCGAGCAATTTCTACCGAGAACTTCCGTCGCCTCTGAAGATAGACTAACTCAGGGAGGACTCAGCAAGTACGGTTGAGCCCGAGTTCGATTTCATTCTGATCAGAAATATATATACTTTCTCTTCCTTCGATAAGTAGGAAGCATGCTAATGCAATCATAGGTAATGTTATTGAGTTTGCTAAGTGGTAGGGTGAGATGCCATATAGCTCGGTACATGTTTATGATAATGGAAGCGAGGCGTCTGGCGTAGGATACCAAGAGTTGGAATTATGGTGAGCCACTTCTCATCGGGGGGAATGTACGTATGCATCGCAACGTTAGCCTGATGGAATATCACCTGAGAATGAAAACATTAAATTAGATATCAAAAAGTTCGTATACAAACCGTAATCCTAGCGTAACGCCGGTACTATGCAACTATCCATTTTCAATGCTTTCCCCCATATAATAGTACAGGCGCTAGGGTTTAGAATGACTCCCCGATTCTTAGTACATATGGTAGGTCACCGCGGTCCTCCCTTGTCGCAAGCCGGATAATAGAAGACTGGGAAGCCGACCTAAAACTTGCGCTTGATGTTCGACTGGCAGGATATGGTCGCCTTGTTTGCGCGAAACTTCCCCCGTTACTTGAGCTTGTAGACTGCGATGTCCTCCTACCGCCGAATTTACTCCTCGGCGTCGTCGGCGCGGTACGATATTGGTGCCAGGTATGGGTTGAAGAGTTGCGGTCCGGCAAGGTCGGCCTACGGGCACGCGAGCGCGTGCTGCTCCCGCTAAGGCTAAGGGAACTTGACCCGCTCCGCGCAGGTGTAGTCGGGTTGGTGTCCCGAGGGGCGTCATCGTCGATATGCCCATCGCTTTCAGAGTAAGCGTCGTTAGGACTGCGAGATTCGTATAAAGAGGCTGCATCCAGGGGTTGCATTGCACGTAGAAGCTCAGCGAAAAGATGCATCAGCTGCCGAAAGTGCGCATTAGACATGGGGCGAGTAGAGAAGCGGGCACGCTCATAACTATCAAGGAACTCAAATGCCTCTGGGGAGCTCAACAGCACGCCAACGCCAATGAGATGCGTGACGTAGTCCCTCATCGTCATATTAGAACGGCGCTGGAGGAGAGAAACAGAGTCCGCATCAAACATTGGGGGGTTCATAGCAGAGGTCGGATCCATTGGGGCCTGGGAGACTGCCTTAGCTTCAATCAGATTCGGTAACTCGGAGAGGACTGTGCTATATTGAACATTAGGTAAATCTGGTGAGCTTGGTGAACCCCAGCCGTCGTGCTCAATCTCGCCCCAAACAGGGCGCAGGGGAGGGAATGAGATACCCAGCTGTTCTTCTACTGTTGTAGGCGATTTCGGCTTAAATAACTGAAAAGATCTTCTAGGCTTCTTTATATTCCCCTCGGTTGGAACCCCTTCCTCTGCTACATCTTCCAGTGATGTCGCTCGGATTACCGGCGCTATGACCTTTGGATGCGCGCCTAATGCGATGGCAGCACTGCGGCCAATATCGGTAGCGATTACTTTGCGGACCTCCTTAGGGACATCTCCCTTCTCAATGGGTATCCAGGTTTTGGGTATCGAAGCCAGTACTGTCCGAGTAACATAAAGTCGCAAGATGTAAATGAACAGAACAATTAATACAGTAAGGACAAAGACGATGGCGAGGACGATTAAGTTGATGTATTGACCGGAGGAAAATAAATCCTGGCGGATAAAATCGCCGGGAACGACAAGAAATAAAGCGGCAAGAAGAAGACATAATAGAAGATAGATGGAATTGTAGACTATGCGAGTGACAAGGTTGGTGGCGCTCTTCATTATGACGCGCCAGGTATTAGGATCGAGTATTATAACATTCTTATGTCGCGCGGCACAGGGCGGCTGAGGCTCCGGCTATTAGGCGACGAGCGACCAAGTTGAAGGAGTGTAATCGAAGTTCATATTAAGAGACGAGTATTCATGACGATTCCTTAGGCCGTGCGATAGGATTAAGACTTGTCGATTATAAGATCCATAAAGGGCTGCGCAAAGACATCCTAGATGGATAAAGAAGGAAAGGAATAAGTAAGGGTGAAGTTGAGATAACCGTGTTTGTAACAGGAGATTAAATTGTATGTATGATGCTATTTGCAGGGGTTAATGCCGCTCGGGATTTTAGTTTCCCCACTTCCCTTCAAGTGATGTTTGATTGGGCGCCTTGTGTACCTTCCGTTTCAGCTCTAGGTACGTATATATTTAGTTGCATTAACCTTATATTATTCAAAATATTATTCAAAAAGGCACTGACTTAGCAAGCGTTTGTCTTGATTTTAAGCTTAAACAATATTAGATCCCGGGCTTAACTAGACGTGATTACGAGATTATTAAAGTGAATATATCTATGAGCTGCACAAAATAAGAGAATATAATTTCATTGTACTCACTAAACAAGTCTTTATGACAACTATGCCAATCATATTATACTTTTGGCAAGATTCCTAACCCTTTCCCAATATCCTACAAATAACCCCTTCTTTCCCTTCCCCTTGGCCTGCAGAGCCCAAGACCGCACGACAACAATAATTTCCTTATCCCCCGACTTCTCCGCATCTTCAACAATTTCCTCCGGCTTAACCCCCGGACCAAACCGTCTATGATTTAAAAACAGTTCAACGACATCCACCCGACCCCGCCATATAGCCTCACTAACATTCCGCCTACTAACCGCACCAGTCCTCTCCAATATCCTCTTCACAATCTCAAGCGACTGCCCACCAATCACCACCGCATACAACGCGCCTCCACCGGCGCCCCACCCATCATGCACGTCGGCGCCGTAGTCTAGTAACACGTGCAGCACCGGTCCGATCTCCTCCGCCGGCCGGGCACACGCATCCGTCAGAAAGCACCGCATGCCGTAGTCGACAGAGAAGTTAACAAAGTTACGTTCGTGATCGCAGAGAACTTGTAATATTTCTGGATTGGGGTGCTCGAGGACCGTGCGGACGATCCCGTGCTCCTGCATGAGTGAGAACGAGGGGTACATCTGAAGAATAAACTTTACGATGGCAACTTGTTTCGCTGCTACAGCTCGCTCGAGCAATTTGCTGGTAGGGGGAATTTGGAGCCCCATAGTTGTAGTTAATACTTCTTGGGGGCTACCTGGGTCAATCAATTTTGGATAGACTGGTTTACTACCGGGTTGAATGCCGTGATCAGTGAAAAGCTGTTGTAAAGTCGAAGTATCTCCGGAAGAACAGGCATTGAGCATGTATGACTCTGGGCCGCCTTGGTATGCCATGATGTAAAAATCAGGGTTTGCTGGACGATAGAGAGAAAATGTAGTAGCTGAGACGATCACTGTCTAGATTCTAGATCACCTTATGAGGTACCTATGTAGGATTTTTGTAGCACTGCCACACTGTAAATACAACCTACTCATAAGATTCTTACTAAAACCTTGATGAAAAAGAGATGTCTTTAAGACGAACACCAATTTCATAGCCAAATAAATGTAACAAACACAATACTTCTTTTTTCATCTTCATTGACCAATTTTATCATAAAGTTGCACCCATAGCTACTATTACACTTAATGTAACCCGGTCAATTTGCCCTGGAGACTCGATGCGAGCAGCTGCTGCCACTAGCGTATTTGCTGCATCTGCGGTTGAGCCTCTACCGTACGGGCTGCTACGGCCCGTTTCGGTGCCCCCACTACCTCCACTACCACCGCTTCCACCTGCTTCTTCTCCGCGGCTTCCCTCGCTAACCTCATGTCTACTCGGGTGAGCCTCAAATCGCTGCTGTACTGCCCAAATGCTGTGATGAGCTCGTTTAGTCCGTCCTTCAACGCTTCCAGGAGTTCGTCTACCTCGGGACACACCCGATTCCTTCTAAGATCTGTCCAGTGCATCGGAAATCCGTCCCTGAATCTCTCCAACTTTCTGATCACTGCCGTGAACGTCCGTATGATAGCCGGTACATCTCTTTGGACGTTACCATACTGGTCCTCTGTTAAACTGGACACTGCTAGCTTTGATAGAGCATAGGCAGCGTTTACGTATATGCTAAGTTCGCCATACGGCCGGCCAAGCACGGCAGTTGCTAACCGGCGACTAAACAGTTGCTGAAATAATATGCCGAATGTGGGTAGACCCAAAATTCGTAACGCTATAGTTTGGGCAAGGGAGTTAATACCTTCGGGCGAGAGTGCTTCCTTTTGCTCTTTCGTGAGTAAGTGGTCAGTAGCCTCCAACGCTTTCTTCTTCGCCTCTGGTAAGTATACATCGGCGGGTGTCTTTCCGGGCGACGTGGCAACGCTAGTAACGAACTTGCCTAACGAGTCGCGCAAACCTCTCGAACTCGGTGCTGGTGCCCAAACATCGTCTGTCTTCGGGGGTTGGACAACTCGGGCCTGTGCTTGAGGAGGTGCGGCGGCATTGGGTTGTGCGGGAGGTGGAGCCGGTGGTTTTCCATACTCATCAATTCTTTGCTCTAGCGACTTAATCGTACTTAGACATGTAGCGTAGATCTGCGACCACATTGGGCCATCCTTACGATCGATATCCTCGAATATGCTTCTCCTTCTGATATCGAAGTCCCTTGTGATTAAGGCCAATTCCCATATGGCAAATGCCTACATCGTTAGCGCCATGTTTTAATAGAAAGGCAAAAGAAACAACATACCGAGATACGTGGTTTCTTGCACTGTAACCCATTCAATAAGCTCCCATTGGGGTCCTTCGACTCAGCACTAAGTGGCTGGCCGTTTTTCAGAGGCGCTCTTCCAAGCTGTAACCTAAAGACCATGTCGCCAAAATACCACAAAAGGCACAACAAAAATCCTGCCCACATCGATCGTGCCAGCATCCAGATACTCCATGGCGCCTGGGAAGGTGGAATATTAGATTTTGGAAGACTATAGAATAGCCGGAAAAAGGACAAGGCCCAGCCCCAGGCGGAGCGTCGGAGAAAATGGTAGAGTATAATGTAGTTGGCTAAAGACACGGTTATCGAGAGCATCCCAGCGCGAACGACGATTACGGGTACCCATTCGGTTAATCGTACCCAACTGCTTGTCGTTTGAGTATTCGCCTCTCCTTCGCGTTTCGGCTTCACGGTCCCTAGAAGCATTCGGTCGTAATCCGCGGACACATGTAGAATACCCTGGGCAATCCCTAAAATGATAATATTCACGGTATAGAATAGTGCCCTCTCGTTTAGCCGCGCGCGATCCCCGCTATAGTAGGTGATCCAACCGATGTTTGCACTAGTTGGAGTTGATAGCATGTATGTTTGGCTGAATAGCCATGCGGAGATAGCGAATGTGATTATTGTTTCTATCGTCGCGAAAGACAGGGCATAGCGGCTGAAAGTATCAAAGGGTGAATGAGATGTTCGAATGCCGATGTGAGAATGGGCAATTCGCAATATTATAATGGGGAGGATACAGCCGAATATAGCTAGGGTGCGAATACTCGCAGGCCCAACTGGAAACCATGGCCACAGCACTGGTGATATGTTAGGTATATACGTGATATAATTAGAAGATGATAATGTACGTCACTTACGATTGCTCCAGTTAGCTAAGAAGAGGTTCTCAATATAGGCTAGACCTAATAGAACTCCGGTGGTTGAGGCGAATCGTCTCTGGAGGGCGGGTTGGAGGAAGTCCTTGTAAGGCGCTCGGCGCGCAATTGCGGGAGGCATCTTCGCAACTGTAACGAAAAGAAATATTTAGATTAGTGCATGGTTCGGGTTTGGGAAGTAGAAAATGTAATCTGTATGAGGTAGATATTCTTGTGTGAATCTAAGCTTGGAAGAAAGGAATGTTGGCTCTGAGCACCGTTGGTTGCTCTGGGGAAGGTTCGTTACCTATCAGACAGGTGAATGTAAATAAAAAAAACTTACAGAGCTTCTTGAAATCCACTGAGAACGTTGTTACTTTAGGAGCTAAGCGTCATCCGCCTTATTGCATTAGCTTAATGCACCAGCCACAGTACATAGGTATGTACAAATGTATTTATGGGATACATGTAGGTACAGTCCATGAACCGGGTACCTGCCGCGATTTGTATGTACAAGTACATCATATCCATGGATGACTTACCAGCGCTAGTGTAGTGTAGCAGTACTTGTGTTGACTGACGTAAGCAGACGCATGTGTAACTCCAATCTTGAATCCCCAATTCGGTTGCCTTGCTGTGACCTGCACTTGTACCTGCGCAATCCGTCGCAGGTGATCCTGACTGACATCAACCTTTTTCATCTTATCCGTGCCCATAGTAGGTACCATCAAATACTCGATCCTTTCAGGACCAATCTCTCTTTAATTCATCAAGATTTCCTTTATTAAATCTCGTCGTTCTCTCCAATCCAGAATCGTCCAGCCATGTCTTTTGATCAGTTATCGTCAATAGAATCCGGCAGCGGGGCTGGTCGTCGCCAAAATAATGGCGCCTATGCGGATGACCCGGAGTTCACTCGATTATCGCAAGGCCTTATGAACAAACTCTTTCACCTGCAGGGTAATATTTCAAAGCTTAAGTCGGATATCGGTCTCCTCGGTACTCGACGGGACAATCCTAGATTGCGCGAGCGGGTCCACGTTGTAATTGAGGAGTCTACGGAGCAATTCAAGGAGGTTGGTGAAGGTATCAAGAAGATTCAGACATGGGAAGAGCCTACTGTAAGTAAATCGAATTATGCGGTTGACCATGTCTATCTAATGTGACATATGTCTAACTTTTGTTTGCCTCATAGCCCACCCAGAAATATTCGCAACAGAAGCTGTCGCGCGAATTCAAGGCCGCCCTTAGCGAATTCCAAAACCTTCAGCGCACCGCCCTCGAGAAACAACGAGCCTCGGTTAGCGCGGCCAAGGCAGCACTCGACCATGATCCGTCTGGTGAGGGCGCCCCATCTGACGCCACCGGCGAGCAACTACAGCTCCAGCAGCAGGAACAAGTCCACCTGGCTCCCCAGGATGAAGTTGACTTCCAAGAGGCCTTAATTACCGAACGAGAGGAGGAAATCCGCCAGATTGAGGAAGGTGTTGGTGATCTCAATGTGCTTTTCCAACAAGTGGCACAGATCGTCAGCGAGCAGGGTGAGGTGCTAGAGACGATTGAGAGCAATGCCGTTAATATTCGCGACGATACCCGCGGTGCCGACTACGAGTTGAGAAGTGCTGCAAGATATCAAAAAAATGCCCGGAGCAAGGCATGTTGCTTGCTATTAATCCTAGCCGTGATTATGGCCATCGTCCTCTTGGCTGTATTCTTGGGATGAATCAAATCTCCTAGCAATTTGATGGTGTATGAGCGACATCTCGGGCGTTTTGGAGTTAGCGTGAGCAAGTTCGAACTTCTCATTAAATGTATCAGGGTTGTGTTAGCGATGGTCAATAAGAATTGGCCGTCCCTTGGGGTAACTTAGAGATATATGTTCCCTCCTTTGCGGTTTATGGGTAGCAGGTAACTATACCTCTATGAAGATGGCTTTGGTATTTATAGCCAGTTATATTTGGAGTTTAATCAATATTTGTACTGCCAACCCGCGAGGCTATTCACATAGGTGTAAGTACGTAGGTAATTATAAATGCATTGCCAAAAAGGCAAATTTTATGAATTAGTGACTTTTCCAATAAATTGCCGTGCACGTTGTTACGAGTCCTATTCCAAACTGATGGCTTCAAAATCCATGTTTGCCTAATTTATAGCTTTTACTACTTCCTCAATTCGTTTTGGTCGTATAACATCGGCTTCATAACCTACACACCTTTGAACAATATTCGTGTCAATTGGCATGAATTTGGATAATGCCTTGCTCGTAACTGTGTGTGTAGCGCTCGTCGACAGCCAGTAAAGATGAAGCGCTGCCGGAAGGTCTGCAGTCATAGGTCCTATGAGAGCACTTAAGACGATGAGCACTCGACGGAGTCTACGTTGCCTTGTCATTCCCGGGGTCTCGACTACAACTTTATCCCCTAGGTTGACTCCAACTAACTGTCGCAACCCGGCCTCGGATTTGGGGAGCATATTCCAGACTAGCAAAGCAGACAGTGCGAAGGGGAGAATGTGGTATGGGTCGGGAGCAGACAGGTCGGGAAACCATAGGCAGCCCTCTAATGTGATGCTTGGATCTGGTAGATTTTTGATATGCTCGGCCGTGGTAGCAGCCACGCTTGGATCTACTGCAGTTTCTACGTTGCCTTGGGTATTTGAAGCCGCAAAATCTTCAGTTCTACCCAGGAACAGCTGTCCGATAATTCCTCTCGGACCACCACAAATCCATCTGACGCTCTCGATGCCGATGAGCCAGAAGGGTAGGCCTAGGACGCTGGAATATAGTTTCCAGTCTTGTAAGCCGACGGTGCGGTATATCCTCGATGCTAGCTTCTTATGCCTCGCCAACAACTCCTTCGACACCCGCGACGATGGAATTCCTTCCCGCGTAATATCCCGTGAGATACGCGCAGTCCATCCCATAAGTACCGGGGTAAATCTAGCCCGGCGTTGGTTGATCCTATGTATATAGACGTTGAAGGGTAGCCGAAAAGCGAGACTGACTCCAACTGCCGCAAGAGGAATCGTCAGGAACCATGGTGTGTAAGTAAGATTATGGATAGCTAGTAAGGTATCCTGGGCTGTTTGTATAATAGTGGTGGCAGTTGGTGCAAAATGGAATGACCTGACACTGGGTTGATATCTAAAGTGATAGGATGAAACTCGATTAAGATGTAGTTGAGTCCTAGTTCTTGACACTAGGTTAAAGGGCCTAGTTGCCTGTATAGTATGAGTCCAGTGAGTCAAGCTCATCGTCGATTACCATAAGCCCTTGTTGGTTCATGAATGTAATAGTAAGAAGAGAGTTTATGAGTAAGTGAACATCATATGCAAAATGATTTTAAAGCCATTGAGTCTTTCATAAATGCATGGAATATAATACCATACTCCAAATAGCTTCAGAAATTCGGAAATAATCAACGTGTTGTCTGCAATGCTCTTTAGGTTACTTATGAGGTAGGTAGGTATATTATTGAATAAGGAATTTAGGTATGGTTATAGAATGTACTTTGTACTAGTTAAGGGGTACTTGATAAAATGTACCTAAATGATTATCGATAAAGAATATGCAGCAGCCCGCACTAGATTATGTGTGGAAGGAAGGAAGGTGGGATGGGATGCGCCAGTGCGTAATACCCACCTTCCAGTCCTAAGCTTAAGTGCTAGGTTAGGCTAGGTACCTGTCACTCGTATCAAATTGTAGGTAGTGTACCTAAGGTAGGTACTTCTTACAGCCGGCCGATTTGATCACACGCCAAATTAGAATTACCACAAACCAAGTCACATTTGATGTAACTAATAAATTCACGAGCGCGCAACTTGCAACAACTACAATACTTTACTTGGTCATATCAATGGGTCAACTGGACTGCTTCTGGCCCAGTCTGAAAAGGCCAGACCGGTATTGTCTTCCTGACACGTGTGCCTAGGCTCATAAACCACATACCTTTAACAATATTTCTTTACTTGTCTTTAGGCAAATGTCTGATTTCACCTCCAGCTCAAGCTGTTTCGTTCCCTCCAAAGACGTACCATATTCCTTCGGCATGGAGCCCAAGACTCTAGCCTTTACAGCGATTGCTATCGCCTGTACTCCCTTCGCCGCTTTAATAGTCTGGAACTTTATTCTTCCACTCTCATTCCGTATATTCGCCCTAACGTTCGGGTCATCCTTCGGTTGGTGTTTGAGGAAGGGTTCCGAAGGTCGCCGCTCCTTACTTGTCCGCACCACAGCCGAAAGCGAAGCCAGATTTAGAGAGGCCAAAGCTCAAAAAACTGATGGCAGCGCTAACAGCGACGATGACGAGAGCTGGGAGAATATTGATGGGTCTACAGCTGGAACGTCTGGCAACGGGGAGAAAGGTGACCGAGACTGGGATGGTATAGTCGGTTTCTTCCATCCCTTCTGCAATGCTGGAGGAGGTGGCGAACGAGTCCTATGGGCTGCGGTTCGAGCTACTCAGAAGAGATGGCCTAACGCCAAGATCGTTATATATACGGGCGACCACGATGTTTCAAAGGAGAGCATGCTCTCTCGTGTCAAGGTTTGGGGCTCCTATTATATAATGAACTTACAATCAAGATTGCTAATTGCACTATAGAACACTTTCAGTATCGACATGCACCCACCTACGATCCATTTCATCTACCTAACAACTCGACACTGGGTTTTGTCTTCTACGTGGCCGCATATGACTTTGCTAGGACAGTCAGTTGGTTCTATACTTATGGGAATGGATGCTTTCTCTCTCCTAGTACCTGACATCTTCGTGGACACTATGGGTTACGCTTTCGTACTTGGTCTAAGCAAGATCCTCTTCCCCGATATGCCAACTGCTGCATACGTACACTATCCTACCATTTCCACAGACATGCTCGACTCCCTCGACCCTAAGACACCAGTTGGAGGTCAGGGTGTCAATGCCGGGAAGGGCGTTGGTGTAAAAGGTATACTGAAAAAACACTACTGGAAGATCTTCGCCGCTATTTATTCGTGGATGGGCGCTTCCGTCGACGTTGTCATGACAAATTCCTCCTGGACGCAAGACCATATTAAGTCTATATGGGGGCCGCGCCGAAAGCAGAGAGGCAGGGAAAACTCTATTGCTGTTGTATACCCTCCGTGCGCCGTCAATGAGATTGAGCGAGCTGTCGAAATCTCTGAAGAGAGCGAGAAGAGACGCCAGAAGTACTTAGTATACATCGCCCAGTTTCGACCAGAGAAGAATCACCAACTCATCCTGCAATCCTTTGCGGAATTCGTCAAGACTGGTACTCCCTCAGCAAAAGAAGCCAAATTGATCCTCCTAGGTAGCGTTAGGGGCGACGACGACTCGAGGCGCGTGTACAAGCTTCGTCTATTAGTCAACGAATTACAAATCAAGGATCAGGTTATATTCCAGCTCGACGCCCCGTGGTCCGAGATCCTCCAATGGCTTGGCAAGGCCTTCGTAGGCGTTAATGGCATGTGGAACGAGCACTTCGGCATCGGCGTAGTCGAGTACCTCGCAGCAGGTCTGATATCAGTCGTACATAACAGCGGTGGCCCGAAGCTAGACATTGTCATTGATGTTGACGGTCAACCTACGGGTATGTTAACTACATTATTTCTTGCATTGTAGGTTTTTTTTTTTTTTTTTTTGCTAATAAATTCACTTAGGTTTCCACGCCTCGACCACGTCAGAGTTCGCTGAGGGTTTCGAGAAGGCGCTCTCGCATCCTGACCCCCTTTCCGTCAGACGCAGAGCGCGCTTATCATCTAAGCGCTTCACTGAGGAAGAGTTTGCCAGGAAATGGTTGGCCGAGTTGGAGAAGCTCGTCACCATGAAGCTATAAACGGTATTCGTTTCATTCATTACCACCACCCTAACCAATTCTCCTCTCAAAAAAATGGTACTATTATCACTACCAACATTCCTACTACCCAGATAGATATAGACTTACATCCGATACCCCCAGGATTACCACGGTGGGAGGCGGGCTCGGAGTTTGTATTGCCTTGTTTTTATATTGCGATGCGTTGTATTATCCCGTTTCATCGCGTTGAGTTGAGGGTGGATGCGGAAACAGAGGATACCATAAGTTAGGTTAAATAAAGCCGAGGCCGTATAACTATGGAATACATCCTTATTCACGTAATTCGAACCTTGACTTCATGAGTTTTATACCGACAATTTCGAAGACTTGAGTCCAGATTTGTCTAACAATGTAAGTTATAAATAGGTAGGTATATACATAACGTAACTCTATCAAAAACACACGGTAACATATATAGGGGTACCTAACCCGATGTCTGTAATAGGTACCTAAGGCAGTAGACAAGTATCTACAAAGTCAACCCAGCACTATTTCTCTGTCTCGTCTCGCCCGCAGCCTCAAACACGCCCTCTTCGTCGACACTAATGGCTTGGACGGCGCTATACCCTTCGCGCACCCACGTCACATTATGCCCCTTCTCCAACATGCTAGCCACAGTCGCATTGTCGAAGGTATACTCGAAGGCGACTTGGTTCGGCATCAACTGGTCGTGGAACCGCGGTGCGGCTACGGCGTGGTTTACAGAGACCCCGCGCTCTAACATGTGCCATAAGACTTGCGTCGTCGAGCTGATAATACGGGATCCGCCGGCAGCACCAACGACGGCGGCAAGGAGCGGAATGGCGGTTGATGCGGAAGCGTCGAGCCACTCGGCGATAACGGGGGTGATGGAGGAGAGTGGACGTTTCCCAGGACGGATATAGTTGGCTGGACTGGGTGCGTAGCCAAACTCGTTACGTACGCCAGGGATAGAGAAATCGTTCATCTCGTCATTGAGCACAACGCCTGTCTCGGGGACCATGAGCAAACTACCAAAAAGTAGGTTAACAGTAGTGGTAGACGAGACGGCGGTACCCGAGGAATCCGCCGTCGAGATGTGCGAGGTGCCATGGCTTTCGGGAACGTAGATGCGCGGCGGGTCGTAGTTTTCAATAGGTTGTGTTTTATCGTCGCGGATGCGTCGGCGTATCGACTCGGCATGCGCATCGTCCAGCATAGCTTCTTCGAGCTGCGGCATACCGGTTACAAAGGCCGGGTCGCCAAGGGCTTGGTGCGCGCCGTACGCGAAACGCATCGATTCGTCAAAGCGATGAAGCGTGAGATTAGGGTCTGAAGCTACGTCTGAAGCGTCGTACCCCTCCATCGTCTTTAGTGTACTGAGACAGACGGCGCCGCTGCTAGGTACGCCCGACGAGAAAAGCTTGAAGCCGCGGTACGAGATGCTGATGGGCTCACGGATGATGGCCTCGTAGTTGGACATGTCTTCTAGGGTCATGGTTCCATTATACTTCTGGATATGCTTGATCGTCGCCTCGGCTTGGAAAAGATTAGAATACTTTGTATCGAGGGAGGGGGAACTTTTACGAACCCATTGAACCAGTATAGAATACATCAGCACCATGTTCAGCTATTTTCTCTAGGGTCCTAAATTAGAAGTTAGTAAATGTCGAGTGTTCAGTTATCTTCATAGTTAATCATCTTACTTTGCATAACGTTTTCTAGTCATGGTATCACCTAACTTTACCAAAGTCCCTATCAAAATAGTTAGTTAGCCATAATTGTTACGCAATGTCTTAGCTACTGAAAAACATATAAGCCGGTAGCTCTCACCATTCGGGGCGAAGTCTTGAGCCCACGAGGGATCTTCGACCAAGAAATTCCAGCCGGTCGTTTCGAGGCCGAACTCCATGTACCGTACCAAATCCTCGGAAACCGAGAATCCGCGGCGCGCAACGGAGGCGGCTGGTTGCACAACAGACTTCCAAGACAGTAAGCCGAACTTTTTATGCGCGTATTCGAGACCTCGCAGCTCGCCCGGTACACCCACGGAAAGCCCACCATGCACACTACCTTGTATATTACCTTGATACATATCCTCGGAAGCCGTACTAGGAGCGGATTCGCGATAATCGATGACAGTATAGTTGCCATTGCTGTCCCGGACGAGAGCAAATCCACCGCCACCGATTCCCGAATGATACATGCCAATAACACCGACACATAGCTGGGTTCCGATAAAAGCATCAATGGCATTTCCCTATTACAAGCATGAGCAATCTAATAATGGAAATTCTAGTTATCGGTACTACTCACACCTTGATTGAGGAGGTCAATGCCAATTTGACTACATATTTTACTCTCAGAAGCGACAGCACCTCGCTTCCCTGAAACGGATTGCTGGTGTAATACCGCTTGTCCAGCTGGCTGCCATTGGGGAGGGACTGCAGTTGAAGGGGCGACAGCTAGAAGTAATAGCAGAAGACTCTGCAGGAGTGTTGTAGGGGTTACTTGGGATCTATGTTAGTTACTGGATGGTAAGAAATTAAGTAAATGTAACTCAAATGTCTACTCACTCATCTCGCAAAGTCTTTACAAATGTTGTGATCGGAACTCGGAATGTTGCAATCGTCCTAATCCGTCGTCTGTGCTCTCTATCTAACACTAGGTACTCTCAGGGAACAGCATATCATACGACGGGCTTGCGTACTCTTAGATAGAGACACCGATACCCAGATTATAACCACCTCTATCAACGATAGCGTATTAGTATATGATAGAATGATAATGATAACGCAAAGAATGAGAACGAAAGAAATATAGATGATAATGATTAGAGAATGACACACCGACGACGTTAGGGTACCCGTCGGGTATCTTGAGGTAATCGCGGGTTAGTAGTTATCTTTTGTACCAAGGTTGCAAAGCTGGATTATAAAGCGAGATAAGGAGCCCGACAAGCTTCCATAATATTAATAGTAGTCTAATACTTTAAAGCCCCACCACACTACCGGTACGTAGCAAGCTTGTAGCTCAGACTTACATAAATGTCGTAATCTATTATACCCGGACGGGTTGAATACTAAACTTTTTTATCCATAGCTAGTTAATTTATATTCAACTAACTACATTATATAAGTTAAATGGGAATGTTGTCTCTTTGCTATATTTCTAAACCGCGATACATCAATGAAATACGCGGTCGAGTACAGCTTATGGTCAATAAGCCAATAAGAGCTAGGAATTCTAACTATGAATTTTTAGGGGCTCATCCCCTATCTATCGCGCCCCGGATTTGTAATTCTTACACAGGAAACCATCCGAAGTCACCGAGACACGCACTTTCAATTACTTTCTTAGTCTCAATATCGGGAAGCCAAATGAGTTTATCTAATACCCCCTAAACAGAAATGGATTCATGCAAGATTTAGTACTCAGGTCGTAAAGTTTTTATAAGATTACGATATTGTATTAGTGCGAGTAGCTCATACTTAAGAGCGACAACAGCTATCGCATATGATTTTTATAGCTACCTATTATAAGGTAACTAAGAATAAAACTATCAAATGACTTTCAGGTTAAACATAAAAAATTATATCACCTCGTATTCTCTTCATTATAAATCGCCAAGCTAGTTAAGCCTAGACATTCAGCGTTATAAATAACTATAATTATATATATATTTGAGTTAACTAACTATGGTATTCACTAACCTACTTTGTTTAAACATCTATGAGGACTGTACTTGATAGTGCTATTTCCTGGCAGAGGAGTCTATAGTTTATTCAAAACTGTAATTGCCGAGATGCTAGGTACTTCACCATATATACGCCAGAGCTCTTCTCACTACTGGCCAACAATTGAGTCGTATCTCGAATGTCAGGTTGTTATAGGAAGGAATAACGTATGATAGGGGGCAAGTATAGTTCTATCTCGAGGTTACTTTATCCAGACTCATAGAGATATTAAGCCGAGTAACTTGCAAGTATCTTCTGAGGAGGTTATAACGAGAAAGGCAAGGTGTGAAATAACGGCCAATGCCAGTTTTATAAGTACCTTATCCGCCTGATTGAAGTTTTAAAATGTAACCCGTTACGATAATACTGAAGCTGTCCTATCTCTTTGTCTGATGAGGGGTAATCATATCACTTGGCGACGTCCAGTGGCCGCTGTGAGATGAACTCCATGGTTATTCACGGCCGTTTAGGTTATGATTTAGACGTAGGAGGCGTATGTATAACCCTTGTAACGCCTCAACAATGGAACTGAGACATACATAGGTATCACAAGGTTGCGTGTCGACTAGGTACGTCATTGCTGTGGCGAGATGTCGAGACGAATAGAAGATTTTGTTATGACATAGCCAGCGTAAAGATCGATATAAACTTGTCGTCTCTCCCGAATGGTAATCGGGTTTAACTCTGCCATATAAAAAGGTTTATCTGTAAGAAAAGCAAATTATTGAACATCATGTGTTTCGGAGTGAGTAGATATGTATTCCTAGCATCACGAACATAATACATATACCCAACACACTCATAGCTATCATACAAACTATTTTTAAAGGAGAAGTCATGACTAACAAGGTTTCTATTGAGCAGTCGAGCAAAAGCCATCCAAGAGAAGAACCCGCAAGGCCTGTGAGACATGATCAAGCCCACCCACCGCACGGAACTGCTCATGGAAGAGCTGGGGATACCCACGGTGGAAGCCATGGCGGACACCACAAGACGCATGCCGGACATGACGAAGGGAATCACGACGCGATGCTAGTAGGGCAACAGGCACAAATGAATCCGGTGGTCCCAGGCATGATATAAATTAATTTCATATTGAGGCTTGGATTGATGAGTAATATTGAAGCAGAGCTGTATAAAATCTATAGTAATATTTATCAAGTTGTTATACAACTTAGATTAGGAGGTAGTTTTTTAGACTTGAAGAAATGTTACCAATGTGACTTATAAGTCCTTAAAAAGACATGGTGGGGTTGTATGTAAAATATTTAATCGCGATAAGCTTATGTACTGTAGTGCATAACGCTAACATAGCGCTACTTAGTACATGGTACAATATTCCATCCATCTTTCATCCAGTAAAAAATTGTCAATTTACAATTTCAAGTATTTTTTTTCTCAAGCCTTTCTATAGACGATAAATTGGGAAGGTTTGACTGAAGAAACTATTGAATCAATGATCAATGCGGCCCTGTATAACAATAACGCCGCGGTTATTTTTAAGACCTAAACTCGCAACCCATCCCATCTTTGGCTCGTCACAATTCCCAATTCAGTCCCTTGCCTTCACCAATTGTCACACTCACTTATCTGAAGTTGGAAGAAGGTATATACGTCTTTATCATCAATTTGCTAAGAAAGCTAAGTCTCAACGGGATACTACCAATACTCTAAGCGCTGCCGAGGTGATACATATGATTAAATCGCCAAACTCTCAAAGAATGGCTTCATCAGACGGACAGGTGAAAATGGGTGACCAGCATCAAGAGTCAAAACCCAATCGTGGGAAAAGACCGTTCCATCATGAAAAATCTAAGCTAGGAATGAAGAGGGAAAACAAGAAGAAGCAGAAAAAGGCGAAGAAAAGCGATACAGATATGATGACTGGCTCAGCGGAGGAGGTTTTAGCTTTTGATGTGCGGAATCTAATCGAGTCTCTCAAACAAGATAATGACAGAGCGGTAGAAGAAGGGAATAACGCGTCAGAGCCAGAAACTGAGAGCTTGCCGGAGGAAGGCTCCGAGATCGAAGTTGAAGTTGTCGAACTTGCCTCAACAGGAGAAGGCCTAGCTTTACATAAAGACTCTAAGCGCGTATACGTCGTGCCATTCTCAGTACCAGGCGACACTGTCAAGGTGAAGGTGTACCGCCACCTAAAGGAAGAGGGCTATACCGTGGCGGATTATCTCTCTGTTGTGACGCCGTCAGCCTCCCGCGACGACAGCCGGATCCAGTGCAAATACTTCGCCACTTGCTCAGGGTGCCAATTTCAGATGCTAGATTATGCCGAGCAGTTAAAGCACAAGAAGAACATCGTCGAGAAGGCCTTCCGCCACTTCTCCCAGCTACCCCCAGAGCTTATCCCCGCTATTCAAGACACCATTGGCAGCCCGCTTCAATATGGCTACCGAACTAAGCTGACACCACACTTTGATGGCCCCCAGGGCTGGCGCAAAACTAAGGAGCCCTTTAAGAGCTGCCCCCCTATTGGCTTTATGCCTAAGGGCAAGCGAAATACTTTAGATATTGAGGACTGCCCTATTGGAACCGACGCTGTACGACTTGGTATGAAAAACGAACGTGCACGCATGACCGTTGAGTACGGAAAATACGTACGGGGCGCTACGATTCTTTTGCGCGAAAGCACCAAGCGTATCCCGAAAAAACAGAGCGAAGCCGAGGGAGCATCTTCATCGAAAGAAGTGATGGCAAAATCACCATCGCCCCCGCATCCCGAGGACTCTGTTGTTAGAGTCGAGACAGACTCATACACAGACCTAAAGACCTGCGTGACAGACAACAACGGCACATCAACCGAGTACGTCGGGCCCTACGTCTTCCACAACCCAGCCGGCTCTTTTTTCCAGAACAACAACTCCATCCTCCCCGTCTTCACAGACTACATCCGGGAGCACATCCTTCCCCCTTCCTCCCCTCTTTCCTCCGAAATCAAATTCCTCATCGACGCCTACTCTGGCTCCGGGCTCTTCACCATAACCCTATCCTCCTTATTCAGCGGCGGCAGCGTCGGCATCGACATTAGCGAAGCCTCGATCAAATATGCATCCCGCAACGCCGCGGCAAATAACCTCCCCCCTTCGCGTGCGAAATTCATCGCTGCTGATGCCAAGGACTTGTTTACGTCCGCCGTACGCAAGGCATACCCCGGCGACCAGACCGTCGTCGTGCTTGACCCCCCGCGGAAGGGCTGCGATCAGGATTTCCTAAACCAGTTGTTGCGCTTCGCGCCCCGGCGCGTCGTCTACGTGAGTTGCAATGTGCACACGCAAGCGCGCGATATCGGTATACTGGTTCGTGGGCTTGAGGGTGCGGGTGGCGCAGAGACGGGGACAGAGATGGAGACTGATGCTGGAGAGAGCAAGGGACGAGGGACGAGATATGCAATTGAAAGTTTGCGCGGCTTCGACTTCTTCCCGCAGACGGGACATGTTGAGGGCGTTGCTATTTTGAACCGGGTGGACGGCTAGGTGTTCTGATATCAGGTAGCCATCTACCTATTTACTGAGGACGTTTTAGATGGAAAATGCGAGGTCAAACTAGGTACCTAAGGTATTCATGCTGGGGAACTACTATATCATAGAATAACTTCATTTATAGAGGACGTTTACGCGGCGTAACGTTTAATAGGGTAATACTTATTCGATAACTAACATTAGACAAGGTGCCAAAACCAGGACGTTCCAAGTATTAGATACCTGGCGACCCAATCAAAAAGTCCAAACTGAATACTTTGTTCCTCAAAAATTATATTCAATATTTCTTTCAACGCACACACATCTTGCAGCGCATAACAATTTGCGAGACTCCCCCTTTCTGCTACCCTTAATCCTGTTGCTCAAGTAAAACTTTTAGAGCCTGAACCGTGACCTCGACAACTTCGGCTCTCCGACTACTCTTCGTACACTCCTTCAAAACCTCAATTCCGTTCTTCCCCCTGATCTTCTTCCGTGCCGCCTTACCTGCTTCTCCTTCGCACGCAACCATGTTATACACAACAAACGCCCCTCGATGCCGCAGATCTTCGCTCTTCTCACTGCATAAGCCCAGGACTACTTCGACCCCACGTGTCCTTTTGAGAATACCGGTTACAACGGCGTCGTATGCCGTGAGAGAGGCCAAAGCACCACCGGCGGCGCTCCTCGTTCCTTCATCTTCTGCGTCTGCAAGTGCGAGTAGAATGTGTAACCGATTAGCGGCTTGCGGGCTATCGTCCGCATACTGAGCAATACCCTCAACGGACTGCACTAGGTTGCATATTAATTCCATAGCAGCTTTAGAAACTCGATTGTTGGATGATAACATCAACTCCTCGATCTCTGGCCATGCGTTACGGATAATTGTCACTCGTGTATCGTCGTCCGTAGATGCTAAATTGGTAAGCGCCATCAATGCCTCGAACGTCGGTAATAGATCTCGAGTTTCGGTTGTAGGATCAGGAGTGAGTATATAAATGAGTGGCCGGATTGCCGAGTTTTGTGGACGAGCGCGCGTGCCGCCGAATACGAGAGCAGGGTTTGTGCTGATTAGTATACGAGCGAGTGCTTGGGCTGCTGTTCGTTTGGCTTGCGATTCAGAATCTGGTAGAGCCGAGGCGGCGGCAATAAGAAGGTTAACAGCTCCTTGTTGTGATAATTGGCCCCGTAAAGTGGTTGTAACTGACAATGCAGAGATAATCGACACGATGAGGTTAAGCGAGGCAACCGAACCGTGCCTACTATGTGTTACTAGAACGGGCACAATGCCGGCTTCGAAAACCTGTATACACCGCTTTGTGACGTGGTTGTCGTCGTTCAGTGGGTTTGGTGCTCCCAACTTTCCAGCAGCATTGGCGTAGGCCTTCAGCTGAGTCATTTTCTTCTCCTCCTCAGATTGTACTGGTTGATAACGAGTTAAATTCACAAATATGCTCAAAGCTCCGTAAGTAAGTGGTGATTTTGCAGGAGCATCACCCAAAATTTTGACTAAAGCCTTCAAAAGCTCCGTGTTATGTGCGACCTCTTCCTTGATTCCAGGTTGAATTGTTGCGTAAGCTAAGCCCTCCACCGAGTGCCTCTTGTCACTCTCCGGGTCCTTCAGTATCATCGTACTGAACATCTTAGATAGGTCCTCAATACTGGTGTTCGCTTGCTGTATTCTACTATCGGATCCTTCTGCCGTTTGTTGCGCCGACGATGGCACTGCCTGAAGCCCCCAGGTCAGCCCAACTCCAATTCCTCACCGGGTTGATCACCGCCACTGAAGATGCTCATATGCAGGCGGTGACGCGAGCGGAAGCTTTAGGGTGCCTACCCTTAATTTCGCCAAGATAACCGCGGCCAAGTTTTGAACTGCTACGGAGTGTCTCCTCATGGCAATCGAACCTTCTGAGACTTGAATCTGAGGATCTGTCGTATAGATGCCCCTAGCTACTTGATTCGGATCTTGGTCAACAACCTCTTCCAGCCAGTCAGTGCAGTACTTAGTAATGGCTTCACGACACGACGAATTCATAGAAGCAGCGTTAAGCATTTCCAGGCATGCCGTCTCGACCTTTCTACTTTTCCATTTTCGTCGCATCAAGGGGTCCAAGGTGGGTAAAAAGCCTTCGCTGAGGAATATGTCAGCCGTTACGTCTGAGGCGATGGGGAATATAGCGGCGGCGACACAAAAGGCGACGATATAGTCGTCGTAAGTCCCTCTTTGGACTCGATCGAAAAAGAACTTGCGAAGAGCCTCGTTTCCCTTTTCCCCGGCCGCTTTGAGATACGCTGAAGCGCTCAAGACGGCGTGGCCACGGACCGAATCAGCTTGTCTCATGTCTAGATAACCAAGTATGGTATCGACACATACATCATCGATGACATCGCAGATAGATTGATTTTTGTTTTTAGCTTTAGTATCGTCGTTCAGCATCTTGGTAAGGCGATCAAGTTCGCGACAAGTATCGTCATCTTCCTGACCACCTTCCATTAATCGGGCTAAGACAAGTTGTGTCTGCTCTATGTTGCTCAGCTTATCCATCTCCTCACGGTTAGAAGTGAGGTCGATAGGTAATTCGTCCATTGTATTTCACGAGTTGATGATGGGCGTCGCTAAAACTTTTTTGATGGAGAGTGTTAGGAGTAGATGTTATAGGTCAAATGATAAGTCTTGATGATTAGAGGACTTGAAAACTTGAGAAGGCTTGAGAGGACTTTTATACAGGTGTGTCTTTGACGGAATAACGGAGTTAAAATGAAATATGGTGGCTTGTTGAGGGGCTTATACCTCTTCAACAGTAGAATGCTTAGTTTCTGGGGTGGTATTCTTGGGTAGTAGCTAACGTTGAAAGGCTGACTGAACTTTGGTGCCTGCGCTTTGGTACAAGATTGAGAGAAGTGTAAATGGGTAAGGTCATAGTGTTGTGGTGTTGTGATGTTGCGGTCTAAGTTTTAAATAAGAATAGTTTCTCGTCGGCTATGGACGCTTTATCATAGGCTTGGTGATAAATGCGAGTGATGGGTCTGATGTTGGACTCGTGACGAATATGAAAGCAGCTAACCTAGGATACAAAGAAAACACAGATTACACACACACCTTTTCTCACCTATGTAAGCTTGTGATCAGACTGGTCAAGTCTTGGCCCCAATTTGCTGCAAGTATAGCCGCGAAATTTTCTTGGCTTAGCTTGAAATTCCAGCCTAGAAGAACTTGAAGCTTGAAGCTACTAGGAGCTGTTTCAAGGTTTTTGAAGCAAACGGTTCGTTGGTGAAATTTACTCACATAAACTAAATTGATGGGGTGTCAGTCGCTGCAACCTAATATAAATATAGGTAGCATATGTATATAAGGCAAAGCGTAGAACCGATGGGGAGGAAGCGAAGTTGGCTGGACTGGTCTGTTTGGGGTATGCAACATGCCGCAAGGAGCATATCTATAGATTTCTTAGAAAAGACATGGTGCAATAAACAACTTACATGTGTTTATCTGGTATTGTCACTACTTTTGAAGGACCTGAGGTTGTTCAGCATATGCGAATCGAGTACCAGATAGATGAGATGTCTCAGAGTTAACACATAAAGGATACAACTTCGCCGTAAAAGGTTAGGTTGGAGTATTTGGAGGTTGATGATATTCCAGTGAGAAAAAAAAAAGTATGGATATGGGATGGGACGGAATGGGAAGTTTTGGCTTCAATATGGCTCGTCGACTCGTTCAAGGGAATATTCACTGAAATACCCCGCTAAGGTTTGTAGACGCCAATAAGGTTATCAAGGACCCTCTTGCGCCTGATAAAGTGGCTGCAAGGGTTTCCGTAAGATCTGCTCAACAATGACGTCTGCCTATTACATGTACCTAGGTAGGTACCTAAAGAGGTAGCTATTAATGTATCTATGTATTATTAGTCATGTGAGCTAGCGTCTTTATTCTCTTCCCCGGCTTGGCACGGCATTGAAACGCAGGCGCGTCCACCGTCCACTGCTGTGATACAGCTTTTGGGTGGGTCTTTCCGGTGAGCTCGGTGAAGATAGGTACCCTGTACTTTAGGTATGTACCAATTCCGCAGTCAGCTCTTATCAATTCGTTATCAATCTCTTCATACCAGTCCGGAAATCCAATATCCAATGCTTATCCTATTGTTAATAATTACATCTTTTCCATAGCATTGCCAATTAGAGTATGTATTGAGCAACAGCATCACCTGTGAACTCCCCTTCTACTTATACTACTGAAATTGGGACTGCAAAATCTTAAGCAAGAAGAAAAACTAATTCTACAAAGGAGGTGGCCTCTGAGCCCTTTCTCTGTTTCTCATGTCATAAACACTCCCCTGACGAGTTGAAACAAATAAAAATACGGCACGATGAACCGCATCGACGCCTCAGATCATTACACAGAACCCGTCTCTAGCATTAGCCAAATACCCTCGCTCCTTACTATCGTGGTCGATACCAACCCGCGCGCTTGGGCCGCCCTCACCGACCTCCTCCCCATTTCCAAGGCCCTAGCCAACCTGCTCGTCTTCGTTAACGCCCATCTCTCTTTCGGCAATGACAATCATGTCGCTATACTCGCCGCACACCCCAACCGCGCCGTCTGGCTTTACCCCAAGTCCCCCAACCCCGATTTCCGGGCCGCGTCTTCGCGATCTAACGGTGATATCGAAATGACCGACGTTGACGGGCGACAGGACGGTGCCTCAGCAGCAACAGAACTAGGTGGCTCTGCCAACAAATTCCCCTTGTTCGCCCAAATCGAGTCCTCTATCTTGACCTCCTTGCGCTCCCTCATCGACAGTACCACACCCTCAGACCTCAACCCCACGACCCTAGTATCAGGAGCTCTCACGCTAGCACTATCTTACATCCACAAGATGTCGCATGCCCTAGAGCCAGCCAAGACGTCCTCGGACCCTGCGAACCCGTCTACGGCGACTAGCTCCTCGCCTACTGAGTCTACTGTCGCGACGCTACACTCGCGCATTCTAGTCTTATCTGTTTCGGACTCGGAGCCTGCGCAGTATATTCCTACCATGAACGCTGTCTTCGCAGCCTCTCACGCACGCATCCCAGTAGACACCTTATCTCTATACGGAACGCCAACATTCCTACAACAAGCAGCCTTTATAACAGGAGGTACTTTTCTTTCCGCAGCCTCGAACCCACGCGGCCTGCTCTCATATTTAATGTTCGGTTTCCTCGCGGACGCCGAAGCACGGCGATCTCTCGTGACTCCTACCCAAGACTCAGTAGACTTCCGTGCGGCTTGTTTCTGCCACCGCAATGTCATTGACACAGGCTTTGTTTGCAGTATTTGCCTTAGCATCTTTTGCTCTGTGCCCGACAACGCCGAATGTCTGACCTGCGGTACTAAATTAGCCCTCGGCAGTTACGGCGCCAAACCTGCCGTTGCCCCTCGTAAAAAGAAGAAGAAGAAAATACGCGCCAACGGCGTTGGGGCCAGGGAGGACACGGGTAGTGCTACGGGGACGCCTGCGCCTACGTAGTTGAGGGGCAAGCGTATGAGTCTTCTTTATTGTACTAATACTCAAATCATATTACATGGAAGCGGTCTGGTTGTATCGCAACGGGTTGGAGTTTGCATACGCGGAGTTGCGTCTGGCATGGGACAAAATATTACGAATTAAAAGCATAGGCGTAGTGATAAGACAGTCAATTTAGGCGTGCTTTAAATTTTCATAACTAGGTACCTTGTATAGACTATCTATACTGTCCGAGTGATCCTACTGCCACTATTACCCACGTAATTCTTTTGATCCAAGGGTTCACGCTTAGTTTTTTCAGTCTTGGTTCCGCTACAATTTGAGGATTACTGCCTTTAGAATACAAGAATCCCTCCGAGACCAAGACCACAGTAATTGCGGTTGATATGAACGTAGCCATTCAGGGGTATTTCGAAAGCGCCGATTTTAATGCACCACAATCCATCTAGAGCTTAGGTGTGAGCGAGTGATAAGGATAGTGTGAAGGTTGAGGTATATGAAGATCGAGGATAGGTGAGCGGGTGGGTATGAAGTGAAGAGAAACCGGTAAGCTTTGCAAAAAGTCCCGGTTTGATATAACGAGTCCTATAGATCGAATATCAATGTGTGATACAACCAGCTCATATGTGGATTTTACGACCTCCTTGGGCAATGCGAGCGAGACCAGAACTTCCTTCCCTGATGCGCGACATGACACAAGCTGGCTGAACGTCGTTAGAACCCATCGAGGCTACGGCAAAAGAGTCGGTGTTATGCGCGAAGTATAAATAATATCCTAATGGCCCCTTCTTTACCGCCATGACGCCAATGGCTCCAGCTGAGGAAGAATATTTGACGCCTGGATGTTCCTGGAAGTCATTAGCAATGAAGCCTTGGAGAATCGCGTTCTCATCATCCTCGGCTACATCTTTTCCGCCCGGTCCACGGCGCGTCCCTTGATATATCCGCTCGGCACATTTTTGCGACGCCATCGTAGTAGCCATATGTTCGCCGGTGCCACTTGTTACAGCGGCAACGGCGATGCCGTCTTGGTCATTTTCGTCGTTTGGAACGACAGCTGTCCCGATTCCGACTAAGGCGGCCGGACCAATTCGTCCTCGATGCTTCATGCCAATACCACCAGAAGATGACCCAGCGGCAATTTTTCCTGACATGTCGATTGCAATTGCACCTACTGTATCAGTAATTTTATCGGCATCTTTATTGTCCTCCTTATGATGGTCGACAGTCCTAAATGGTGGCGACTTGTCAAGATATGCAGTAGCCATAGTGGTGGGAGCCTGTCCGACTTTGGATATGGGAGGGTCTACAGGGACGTTTGAACTAGCCCCATCATGAAGAGTTGTCCTAGCTACACCCTTAGATATCGACGTACTAGAATTCGACTTCAGTGATTCATTACTTGGGCCTAGGCTGAATCGTGGACGCTTCGAAGTAGAAGACGGTATCTCTCCAGCCGCAGTTTTTGAACCTGTAAGTGATCCTAAGAAGCTAAGCGGGCTGCGCTCAACGTGGGTCTTGGGTGAAACTTGAGTAGAACTAAGTTTTAGTAGCATGGAAGACCCATTATCCCATGGCGAAGAAGGCAAAGCTGGAGAGTCTGGCTGACCTTCATTCCATGTTCCAGTCAGTATAGCAGTTGTGTGGTCCGGGTGTGCGTTCTGGCGGATTGCACTGCCATGATCGTCAAGAGCTCGGTCGTATGTGCTGGGCGCTAGAGATAGAGATGTTTTGCCCTCCGCCCGCCTCATATCTTCCTGCCATCTAACATAACGGTCTCTAGCATTTCTCGACACGAGAAATTGATTGGGAACCAATAGCATTCCTGATTCTCGTGCAAATTCCTTGGCGCCTTCTCCAATAAGCAGATTCGGAGGAACACGTCGTAAAGAAAGGGGCTTGCTACTAGACAGGAGAATAATCTTAGCCAAAGAGATTGGATTCTTGACATCTATAAACCAGACTTGTAAGCAAATACAACTCATGTTTGAAGGTACTGCTAACCAACTTACTAGGAACTGCACCACAGGCTCCACTGCGACCAAAATGATCGACTAAGGTAGCGTCACACTCTACCGTCCCATCAATTGCCAAGTTACTTCCGTAGCCAGCATTGGTGATCTCCTTGTCCTCGAGGGATTTGATGGCAGCCTCGACAGCATCCACAGCCGAATGGCCTGACCGCAGGAGTTTTATGCTCAGACGTGCAGCTCTACTTGATGTCAGAATGGGTTGCCAAAAACACTAGAATTATAATGAAAATGTCAAAGTGCTTACTCGTTGCAGGCTTCCAGGTGCAGGCTCTCATTTGCAACGCTGTGGTATCCGGCCCCAGCATGAATAAATATGGCTGCTACCGGGAATTTCTTACGTTTTCCCCAGCGATCTATAGCTCCATCCATAGAAACGATGTTACCATCTTCCAATGGTGAGGGAGGTCTTAGGTGCTCGGTGGTCCAGGGCAGACCGTCAATGACATCGTCCTGTTCGATATAATCACCATGCCAGGTAGAGATAGCGTTGTCTTGAGAATCTCCCGAATCCATACTCAGTATAAGGTATGGAAATAGGGGAATATACCGGATTCGGTTGTGAAATTGAACTTCTGTCTTCTGACTCTCTTATACAAAAATGGGCAAATTCGTATTATTATTTTTCGAATTTGAACTAAGAATCCTAGCGGATATGTTCTGTCTGTTGATTCGACTAAGACGAGTACGGGATCGAATAGATTCCTGTCAATTTAGGGGCAGCGCTTCTGGAGCTAGAATTCCACCAAAATTATTCGGTATTAGGGAGGTATTGGAAGCTGCCGGAACTTCCTAGCTCGTGATACGAAGTAAAACGGCGAGGTATTTAAATACTCAGGATACCGATAAAGCAATGTAGCTATTTAGGACGATTCCTTTTGTGTGAGGCAATGTTGGCGAGAGCGAAGCTATAAGCTGAGCTACAAGTAATAGAGGCAAGGGATCAAGAACTTGGGTGGTAAGATACCATGCTAATCGTTAAGGTGGGCGAAGCTGAAGAACCAGCACCGGGTAATTAATGCCGACAAGCTCTGGACGAGCCACATACGTGGTATGAAGGCGATACAGCGTTGATGGAGCGATAAAAGTAAGATAGGTAGGGAGATTTAAAGGAAATGGAGTGAGGACTGGATGAAAGATGGCGAGACTTAGGAGCAGATTCCTCTATAATAATTTACTACTTAAGTAGCGAAGGAGATGTTTGGCAATATCGAAATAGTTATTTGATGTTGGAAGCTAGAACCTTCAATGATATGTAGTAAAGCCGAGCCAGAGAAATAAGAGCAACCCCTTGAACTATGTTAGGTAGAATAGTGAGAAATAAGCACATGAGAAAATGTATGTAGGTAGGTACGTATGTCTAAAGAGCTCTTACCTCTAAAGTTGAAAATATGAGTGACTGTGTAAGGGTCGTACCTACTTCAACTTATACCATTGCCTTCCTTAACTCTTAACTTTGATATATCTTTCTAAATTCCCAATTGAATTTGGGGCTTTAAGAAAAGAAAAAAACAATTTTAAAAAAAGATGTTATGTAAAGAATAGTGCTGCATAGCATGTCATTCACATTGAAAACGAAAAGAAGTTGACGTGGATAGAATATTGTCTTAGAAGTTATATGGTCCAAGTCAATTCAATATACCTTCAACAATGTACTGTGAGCCCCGGAGATTTATAGAGTTTGACTTAGTGCAAGTAGCAGACAGCTAAGGTTCTCAGCTACCTTGAGTTAGGTACATGTACTCAGCCGCATTCATAGCTGGGTACGTACATTTAGGTCCCCACCCCTCCAGCTGGGTCGGCGCACAGCCACACTATACCTAGCAACCTAACCTCACGATAGGCACGTAATTTCAACTTTCCAGCCTACATCATCACCAACCAATTTCAACAGCTGCCCCGTGGGTTGTTTCACCACCATAACGACGCTTCTTTCCCTTACTCGGCGCTGAGCTTTGATTTGGATCTCTCCCTAGCTTGCGTAGCTCCTATCCTTTCAAAATGGCGAACCAAACCCCTGCCGTTGTCATGGACAAGTATGTATTCATGACCCCGCAATCAATAGCTCATTTGATGCCTCCTAAACATCTCAGAATACGGAAGAAAGTAATTCTAACTTGATTTTCGAACATAGCGGCACGGGATTCTCAAAGCTTGGTAAGCTGGCTTCTTACGTTGGCTCAATACACCGCCATATAACCCTATCAACTACAATCCTCTAACCCACCGCTTCTTTACGATAATAGGTTTTGCCGGTAACGATTCTCCCTCGTTCGTTTTCCCAACCGCGATAGCTACGAAAGGAGGAGCAGGCGGTAGCGGCGGAACCGGGTCTGGCCGGCCGGCCGTGGCAAACAAGCCATCTTTCCTTACAGGGGGTGCTGGTCCCGGAGGCCATTTATCGACAAAACGGGGTACCGAAGACTTGGATTTCTTCATCGGCGATGAGGCAATCGCTGCTGCGAACGGGCCAGGTCAGTCTGATCGGTAGTCATTTTATGTGACTCAGGTATTGATATTGGGATAGGTTACGGGCTACACTACCCGATCCGACACGGTCAAATAGAGAACTGGGTATAAGTCCCGGACCTACCATCATCGAGTCCAATACTGACATATCATATTAGGATCACATGGAAAGATTCTGGTCTAACTCCATCTTCAAATATCTTCGTGTCGAACCTGAAGATCACTATTTTCTCTTAACCGAACCCGTACGAAGCCACCGTTGATTCTACCACCGCGAATGCCCGCTAACGTACTGTAGCCTTTGAACCCTCCCGAAAACCGAGAGAACACGGCCGAAATCTTCTTCGAATCCTTCAATTGTGCCGGCCTCTATATTGCTGTCCAAGCTGTCCTTGCCCTTGCCGCATCTTGGACATCAGCAAAAGTATCAGACCGTTCTCTTACGGGTACTGTTATCGACTCGGGTGACGGTGTTACGCACGTCATTCCTGTTGCTGAAGGTTATGTAATTGGGTCATCGATTAAGTCCATTCCGATTGCCGGCCGAGACATCACCTACTTTGTTCAATCCCTTCTGCGTGATCGAGGAGAGCCTGACAGCTCGCTGAAGACGGCCCAGGAGATTAAGGAAGAGTACTGTTACGTATGTCCCGATATTGTCAAAGAGTTTTCGAAGTTCGATCGAGATCGTAGTCGGTTTGCCAAACACGTGGTCTCTCAACCAGGTGGTCGCCAGGTCACCGTCGACGTAGGATACGAGCGGTTTCTTGCCCCTGAAATATTCTTTAATCCAGAAATCTATTCTTCCGACTTCTTAACGCCACTACCTGTTGTGGTTGATGGTGTCATTCAATCTAGTCCGATCGACGTTCGACGAGGATTGTACAAGAACATCGTGTTATCAGGAGGTAGCACGCTATATAAGGACTTTGGGCGAAGATTACAACGTGACATCAAACATTTAGTTGATGCCCGAATTCGAGCTAGCGAGGTTCGCAGCGGAGGAGCGAAGAGCGGTGGCTTGGAGGTGCAGGTCATCACACATAAGCGACAGCGACACGGTCCATGGTTTGGTGGTAGCTTGTTAGGACAGACCCCTGAGTTCCGATCGTACTGCCACACTAAAGCCGAGGTAAGTCTTCCCTAGTTTAAACTAACAGGTTACTGATAATTAACTTGGTACAGTATCAAGAATACGGGCCGGGAATCGTACGAAGATTTGCTCTACTTGGTGGACCTGGTGGTTCGTAGAGTGAAGCTGACATTTAATTGCGATACCAGATAGAGGACAAGAAGGTGTAAAGGGTGGATGTGTATTCAAAAGAGTAGCAAACTGATTATTAAAATTATGAATGACCACCAAAATTTATTTGATACTTGCCTTTTTGATGTCTCGGTCGAAAGAAATCCAAAGTTGCTTCCCGTGTCAGGTCTAGATATTAGACATTATTACTATCCTATCTCTGCCTTGTTTCGTTTCAATACATAATACCTAGGATCTTAATACCCAAATAAAAAACTAAAGGTAGAAATTTTACTTTCTATACCCTACATTCCTTATAGTTCTACTTAGAGCAACCAACTACCTAATATAAGACTAGTAAAAGCTACTATTCAAGAAATATTTAACAAGTATTATAAATCATCTACAAAATATACTTAGTAGCACTAAATACTATCACCCCAAGAAGCGAGATTAACCTACTTATGTGCTACAGTATAAAGCTACCACAGAAGATCATAAGTTTATTATGGAAAGAGCCAAACGGCGACTAACCGCAGCTTCAAATTGACTCCTCGCGCTCATAATTGTCAGTATGATCGAGGTCTGTTCTAGGTCTCCCGCCTAGTTGTTATCATTTATAATAGCGGCGCACCCAGGCTTCCGAAACTTATATCGTCTGTGCCAATCCTATGATTTGTATAGATGATCATTCATGATAACAATGGAAATGCCGATTTCTAATGAATAAGAGACGACATGACATGTATGTATAACCTACTATCGCCATTGGTCCAAGTGGCACTAAATCGGTAGGTCTGCTGAGGGCAAAACACCCGCAACTATAGGCGGAAGTGTATCATCGGAGGTCATCCCTCAATTCTTATTGATTGTTGATGAAGCGTTTAAAATTTTGGTTCCTCCAATGTTCGCGCCGCTCATCGTGGGGCACGGGAGTCATTGGCTGGAAGATTGGGATACCAATAACTACCTACCTAACCCAACCTACTTGACACGTCTCCATTATTTCTATTAAGCGCCCCGTTCTTGGAACAGCGAATAGATCAGTGTTCCGATGGAACTAGAATTGTGAAAAGAAAGGATTTAGATGCATGAATGGATTCGTGGAGGAAAAAGGGGGGCGGTGTGGAAGACTGCACGCTTGGACCCAAGAATAAATAAACCTGGGGAATCAAAAACATTATATTAACGTCTACTCTTATGCCCTCGCCCTTTATCTTTCCCATAACTTTCTTCTATTATAGCTTCTCTTTTTATTCCTTTTTATTTTGTTCCGGGGTATATTTTCAACGATATCCGCTTGCCTATGTCGACTTAGAAACGTCCCCCTTCGCCCGCCTTACTAACACATCTAGTTGGGATTCCTTTTTCTTAAGATTGTCTATGAGATCTCCGTCTGACATGATATTGCCTTGAACAAGCCTATCCGTTGTTGTACTGGGGCGACTGGCGAGATAGTATTTCATCATCTCGGAAGATGCTCGCCGGCTTCTATCGCGTCGCTATGTTAGAGATGGGATTTTGCTATCAAGGCAGTCTGCTACTTACTGGTCGCTGGATAGTTGGCTTGACGAGATTGTGGCTTGAGACATAGTGAACCCTGGACTTATCCACTGTCTTGGGGAAAAGCTTGGCAGGATGCGAAAGGGGTTTGCTGTGAGAAGGTAACAGTGTAACTTCGATCCTCAGTATGATCGGCTAAGGCAAAAATATCTACGAAGAGGTTCTTCAGGTCTTAATTGCTCTAATGATTCTAGTTTGGATTTGTCTACGGAGACTCATTATACTGGCCTGGCTTCCGCTTTCATTTTATGGACGGCCACTATACCGCGCGCTGAAGCGCGATAACGATGTTAAGATTCTGCTCAAAACTACCTACATCGCTTCGGAGCTATAAATTGTCTCAAGGAGGGATATCGGCCTAGCTACGTTCCGCGCGACTTTGTCGTCCTCTGGGTAATGCACGGGTCAGGACTTCGCGATATTGGGGCCTTAGGTGTCAGGTACGCGAAGGCGTATTGCACACAATGCCGGCAAGTCCTATCGTGTTGCGCTCCCGAGGGTATTCTACGCAATCAGCATCGAGCACGTCAGCATGCGTGATTGGTAGATTGTCAGCTTGCGCATATCTCCACCTCGTTTTGCGCCGTTGCGCAAAACCGGTAGAGTATAAGTATTGGGTATTTTGGTCGGGGAGATGAACGAAATATAGCGATTTTACTTCGTATATATTAACTCTCCCTATTTGAACAGAAATTGATATTTCAAAATACCAGGGACACGATTAAAGTCATTATACTACTATCATTACTACTTCTTTTAACTTGGCCCTTTAATTGTCAATAAATGCTGCCTATAAGCGACTGTTCTATCGTCACCTGCGTGATGACTCCACATTATATTTAGGAGAGATGCTTCAAAGACCTCGTGATATACTGACTGCTCACAACCTTCACCCAGAGAGCTCTGTTACTCACTGTCACCTTTATCAATATCGCCACCGTCAGTTGCACGAATCTCTTCATACTTACAACTTGGCTATTGGGCGGGTAAAATCGAACCGCCACCTCCAAACCAACTGTTTTAATTCCTTTGAGCACACTTGGGACGCGACTAGGACGAAGCTCGTGGCCCAGTGGGAGCGGATCACCTCCCGTCGTGAACATCGCCTCAAGCGAAGCATGGTCAAGAAGTTGGCCTTATCCAGGAGTGACTTTACTAAGCCGCAGATACCAGAACCGACAAGCGCCGGTGACTCGGTAAGGCTCCCATAAGAGTCGAAATGAAACTATTCTTACCGTCACTTTAGCAGAGTAGGATAGCTTGTCCCGACTATACTCTAGCTGGGGACTCGCTCATCGTTAACAATACTAGATTTGTCAATCTAGACCCCGAGAAATGTCTGGGCGAGCTTAGTGTATACAGGAAAGAATTCAGTATACAGCACGAAGGATATAATCCTGGGGAATCATCACAGAAGCGACATAGAGTAGCCGGTCTTATGGAGGGCGAAAAGCAGACACGCGCTGCTCGAGAACTCAGCCATTGCCAACTCAACCACGGAAGTGAGAGAGGACTGACACCTGATCAGTACGTGGCCATCAAGAGACAAGAGGGTGTCGAGCTTGTAATGGCTAAGTTCAATCGGTGGCTTGATAAGAGACTCGCAATTATCTCCTGGTTAGTATGAAAGTTTTCCTCCGTGGCAACTTGGTTTCCTCTCTGAGCTATATTAGATAGGGGCTGACTATCGTGTATAGTATGTCACAACGCATTTTCTTTGCTCGTTAACCCCTCACTTTCCTATGAAGGTAACGCTCTGAATTTGAACGAGTAATTAACATCAATAAGATGCATGTGAGGCATCTGAAGCGTCGGGTAGCTCCGCTGGTAGCTCTAAAGGTACAGAGTCTGGAAGTGGCAGTTCTGAGCAAGGCCAATCAGGTCGTTCAACTAGAACAAAACGTCGATTAGGTGGAGACGACCAGGATAATTCTTCAGCCGGGGGTGATGAAGGTGATCCGGATAGAGGTGGCAGTAAGCGTGCGAAGAAAGATACGGAATCGGAGCGAAAGTTCGCTTGCCCTTTCTACAAAAATGACCCAAAAGCGCATAACAAACACCGAAGTTGTGCTGGCCCAGGCTGGACTTCCCTGCATCGCTTGAAGTAAGTCTTCCAAAGAAATGATGTGCCTATTACCATACTAAAAATTCGTGTAAGGGAGCATCTTTATCGCGCTCACCGATTGCCGAAACACGTTTGTCCTAGATGCACTGATCCCTTCGATGATGCTAAGGATCTAGCTGAACATATTCGGGCTGACGTGCCTTGTGAGAAGTTAGATGTGGTTCCAGTGCTGCAAGGCATCGATGAGGCCACCGAAGCAAAGTTAAAAGTGCGAAGGAAGAACTGTCCCGGCATGACTGATGAGCAGAGATGGGGAGAGATTTACAAGATCCTGTTCCCAAGTGCTAACTTTAATGCTATGCCAACACCATGTAAGCCAATCCAAGATTTAGCAGCGTAAAAAGTGTTAACCATCCGATAGATTATGACGGCAACGATTCCCTGGGATTCTCTAAACGTGCTGAATGGAAAAAGGTAGAGAAGCGGCTCAGAAAAGAGTTGCCTAAGTTTGTTCAGAAGAAGGTCGAGAGGTCATTCGAGAAAGTTCAGGCAGATATGCTGGTCGGCCTCCCTGACATCATTCGCGATGGTCTATTCGAGTTCTTCAAGGATCTCCCACATAATGATTTGTCGGCATCGGCAACTCCTGCTGCAACTCCAAGGGCTCGTACGCCTAGTTCTCCTGTCGCAAGGGAACAGCCTGCTCCGACGAGTGAGGAAGACAAGGACGCTTTGCTGGACGTGTCGTATTTTCTGGACCCTACGATCGATGAGTTTGACATGAGCCCGTTTGACTTTGGCAATCCTAACGACTGCCACTTTTTCGACAAGTACTCGGACTCTGGTTATGCTTCTACTAGCACGGGGAGGGACGGTACCGTCGAGACGGATATTTGAGGATTTTGGGAAACAGATATCCGGCTACTCATGTGTGATTTGACATAGCACACTTTTACACTCTTTAATAACTATTTCTTATGTATTCAATGGTATGCTCGTAAGTGTTGGGATGCGATATACTCAAAATACAAGGTCGGGAGTGTGTTCATTACCTACCTGTTCCCGTACGAGCTGGCCTCGTCTTAACATGATTCATCTGACGTTGTAATTTTGCAAACTAATCGGCTAAAAATAATACAACTAGCAAAAAGTAAATCTTTAAATAAGAATTGAGAGTTATAAGGTTGAGTTAAACTCCAGGATTCGTAAAATAGACTGCGTTTTTAGTATGAGATTGCTACCCAGGTATTATATACACCAAGGGTAATTCATCGTCTTAAATGGTAGAGTATCTTGTTGACGATTAGATGCATAGTAAGTAGGGTAGGATGGCTACCTTTCTACTAAAAGAACCAAAATCATAAAGCGACGAGTTTTTGTAATTGGTACACTGATGTAAGATAACATGGGACTATATGCAATGAGCCTTACGTATAGCATATCTCCTGTGTACCTGTCGGTACCTATGCATAAATCCTGGTAAAGCTTATCGGTCACATCCAAAAGTTAATTGCTCTTGGATAGGTATTTTATTTATATTCCTGAAAGGGGTGTTGTGGGGAACTAGAGGCAATTTGATTCTCCTAACCCTGCTGCCCGAGGTGTAACTGGCATAGCAGCATCAAGCTTCTAGGCATATCCTGTATAACATATGATGATATGGTGCTAAAGAATAATATTTCCCTCGAGGCAAAGGAGATATAATGATGCCAAGGCCATAGTATTTCTCACCTGTGGTACTGGGAATTATGTTGACGTGATAGAACACGGGGGCTAAAGCTTGTATTTAGGTAATACTATGTACAAAGGCCGCGCCGCCCTGGGAGACAGCTCGAATCGAGTTGTGCGATGGAGTGTTGACCATAGCTGAGGGTTGACTATGATTTATGACATGGCAAGAATTGAGGTAATACGCATAAAGGGGATTCGGCCCTTCAGCTCTTGGGCAACTCTAGTATAACAACACAGAGTAAGGAGAATAATTAATACAGATGTGATTGTACTATAATGGGAAGAGTGAAATATATGAATCATGTTCAACTCTTTTTTACCGGACTGAAATGCTTTAAGACATTCCGAACCAAATAAAACCTTGAGTTAAGATATCTCGGGATGATATGGCCGAGATGAAATCTATAAATGGGGTCTGTTTGGGTGTGCTGGTGCACGGCGAAATGTTCTGTGGAAGGTGTCCGACCCAAAGTTAAAAGATTGTTAAGTGGACATAAAGCCGGCTTTGCTTCACATGTTTAACATGTCTGACCTGGAAATGTTATGCTCCGGCGGTGTTGTCATTATTATGCAAAAGTTAGACGTGTCAGAAAGGGGGCGAAATAGTGAAAAATAATGTAAATAATGTAAATAATGTGAGATGTAGTATTAGATGAAAATATGGTAGGATATATGATAGGATGACAAGACTCGGGTAGGAAATTTGAATGCGCCGTTGTTAATTCTCCATGTGGTTGCCAAGTCTGAAAATATGTAGCTCTAAATGAAGTTCGCGTGTAGGAGTGGTACCGCAGGTGTCCGGTACATATCGAGGTGACCTTGTGATTTTCAGTTGTTAATAACTTCCAAGGTTAATAACAATTTGTTATTAGTTGGGGGGAGGGGGGGGAAGTTGATAGACGACGATCCCCCTCCCGTGGCGCCGTCAGTTTAATGTGCTATGTGGGCATTGACCCGCTCTAAATTGTTGTGCCTTAGGTACCTATGTAAAAGTAAATTTAAAAGGGGAGACAGGGCAGAATAAGGGTAGAACAGGCAATACCTATCGTAATAAGTGTAGTCGCGTATCTAGTGTAATGTAAATTCAATTGCGACAAGCTTTATGTCGCTAGTTCCATACAACGGCGTAACGTCGAACTTCTAAGCTAATCTACTAAGGTACAAGTAGTTTGAGTAGTAGCATTTTGCCCAACTATCCAGGTTATTTCGGCAGGATCTAGTTGCTCCATTGCCCAATTGGATGGTCTCCCAAATCTCAGAGCTGCTTCCCCAGTGGCTCGATTCTTCTGCATTGTGCCTGCAAGCCATGTCTTTTCTGTTTGTCTGTACCTATCTGTACTTAACGTAGGTACGTGCAGAGTTAGGCCCAGGGGTTGAACGGACTACACTAATTATTTTTTTATTTTCTCTTTAATAACCCCTGTCTTTCCCAATCGCAACCTCTCGTTGGCCCGTCCTATCGCAATTTTGCAGGTACCATCAAATGTATACTATGTTAACGAGATGGTGAAGCTTGTAAGCTTGCAACTCGAATTGAAGGCTTCCCCCCCCTTGTCAAAACTTTGTTCTTTTATTCAGTATCAAAGTTCTTCACTGCCTATACGAGAGGTAAACCCCGGTACCCTATTGTGTGAATACCCTCTTTTTTTTAACCTTCTAACCTTCTGCTGGCCTTCGTCTTAACTGCAAGCTTCGACTATCCGAACAATTACTCTCTTTCGTCAACGGCAATTTCATTTGTTTGATTTTTGATACCCCCCATCCTCTTCTATCATCTTTTTGATCTGTTACAATCTTCTAATGTTTCCCTAACTTGAACTTCTCTCGGGCCCTTAGTACCAAGCCCATACAACCAGCCACATCACGATTTGCGACGACCGATCTAAATTCAAAATCAAAAATAACAGTAGACCAACCGTCTCATGAAACGAACTATCCAACCATCGTCGTCACTTCTCCATTCCTAAGTCTATTTGCGATAAACTACCATTTGGCTACCATTTGGTCACCTGGTCATCTGTCGCCCGCTGTTTCGCAAGTGAATGAATTTCCCTTGTTCCACTCGCTACCGACCGTACGTACCCGCGTAAGAAGCTAAGATCGGATCCTACATCCTTCGCTGCCGCCTCATGCGGTTGACCGATCCGCAGCTACGGTGCGACCAACCGCCTCAATGCCCTGGCAACCTTTGCCTCGTATTGCCTTCGCCGTTGCGACCTATCCTTTTGAAACCAAGAACGAGAACGAACTTCCTCTAGAGATTGGCGATGATCTATATATTATCGAAGAGACCGCAGACGGCCAATGGCTACGGGGGTATCTGTTGGCGCCTCCATCGCTTCTGGCTGGCCTAACTTCCGTCAGGGGTCAACCTCTTGAAGCTCGTGTCTTTTCCGGCATTTTCCCACGCACATGCGTTGAGATACGCGAGGTGTTAGATAACGGAGACGAGAATTCGGAAAATAGTAGTAACTACCAGGGAGATGATGATGCGCCGCCTATCGGGAGCGACTCTGGCAAGAGTGGAGTGGCCTCGAGCACGAGGAAGTCCTATTTCAGAGACCTAGAGAACGGGAGTAGACTGCATAGACCGAATGGTACTATGTTAGGTGGTGCAATCGCCCGTGCTTCTGAGTTGAGAATACGCGAACCTGGCGCACCTAGGCCAGCCGCGCCGGTACCAATGCTCAGATTGGGGGACGAAACGCCTACCTCTACTATGGAACCTCTGGTAGACGAGATCGCGTCATGTCTACGTGAATGGCACTCGACTAATTTTCACGAACTCTTGCTTACAAGGCAATATACTAAACTTGACAAAGTATCCCAGCTAATACAAGCCCTGGACCTATCGAGGAGACAATTTCTACATAACCTTCTTACAACTCGTGAATATGATGCATTGCGAGAGAGGACTGTCTGGGATCTGGTTAGGGGAAATAAACTGTGTGGTGGAGAGGTCATCGTGCGAGATCCCAATGAAAGAGGAAGAGTTTTAACTGGTGACGATTCGGTTGTGGAAATCACCAAGTTGCAGTCGGTTATGAGCTTATTAGACGAACCACCGCAGCCGCAAGCCGAATTGTCCGCATTGCATCATCTGATGGTTGATATCAGGAGCTTTGCTGGTTCCTCCAACGAGCCCACAACGTTGGTACTGTACCTCGTTAGTAAATCAATCGGAGGAACCCTGACGAGGCTTTCGGAAAGCTACATAATTGAGGTACCATCGGGTGGTACGATGGGTTATTTGACCAGAAATCCGCAGATGCGTACCTTATTTACTGATTTGACTTCCGCTGATATCGGCGATGGACCATCTGCCGACTCAGAACTATACCTGATTGTCAAGGTACGCTCCCCACAGCAGGTAATATCAAATAAACCCGTCTCGAGGTCAGGTTCGTTTGGTCAGCCTAATACGCCATTTTCGAACAACAAACCGTCCTCCTCCGGTGGTAAGCCTTCTAGGAGGAGCTTTATGTGGGGAACTACGAGATCTGCGTTTTCTAGAGGTGGAACAAAGCTCGATGCCTTATCTGAACAGCCGGAGGACAGGCCTCGAACGGATAATCTTGAGAGTAGAGATGGTACGATGCCTCCGAGTACTGCCGGCTCAAGAGTAGGACGCCCATCCTTTGACGGACCACAGCCAACGCAGATGCTAGCGGAGAGAATGGTGGGCATGGGTGTACTGAGTCTGAACTCGATCATGAAACAGGATGAAGAGTCAGAGCATGTGGTTACCGTTTGGTCACCATCCGCGAGGTTTACTACTGAAAAGTATGACAGCGCTGACGGATGGGACGGGCTGGTTCGTGACCTTCTAGAAAGCAAATCAGGCCACTACGAAAAGTCTAGAAGGGCAGAGCGATTACAAATCCACCTGAAGTCTTTCAACAGCCCCGATGCAGATGCTCTTATCAAAGCGACCCCTACTTTGCTTGCTGGCATTAGTAAAACTAGCAAGATGGGATTCTCTGGCGCCCCGACGAAACCTCGGTCTGACATCTACGTGACAGTCACGGAAGCTCTTCTAGCTCGTCAGAACCTAATCTCGCGTTTTGGAGCCGGTGCGACGAATATATCTAGCAACGTACACGGCAATAATCTTATTGTTTCCTTAGAAGTTCGGCGGCAATCAGGAGAGCGAATTGAGGATTGTA